AAGTATGCCCGACGTGTACAGACGCGAGAGGTAGAGAGAGGTGTGTCGAATGATAACTGAGGAAGAACTTCCACAAAGTATCTCAAAGTACACCCAACGTGTCGAGGACCCTGAGAGAGAGAGAGAGAGGTGGGTCAAACGGTATCCGAAGAGAAGATTCAGCACAGTGGGACGGTACACCACACGTGTCGAAGCCATACGGATTGAGAGGGAGAAGATGTGTCGAATGATAGCCGAGGAGAAACTATGCTTGGGATAGGGGAGTATAATTGATATGTATAAGTTGTAGTTGTAGGGAGAGAGAGACAGACAGAGACACAGAGAGAGGACGTGTGATGATCCATGTGAAATTTGGACTGGAACTGGGTTAGTGCATACGTCGTGACTAAAGCCAAGAATTAGAGAGAATTTGGTGAAAGAATTAGAGAGAGACGATCCGCAGACCTCTCAGCAAGAGATAAGTGCGTGTGAAGTGAGCAATGATATTAGATATTAGAGAAGAAACACTGGCCTCACCAAGTGTGGCGTAGCGCAAACGACGTGAATAAACCCTACATTTAGAGAGAGAAGGCAGATAGAAGAAAAGGAGGAAACTCTGAAGATCTTCCGAGTGTCGTGATTATCACTTGGAAGTCGCTTTTGGGGTCCGTCCTACTTCACGTGAGAGTTCTTCGTGGATTGAGACTTCACAAAGCTGAGGGAACCTTGGGGGCAGGAGGATGAACGGGAGGTCGGCCCATCTTGCCGCTAGCATTGAAGTCAATTGGGTCCCATACATTTTTTTATCAACAGACTAACTTGTTTTCCATACTTAACTAACAATTATGTGAGCCTCAGGACCAGTCGATATCCCTCGACTCCATGACAGTCCACGCACTGAGGAAGAGAGATAAACCAGCGAGAGACAGACAGAGAGAGAGTGAGAGAGAGAGAGAGAGAGACAGAGGGGAAGAGACACGATGCAGTGAGGGGTTGGCCGGGGTGAGGGCTAGTGTCGGCCGGCGGCCTGGGGCAGCGCCGCACTGTGGGACTCGACGTGAAAGCGACGGCCAACAGCTCATCCTCGGCCCCGCCGCCCTCCTCGCCGAGGGGATATCCCACAGTTCAATGCATCACCTAACTCCCCTTCTCATTTCCCGATATATAAATTCATCTCCACCGGAAAGATCATGTGATTCCACGCGCTAGCGACGAAGAAGACGACGAGAGAATAATCAGACTAAACCACAGGGCTTGTCCGGAAGAGAGAGCAGCAGTCCCCCGCCGGTGCAATCCCCGCTTCCCTAGTTCATATCACGGCGGCGCAACGGCGGCGCACTGGAGGCGCACCGGAGGCGAGGCGGGACCAGCTGACAGCCCACACTTGACCAGCATTTGGAGGCAATCGAAGCTCTCGATCTTATTCATTCGGAGAGCTTAGTTGTCTCGATTCCAAGGAATATATATCTCCTATCTCGGAATATTTAAACCCCGGCTTGAAATCCTGCCGACCACCCTCTGAATTATTAGCGCCGTTTGTGGTCTTCTTCCATCTAAGAACAATGCCAAAGACTGACTGGAACCAGCTGGGGCGAGCTCACGCTGATAAACTCCATCATCTGATCTTCTTCTTCTTATTCTTCTTGGTGGCTATTGGGGGGGTATTTTTTGGAGAATAATTCACAGTGTGTGGAGTACGCTACCATAGTTTAATGGCACGGTCTGACTTACCGGATTCAATGTGAGATTATTCCAAGGAAGATGAGATTATTCACAGTGTGGCAGACAGAACGACATTGGACGCGGTGGCCGCCACCAGGATAGGATATCCTGGGTCTAGAGATAGAGGTCACATGTTGGGGAGATAGAATATGATGGAGTCATCCAGCCCCACCATTGCTTATTTCTTCAATGATACGCAGTTTATGAACAAAAACAATACATATATATGAGGCGACATTGGGACCAGAGAGAGAGAGAGAGAGAGAGGAACATCGGTCAACCCCACACTTGAAGGGGTAAGGGGTAGGTACCGCCATGGTTATGAAGGGTCCAAGTGGGGGCAGTTAAATGGATAGTGGTGTCCTCTCAGACCGCGGTGGTCGGTCCCTCGGGTGAGATTGACCGGCTCTCGCGCCACTGGGGTCCAATATCTTCCTTTGACTTTATTTGAGAAGGAATTATTAACTGCCTTTCTACTATAAGTCACCCGAAGCCTCTCCCGGTCTGTCGATAGCGAGAGAAAGAGATGGCTTTCACAGAATAATAGAGAGAGAGAGAAAAAGAGAGAGAGAGAGAAACGGTTTTCACAGAATGATTCGAGGTGCATTTATGCGTAATGCCTTCGGTATCTCTATCCCTCTCTCTCGTCGTTAAGATGTTCTATGGAGATCGAGAGGACCCCAGCGACTCCCCTCAGACGTACGCGTTTGACTTTTCTTCTTAATTATACTCTCCTATGATAGAACGACTGGATTCACCGCGTTGACGCGACGTCCTGTCAGATGGCGCGACGTGGCTTCTCGCCCCCTGCACTACACGTGATGATTCCCGCATGACGCCACGTGGCCGGACACAAGAATACCATGTCACCCATTCGCTATCTGGCATCACCAGTAAAGTCCCCGGAAAAAGTAGGCAGATTTTATAGAGAGAGAGATAGAGGGAGAGACGGGGGAGGTAGCTTTTGCGTGAGAAGGGAAGGAATGGGAGGAGGAGAGAGGGAAAGACAGAGAGAGAGAGAGGCGTTCGCGTAGAAGAGAGGGATTGGTAGAGAGAAGACAAACCGACAGAGAGGTTTGTGTAGAAGAGGGAGAATGTGGTAGAGAGAGAGAGGGAGAAAGAGAGTGGGTTTTACTTTACTCGTCGTGCGAAGAACATTCGAAGTCTCTCCTTGCTTTCGCAAGCTACGGTCCCCCCAGGTCAACGCACGTGCCAAATGGGCTGCCGCCCTCTCCCGCGTAGCCACGTCAGACCCCCCGCCCCGAATGGCATCAGCAGTTCAAGACTGTCCATCTCGACAGACCCAGACGAACGGCTGGGATGGGTTCACGACGTGGAAGAACGTCTAGAATCACTTGATGGGGGGGTGGGCTTGGGGGGGCGGATAATCTTGTGGATTTTTGGTCCCAAGCGGTTGGCCCCATGGCCTTAAGCTGGAAACAGCTATCCCTACAATTGGATGATTTAAAAAATAAACTAAATAAATAAGCGGCGCCCTCCCTAACTTATATAATGAAGGATCTCTCTATTTTTTACTTTTCCATTTTATTGTATTTAATTAGTAATTTATTTATTTATTTGTTAGCAGCCAACGTGGACGGTGGAGGATCGTTCTAATGATCTTCAGGAGTCTTCGCCCCTAGGCATAAGGTGAGGTAGTCTTGCTTCCCAATGGTAACCACCTAGTTTGGTGGATTATGCTTATCATCTCTCTCTCTCTCTCTCTATTTCCCTCCCCCCCGGCTTCGTGTATCCAGATAAGTGTTAAGGCTTTCAGTTTTAAACAAGAAAGCCATCATACTAATCATGGATATCAAGCCAATCTCTCTCTCTCTCTCTCTCCCCTCCCTCCCTCTCCATATATCCGTTTAAGTGTTGAAGCTTTCAGTTTTAAACAAGAAACCCACCATGCTAATCATGGATATCAAGCCAACCTCTCCTTCTACTTCTCTCTCTCTCTCTCTCTCTCTCTCTCTCTCTCTCTCTCTCTCTCTCTCTCTCTCTCTCTAGTTTAATCTTTTATGTCGTGAATCAGAAAACCCCTTGGCTACTAGGTATATATATGATTTGTGTCATCCACACAAATATAGCAACTGAACTCAAAAATTTAGTGTCAATGATTAGCCAAAACTTACACATTAAGTGCATTTAAGTAAATTATTAGTGAAGAACAAATCTGCGGAATATCATTTCAAAACTTATTTCACAAGAAATATTTTACAAATTGAATATTTGGAGAAATTATTTGTTTGTCTCGTAATCAGCCAAAATTACTTATGATCATTTTTTTAAGGATTTTTTTTCAATATATAATCTGTGATTTTAAATGGAGAAAACTAAGGTACCAAGTATGCCATAAAAATTGAGGCAAAGTACTTATTTAATAAAAAAATATTTAATATTGCAACTTACTATGCAACGGATTTTTCTTTTAATAGAATTAAATAATTTTTAGTCTGATTGAAAAGCATATAATGCTGAATATTTCGTGGATATTTAGGCGAAAGACTTATTTCAAAAATGATTTAGCCACATTTTTATCTAATCCGTGATTTTTTAAAGTAAGAAAGCAAAAAATAATCTATGATTTTGATTGAATGATAAAATGAATGATTATGGGCTAGTTGATTTAAGGACTAGCTGAATTAATTTATTTAAGGGCTAGTTGACGACATAATTTAGTCTAATAAATTACTGGAAATTAAGCTTGGAGTTTGGTAGACGAAAGATTCAGTAATTCGGATTTGATTGAGCATCTGTGAAAGTCGATTGGTTTCATTGGTGATTTCCGCAATCTTTGGCTTTGCACAAGCGACGGAGGATGCGATCAAATGGTCTTCGTAGACAATGATTAGACGCTTGCGCTTCGTCTCTCTCTCTCTCTCTCTCTCTCTCCCCCCCCCCTCCCTTCTCTCGGAGAAATGGATTGCAGAAGAGCGAGAGGGGTAGGATGGCCAGACCTCTTGATGCTGACCCATCTCTCTTTCTCCCTATCTTTTTAGGTGGGCACAGAGCCTTCTCTTCATTACATCCCACTCTTCCTCCTCCCACCCTCTCTTACTACTTTCAGGAGGGCACACAACCTTCTCCTCCTCCCATATCCTCTCTCTCTCTCTCTCTCTCTCTCTCTCTCTCTCTCTCTCTCTCTCTCTCTCTCTCTCTCTCACTCTAGCCATCCATCTATCTCTCTCCGTCTCTATCTAGCTGCAGTTGGGCGCGCGGATTCTCTTCTTCCATCGCTCTTCCAGTCTTTCTTTCTCTCGCATCAGTCCAGTGCAGGAGCAGGGAGAAGGCGCGTAATGGGGAGACACTCCTGCTGCTTCAAGCAGAAGCTGCGGAAAGGGCTCTGGTCCCCAGAGGAGGACGAGAAGCTCCTCCGCCACGTCACCACGTACGGCCATGGCTGCTGGAGCTCCGTCCCCAAGCTCGCAGGTGCCCTTCTTCTTCTTCCTCCTCCTCCTCTCCTTCTCTTCAGATCCCAGCTGGGTTTTTTCCGAGCTTGACGACGTGTGCCTCCTTCTTCTCCGTCTCCGGCGAGCAGGCCTTCAGAGGTGCGGCAAGAGTTGCAGGCTGAGATGGATGAATTACCTCAGGCCGGACCTCAAGAGGGGCGCATTCTCGCCGGAGGAGGAGAACCTGATAATTGAGCTCCACGCCGTCCTCGGGAACAGGTGAGGAGAACGAATCGTCGTCGTCTTCTCCGGCAGGACGGTGAATTCTCTGAGCTGAACCCCACTCCCCCTCGTCAGGTGGTCTCAGATTGCCGCCCAACTTCCGGGGAGGACCGACAACGAGATCAAGAATCTCTGGAACTCCAGCATCAAGAAGCAACTCCGGCAGCGGGGCATTGACCCCGCCACGCACAGGCCTCTCTCCGAGGTCAACGCCGGAGTCGACAAGACGGCGGCCTCCGACGAGCTCGTCAATCCCCTCCCCTCTCCCCCTTCGGGGAATTGCAAGGAGCTCCTCCTCGATCAGAGCTCCTCTTCCAGCTGCAGGTCTCCCGTGGATTACGGCGGCGGCGGCGGCGGCCATAGCTGCTCGAGTTCTCTCCTATGGCTCAACGAGGGGCCGCTGTGGTCTGGGGGTGCCGCCAGCGGTGGTGGCGGCGGATCCTTCTTCGATAATAGCTTGATCCCGTGGCCGGAGCTGGCTTCCGACAAGGTCGACGACCTGCAGTGGTCGGAATACCTCCAACCCGGCCTCCCACTGCCGCCGGCGGTGGTCCAGATCCAGAACAGAGCTCCGTGCAACGACGAAATCCAGAAATTGTCGGCGGCTTTCGAACAGATTTAGTTCACAAGAAACAGAAGAAGACGAAGAGATCGACAAGACCAGGTTAGAGCTTCGTGAGGACTATTTCATAAGTGGAGGAGCAGAGGGTAGGATGCTGACACAGAGAACAAGACTAGGAACTATACCCGCCATTGAATCGTCCATTCTCCATGGACTCTCTCTCTCTCTCTCTCTCTCTCTCTCTCTCTCTCTCCCTCTGCCTTTTTCTCCCTTTCTCTCCCTCTCTCTCTCTTTCTATTTTGTCTAAACTTTCTGCAACTCGCAGATTCTTACCCTCTGATTCTCTCTGGTGTCCATGAGAGAAACGCTTTCTGTAAAGAGCTGTATGCTACTTCATGCCGACGTCCACGGAAGACGTAGACGTTTTCCGTTCCTCTCTCTTCCTTCCCCCATTAACAATCGACGTTCAAGATCGTACGAGGGCAATCGAGAAGTCCGTGCTGAGTTCTGCTCGTGAAAGTGTAACTTTCAGCTGTTCACTCCGAGAAAGAGCGCGAGAGAGAGAGAGAGAGAGAGAGAGAGAGAGAAAGAGAGAGAGCTATCTCACTAGATTGTAAGGTGGTTTACTTCATGTTTGGTTTCAATGGTGAGATTCTAGAGAAAGTGAGAGAGCCATCCATGGGAAGAGATAGAGATAGATAAACAGATAGAGAGAGAGAGAGTTATGAAGTAGAAGAAAGTACGAGTCACTAGAAGCCTTCTCACGTTTGTATGTCGTAAACTTACTAAGGCAAGGGAGGAGAGGGAAACGGAACTGGAGCCCGAAACGGACGAGGGGAATCACAAGAAAGGAGAGAGAATACCGATAAAAGAAACAAAAATCCTCGAGGTTGTCTCATCACATAATCCTAGAGACTGAGAAAGAGAGAGAAAGAGAGAGGCCCCCTGATACCAGAAGAACACTATCGTTGGTCCGCCAACTTGTTAACTCATATGTTGAATTGGTAGATGGGACATTGGAAGGTGAACAGTCGCATAGTCTCTCGCTCAAGGTGAGAGAGTGAGAGAGAAAGAGATAGAGAGAGAGAGGTTGTCCTGTGGCTCAAAGATGGCATCTTTGCCTTGCGGAGGGGCACCCACAGGTCTAGTATTCTTCTTTCTCTTTCCTCGTTGTAGTTGACCGTGATGGGGGGGGCTTCTGTCCCGCACAGCCTCCCACAATCAATCGACTGCGACAACTACTGAGGACTACGCTCGAAGCCTTGAACCTAGAGAGAGAGAGAGAGAGAGAGAGAGAGCCGAATAGAAGGCTTCGTTGATTCAGGAGGGACAACGGCGCCACTGCCACACGGGCGACGCCTCAACGCCGCCAAGCGAGATGTTGGAGCCCGCCGCTCCACGCGACGCCGCCGCAACACATAGGATCCACGTCATCCTTGTCTCGTCTCACTTCAGCGTCATCATTCACCGACGACTTTGACTTTTCCGCGCGCAAATAGCTGTATAGGTCAAGGCCTCGAAAACGGCATCCGGGCAGAAGAAGCCCTACGGGTCCCTTCAAGACCCCTCCTCCGTTCACTTATTCCAGCTGGCCCATTCGGCCTCTCTCTCTCTCTCTCTCTCTCCCTCCTTCTCTGTCTCTCTACCCCTCGCATTCCGCATCTCTCTAGAGATTCCCCAGAAGATGGAATTCCGCAACAGTCTTCCAGGCGTGCAAAAACACAGACTCGAACTGAGTTCTGGGGTGGAGACCCAGAAAATCAATGTTTTTCAGCAACTTATACACCTTCCTCTGTCGCTGTTTTTATGAGAGAGAGAGAGAGAGAGAGAGTTCGCGGGTGCCGCCACCGCCATGGATTTCTCCGTCAGTTCTGGTGGCGGCAGGACTTGTCGCAAGGGTAGGGGCAGTCGATCGCCTTGCAGCCGCCCCGCTGGAAGAACCAGTCACCCACTGACTCCGCGATTCTCTGCGCCCACACGACAGATAGATAGATAGATAGAGAGAGAGAGAGAGAGAGAGAGAGAGGAGAGACGAGAGATCATACCTTATTCTTGAGGACAGGGGAGTCGCCGGAGAACCAGGTTTCCTGTTCCTCGGACTGGCAGTGGACGAAGCAGGAGTTGATGAAGAACCCATTTTGGCTGGCCGTCGAGAATGGCTGGACGGCTTCCAGCATCTGGCTCCTGAATCCTGCACAGGAAAGGAAAAATTACACCCATTCGCTTGACGATCCGGCGGCAACATAGAGAGAGAGAGAATCCGTAAAGAACCTTGCAAGACTGTCAGCTGCTGCGCACTGCAGGCTGCATGGCTCCTCCTGCATGGCATCCAACTGCCCGCGGGATCAGCCGCGGGTGGAGCAACGCTCTCCATAATCTGGGAGTAGGAAAAATAAGAACAATATAGTAACGATCACAGTGTATACATCCCACTAAAAATAATAATAAATTACAATATTTCTCATTTTCTCTCTCTAGATTATTAGCATAAATACCCATCTCACCAAATCTAGAGAGGCAGGCTGTAAGAGGAGGAGACGGGAGTCACCTGCCACAGGTCGTATGCTGAATTCAGAAGGAAGATTGGGGTCTGGACATGGCTGATCAAGTTCTGGGGGAAGAAGCACTGAAAGAAAAAAAGAATAAATAAAAAATATATATATACATTATAATAATAAAGAAAAAGGTAACATATACACAGAAATAATCAGAGGAAAAATGGAAATGAGAGAGCTCACCGAGGTTGGATCCATCCGTGATGTGCAGCTCCGAGGCAGGTTTTTCGCCACCCCCTGTCGTTGCCACCAGAGCATAGATTCATGCAAAGAGACCGATTAAGAACCGCCACTATGAAATTATAATAATCCAAAATTGATAATAGTATGAACGATATCCTAATTAATTATAAGTTATACGGTAATACTTTATTGATTATTTATTTATTTATTTATCCACCTGCATGGTGACCACACCCTCGAACATGGATCTCAGAGCACGGTCGCCACCGACATCAACGCTGCATAGGCAGGCATCAGGAAATAAATAGGGAAATTAATGGATGATTAAAATAGGAAAATTCAGGGGCATCGAGTAGGTGATTAACTGGGGAAATTAAAGAGGGAATTAATTAAATCAGGGAAAAAAAAAGTGCATACATGTCGAGAAACATGCCGGCATCAGCAAGGCACTTAGTTTTAGCGTTTGACGGGAGCAGAGCCCTGAACTGGTCACAGTGTAGGATTGTCGACAGGCCCCCGGCAGAACAGCCAGAGAGAAGAGCCTAGAAAGACATGTTTATCAGCCCAAATGATCATAAGCATGAGCATGATCAAGATCTTGATTATTAAAAAAAAAGGAAATATTTTATGATTAAATAAATTTCCTGACGGCATGTTTTATAAATCCTTGATCATTAAAAAAAAGGAAATATTTTATGACAGAAGAAATTCCCTGCCCGGTTGGCATGATGATGGAATCTCTGATTGCTAAAAAAAGAGGAAATATTTATGGATCCAAGAAATACCCTGTCGGCGTGATGATAGATAGAATCCATGATTGTTCATAGAAGGAAATATTTCACGACAGAAGAGATACCAACCATGGCTGCCATGAAAAAAAAAAAATCTGTTTAAAAAAATAGTTATCGATGGAAGAAATACCCTGATTTACAAAATGTTACAACAGAAAATAAGAAAAAAATATCCATCAGAAAAGAAAAACGCCGTTGGCATGACAATAGAAGCCCTGATTATTGAAAATAATATTATGAGTGAAGACCAAATATTATCGAAAACGGCATGATAATTAGAGCATTGATTATTTATAAAAAATCTCACGGTCGAGAAAATACCTTGTTGGCCTGATGACAGAAACCTAAGGTATTACGGCCAACTAAAAAAAAAAATCTCATACCCAGCTGCTATGATGATAGAAACGGCATGTTATATGATGGGAGAAATACCTCATGTGGCCCAGTTATAGAAAAGTTGATAATTAAAGAAGAGGAAAAAAGATTGGATGAGATACCCTGTCAGCATACCGCATCCCCTTTGACAGTAGCTCCTCCATTGCTGCTGACCAGATGCGTTGACCTCGGAAGAAGAGGCCATGGAGCTGAATATATATATATATATGAGAATTGGAGCAAAAAAGACTTTTGGGAGCGATGGAAGAACGGGGTATTATCAAGAGTTAATTATACTTTATCATGTGCTGACAGTTATGATACTCTCTCATGGCATTCTCAAGAACAGGTATTTAAATGAATTAAATTCAGCTGATTGAAAATATAGAAAACGATCCTTTAAAAAATCACCAAAGAATCCCTGGTTTACGAGGAAAAAACGGCAGATTGTGTTATCTTATTAGGTATTAAATAACGGAGAAAGATTTAGCCGAAAAGGGGATAAATCCAGAATAACCTCCGCAGCATGAAGCTTTAGTGGTCATAAAAATTCAAAATCCGAGATAAGAACCATAACAACTGATCAAAAAAGTCATTAATATATAAAATCTTCACGGATGAATATTATTTAAAAAACTCAATGAAGTGGCAGGGAAAATAATCTCACAGAACTGACCTCATCATAACCCTCGCCACTGAACGATGCACCATCACAGTACCGAATCTTGACTCTGTTCCAGTTGTAGAAATCTGCAAATATTCGTTAAAACTATTCAATCGATCTTCTCTGCACGACATTGTAACCAGGAGTGGCTGTTTTTAGATCAAACATCGAGCACGAACTTCGCCAAAAAAAAAAAAAAGTTTCCATCCAACGGGTTGTGATGATAAAAATTCCGAGAAATATTGTTACCCGGGTTTTCTTCTGGCTTGTTGCTCAAGATCCCTGTGAAGGGTAGCCACTTCTCCATATATCTCGACGAACCACGCCTAGTCGTCTTCCTGAAGACGCAGGTCCTCCCATTGTTGCACCATCCTCCTCCCTGGAGATCAATTAAGCAAGAAGCAGCAGCAACAGAAGAAGAAGAAATGGCAAATACTTATTCAGAAACTTAGAAATCGCGGGTACAAACGTAGATTAAACCAAGGAACTGGGATGTTCATTGGCAACGGTTCTCTCACCTCTAACTGTACCAGCCAGCTGTTTGCTCCCGAGCCATAGCCGCGATGAAGATGATACCCCGGTGGCGTTCCGTCCAGGCAGACTTCAGCCGGCGAAGAAGAACGAATGTATGAGAATCGCAGAGCGTAGAAGAAAGAACAGGGAGGAGGAGAAGAGCGCAAGTGAACAGGAAAGGAGCTCCTCCTCCGGCCGGCGGCGGAGGTCCCCAACTTACCAGCTCCCTTCGCAACGGCGGACTGTATCAGGGTTAGACCCACGAGAACACCGTCGGAGGTCGTGTTGCTGCCGCCGAGAAGCTCGGCAGTCCTTCCATTGACGATGGCAGCGAGCAGAAGGAGCCACAGAGAGTTCATGAGGTCTACCGGCCCTCTATCTCTCTCTCTGCTGCTCGCAATGGCGAAGCCAGGAGAGAGGGAAAGCTTAGAACTAGGGGAAGGGAAAGGGGACCTCACAGGGGTCCCTTTTAGTGGGGATCACAGGGGGGTTCTTGTTGAGGAAGGTGTTTAAAACAGACGGGGCGACCCCCAGAGGATGAGACGGCGGTAGAGAGAGAAAGTAACGGCGAACCTCAGCGCCGCCGACGCACCGTGCGGTTCCCTTCGCCCTCCTCCTCCTCCCTCATCGCCCATTAATGGCCTCATTTCCACTCGGTAAAGACCCATCTCAAATCCCCCCACGGGTAGCCCATCCGCCCTCACCTCTCCCCCCTCTTTCTCTCTCTCCCCGTCGGAGCGGCTTTACCCAGTGGGTTGAAGAAAGAAATGTTGGCTCCCTCTCTCTCTCCCTCTCTCTCCTGGGTCAGCTTCTCATTGGGCAGATGGCATCCACCACTTCGCACCACCGACCGGAGTGTAACCGCCGCCACCGTCGCCACCGCCGCCGTCAATCAAGAGGCAGGGCAGGGCAGGGCAGGGCGTGTCTCCCTCTGTCAATCAATCTTCACCGTCTGTGAGAGATCAATCAACCAGAAGAAAACAACAAGATGATCCCGGATCCTGAAAACCATCGTGGTTTTGCGGCGGGGAGATTAAATTAGTCTTCTTGATCTAAATGCCAAGAGGTTTAACTATCGAACTCCTCGATGAAGATCCGGCATTATCGCCGCCCCGTGATCCACGGCGGCGGTGGGGTGCCCGAAGAGGAAAGCCACCGGAAAGCTTCCCTGCCGACACTCGTGGCGGACAAAAAGGATATGGTTGCCCCACCCACCTCCACCGCACTGCGAGACCTCTCCGCCCCAGAGGCCATGACGACGACACGACTGAAACTAGGCCAACTCCAGGTCGGAGAAGACGATTAAGACGACCACGAAAACCAGAACAGACTGAGAGCTAAGGGCTCCAACCTCTCCTCCTCTTCTTCTTATTCTTCTTCTTCTTTTCCCGGCATGCTGCGGAAGCCCAGAGGGAGAAGGTTTCCCTCTTTATCCATCTCTATTTCTGTCTCTCAGTCTCTCTCTCTCTCTCTCTCTCTCTCTCTCTCTCTCTGCGAGAAGTCGGCCATGGAGGATGAGGACAACACCCCGCCCCATGTGCAGATTCCTGCTCCATCTACTGCGCGCAACGAAGACAAGAACCCCATAAATTCCTCGACCCCACTGCACCGGCGAACGACAAACGTCCAAAAGATCTGAGAGACCTCTTGGTTCGCCCACCATGGCTGTTCTTGTCTACGGCGATCAACGAGCTCACAGCCAGGCCAACTGATGTCGTCGTCACGCCAGAGTTTCACCCTGCACATGGGACTATGGGTGCTATCTGTTGAGAATTATTTTGATTTAGATGCCTGTTAATGGCGAACTACGCGCAGTTTTTCACGGAGAAAGTGAGACGACAGATTCGGAGAGACCATGAAGATGTGCGCCGGTGATCATCGCGGATTATAGATATGAACCAGGGAATCCGAACGATGAGAATGTTGGATTATGTTTTCTGAATCTTGTGGATGACCAAGCTCACGGAAGAGCAGAGCACCCTCTGGAAGAAGACGGCCCCCTTTCCCCCCTCCGAAGCTTCCTCTCGCAGGATCGTCGTCTTCATGGCCGACTCTCAGTCGTCTGAGAAATGATGATATTCATTCCGGTTGGTTCAATTCGAGGTCCTTCACCGAGGAAAACACTAGGAGATCATCGTCTCATCCCCCACCGAGGAAAACCCTAGGAGATCATCGTCTCATCCCCCACCATGGAAAACTCTACGAGATCACCATCTCATTCCCCATCATGGAAAACCGTACGAGGTTATCGTCTCATCCCTCGTGCTCATCTATCTGCCGCCGCCGCCGCCGCCGCCGCCGCCAACGCTGGTGAAAGTCGACGTTATCGTTTTCTCTTCCTAAAACTCAAGGAAATAGTCAGATCCTCAAGGGGGGAAGGGGGGGAGGCCCACGGGATCCAGTCAACTTTCAACGGATCTTTATTTGACCCTTGGTCAAATAAGGTGCACGCTCTTTAATTAAAAAATCTCCTGTCCGTACAGCGACGTGGACTTTAGATCGTCAACGATTGCAAAAAATAATAATCAATTAAAACATATAAATAAAATAAAACTGGTCAATTAGCCATCTTTCCCAAAATTAGGAATTATTCCCTGAGATTACTATCACCGCGTGCCCTGACGTGAGTTAGGCACGGCTAATATCTATCCGACAAATTCACCCAGCCCACTTCACCTCACCCCTTCCCTCTCTCTCTCTCTCTCTCTCTCTCTCTCTAGGACAAGAATTTAAATGAAAAGTAGCAGGAAAAAGTTTTTAACCAGTGGTTGTTTAAAAGATGGGCCACAACGATTAGAACACCTGAAAAAGACCCAAATCACTTATGGCCCATAAAATACGACGCGTCACAAATCCATCAGAGATCTTTTTTTCCTACTTTTATTTTATTTTATTACTTTTTAATTCATTTTTTAAAAAAATTAAATGCAAGTTGAATCTATTTTAAGGCGTCATTATAATTGAACCACCTCTTTAAGGATGCCCCATTGGAAATTCATCTTGCTTAAAATCCCCCACTATAATATGAGAAGTAAAATCATTCAATGCTACAAAACTTTCCTTTACAGGTCCAAATTTAATTTTTTATTTTATTTAAAAACATGGAGAAAATTAAATATAAGCTGGGATAAAAAAAATATATAACATGAAAATATATATTCCCAGTAAAAGTGTTCTCATTTTTCATGATTACTAGAAGAAAAATGTCAACGTCACAGGACAAAATGTCAATAGTCAGCCATTGACGAAAGACATACCCCAAAAAAAGTAAACGCCACAGAAAACAAGGCAGAAACCAGACCGAAGAATAGTCATTGCCATGTCCTTAGAATGAGGTTGGAAGCGGAGTCAGAATGGAGCTGTTGAGAGATGTATCCTTCCCACAAAAATCAATATCTTTAGAGAGAGAGAGAGAGAGAGAGAGAGAGAGAGAGTGGAGATTGGAGAACAGGCTGCAAGAATAGAACAGGGTGGCTCCTCGATGGATGAACAGGCATCAACACAGCCTCTAGGAGACTACCTTTTTATTCAGCAGTCGTTATTGCTCTAAGTTTGCAGCATAAAATGGAGAGAGAAAGCGGGCCAGAGGGTGGGAGAGAGAGGGAGAGAGAGAAAGAGAGAGAAAGAGAGAGGAGATCTACCCTGTGTGCGGGGAGGGGGAGAAACGCCCGGCTTCTTGCACTCCCTCTCATTTGCTTAGTGAAGCAGAAGGGGGGGATGCAGCGGGGTAATCTCTCTCTCCCCTATCTCTAGAAGCTCTATAAGCTGTGGAAGATATCACCTGGGCTCAGGGGGGACGAGCTTCAGGCTCCGCATCCACTCACAGAAGCTGGGGTCGTCGAAGTGGAGGAAGCTGCTCTTCAGCCTCGTCCTCTGATCCGGGGTCAACGACCTCAGTTGTGGAAATCTTGCCTCCTGAAGAAGACCCAGACATCAAAGATCAGCCCTGAAGAGAGAAAGAGAGAGAAAGAGAGGGGAGGGGGGGGGGGGGACTCCTGAAAACCCTGATGTTGAAGATCAAGCTCGGCCAAACCAACGCAAAATGCTCAACTCTCAGAGGGAAAGAGGAGGGGAGGAAAGAGAAAACAGAGAGAGAGAGAGAGAGAGAGAGAGAGAGAGAGAGAGAGAGAGAGAGGGAGAGAGAGAGGAGCTGCATAGACAACGATACCTGTTCATAAGGAGGATCCCTGTGCGCTGGAATCATGCGGGAGACGAGGTAACGAGCTTGGGAGCTTCCTTCCTGAAAACAAAATTCAGAGATGAGGAAATCTGAGAAACCAGAGGCAAGTGATGGAATTCTCTGACACAACATTAGATTTGATTCATCTACGTAAAAACGAACGATGATCAAGAAATAGGAAACCTTTAACTAAAGCAGGAAAAAGAACAGCAAACAAGAAATAAATGTTTGTCCTGCAAAGAATTTGATCTCAGGATCAGCTTCTCTAGGAGGGGGGTAAGAATCTAGGAAAAAAATAGGCAATCCAACATGGATATGAATGGCAAAGAAAACATATAAGCATGCGTAATCAGTAATTAAAAAAAAAACCTCTGTAATCAAGTCAAGAAAAATGGTGAAATAGTACAGTATATTCTTCTTTCCAGATGAACAAATAACAACACGAATAGAACGTGGCAAGAGATGCTGTGAGCAAGAGATGAATAATTCTCTTCAATTATTGCAGTCCTGCCTAGTAAATGATATCGGAATCAGCTTCTCCACGAGGGAAAATAATGGGAATCCCAGATCTGATGTAAATGCAGAAAAAAGATCTATGGATAAACAGTCAGAATTTTTTTTTCCATGAAGTGATTCAGCATATTCTTCTTTTCGAGACAAATTAATGATGAAAGGCATGAAGAGAGTCATGGTAGATGATGGTGTAGGATGGCACAAACTTTGAATGAGAGGATTCGGGGCGCTGGGAAGCGTTGCTCAGTCAATTCCTCCGCCAATGTCTTGCATGCTGCTAGCGCCGCTGCGCTCCTCCCCTCTTGAGCTGCCAGCTCAGCACCCTGTGAAAATTCAGGGAAATTTCAGGATTTCGTCAATAAATATGAGAATGGCGAGTTAGAAAAGTCAAGAAAACCCAGAAACTATAGAGACAACAAGTAAACAAGGGGCCTGGTCAAGATGGGCCGATGACAGCATGAGGTCTTTTTTTTACGAGAAAGGCCTTCTAGGCTAGTACTTTATTGTTCAGTATACCTTCCAAAGTAACTATCAAGCACGCATATTTTATAAAATCTTATAAAATACACTAGATTCTCATGCCCATCTCCATCACAATCTCAGAGAGGGTGAGAGAGAGGAATAAGAAAAAGGAAATAAAACAAGGAAAAGCAGCCCACCTGGACCGTGATTGAGTCAGGTCTCCCCCAGTATGAACATTCAAACCCGCTGTACTCACCGCTAAACTGGAGATTTAGGTTTTTGTGGGACAAGAAAAGGACACCAGAGGGACTGATGAATAGAAGGCGTTCATGAGGCAGTGGTTTTCCACCAGAAGCCAGAGTAATTGCACCACTGGGGATTCATAAAGCCACCACCAGAAGCCACGGGAAATAACACAAGTGCCAATTTCACAAAGGACATTACTTTTCTGAAAAATTAAAACTGTCATTCATGAATATTCCAACGAAGAAAATCCGTGCCAGTCCCACATGTAAATGACTGCGGATTTCCTAGGGTTTGTGTTAAAAAATGTAAGTTCTTTGAGAAGTTTCAGCATCTCAATGGAACGAACTAGTTGATGACCAGCCAACCAAAGTATAGAGAGTGAGATCTTCAAAATAATTTATCTATATTTCGATCAAGAAGAGGGTGAGATGCGATGTGATACCTCATGGGTTGCAAACATGGAATACTGAACAGAAAGGCAATAACAAATAAGCGGATGCAGAGAGTCGCTCTAACATTAAGAATGGCGCACAACAGAGAGGGTGTATGGGCAGCTTACCAGCCAAATGAAGACATCTGTCCCATGATCAAGTACGATGGCAGTATCAGACTGCATTGCAAGATCATATGCCGGCAATTCCTCGAAATTACCCCCGTCGCGGTGCATCAGGCAGCGAGGAGCCAACATCCGAAGGGACAGATCAAAGGAAGCATTCAAGAAAATGTTCCTCAGGATAGATCTTTCATCTTCGTGACCAAGGATACTTCCTAAGAGTGGTCCTCTTCTGAGATGGAATAAGTTTTCAGGCAGCAAAGAGAGTTCCTTTGGGAACTGATACAGTTTTGATTTGGGCATTTGGGAACCAAATTTCATGGCGATATCCTTTAGCCTCTCGTCTACGGTTAACCTCATGTCGACGGCATCAGATGCATCTTTGGCGTGCAACAGGGTCCTCTTGGCTACGAGAACTGAAACTACATCCTCTTGAATGCTCCCAAGGTATGCGGATAGACTGTCCACCGTGGGCAACCTGATGGTAATCACACGAGAAAGCTCCGCTTGGAATATAGTAGAATAACGAACAGCAAACTGGAAGAAAACATGACTGCTCTTGATGTCACCCTTCGTTTCCATAGATAACGCAAAGCTCTGGGTTTCTTCCACACTAAGCATCTGAATACAAGTAGATGAGTCATTCTTGAATGTTTCATGAGCATCTGAAGGTGCTTCTTCTCCGGGTCCAATCACTTGAGTCAAAAGAATATCATCAGAACAGCGAATCTCAAGCAACCCATGAGAGCCCGCTTCCCTAGAAGATGCCCTTTGCAAATTCACACCAAACGCCTCCCCAAAGTCATCATGAAGGACCAGCACACCACCAGAGCATTTAGCAAGTGGCTGAAGCACAGGAACCCGTATTGGGCACGTCCCGGCACATAGAATATCGACCACAGTATTATGTCGATGAGCTTCATGACCAAGATGCTCCATGAACTTAATAGCCGTTTTCTCCATGTATGGATAGTTGGGATGATTAAATGAATGAGGAACTGAACCAGGACCATAAGTGTTGGGACCAGCCGCACAGACCAAGATTCTGCAGTTGCCGCCTGGTCTTTTAACAATCCCACGAGACATTTCTGCAGACGGTCCCCGGATGATGGCCAGTGCAACCTCCACTGCTGTACCGAGGCATCGATCCCTTGATGCTTCGGGCAACCTGAGTCCATATGGTCTGAGGGATGAGAAAATGGTATGCGCAACTGGACGTGAAATATGAACAGGTGATAGGTAGATTCCAGTCCCATAAATCAAGGCTTTTAGGAATTCTTGTGTGGGTGATCTGTCACCCGGAAGCACATCTGCTGATGCAGCTGACTCTTCAGAAAAATCATAGACCGACACTGTCCGACCATACGTAATCACACCAATTCTTGTAGTCGCAGGAAGGGAGTCCACAAAAGCATGTAGCGACCCTTGCAAATGTTGGAGGTGACCTTCATCTAGGCATTCGTCTATGACGAGAAAGACGGGTGCGGACGTTCTTGAATCAGAAACGGGAACAAATCCTGGATGTTTATTCCCAGTTCGGATATAATCAATCACTGATGAGGAGAGTTCTGGCCACTGGCGCACCGCTTCTAAACTGGGGGCGATGTATTCCCCGTCACTGCTGTTTAATTTGTTGCAGATTGCGCATTGCCACTGCCCAGAAGCCAGTAAAACCTGGCAATATAAATTTGCATACGCACCACAGTTCTGACAACGGTGTGGCTCACGCTCTACAATCTGCGGGCCTGATGCGATATCTCTTCCGGGAGAGACCAAAGCGCCGAATCCCAGACTCGAGATATTTGCCAGCTTTCTGTTTTTCAACACCTAATGAAGGAGAACATAAAATGGCTCATTCCTTTCACAATTTATACGAAGAACTATCGTGTTAGTCATGTTACTCTCCGAAAAAGTGTTCCGGTGGTCGTTACTATCATGAACAGTAAAAGTGGGGGAAACCAGCAGAACTTGTAGATGTCAAAAATATTATAGTAATGGTTTAATCTGGATGGATAATTCAATGACAAGCGTGACAAGGAATTACCTTGTGAGCGGAGAAGAGCACATATGGAGATTCGAAGGTGGAGTCGTCGACTCCAGCTGAAATCTGGGTCAGCACATCGGTTGATCCATTGGCAAAAGGAGGAGATGATGTGGGCAGAGATGAACCAGAGGAGAATGGCACTGGTTGAGGAGAGGCTGGCGAGGCCCGGAATGGCACTGCTGCCGGGCGTAGGGGGGAGGAGAAGACAGGTGGCCCAGGTGGAGTACTGAAGTGTGGAATTGGGCTCCCAGCTGAACCAGGCGGAGGAGTACCGAAATGCGGGATAGGCCTCCCAGATGGGGCAGGGGGAGTACTGAACGGCGGAATAGGGCTCCCTGTCCCTGCAGCTTCACCAGACGATGATAGAGGAGAGAATCTGGTCGCCACGGAAGTAGAAAATTGTGTGGGCGTCTTCTCCGGGGTCTGTGTCGGATTGCTCGTGGTCATAGTGACCGTGTAACCGGCCGGCGGTGACGCTGGTGGTGCCGGATCGGCCATCGCCGGTCACCAAAATCCCTGCTCATCCGAAGCATGCAAGAACTCCATGAGGAAGAACTCCGAGAAAGAAAAATCACCCCAACAATCGTCCAATTCCAACCAAAATCCAGATGGGAACGTCCAACAACATGCATAACATCCCCCAGAGAAGAAAACCTCGAGTACCCTACCGACCGCAGAACAAAAAAAATGCTGCAACAAACTTGAACGAAGGGGAACAGACTCCACAAAGGAAAAAAAAAAAAAAAAAATCCGGAAGGCGGGACGAATTACGGGTACGGAATCAAGAGAAAGAGGGGCCGAAATGCCAAACCTTCTGAAACAGAAATCCGCAGGCGCCGCTCTCCCTCTTCCCGGTGCCGATCTCCTCGTCGCCCGCGCCTCCAACGTGCGCCCCGCGTCGATGTGGGAGGAAAACCAGGAATCGCTTCCCCCAAGCGACGGATCTGAGCTTGAAGATGGAGGACGAGGCGGTCGCCGGAGCCAAGTAGCTGGATGAAGAGAGAGCAGCAGCAGACGCGGGGAAGGGGGGGTGGGGAGAGTTGGTCTGAGATGAATTTCCCCCCCTTTTTCCCCTTATTCAGTTTTTTCCGCAAAATCTATGTTTACTTATTTAGTTATAATTAACCAATTTCCCACAATACTTATTATTTTTTGTAGTGTGGATATTAAAAATAATATTTTTTTGTATATTTTTAAATGGAGTTAAACAGAGCTTCAACTGCTTATTCATTTTCATCATATAAAATATTTTGTTTTTGGTATGGTGCATTAAAGGAGATATATACGAGTCGGAAATTGGGCCGTATCAGAGTCGGACCAATTAAAAAGCCCAAACCTATGTTGCTCTCTCTCTCTCTCTCTCTCTCTCTCTCTCAGGTTTAGACAGCGGGACCAGATAAAGGGCATTTGGGCCAAATTTGGGTCTGGCAAGCGGCGTTGACCCCCTCAACTCTTGAATAGGCCTTCGAACTTAGTGGAGCCTGAAAAAATGGTCTCCTTTTTGGGAGTTGACTCATGCCCGAGAAGACCCTGATGATGAAAGACGATTGTGTCCCCCCGTTGACTCTTTGCTGGAGATGCTGCAGTGTGCTCGCATGGTGTAGATGAAAATTGTAAGGAAAAAAAGTTCAATAAGAGTAGCGAAGACCGGACGAACAGTTGTTAAGTCAACGCGGCTCTGAAAATAAGGGAGGACCCCGCCCAAAGTCAACCAGAATTCCTGACGAAGGAATGGGAGAAGAAGATCCCCCTGGGCTCGAGAAATCCCGGGGGTCTTGTGGATGGGTGCCATCCTCGGGGCGACGCCGAAGTAGCTGTTCAAGATTCGGCCTTTAGCTACCTCCCTCTCTCGCTCGAGGTTACCCGCGAAGAAGAAGAGAAAGAAGAGAAAGAAGAAGAAGAAGAGGATCCAACGGGTCAAAAAGCCGTCTACGTGTTTTCGCGACGGGTTCGGACAGCGACGCGTCTGACGATAGACATCTTTGGAATTGACGACGCGATGATTGAATTGGGTCACTGACGAGCGCCAAATATCATCCGGAGAGATTCGAAAGACGCGCCCCCCGCCTCCGTCCCCCGTCTTCCTTGTCGAATATCCGGAGAGGATCGGAATGGAGAAGGTGTCGGGCACCAAGGGGCTCCTCCAATCCCCGATCCTGCCGCAATAATTAGCGAAATCCCCGTCAGAGATTATGTGCGCCATCCGAGATTTCTTCCCCCCATCTTCCCTCTACCTAAAAGCCAAGAGGTTCAGAACTGCGGATATGGCGGAGTACGCGGAGCTTCTGGGGGGTGTCGTGGTGCAGCGGCCGCGGGCAGTGCCCTTTCTGAGGTTGGCCCACGCCAGGAGAGTGGGGAGCTGGTCGACCCAGGCGGCGGAGCCGGCGATCGGGCGGCGGGGCGCGGTCTGCTGCGGCGGCGCAGCCGTCGACGCCGCTGGTTCCCTTGGCGGCGAGGTCTTCTCTGTTACCTCCTCCAGCAAGTCCGAAGTCGACTATCTCGGGGAGAGCACCAAGGGGGACCTGAACGTCAATCAGGAGCGTCTGGAGGCGCTTGGTGAGCTGCTCACCCAAATCCCCACGGAATGACGAGAAGATTTTCGGGAACTTAACTTCCTTGGATAGATCAAGTGCCTGCTTATTTATCTAGAAGCAGATTTCTGTCCAACTGATGATGCATCTTGTAGGGTTTAAGCCGTTCCTCCTCTGGTTTTCTCCTGAATACCCGAAGCGGCGTTTATGTTGATTTCATGGGTTCGTTTCGATCGATAGTTCTTCGCCCTATCTCTTTGTCTCTCTTCCTTCACATCAATGGATGGAAATCTCATGAAAATCCCAGCAGGGAAGGAGCGATGCTTCTATATGATCTCATTGCCTGCACACTGGATGGATCCTCCTAGAACAGTTCAATCCGTTCAAGGGAGTATGCATTATTGAGGGGGCACTCATTTGAGATCTTGATCAGCGCTTTGAGCTTGACTTTTGCTTGGCCCATTTGTTATTTGATCCGAAATCTCAAGTGCTTGAAGTTTGACTTTTGCTGGATCAATATGTTGGGTTGACATTCTGATGATTCAGTCCGATGGCTATCATGATCCTTCTTTGTAGGGGTGGATGGCCAGGCAGCCTTAGGGGGGCCGATAGAGGAGATTGCCAGAATCGAAGCTGAAGAAGCGAAGACATTGCTGAGTCATCTGGATATTCCAGTAATTATTTTATCTAATTCCTAAACTGCCTCCATTTTTCTTACAACTTTGTGATATGCCTCTGTCATATACTAACATGATTTTTATTTTTTTTTGAGAAAATAATATTTGGTGCGATTGTCCATCCACAATACATGTTCACAGGATCCTCTTACATCAATGCATTCACCTCGCGGAATATTCTGCAGCCGCACTTTAAATCTCCGGTCGATCAGCGCCATTGGTTACGACATGGATTATACCTTAATCCACTACAACGTCATGGTAACTGGAAAATCAGTTTCGTTTATTTTTTAATGAATTACGCAACTGATAAGAATTTTAATTTTCAAGCCCCCACCAATTTTCTAAAAATTAATCTTTATAGTTGTTTGACTAAAAATGAATCTTCAGCTCATGTGTTTGTTCCTCATAGTTGACAGAATGCGATGTTAACTAAGCATTGATTATTGATAAAATTGGTGGATTCTGTAATCTTTTTGCCGTTCTTGTGGTGAAAGAGATTGGGAAAGATTATGTTTTAATTGACCACCATTATTTGCTTCTTCTGCAGGCGTGGGAAGGAAGGGCATATGACTACGGCATGGCCAACCTGAAGAGCATGGGTTTTCCGGTTGATGGGCTGACTTTTGATCAAAACTTGGTAAAATATTTTCCCAAGAAAATATATTCTCTTCAATTTCCACCAGTAAAGAAATTCTTCCACCGAGTATCAGATCAGATTCATCTTCTTTTGTCTGATGAACCACTCTCGATCATACCTGCAGGTAATCAGGGGCCTCATCATGGACAAGGAGAGAGGCAATCTGGTCAAGGCCGATAGATTCGGCTATGTGAAGAGGGCCATGCACGGTACCCACATGCTGTCAACTCGGGCCGTGAGGTGTGATCAGACGCTTTCAATGTGTTTGTTATTCCCAATAACCTTGGAAACTCTCCCATTGTCTTACTATAATTTGATTTTTATTTATCAAAAGTGAAATTTATGGGAGAGAGCTGGTTGATCTGAGGAAGGAGAGCCGCTGGGAGTTCCTGAATACCTTCTTTTCTGTTTCAGAGGCGGTCATGTATACGCAGGTTTATTCAGTGCATGTTTTAAATTATTTACTTGCTGCTTGATTAGTATTTGAAGTTCTTTCCCATATTATATTGTTAGTGTTATTATTACGACTACTATTATTATTATGATTATTTATCTGATTGTTGGCCAAACCATTAGGTTCTTATCCCACTGTTTATATATCGATGATGTTTATTTCCTATATCCGTGTGTAAAAAATGGTAGAGAAGTTGACTTGAATATTTCTAGCAGATGGTTGACCGGCTGGACGAAGGAGCAATACCAGCAGACCTTGGTCTGCTTGACTATAAAGGGCTATTCAAGGCAAGGTGTCAAGTATTCTCGTGACTATCATTGGTGTCCTTTTACAGCAGCTTTCTCTGACCTTTGGCATTACTTCCAGGCTGTCTCGAAGGCTCTCTTCAGAGCACACGTCGAAGGTCACCTCAAGGTGGCCATTTAAAAGAACAACCTGCCTTCCCTTTTGACTTTTCTTAATGAAGGAATGATGTGGACGTCGCCCAATGCAGAGTGAGATAATGGCCGACCCAGGTCGCTTCGTGGAGCCTGACCCCGAGCTTCCTCTCGCTCTTCTGGATCAGAAAGAGGTGGTGCATTTATATCATGTGATATAACTACACGATATATATTATATCATCCATATTTCCCCTTTGCTTTAGGTTAATTTATATCTTGCATTATCTTTAGGCTGGTAAACAGCTGGTGCTGATCACCAACTCAGATTACCATTACACGAACAAGATGATGCAGCATGCCTTCAACAGGTTCCTCCCCAATGACATGGGGTGGAGAGATCTCTTCAACATGGTACCTAGTGAAGAAACCAACCTGGGTTTGAGGGCTTGGATCCATTCTTTATGCTATTATATGGAGCTTTTAATCGAGTTTAATTATTGGATTTTTTTTCACGGCAGGTCATAGTTTCTGCCCGGAAACCAGAGTTTTTCCAGATGGCAAATCCTCTATATGAAATTGTGACCAGCGACGGTCTGATGCGTCCATGCTTCAAGGCGCATCCGGGTGAATTTTTTATTTTTATTTTTATTTTTCTATTTTGGGGAAATATATCGCCATAATTATCATCTTTCTAGGAAATTGACTCTCTCTCTCTCTCTCTCTCTCTCTCTCTCTCTCTCTCTCTCTCTCTCTCTCTCTCTCTCTCGCTGTGTTTCCATCTGTAGGGGGTTTATACTCTGGTGGCAGCGCCCAGATGGTTGAGAACTTCTTGAACATCCATGGTGACGAAATACTGTACGTGGGTGATCATATCTACACAGATGTGAGCCAATCCAAAGTCCACTTGCGTTGGCGAACGGCTCTGATTTGCCGGGAATTGGAGGACGAGGTTAGTGAATGACTAGATTGATGGGAACGACTCGCTTTTACAATTCTTTATGGTGAATAAACGAAATGTGGGTAGATGAGGGGATTAAACTGATGTAATGTATTATCTGTTAAATTCCATGTGGATGTCGCAGTTCAATGCATTGATTCATGGTCGGAGCCACAGAACCGAGCTGATTGAGCTGATTCACCAGAAGGAAATTGTGGGTGATCTGTTCAACCAGCTGCGTCTTGCCTTGCAACGGCGAACAAAGGGGCGCCCAGCTCAGGTGAACCCAGTTCAGCGCAGCACACCCTCTTTTCACCTCCTTCTCTGGCTTCCTGTTCCCATTTCAATTTTATTTCTCTTCACAGCAAACCAGAAATAGCAAGCTGATCTCATCTTCATAGTAATAATAATAATTATTATTATTATTATTAGTCCTCTTATGTTGGTCGCTGATGAACACCCCCTGGTTAAGCTATTTTGTTCCATGTTGACCTTCTTGATGAGGCGTGCAGAGATAAATAGTAAAAAAGATGGGCGAAAAATGTGGAGAAAAAGGAGAGAAATCGTATAATGGATAGAAGAAAATTAAATCCCCACAACTAATATTTTGGTGATTTCTCTTCTTTTCTTTTCTTTTTTGTTTATTTCAGACTCGTGCCGCAACAAACATGAACAATGAGGATCTGACGGAGACCATGGAGAAGTTGCTTATTGTGATGCAGAGGCTCGACTACAAGATTGCACCAATGCTCGAAGAAGATGGGGAGCATTTCAACTCGAGGTGACTCAAATTTTCTGACTAGAGAATGCAATAATTACGTGGGGGCCTGAGATAATTAAAACAGATGGGCTATTTTCCACATTATTTTTTCAATGAGTTGCTTATAAGCGATTTATTTTCTCTTTTTTTGTGATATCAGAAAGACTATGCTAATATGGTAATTAGAATATTGGTTTGGCTAATAGCCTACGATAAGGAGAGCAGATGACGGGCTCTTTCTCCCCTAATCACTTTATTAAAAAAAATTAGTGCTAAAAGAGATCGAAGGTTCATGTTTTGGGGAATGAAGAATTGCTCTTCCCCCACAAAATCCTCTGCGAACAAATAAAGAAAACTGAAAACAGCATCACTTTTTCTTTTTTCGTTTTTCTTGATCTGGGTTCTGGGTTCTGGATTCTGAGATCAGAAATCTCCGTTAATTTCGCTATGACGTCTCGTAATTCCTCACTTGTTCTTTACTGGATATCAAATTTACTCCTTCCCCAACAGAATCTTCGGATAACACAAAGAGGAAAAGAAAACTTGGAAAAAAAAAAAAACGCTTCTGTTTTTGTTTTTATTTCTTATTTTCTGGCATTCTGGCTTGTCAGGAGTCTGAAATGTTCTTCAATGATGTTCCCAGGTGGGGGTATCTATCGCGGGCAGGCCTGTGGGACAAAAGCCACTTAACAAGACAAATAGAGAAGTATGCTGCCGCATGTTTCGTTTATGAAGATCAAAGGAGTTTAGTGGTAGATTTCTTTCTTTCGGTGGTCTCCTGATTCCTTGTGTATTGAATTCCGTGTCTTTTCTAATTCAGGTATGCTGATATATACACCTCGAGGGTCTCCAATTTCCTACAGTACACGCCTTTCATGTACTTTCGATCTCAAGAACAGGCAAGTGGAGGAGTTACTGTAAATGCTTTCAGCTTTTCTTTCAAAATCATATGATCCTGATTTTCCTGATTATTGGGTGTGCCGTTTGGCTTTAAAATTCCAACGTCATAAGATATTATGAATATATTTCCCTATCTGGTAATGGAGGATATTAGCAAAGGTACTTCCATTCAGAAACTGGGTCTCTAAATGTGATTGTGCCGGGTTATATTCCTATACCCAGCAGAATCTAAATGTGATTACCAGCTTCCTTTTTCTTTAATCTACTCGGAGTTGTTACCAGAAGCGTTGCTTCATCTGTCTGTGCTTGAGAATGTATCTACTCTTTCTGACCGACCTCTCAGCCACCCACCCACACTCTCCGACTAGTTTTGTTCTTCAAGATTATTATTAGATAGATTTCTCTGATTCTCCCCTTTGAACTTGTCCTAATCTTTTTTCCTCTGTCGCAGAGCCTTGCCCATGATCTGCACACGTATCGCCCGCCGCCACCCATCGACGAGATCGGGGTCAACAATCTGAGCTGACCATCTTCTGCGATCGTTGCGATGCTCTTGCTCATCTTGATGACGATGAAAATGGCGGCAGCAACCCGGATCATGAGGCAGGGGAGCGGAGTAGAGTGCAGCTACTAGAAAAAAGCCCAATCCAAGTGGAAACATAATCTTTCCTGCTTATTATTTATTTACATATTCAGTATGAGAGATGATCAGAGTGGGTGGTATCAGAGTTCGTTCCTGATCATTTCTCCCAGCTTCATCTTCTGAAGATCGAGGAAGATCTGGGTTTCCCTCCCCAAATAAGAAAAAGAAAAAGAAAAATAAAATAAAAGAGAAAAACCTTGGATATTACCTACCATATTTAGACGGCTGAAGATGATGCTTCATTTCATCGCGGTCTTATTGTTTACCGATTTCCATTTCCATCTGTAGTTGATGTGTCGGACTTGAATGATGATAATAACCTGGGGAGGGAAGGAATTATTGTATTTTTTTCGAAATTATGAGTTTTTTATATTCTTTCTGTTACTCGGTATCGGAATATTATCATACCACGTCCGCATAAAAAAATAAAACCCCAAAAATAACGATGCTTGATTTTAATAATAAATCAATAAATAAATTGAGATGAGGATGCCCCCCTTGGACCCCGTTTGGAAGATAGGACCCGATAACTTTTCGGATAGCCCAACAATCCCCTGGGCCCACATCGGCCGGGCCATTAAAATTGACCGCTTTAGTTGTTGGGCCGTGGCAATTGGTCGAAACGCTCGGCCCATTTTGATAGCCCACGTCTGCCACGTTATCCCCATTATTAGCCGCGCAAATCCCACGTGGTTCCACCAGGACTACTCAGCTGGGGGTTTGACCGGAGAACGGTCGCTTCGACGGGTATCACGCGCGCTTTGCCATCGGTGGCTAGATGGTTGAAAGTGGGCCCCAGCCCCACGAACGTGGGGCCGCTTTCCACTTTCGAGCAATGACGTTGGAAGTTGACTCTTCTAAACATTTGACGCCGCCGTCAAAAACATATTTTTATGCACGTTGGATCCGACGTTTGCCACGTGGCTGAAAAGTACAGGAATAAGTGTTCCCATAATTTGTTAAATTACTGCCTGCGTATGTGAAAAAATAGAAAAAGATAATGTCCGGACCTTTCTGCCTAATATGGGTTTAAAGGGTGTTAGCGTCGGTCAAGATTCCATCATCGGAGGCCCCGCGAGGGGCCGTGCTGACGACGACATGTCACCCCGAGAGCGGTGAGTGGCTAGTATGATAGAGAAAACCGGAAGTAGACGACAGAGAGAAAAAGGCATCGTATGCAAGAGAGGGGGCGCGAGAGACAGACAAACAGCTCCGGAACCATGAGAGGATGAGGGAGATAGCTAGAGAGAGAGAGAGAAGAGTGTCGATAAACACGTGCCAATCGTAATGGTAGATGACATCGTTGGAGATTATTAATAGGTGAGGGCGATGTCCGCCGGGAACCGCGGCGGTGGGATGCGCCGCCGGCTGCCCTCCGTGCATGGGAGATCCTAAGACAAGTTTCCACGAAGTTCGACCTGTTTTTTCCGTCTGATAGGGAGGGGTTTTCCTAACTATCTTTCTCTTGTCTCTTTCTCTCTCTTGTCTGTCTCTCTCTCCCTCTCTCTCTCTCTCTCTCTCTCTCTCTCTCTCTCTCTCTCTCTCTCTCTCTCTCTCTCTCTCTCTCTCTCTCTCTCTTGTCTCTCTCCCTCTCTCTCTCGCTCTCTCTTGTCTCTCTCCCTCTTGTCTCTCTCCCTCTCTCTCTCTCTCTCTCTCTTGTCTCTCTCTCTCCCTCTCTCTCTCTCTCTCTCTCTTGTCTCTCTCCCTCTCTCTCTCTCTCTCTCTTGTCTCTCTCCCTCCCTCTCTCTCTCTCTCTCTCTCTCTCCTCTCTCTCTCTCTCTCCTCTCTCTCTCTCTCTCTCTCTCTCTCTCTCTCTTGTCTCTCTCCCTCTCTCTCTCTCTCTCTCTCTCTCTTGTCTCTCTCCCTCTCTCTCTCCCTCTCCCTCTCTCTCTCCCTCTCCCTCTCTCTCTCTCTCTCTCTCTATCTCTTCCTTCCTCGTTAAGGTTCGCGACGTCAGAAAGGGATCACGGAGCAGATGCGAGAGGAGATCATCGGCTCGAACTGAACATGTCTTCATTAAATCAGAAAAGTAGTTAACTGTCGGTTTTTTTAGAATAATATGTTGTTTCATTATTTGAGAACTATTCTCCGATTTACTTTCCATATCCACGTTAAATATGGTCGGCGCGAATAATTGGCGTGGGCCATGGGCCGAATGTCGGGTCCCACCGAAGTCAGCGATCCCCACATCCCTGGGTCCCACACCGTTCATAAGTCCTTCCTTCGTCAGGAGGTTTACCCCCCCGAGGAAGGTAGTGTGAGAGCACTCTAAACAGATGAGGGCGAACTGAGTTGAAGATCCTCTCTTCCATCTCTCTCTCTCTCTCCCTTTCCATGTTCTTCCTTCCTCCACTGTGACCATGAACCGAGCTTTCCCCCCCTCTCTGTCATATTCTCTCTCTCTCCCTCTCTCTATCTCTCCCCTCCTCTTCCCTCATCCACTCTGCCCATGACCCGAGCTTTCCGCCCCCCCGCCCCCTTTTCTCTCTCCTCTCTCATTCATCCCACCTAATGTGGGCCTATTGGAACCCAAATACCTTCTTGACGTAGACTCTTAAGCTTTCCTAACACTACTCGCCGAGCGAAAATCCTCTCTCTGTCTCTGCACGAGTCAAAGAAGCACGTGAAGTATACTAAGGGCGGAGCTCTGGCTTGGTTGGGATGCACGAGCCGCCGCCTCGGGGCGAGGATCACGGGCGCTTGGGATCCACCGTCAGTAAGTCAACCTCACGTTCGGGACCTGCTGGCCCGTCCCGCTATTTGCGGGCCACGCCGTCGCAGTTATTATCGGACATCACCAGAGAGAGAGTATCCGAAGATTCCTTGCGTACGTGTATGATACATAGAGCCCCTCCCCGGCGAACTAGGTTCGGTGGGTTCCCACATCCGGAAATTAACCCTCTCTCTCTCTCTCTCTCTCTCTCTAGTAAGGCTCCAAATTGTAATTAATGCGGTCAACATCACATGCAAGCAATTCTAATCTCGGATGAGTGAACATTAACGGTTGACGGGTCAGTGGCGCTGCTGCTCCGTTGTGGGCCCCACCATTGACCGGTGGACGCACGCCGCTTACAGTTATCGGGAGATTTTAAATAAATAATATTCTTAGCATTTCCCTATATTTTTTTGTGCCTGTAGGCAACTATTTTTCACGGGACTAAAGAAAAAACCCTGCGTATATTAATTTTTTAATATACGGACGCTATTCCCGGGGCTGATGTGTCGCACACGCAAGCAAGACGTCTCCACGTCGGCCAGCTCATCGTCGAGTCACGTTGGGGGCAACAGTGAAAGCACGCCGATCAGATGAGGACGAATACGTGCCGGATGACGTGGACGAGTGCAAGCCACGAACCGCGTTCTCCGCGTGTCCGGACGTGACGTTGACATACAAACCTCAATAATTAACGTGATGTCGGGAGGACTTTTCCATGTAAATGGATATAGGAAAGTACGATCATGCTCTCGCTAATTTTGGAAAATAAATCCACTATGGGGGTTCCTGTTTTAGTAATTTCCAGAGTTAGCGCACCGACCCTCCCAATCAAGCCCATATCTTATACGCCATTTCCTGCTCGGTCATTGGTCCTCCCGGCCGACTGCCGAGGTTATACATAATTGGACGTAACCCTTCCTCCAAAACTTTATTATTTATGACGTCATAAATAATAAAAACTTTGGGAGTATTGGGCAATGCCCGCTCTGCTTATGCGTGACGTGAGTTCCCACGCGGGCTGCCGGGAGGGAGGGACTTAATTTCAAATATCCCCCCTCTATAATATCTTATTTAAAGAAAACCGCCTAATAATAATTATATTCCGCTTTTTATTTCTGGCGTCAGGGTAATCATCTGTATTTGTTTTGGGGGGTGGGACGCGGCAACGAATAACCGATTTCCCCGCAAGGGGATATGATACCCGCAGCAGCAGGTAAATGCCAAAAGAGTTCGGTGCTGCGTGCGCGCCGTGACGGGGGGTTTTACGGGCGGAGAGCTGGTGGCGGTGACGCGACTGCGGGGTAGCCGTTTCGTGTGGGAAAAATGGGAGGGAAGGATGTGGGCCCCACTTTGCCTCAACGCCGCTGGTCAAAATGGATGAGATTGTTAGATACTGGTGACGATGAATAAATACAGGGCAGGAGCCAGCGATCACAGGAAGGAGAACCAGGGAGAAGAGAGAGAGAAGAGAGAGAGGGAAGAGAGAGAATAGAGAGAGAGGGAGGGAGAGAAGAGTTTGCTCCTCCGGCGCCGCCGGTCTACCTGCCGGAGATCTCGCCGGTGGGGAGGTTGCGGGGGGGGAGGGAGACTGGTGGCTTGATTTTGAGGGAAGGGAATGCCAGAGGAGTGGGGATCGACGAAGTCGCCGGAGAGGGTGGGGAAGGAGGTGGAGCAGAAGAAGCAGGAGGAGCAGAATCAGCAGCAGCAGCATGGGGGGTGGAAGTACGAGCTGGGGAAGACGCTGGGGGAGGGGAACTTCGGGAAGGTGAAGTACGCTCGGCATGTCGAGACCGGCCGAGCGTTCGCCATCAAGATCCTCGACAAGCAGCGGATTCTCTCCCTCAAGATCGATGATCAGGTCAGTGAGGATGTTGCAACTGTCATATCGACAAAATTGCTTGGAGCTTGAGTTTTTTAATCATGGAGTAGAAACAGACGCGTACAGGGTATGAGAAGGGGAGAGAGAGAGAGAGTTGCAGGCGAATATGTTTCTGGTTAATTCTGGGAAGCGTTGCCTTTTGCCTTGGTTTTGTCTTTGGTTGGGATCAGAAGAGAATTAAGAATAACGAATCGAGAACAGAGAGGACCATCCTTAGGTTAACGTTTCGATTCTTCGGAGGGGGGGGGGAGGGTAGAAAACGGAGAGAGGGAGTGCCGTGGAGGGATACTGCTATTCCCGTTTCTAGCCATTTGTTTTACTCGCAATGTTCTTCTCTGGTAACTAACCGGTGATTGAAGCCCCTTTGATCTCTTTCTCTGATCTATTTTTTTCCCTCTCTCGGTAACAGATAAAGAGGGAGATTGGGACATTGAAGCTGATGAAGCATCCCAACGTCGTCCGGCTCTATGAGGTGAGGTACCTCTTTTGTACGCGTCCTCCGTTTCGATTGCCTGGTCTTATCAACCGTCCCCCCCTCCCATGTGGGTCTCTTGTTCTTATTTTATGATAAGTGAATCCAGGAACTTCTATCCATTCCGTCTTCTACTCTTTACTTTTGGAAGGATACGCTCTCGATTTCTCATTCCTCCGTTCAGAGTTTCTTTTTATCTTTCCCCGTGGCTGGAATACAAGATGATCCAGTGAGAGCCTTCTGGCTTCGGATCTGTCTTCCTCCCAATTCTACCGACCTGGAAATAGGGCCTCATGCTGGAATGAACCGCATCGATTCGGCGTGGGCTGAGAGGCGGGAACCTTTCACATGGGGGGCCGCGGACCTGGTGGTAGGGCATGCTGCCTCTCTCATGGCGGTGCCGGTGCCGGTAGTGGTGACCACGTCCCGCCAGGTCCTCCCCCAGAAAAAAAACACCTGTGCCAAATGTGCGGGGACAAATCCCACCGTCTTCTCTCCTCAAAATTCCCATTTTCTGTACATCCGAAAGCGATGGACGGAGGATTGGTGAACATCGAAGCAGAGTTTTCGTCTTATCCATCTCGAGGCTGGTTTATTCCATCGGGGACCTCGGGTCTATTATTTATCTGTTCGAATAATGCTGCCATCTCATCGTTTCTCCACTCTTGGGCTCCTCTTTTCTCTCTCAGAACAACTCCTTGGCCTCTCGCGTCCATCCGGACAATAATTTTGGTGGGTTGGGGTGGAGGGTTGCCACATCATCTACGAAGGCATCCCTCCCCAGGCTAAGCCACAACTTGGTGGACGACGATCGATGGGATATTTTGTTTCCTCTAGCGGAAAATGCTCGAACACCTTTCATGGCGTGTTGGCGATCGATACCGCGTGAGAGGGGCGGGTCTATTTGTCTTGAAGCGAAGGTACAACTGCCGGTCAAGCTTCGAGGGTCCGTGCCCACCCTCCACGAAGGAAGGCCATATTTGCAAACCAGTCTGTCTTCTTCTGGAAGGTTGTGTTGAGTAAATGCCTTCCATGGGGATTTCCGGTGCTAATCCTGATCTTCAGCTCCATGATCCTGCTCCCCTGTTGGAGGGCGTCGAACTTAACTTATGCTGTTTTATCTGCGTGACTTTTTCCTCTAGTGTTCTCATTTCTTTGCAATCTCTTCGCCGATTACAGTAATTTTTGATTTAAAGATGGTAATAATTTCTGATTTAATTTCTGTTCGGCAGGTCTCGGCGAGCAGGACTAAGATCTATATGGTTCTGGAGTACGTCAACGGGGGAGAACTCTTTGACAAAATCGTATGTGGTGTTCATATCACATCTGGGAATCCATGGAAACTTTCGATGAAAAATCGTATATGAGGGACCGGTGCTCATTCTTTCTCTGTTTGATTCAAAACCACAGGTGTCGAGAGGTAAGTTTCCAGAGCCCGAAGGGCGAAAATTATTCCAGCAGCTGATCGATGGCATCAGCTATTGTCAGGGGAAAGGTGTTTGTCACAGGGATTTGAAGGTAAATGACGTTTGTGTCCTCTCAGAATTTCTAAACATGTTAAATTCGGGGATTCGCTTCTTTTTATCCGCCGCCTCTGAAAATCTGTGGATAGACGAAGAAAAATTGCACCGATTTCCGTCGAAGACCAGATCCTGCGTATTTCATCCTATACTCGGTAGATCTTTTGTGCCTTCAGACGTGATTTCTATAGTCCTTTAATTTTCTTCTTCAGCCGGAGAACATTCTCGTCGATTGCAAAGGGAACATAAAGATATCCGATTTCGGCCTCAGCGCCTTGCCGCAGCATCTGGGGGTACGCCCACTCTCCGCATCGACTCCTTCCTTCCTTCTCCTGCTTTGGCCTACCCAGATGATACCCTGAAATAAATTCTCAAACCCACCGTCGACATAATTTTCAGAACGATGGTCTGCTCCACACCACCTGCGGAAGCCCAAACTACATCGCACCTGAGGTGGGCACTTGGATTCCTAATCTATAGCGCTGGTGGGCGCAAGATCGTACCCCTTTCGCCTTTATTTTTCTCACAGGCTGTGGGTTTCTCTTGGCAAAATGTCGTAGATTCTGGCAAACAGAGGCTACGATGGCGCTGCGTCGGATATCTGGTCTTGCGGCGTGATCTTGTACGTTATTCTCACCGGCTACCTCCCATTTGACGATAGAAACCTCGCCGTCCTCTACCAGAAGGTACACGCCTTGAAAAACGCCTTCATCGTTCATCTCTTCTCGTTGACTCTTAGAAACTGGAAGCCTTCTGCGCGCTGACCTTCGTCCCTGTGGTCTGGTTTTAGATCTTCAAGGGCGAAACCCAGATTCCGAATTGGCTTTCTCCCGGTGCGAGGAGGATGATCCGGAGAATCCTCGATCCCAACCCGAAGACGAGGTTGACCGTCGACGACATCAAGGCCGACGACTGGTTCAAGGAGGGCTACACTCCAGCGGTGCCCGACGAGGACGACGAGGATGCCCACCACGACAGTGATGAATTCTCAGTCAAGGAGGTCAGCTCTCGTCGGCCACCATGCCATTCAAGCAAAAAAAATTGATTGTTCTCTCCTCAATATCTTAGTCATTCATGGTCTTTCATTTGCCGTGTTTGGAAAAGGCCTCCGCCATGGGAGAGCAGGAGAAGGTTCCTTCGTTCATCAACGCCTTCGCCCTGATCGGCATGTCCTCCTCCCTCGACCTCTCCGGGTTCTTCGAGAAGGAGGTGAGCTTCTTCTTCTTCCTCTTCTTCTTCTTCTTCTTCCTCCAGTGGTGTGATGAAGCGGCGGGCGAGCTTACATAACCTGACTGATCTCAGGACGTCTCCGAGAGGAAGATCAGATTCACCTCGAGCTACTCCTCAAAACACATGCTGGAAAAGATCGAGAATATCGTCACGGGAATGGGTTTCCACGTCCGGCGGAGGCATGGCAGGGTAAGAACCGAAGCATTCTCTTCGCGCAGCAGGCCGAGGGTTTCTTTAAAACCCTAGTTGCAAGAACTTATCGTCTCTCTCTCTCCATCTCCTTCAGCTGAAGGTCACTCACCCTGGGAAGGGCTCCAAGACCCACGGCCATCTATCCGTTGCGGCAGAGGTAACATCCTCCTCCTCCTCCTCCTCCTCCTCCTCTGAATCTGCCAGGGAACCGTAAGTTCCGCGACCATCTTACTACTTTGAGTATATTTCAGGTTTTTGAGCTCAGCCCATCTCTCTATGTCGTAGAGCTTAGAAAATCATCCGGCGAACCTTCTTCCTATAGACAGGTACAGCCCCTCTTTCTGGATTGCTCTCACAAAATCAAATCGTGAGCTGACAGCCCCGACCCTCGTCGGTACAGCTCTGCGCGAAGCTCGCCGAGGAGCTTGGCGAGTCCAAGGGCCAGGCTCAGATCTCAGACTTCGGGGGCCATGGCGGGGAATTGTCGGTCTCCGCCTTGTAACGACGACCTTCTCCCGAACTGCTCCCCTTCAAGCCCATCTTCCGCCTCTCTCTCTCTCTCTCGATCTCTCTCGCTCTAATTGTAAGTTATTAGTGAGCGAAGCCGGGGTGTGATGACACGCCGGTTTGGCTCCGCGAGCGGCGGCAGATCCCACTCATGTATTGTCTCCATTTGGGGTGCGCAGTTGGAGGTCAGTAAGTAATCAATCTTTGTTTATTATACCAGAGGCCATGATTGAGACAGAGAGAGAGAGAGAGAGAAACTACGTCTTTGTGCAACACCGACATCTATGGTGCATTTGTTGAAGTAGAAACCATTGCACCATTCCATCTCTCTCACATTCTTAGAGCGAGAGAGAGAGAGAGAGAGAGACCCTATCGTCGGGAAACGCTTTACTCTTACGAGAAGAATAAAAACCCCAACTTCTCCGCGTGATTATCCTCTCTCAACCCGCCAGCAACTCTTGCTTATTTATCTCTCCTTAGTTAAGTAGCAAGAGAGAAACGGGCACCCGTCAGTAGCTCCTCCATATAACGGAGGAGTTGCGCTGAGACGAAATTCCGTCTTTGAGTCCACAAGCAATGAAATCTCCTTGAAGAAGTATGTTTTTAGTTCATTAACACTTGGAACTTGGACCCTTGATTCTTAACTGGGGTGATCTTCAATCCACACATGATCAAATGGATCCCCTCGAATCCACAAGGAAGGTGTCCAAATCCACATGCAAAGTAACAATACAATCTCAAAAAGGGAAGGTTTTCATTTTTTATCGAACCACACCTCTATGACTATACTACATGGCTTTTAAATAGGCTAAGTTTTTCTTAGGACACCCCTTAAAAAGGCAATTCAGTTCTAATGACACCTTAAAACATATTTAAACAATATTTAAATGAATTTAAAATTAATTGAAATCAAGAAAACTAATTTATGATGCATTTCATTATGGGCCAATTCACAAATTAAGTCATCTTGTGCTACGAGTCTAATCTTCATACTTCTTGGACTTTTAGTCTACTAGAGTTAGATTGTGTTTGTTACATTATCTCCCCTACTTCAAAAGAACTAGTCATTGAGTCATCATTTGATTCTAAGAATATTTTTGAACATTAATAATATTAAAGATGAAATATACACTCATTTTTACTTTTTATTTAATAATGTAGTCATTATCAGTATTATTTTTTATCAGATTTTGAAGGATTCATATTTCCTTAGTCCATATTTTGACATACTCAAATGAAGTCTTTCTTTCCTCAATTACATAACTAAATCACCGATTGAAAATTTCCTTACTCCTATTCTTATCACCCAATTGGTTGATAGATGTTTTGTGACACTTTAATGCATGACTTTAATGACTTTTGCTATCTTATTTGCTGCAATACTTATTCCAAACTATTTTGATAAATATATCAAGTCTTGAGAAAGCTTTGAAGGAAAATAATAAATAATGAAAAATAAAAACTAATCAATTTTAAATTTGATCATAAATTTATAGGCAAATTCTACTTGAATTATAATATAATATTATTATCTTGATTTTTTTCCTAAAATACAACAAGTCAGATTGTCAAGTGTCATGTTGACTAATACTTGACTGTCTATTAAGGAGTGACTACTATTACTAAATTTTCAATAAGAATATATTTTTTTAAAATGTATCTAAAAATGTGATTATATTTTAACATGACTTAGTCGTTGTATAGTAAATCACGTAAATTTAAAATTTATAAAACTAAAAAATACTAATTTTTAGATATTTAGAAGTATTTTTGAAAACATATATTAATTATAATTCAATAAAAGTTCCAAAAATAGTGGAAATTTTCCAAGCTGATCATAGAGGTGTAATATAATATCAGATAAGTTTTCAGAATTTTTCTCAAATAATATGAGTTTTTTTAAATTTTAGATTAAAAAATAAAAAAAATAAATTTTATGAAAAATGGAAATAAAGGTGTTGACGTTAGGATGATGTCAGCACCTGATGAATACGAATCAAGTGAAAATATGGTTCCGCCTAACGATTCTTACATAAGTAATTATAGATGATTTAATTGATCAAATTAAGATCTATTAAAATTAGAAGAATCATAATTAAATGAAGAATAGTTTGATAAATTTAAATCACACAAATTATCACTAAATGAAATAAAAATTAAGTTGAAAGTAGGAAAACAAAATTCTGGTGTCGTGGCGGTGATGCGTTGATAATGCACCAAAATCTTGAGCGTTTAGGAGAATTGTCATGTAATGTCCACAGCCTCAAAGGCTCTCCTTAGATAAGGACGATGTGGACAATCTCTAGATTTTCTTGTGAAGTCTAAAGATCAATGAAATAGGTCATCGAATCGTCTCTAGTGGTTGTCACTCGATGGAACGAAAGAACGGTGACTTTGCGGCTCTCCAACAGTTGTCACCCGACGAAGAAGAACTAGATGGAGGTGAGACACGTGTTAGAGAGCTTCATCCTCATGTCCCCGCAACAAGAGGAGCCTTTTTATCGTATTTGGTATGTTCTCAAGAAGCGATGACTCATCTCTTAGCGGATCGTCTTCTTCCTGACGATGGCTTGTTTATTGATCAATCGGAGATATTTTACTCGATAGATTCACGATCTTTTTATCGCAAATTGTTCAGTAATTTTAGTAATAATTTTTTGCGAATCACGTCGACTAGATTTTCGTTGATGATCGAGTGATTAATTTAATCTTTCATCGGCAATATGCAGGAAAGTCACGATTTAATTAGATAAAAATACGAGTTTTGACTCTGTTAAAATTCAAACCCCTATCAGTCGCCCGCCTACATAAGAGAGATTGAAATAAGTACTATAATACTTTTATAAAGTGACGACATCATGGTATATCTCTGTTATAACTAAGAGGTATTTTAAGTATTAAAATAAATAAAATGATTCAAAAGAAAGTGTGATGTGGATTTAGTCTCACATCAGTTGTACGCCGAAGTTTTGGACGAATATATAGTAATAACAGATTTACAAGCAATGAGTCCCTTTCTTGTGTGTACGACCACTCTTTGCCCCACAGTCAGCTAACCACTAGTGACATGGAAGGGGAGTGGCGCACACATGCTCCCATTGGTCCATAGCCACTCGAGCCCCTGCTTGTGGCTTCCCCCGACTATACTTCCGACTTGCTTTTGAGCCCGATTAGCCGATTGATCTCGTCCTTTTTTCTTCATTTATCTCAAAAATAAGACTATAAAAATTATATAAAATCATATAAAATCACATAATTAACCAAAAAATTATATTAATCAACTGAAAATGACTTTTCACAATTTAACATAAATATAAGTCTATTTATCATGAGTTAAGGCTAAAATTATATTATTTATTAATTATTAACTCATGATAATGAAGAGATCATATTTTGATTTGATGTGATTGATTCTAAAATTTTGATTTTGGATACAAATAAACTATTTTTAAAAATAAATTATCTGCTTTTATTACATCATTTGTCTTTCTAAAAATAAATTGTGATATCTTGGAGAACAACCCACAATCACAATAATAAAATCTAGTCTTTTTGAGTACATGATAATCATGAAATAAAATCTATAAATATATTTCCCCATAGTCTTCTTGTAAAATAGGATTATAATATATAACATTGTATTTTAATATTTTCCATTGTTAAAGTTGAAAAATCTAATATCTTCTCATATAATTTTTTATATCCTTCTTCAATTGTAACCAATAATAAAGTTCATGTATTAAATATAGTATTTTATCAGACTCCAAATGTCATCTCAATCCTCCATATAATCTATATATCAATTTCTTATGCAATAACTTGTGGCATACACCACTAATTTTCATGAAAATGAAATATTTTATGTGTATAAAATCTTTTGTTGACTACCTAACTTGAAAGCTTCCCAAATTTTGACAAAATCATCATCATCTTCATATAAGTCACTCATAAATTTTAAACCGGAGATTTCAGCAAAAAGGGCAACATAATTTTCTGTTAAGTGCATTTACAACTTGATTCAATTTTGCCTGATTATATTTGATGGTAAAAGTGAATATTTGAGTTAAGTATAATCATTTGGCATGCATCTTTCATGACATTGATTTGATAGTTAATTGATTTTAACATTCAATGATCATTCAACATGATAAATTCCCATCAAACTACATATATTCTCAAATAAGTTATCTATTTTCTCTTTCTATTATGAGTTTTTCACTATAAAATGAAATTGGACAGCCTTTTTGGGGTACAATAACGCATACTCGTATAATTGATGTATCACGTTCTATCTTAAATAATTTTCAAAATTTTGATAGTGTTAATACATGGATAGAATATATTTTTTTCTTTAGCAAGAGTAAAACTTTTAAATGCTTCTTCTGTCCAAATTAAAATTTCGTTTTTAAAAAATTATGTAATTGATGCAATAATGAAGCTATACTTTTTTTATAAATATGTGGTAAAAATTATTAATTCATCAAAATTAACACTAATAAAATTTTCTTTGATATGTGGATGTTATTAAGAATTAACTAATCTTTGATAATTCATACATTTTCTTCATCAACATTAATGACATCTACATTAATTTTAACAAAAGTACTTATATATATATTAATAACATAATTGATAGTTATAAAGTTACATTTATTTATATTTTTTTATAACTCATTGTACTCTAAATTTGTTAACAAGAATCCAATTGAATGATATGTTCATCTTAAGTGGAATGTAAAGTAGAATTGTCATCAAAATAAACAATGAAAAAATTCTTAATAAATAATTTTAACATGTGATTCATTATTTTAATGTGTGTTAGGACCATCTGCTAAACCAAATTGTACTACTTATCATTTATAAAGTTCTATTTTTATCTTCAAAATTATTTTCTATTCATCACATAAATGAATTCTGATTTGATGGTAGTGATTTTTCAAATCAACCTTAGAGAAAATATTCGAGTCATATGGTATGTCAAGTATATCATCTAATCTATGAATTAGAAATATGTATTTAATATAAATCTCATTAATGGCTTCACTATCTACACATATACAACAACTTTCATCTTTTTTTAAACTAGCAATACAATAATTGAGCACAAACTCATGTTACCTCTGATTAGTATTTTCTCTAGTAATATTTCACCAATGATATCAATATAAGGTTGAATATCCCTCAAAAAAGGAAGGTGATTTGGTGAGTCATGGATAAGAATAAAATCAGTTAATACTTTTTGAATTGCCTAGGTATACATTATTGATATTTAAAAGTATACTTCATATTTTCACCAATGTAAATAATTTTGATATTTCATTTAGTTGCTAAAGAGTTAATTTCTATCAATTAATATTACCTCCCTTTTCTCAATCATGACATTCAAAACGTCAATTGTATTTTATTGAGCATAAAATAAATTTATCACCATTTCTATAACATACACAATTATTATTTATATACTAATGAGTGGCATCAACATCAAATTACCACAATATGCCAAATATAAGGTGGCATACATCCATAACAGCCATATCATCTTGAAATTTTTCAAAGTATGTTTCTCCAATTGAAATTTTTACTAGACAAGTATTTAATTCTTTGTTTCTAAATATTTTTAATCCAATCAATCTTGTGTAGATGTTGAAAATTTCCTATTTTCAATCTTAATTTTTATACTATAAGTAATGAAATTATATATCTTTGCTACTACTATGAATGATTGTAATGTCACCTATTAAGATCTCAAAAAAGGAAATACTTTTTAAAATATTAAGTAATGTCTCTAGAACTACAATGTGGGTTTTTAAATACATCAAGTTTATATTAAGATACCCTTAAGAAGGAAAATATAGTTAAAATGAGAACTTAAAATAGATTTAAAACATGTTTAAACAAATTAAAAGGTGAACTAATTATGAAAAAATAAATTAAGAGCAAGACAGCTAATTTACAATGCATTTTATTATCGACCTGATCAAGTATTAGGTCATCTCATGCCAGTAGTCTAGTTGTCACACTTCCTAGAATTCTAGTACACTAGAGTTGAATTTGTGGGTGTGCTACATCACCATGCATCTCCAACCAATGCATCGGCCATCTACTACTGTTGGTCATCACTTTGATCACTACCCATGCTCAGCCCTCTCACATAGTTGTCAACCATGAACATTGTTTGCAATAGAGGCACTTCATCCACCATGCCATATATAAATGACACTACCTCAAACGATGCCACAACTAGCAAACTAGTGGACCACCAACTAGTGGTAATGAGCTAAACGTGTTGTGGCCTATTACAGCGCCTCTAGGATAAGCATATAAACCCTAGATCTTTGTCATTAGTTGTGGATTGAGATTTCAATGAGAACTTGACTGGATGGATGATCACAACTTTCCAAGTCAAACATTATGCCATGACACTATCTCAAAGAACTTGTTAAATGGCAAGGGATTGAGGCTCAAAGGAAGGACTCCACGTCAAAGGTGTTGGCCAAGGTTTTTAGCTATATTGAGTTAAAAATCTTAATTTTCGAAAACTTGGATATGATTATCAATTGGGTGGGTTACTGGTCTTTCCTAACAGCGGCAAAAGCAGATTGGCGACTAGTCAACGCCCACTATTGTTTTATGAAAGTTGACTTTTATATTTGTGTCAAATCACCTTGAAATCTTGAATTACCAAGCTTTCTAATGAAGTTGGATTAAAAATCTTGAGTTAAACATGGTTTGACAATCGGTAGTGAGTTACCGCTCTTTTCTAACAACATGATGCTCTAATTAAAATTTGACTTTTGTCTACAAAGCTTGGTCAGTCACCTTGAAATCCTCATTGACGAGCTTTCTAGCCACGTATGTTGGATTATAAATCTTAATCGTAAAAGGCACGGTTTTTCCCATCAGCTGGGTGGACTAGTGCTATTTCCTTATAGCGGCAGGGGGGGAGCCGACTAGTCGATACCCATGATGTTATAATTTAAAAGTTGACTTCTGGGAGAACTAGTAGTGTGGGGCTTGGGGCGGCGGAGGAGGCGCATGCCTACCACTGTTGGCTCGTGGCCGGCGTGGGGACCCGACAGCGACGTCCATCGACCGCCGTCATCCGAAAGGAAGGGAATTTTTTAAGATGGCTCTCCACCTTCCCCTGCATTATCCTCTTTACATTAGTTTTTAGTTATCTCATAAAAGTCCTCATAGTTGTGTGATTGACGAAGACGGGTACTCTATACGACGGTTTGTATAAATATCAGAATATGAGGGTATAACCGCAAGTTACAAACTTTGGGAGAATCTTATAAAAATATCCTGGTAAAGCCAAAGTAGAATGCCGCCCCCCCCCCCCACAAGATTTATTGGTCTCAGACGGTTCCCCACGTCCTGAATCGCTCCCTCTCTCTCTCTCTCTCTCTCTCTCTCTCTCTCTCCCTGTGATGGGTAGCACTATCCTGCGCCAGTTTCGTCCCCGCTAGCTTGCGCCACCGCAGCTCCGCCGCCTGAACGGGGGAGCGGCGACGCTCTTAGAGCTCCAAGGTTGGTCAGTGGGGGCCTCTTTGGGGAGGAGGATTAGGGCTTTGTCCGCTGAGAGATGTGGGATGCTCGTTGCGGCCTTTATGAGATTGCTGTCCCTGTGCTGGAGTCCGGTGGATGCGAGCGATGGCGGCGGCGGCGAAGATGATGGCGGAGCGGGGAGGGAGCGGAGCGATGGCCTTCTGCGGTATCGGGACATCGGGCAGTACGGCTTTGGGGATTTCTCTATGGCCGTGGTGCAGGGGAACCAGGTCATGGAGGACCAGTGCCGGATCGAATCGGGGCCATTCGGGACCTTCGTCGGGGTTTACGACGGGCACGGGGGGCCCGAGGCCGCGCGGTACGCGTGCGACCATCTCCACTCTAATTTCCGTGGTAAGTCGTCGGAAGAGGAGCCTGCTCTCCGATTCAGTGTAATATTTTTTTGGAGCCTGGGTAGTAATATTTTGATTTCTCGCATTAATACTTTTTTCACTTCAATTTTTGGATTCATTCTTGTGGGTTCACCATGAAGGAAGGCTTTTATTATTGGGATAATTAATCCATTTTCTCGTCTTTCCCTCTTGTAATCTGCATCTACTTTTTTCACTTATGCCCGAGTAATTCATCTATTTGAACTTGATGAGATCTAAATGGTTGTTTCATCTTTTCTGAACGGAATTTTGATTTTTCTCCATAGACTCTGGTGAATTCATATTTTGCATTTTCATTCGAAAGGTGGAAGTAATCATCGTGGTAAATTTTCATTTGTAATGCCGATCGAAGTTGTGTTGTTCAGCACTCGGAAGAAGGCTGGAGTGGTAAGGAAGATGATTCAATCTTGGTAAAAGATAAATAAATAAATAGGGAATATTTATGATAGAAATAATTGAAAATAATTATGGTTGAATGAATTGATCTGTATCATCCTCCAAATCGAAGAATTTTTCCAACTGCCATCTAAGCGAAGGAGAGTAACACAGATAGTCACTGAGGTTTCCAAGAGAAGGTCTGTATTTTATTGGAGGTTCGTAACTTTTGGCTGTATTCGTCATGACTCAATTACCCTGTCAAAAAGGTGTGGTGATCACACGGGCCCCTGGATATGGTTGTTGATCGTAGTTGCACTCATGGTAATTGCTACCGTTGTGTTTCGTTTTGTATTATCATTCCTTTGGAGGCATCTCATTTGAATGTGACCAAGTGCGTGTTTAACTACAGTTATGTTTTCAATCTAGGAGATGCTAATTTATTTCACTTGGTTTCCTACGTTAGTTTTTTACATAGAAGGGAGAAATTATAGTCCCTTTAAGCTGGTAAGCTTCGATTTGTGCAGAGGTTTCTTCTGGTCCAGTGGGTGTGACACCTGAAAGCATCGAGAGAGCGTTTCTGCAAACAGAGGAGGGTTTTATAGCCCTTGTTTCTGAGCTGTGGGACTCTCAGCCTGATATAGCTACTCAAGGTTCGTGTTGTCTTGTTGGCATAATCTGTCAGCAGACTCTTTATGTGGCAAACCTGGGAGACTCTCGTGTTGTTCTGGGTAAAAGAGTTGGCAATACAGGTGAAATTGCTGCCATACAACTGTCTACTGAGCACAATGTTAATGTTGAGGCTGCAAGACAGGAGCTGAAGGCACAACACCCAAATGATCCACAGATTGTGATGCTCAGACATGGGGTTTGGAGGGTTAAAGGCATTATTCAGGTGTCCACTTGTACTCTTGCTCTCTTGTTGGAACTAAGAAATAATTCTCCTCACCATATTTATGAACGTATAATTTTTTTCTTGAAAGATGTGGGCATTCGCAACATCCTGAAATATGTCCTGGGTTGTTATTTTCTCGTGATTAAGCTGTGTTTAGTTTTATTTAGCACTGCATCTTACTCTCTTATCTGATATCAGAACGAATGGATTATATGGCTATGCACTTTGTTTTTGACATTAAGAAGAATCGAATGATGTTTCTTTGCTTTTAAATCCTCTTTCAGTTATTGATTATGTCTGTATTAAAAATCCTTGATGACTGTTGATTCAATTCACCTTCTTTTTCTATAATCAATTTCATTTTATCTTCATCTAATTCTTTTTCTACGCTGAACCTTTTTTTTCTTCTTGGTTTGTTCCTTCTTTTTCATTCTGACTTGCCTTTCTCAGTAATGCTTTTGATTCAAGCCATTGCTCTAAAAGAGTCACCTGGAACAGGGGTATCCGCCTTAGACTGCCAAATTAAATGCATTAGGATTTTCTATTTGCATGAAAAAGTTCTAGGGAATCTAATGCCACAGTTATTCACATTTGGGCAGTTGCATCTTGCATTCTGACTGTTTTCTAAGACAAGCATCTGTGAAATCTTCAAGAGTATCTATTCCTATTTTGAGAACTACAAGATCAAGAGAGAAACCAATACTAGTGACGTGAAAAAAACACATATGCGCTTTGTAGCTGCTCAGACCAATTCAACTGCTGTAGATTGCGGTGGTGTTCCCAGTGTTTATGCTTTCCCATTTGGAGGCAGGAAGCCCGTTTTTAATGAATGAATGAACACCTTTGAGATCATTTCGATTATCGAAGCAAGATTTCCCCTCCAGAAATCCAACTAAGCTTTTGGATCCGGTTCCTATAAAGAATTCGGCTATGGTATCCCACTTCCAGTTCATTGGAGTGGCTAAGAGTTCATCCATTCATTAATTGCGTTCCCTGGCTCATCTTGACACCCGGCATATATTATTGCCTCGATCTTGGAACTAAACTTGGTCTTACAGTTGGTGCTGTTGGAAAGAAAAGTTATGCCTATGCTCCATTTAAGCAAAAACAACTTACAGCAAACAAAACTGCACAAAGCTAGGTTTTGAAACTATAGGAAAATGAGCCAGGTATGTTGGGTCGACACCTCCCTTCCCCACAAACTTGACTTGCAAGTTTCCCTGCGAAAACTTTTCCATGCCTAATCTTATAAAGAGCACTATTCTCCTTTAGTTAGGTGGTTGTCCCCTCTCTCAGAGGCTGTAAGGCACTGGTGGAATCGAAGGCCCGCTTACAAAATAGGCTACAGGAGATCGTTTCTCACCCAGCACTACCTCCGTCAGTAGAGCTGAAACCAAAAAAGACCTGTTTCCACACACATGAGACATGCAGAAGGTATGGGACGACCAATTCACCACAGAAAGCGAATTCAATCCTCTTCTTCTGTTCAATAAATGGAGTGGAAAGGGAGGCGGGTCAGGTCGGCGAAGTTGTATGCATATCAAGAATGATTTTTCACCTATCCTGTAAGGGATGATTCTCGACTATAGATTCCCTATGCTCATGTGAACGGCTGAGGATGTCAGGCCCATTGATCTAAAAGGAAACCCTTTTAGAAAAGAGCGATATGCACATCTTTATCTATTATTTCAGTCTTCTAGACAACTTAATAAATGGAGTTACAAACCCCTCACTGCTCTCACCATATCTAAACCGATTCTTCTTCTATGTCAAGGGAGAACGAAACACCTGGTAAACACCATTATCTTCCCATTTCTTGGTGAAGATAAGTGTGCGATCAGAGATGGGGTGAGGATCTTGATGTGTTTTCTGCTGTTTTAGTGAATGTGGATACTGCCATTCGATCCTTGGAGTAAGGAGGTTATTTCTTGGTCGAGCTTTTAGGATAGGGTGGATGTTCTTGACCTTATTGGATACCCACTTCACGAGGTGGGTATCCAAACTGCGGATGTTTCAGCTGAGGTGGAACTACGTTCCCTGGTTGCATGTGATTGGCAGTGGAACAGATACTGCGGATGCTTAGGGGAGCCAAGGCACTCATACCCTCAGTGATGGAGAAATACAATACCCACTTCACGAGCATTGGTGGTAGCTAGAAGTTGCAATGGGATTTTAGATATATTATCATTATATATTTCCTGAGGTGTATATATCTCGTACTAAGGCTTTTATTTTGTATTAATTTACCAGATATTTAATATATTTAATTTTCAAAAATATTCCTTTATATTGATTTTTTTAATGCTATATTTAATTTGAATGTTTATATGTCTGATTCCTCCGCTATCTAGATAAATCTGAACATTTATCTAGACAGATATGTATGCTATTATCTTATTCGTCGTTCTTTAAAAGGATATCTAAAACTAGTTCTCACCTAGATGTTATTGATAGGACCCTGGTCCTGGACAGGAGCGGGCAACAGAAATATGGAAATAGAAAAGGGATAGTTGAAGATTAACCGTAGGAAATATAGCTAGGCCCCAAAGAACCCCAGAGTGATGGGGACGTTCCCCTGCTCCCCCCCAGCCGCAGCTGCCCAAGAATACTCCTCGATGTCCTCTTTCCCCCTCTAACCTGAGCCTTAATACCTCTTTCCCTCTTATTGAGAAAGGACCTAGCTGCTCCCCCTCCCTAAGTCCTCACCTAAAGGGGGCTGTTTTGTCCCTTCGAGTCCCCTTTGGGTGCCCCTCTTCTAGCGTATTGTAAGTTAGGCCCATTGGGGATCCTCACAGTTGTCTAGTACCTCACCTTTCTGCCTGGGCAGTAATATTTTAACCTTCGGTGAAGAAGCTTGGTGCTTGGTCTCTATTCTGTGCTAAAAGTTCTTTTTTACAGTCCCCCTCCGATTAATTGGTAGCCAATTCCAATAAGCTTGGTCCAGTCATGTTGAAGTGGATTTTATGCAATGTTCATTCCTGCCTTGTCTGTTTTAGAGGCTCTACTTTTTTACCTCAATGTCTTCGTCCTTGGGAAGCATTCTCAACCAAAACATTCAATCACCCTCATTTTCATAAGGCTCTATGCTTCAGTTTCACGCCATATCAGGCGGCACAAGTGGCCTGCTCTTTTTACTTTATTTCATAAAACTTGTTTTCTCTATGGTGTAGCTGTTCTATATCTCCTGTAATCTTGGGAACTTACCCGCTGTGTCTGAGGAGACTCACTAGTCCTTAAACATCAGTGGTAAAAGTACTAAAGACACTTGCCGAGAGCATTTTTGATGTTCGTCCTTATCCGATTTGTAGGTAACAGTGGTTCCCCAGAGCATGATGCATAAATCACGTTACGATCGATATTTAGAATGAATGCTCTACTTCTTGAGTCATAAAATGAGAAGCCAATGAACCTTGGTCAGAAAATAATTGCATTTTTTTGGTGTTTTGCAATAGAGTAAGATTTGGGCTTCTCTCGGTCTTCCAGTCAGGGTTGCAGACATCATATATATAACAGAGTTTGGGCTGGCTGTGTGGAATGTGCAGGTTTCCAGATCTCTGGGCGACGCTTATATGAAGCAGGCCGAGTACAACAGGGAGCCCATAAATCAAAAGTTCAGGATTTCTGAGCCGATGAACATGCCGATCCTCTCTTCTAGGCCGAGTATCATATCCCATTCTCTTCAGAAGAACGATTCTTTTCTGATCTTCGCCTCCGATGGTTTGTGGGAGCACCTGAGCAATGAGAAGGCGGTCGACATCATTCACAATCATCCTCGCCTGGTGGGGTTCCTTTTTTTTTTTTTTTCCTTTTTTTTTTTTTGTAAAGAAACTCTCACAATTATGTATTTATTCATTCCATTCATTCATTCATTCATTCACGCTGGCCGGTCGACGACTTGCTTTTTCCTGGTCGCAGGGGAGTGCGAGGAGGCTGGTGAAGGCTGCTCTCCAGGAGGCGGCTAGAAAGCGCGAGATGAGATACTCGGATCTGCGGCGGATTGACCGGAAGGTTCGACGCCACTTCCATGATGACATAACGGCGATTGTTTTATTCTTGAATCACAATCTTATCGCCAGCGGGCTGGTCCAAGGCCCTGCGCTGTCTATCCGAAGCTCATTGGAGCACTGACCCACCTTGGCTTTCGCGCTTCTTTCTTCTACCTTATAATATATATAGATATATTTAACACTGCCCCATGAATGAACGAGGAAATAAATGATTGTTGCACCACGTGGGTGGGGAATTCCTTGAGGCCCACCGGTACTTGTGCCTTGGAACGAGCTTATGCTGCCCGGAGGCGGAGGTATTAACTCAACACCCAGCTGGGGAGCACACACTTGTTTCTTTCTTTCTTTCTTTCTTTCTTTCTTTCTTTCTTTCTTTCTTTCTTTCTTTCTGGGAGAGAGGAGTGAGACTGCTAGCTACCATTGGGTTCTCTGATGGGGAGGGGAGATATGCTGATGCATCCATCCTCAACGCCGGTGGGGTGGGTCTCAACTATACGTTGATAAAATAAAACCCAGAGACAGATTCCTGAAGAAGAAACCTTGCTTCATTCATTTGTTTGCTCTTGATAAGATCTTGGTTGATCGTCGAAGCTCTCTGGAGAATAATGGGGATGGGGGGATTCTTCTGCGAGAGCGAAAAGCCCTTAATGGGCTTCTCGCTCCTGTCCATCCGATTATTGGAGGCCCAGCAACATGCAGGAGCTCTTATTGGAGGCCCAGAAACACGGAGTCCATGGCCCATCTGGTAACAACGAGTTGGGTTTCTAATGGGCGTTAGAGAACCATCCATATAATAAGCCGCTAGCATACTTTTACAAAATTTAGATTAGCACAAGAGAAAAATAAATAAATAAATAAAAATATATTATTAATTTTTTTTAATTTTTTTGGGGAGGATCCCATCGGCTACGTTGACCAGACACCTGAGATTTCATATGACAAACATCCTACAAGGATTTGCCACAGAAAACCCCCCCAATTTGATGCCCGGATGGAGCACATGACATCCAATAAAAAAAAATGACTATTCCGAAGAAGAAGATTAAAAAACATTTTTGCGGGATAAAAATAAAATAAAATCAGTGAACGGGCAAAAATTTTCTCCAAGTAGCTCGAGCCGAGATGTTGGAGCTTTGACTTGATGCATGTCCTATAAGATCAGATCGGAGGGTGGGTGGTGCTCTGGTTCACTCCACAACCTGGAATTCATTTCAAATCCAGTTAGGTACCGACTTTGGCAAAGATCGAAGATCACATACAATATTGAAAAACATTTATATATATATAAATAATTGGCCCCTGGCGTCGACCTCTGGATGAGATTTTCTTTCCAGTTGGGATTCATACAGTTCTTCCAGATAATAATAATAATAAATAATAGATAATAATAATAATAATAATAATAATATAAAGAAGAAGAAGCGGCCGTTCCACAGAAACAAAGAGATTAATTGCTTGCTAGACGACATAGTAGAGATTAACCATGAGTAGTGATTGTGAAACTAGGAAAAAAACAGGAAGAATCTATCTATATATATAACCAGAGATAAGAAGATTATATATAACCACGAGGCGCAACCTGACGAAGATCGATGGCGAGTGATGAGCGATCGCGAAACTAGAAGGATTCAGATGCACGGACCTTGGGGATGGAGCCGCCGCTGTGGTGTAGGAAGCTCCACGGGCCTGTCCTCCATTGCAGTCTGCAAGACAAAGAAACAACAAGATGATGATGACCAAACTGATCAAATATTCAGATCAAATTATGTATATAAGAGAAAAATAAAGGAAAATCTATGCATGAAAGCTTCTTGGCCCAGCTCCCCGGCCAGCTTTGTATCCGCAATGAGGCTAGGATAAATACGCACGCCCAATCATAATATGGTCTTGGAAAATTAGTTGAGAAATAAATTTATTTTTTTTTGAAAAAAAGAGCTCCAAAAGAACACTAAAGGAGAACAAAAAATTCCCTTCACACTAAAAAGGGAGCATCCCCCAACGGGTTTCTTCTCTCTCTCTCTCTCTCTCTCTCTCTCTCTCTCTCTCTCTCTCTCTCTCTCTCTAGGGGCGCGCATGAGAATAAATTATGAACAAACCATTGAGTATATAAGATATTTATTTTACTCGCTCTCTGATTTAAAATTATTTTTTATTTGTTAAAAAAAATAATATTTCTAGCCATTATTCTATGCAGACCAACTGTTCTTCCCACAGTGTGTGCGCCTAAGAAAATAGCAATCCTGGGATCCCCCCATCTGAAATCCTCGTGAGAAATCAGAAGATCAATCCGATTCAAAGTAAAGCGGGTGCTTTTCTAACTTAAATTATGAATGAGCTTCCGGTTAATTTAAGAAATTTACTCACAGGTAAAGTAAAGCAGGTGCCTTTTTTTTTACCTTAGAAAACCTGCGGTCATTCGCAGGCTCATGAAGAGAGTCAACCCAAACCAAACTCCTCGAAGGCCAAATATAGAAGGGGCATAAAGCAAAGCTAGAGACGATATCGCTCCAATTACCATCTGCGTTATTTTTTTGGCAAAACAAATAGAAGAAGAGTTCAGGGGAACAAGTCTGGAGATAAAAATCAGAAAGAGCATGGGGGGGGGGGAGTAAAAATATAATTATTGATAATCAGGGGTGGAAAAAAGGTCGCTCTGCCTTACTTACCATGGATAAAGCTGAATACGAGAAATCAGAGACACCAAAGTGAAGCCCATCAAAAATAAAAGCCAGAGCATTAATCGGTTGGCTTGCACTCACAAACTGTAACAAAATTAATAAAGCAACAGATGAGACGTATAAAAAAAAAAAAAGGAAGGGGGGGGGATAAAAAAAAAAAAACCCTGGCGTCTGACCTACTAGAAATACATACCAGCAAACCCGTAGCAACAATTCTCTGCACTTCGATATCTGTTGTGAATACTTTGGCCATAGAACCGAAGGATGCACCCAGGATGACAGCCAAAGCAATTCCCGCAAGAACTCCTACCTACATGAGTTAATGGGCAGGAAATTTTTCTCAAGGGGAGGAAAAAAAAAAAAAAAAAAAAAAAGGTCCTCTAATAATGAAGAGCGTGGGGAGGAGGAGGAATGGTCACCATGGAGAGAATGATATATATATTCCACTGAATGAATGATAATACAAGGGACAATGGTTCTAGAGTATCATTTGACACTCACCTTTAGCACATAGTTGGCAATCCCTTTCACCCTTTCATAATCACGTTTCGCAAAAGAACTAGCAATCAGTGCCTAAACACAAAAAAATCTCACTTCATCAGTCGAAATGAAACAAATGATGTCCATAATAGTCAGGAACGCGATCCTACTACCATACAGTAGCAGGGAAAAAATAAATAAACGAGATGAACCACGAGTTAATAGGGCAACATCCGCATAATTCTCAATCAAAGAAACACTAAACATCATGGACCCACCACAATACAAAAAAGGAAATTATTTCTTTTCAAGATGAAACACTTTACTATTGCAAAACGATTGGAGCATACAATGCGTAACTAGAGACAAACATATGCATAAAAATCTTCTTTGCTCCTCGTACAACAAGTTGAATAAATACAACATTATGATTAACTTATTCCTATTAAAAAAATAATGACACATTGGTAACTACAAAATAGTAAAATCAAAAAAATGAACCTAGTTCACGTGTTGTCAATTAATTTTGAACTGGATCATCAGATAGTTTTAAAATAATATCAGAGCCAAGCAGATCGTGCTCTAAGGTTTCTCTGTACACATGAACCAAAGTAGCTTCGCATATGAGGGGGGCAAAAAGTATTCTCGTATTGGTTACCGCAAAAGGTAAATAGTTGATAGTGATTGGTTGACCTATTCCACCTGTGGCCTACATAAATACATATATATGTAGAGAGAAGGAGAGAGAGAGAGAGAGAGAGAGAGAGAAGCGCGGCCAATCATGCCTTTTAACACAGATTACTTCAGCAGTTTCATCGCCAGCCTCTTCCTCTACAAGGACGTCAGTGGTTATCGACTCTAATTACGTTCGTTTTTTTTCTTAGGAGTCCTTATTTTAGTCTAGAATATTTGATCTAAATCTAGACCTTTCATTGAGCCAAAAGTTCTTTCTTTTGTTCAATTTGACTAGATCTTGAATGTATTGTGACACAGAAATCAAATTAGCGTAATTGTAGATAACCTTCAACAATCTGCCTTTGTCATGATGTTATCAAAAATGAACTTCTGTGGAAGATATAGGAAAACAGAAACCAGGGGAGAGAATGAATATCATTCACTCCCTGTCAAAATCACAAAAAATATGAGGGAACATGGAACTACATTGGTTTTATCTTTTTAATTCTTATAACCACCCTCCATGGCCATGCTTTTACTGGAGTATTTCAAGGAAAAAGGTAACAGACGCATCGAAGACCATCAAATCTGATACCAATCTGGAATTGGGACACTCCACAAGGAACAGGTCAACTTCAAAACTTATCTGTTAAGAACACGGATGAATTAAGTCATTTATTTATTATGTTCCCTTGACACAGCATCATGTTGAGGATCTAACATCCAATTCCCACTCGCTTCTTCCCTTCAACCCACAAAACCACAGGATTGTTAGTATCAGGGAGTTCATGCCAGTCCTGTAAGCAGCATGACCTATTGCACCTTTCAATGTTGACAATGACTTTAGACTATAACAGAAAAAGCCTGTGCCATCTGCCACCAAGGGATAATTCCTATTGCCAAAATTCACGAATATCTCGCTACTTAAACGTGACCGAGATGATTCTCATTAAAATTATGAAAAAAGAGCACAAGAACAATATAAATGTTGTCAACAACCATACTAACACCGTACGCGGGTTCAACTCAACTAAATACAGATATTCATAGTAAGGTGCCAGCCCCAAGAAATTAGTTAATATGATTTATAAAATTAGGTGGTTAAAAAAAAAAACACGAAAAGCCGCGGAACCTGTTTAAAAAAGAAAAGCCTCGACTCTGCAGTCGAGCACAATCCAAAGAGGCATATGTTTCACCCAGAATGAGAACATCTACTTAATGGAATCAAGTCAAGTCATATTGTCGAAGCACCAAACAAAAGGTAAGCAATCATAAAAGCACGCATCGTGATGTCCAAATAAAATACAAATGCAACTTATTTTCGAAAGTAAATGAAGACGGCATAAAAAACATCACTTAAAGAGAATGAATATCGTGGGTACCTGGGCAGACAAAGCCAATGCATCAGAAAGGAGAGAGACAGCCAGCCACACTTGGAGACAAATCTGATGAGCAGCCATAGCCATTGAACCCTGGCGGGCAGCCATAGATGTTGCCAGAGTCATTGTGAATAGGACTGAAAGAGTTCTTCCTAGAAGAAGTCCACCTAACACGAGAGCAAACTAATTAACATTATAAAATTAAATATATTAAATAATATGACATAAATTATGGAAAATATGGAAAATAAGTTTCACTGTGAAATCGTTTCTGTAATTGTTGATTACTGAGACTGTTTTATTGCCAACAGCAGTGATGTTGATTTGCTGAACAAAAAGAAAACTTCCTATTCATGTGATTTCAGAAATGCTGTAAATCTTAAATTTAAGGCAGGGTAAAAGTTTGTGAGAGGGAAGAAACAGGAGAAAGCAATCACCCTTTGGAAGGTATTGCTGGCATAAGATGCTACAGTGGACATTGCACAGACTGTGACTCGAGCTAATGATTTTTGGGCTTTAGGGCACATCATGAAATAAAGAAAAAAAATAATAAAAGAGTAAAGGATAGAAAGGGCATGAAAAAATTGTGGGGATGAAAGGTTTCTCATAAAAAGTCATCTTTTTTGCATGAAAGGTCTTCTGATGTTCCATCTTGTATTTGCTAACCTCAAAATTTTGTGGGTTGCTATTATAGGAAGACGCATCCTCTGCCAAGCATCAACAAAACCGTTGATCGAATGAACATTGTTGGCTACAGTATTCAGCATCCAACCAGGTGTTTTAATGATGGAATAGCATATTTCCTGAACCTAAGCACCTCCCATTTTGTGGATCATCATAGTTGAACAAAAAAAACAGAGATGTAGACAATAATTCCTCGCCATATTTCTCATCATTTCTAGAGTTATCTCAACGGGGAACTTTACATGGTCAAACACCCGCCAAGATAACAATCTACACAAAGTGGAGGAACTTTCTTCTTGTTGTGGCATCTGATTTACATTACTGGTTGATCAGAGGACTTTTTGGGATACCTGACAGTTGGCAACCAACCTGGAACACCCTGAGGATTGTTTCTACCTTACGTTATTTCCGGTACTTACTGCACTGTTTAATCTATCATTTTCATTTATGAATCAAATTTAAAGAAAAAGAAAAAAATTCTAAATGGTACAAAAAAAATCACATTGAGCCTCCTAATTTTATTTCTACAACATAACAATATATTCAATAGTATGGGGGAATTTAAAAAGAGAAACTTCACATTGAGTTCTAACTCTGTTTTATTTCACTTAATGTATTCTCAATATAAGAATATATGAAATAGGGGTACCACATTGACAAACTCATAATACAGATTTCATTAATATCTTCACCACGCACGTTCAACCGGCATAGCTAGGTTTCTGATTGAATATTTAAGATGATGATCATATCAAAGCGAAGTGAAAGTCCATGAAAAGGGGTAAAAAATTATATCAGCATGTGATAATCGAAAATCGAAACCAACCAGACTTTATGTAACCACGAAAGTCAAGCTCTAAAATCTTGGGTGGTAGCAGAACAGCTCTTCTGCTTAGACGCCAGACAAGTAGAAATGTAGCAATGTACCTGAGAAATGCAAAGAAAATTCATAACATATTTATGCGTGAATATACAATATAAAAAACCTCTATTACTTGTGCAGTCAGAGAGAGTGATAGCAATGACTTTACAAAATTCCACTTCAAAGTACTTTTCTTGTTTAACATAGAAAGATAGATGTTGGCTGAACATACAAAGGAATCGGTGATTCTTTTCAAAAGTAAGGTCGCAGTTTCTGTAACTATCTGATTGACAATGGGAAAATACATTTTTTATGCCTTTATTTGTTTTGCACAGCTCCAACAGCCAAATAACAATCGACTGGGTGAGAACGATTCACAAGATTTCACAGTTATTGGAAATTTAATCCCTTGAAAATGGAGACAAAGAAAACTCTGGATCAACCTGTCAAAATCGCGTCTCCTTCGGGAACGATATCACAGAACATCCAGTGATGGAGGTAAAGGTAAAGGGTAAAGGTAGTCAATTAATGCAAACATCCAGTGTTCAGAAACTGATCTCCAATCTGAATGTCTGATGTGGGCAGAAAAATCATGGCTTAGAATATATGGAAACTCAGTAGGATGCCATCAAATAATCGTAAATACTTCCAAAAAAAATTAACTATTTATTGGAATAAATTTCAGAAGCATCCTCTGTTTTCCGACATCATATGAGATTCTAAAATCCTCATGTCTTTCAAATTGTCAATGAAAGCAAGTCACATATGGTGTCTTTCAGGATGTAGTACGTGTGTAACGTAGATATGAATGCGTATAGGTAAATACTGAATTCAAAATTGCCCACCATCAAGTGACATCTGATTATGAATATCATCCAATTTCATTTGAAAAGGGGTTTGCCCAATCAACCTTCAAATTAAAACATGTATATATATATATATATATATGGCGGTCATATGTCCCCCAAAATCAGTCAGCTAATCAGTAGAAGGATGAAGAAATCTAGTTGATGGGAGAAGGGGTCAAGAAAGAATTATATATTTTGAAGGAATGAGGAGGAAGAGAAGACATCAAATGAGGAAAGAGGAAGAACAGGGAACAGGGATAATAAATAAAAGGAAAAATACTCACCAGTCACTTGACACTACCCACCACATACCTTGATCCCAAAGCTAAACACAACCCGCTCATTCAAGCAGAATAGTGCACTGAGACTGGGCTGAGATGATTTTCAAGAGGTTGTCTGCTAAGAGTCCAGGTACAATTTTTTTAAACTTAAAAATATATTTTATTCAAAGAAATTATGTGTACAATTTTTTCCTCAGTAAACAAATGCCATGTGAATTTCATTTTCACCCAAATTAAACTTTCCTCTGGTCCAGCACAGATCAGACGAGGCAAAAATCAAGGAATCCATCAGGAAACATTCTGCACCAGGTCTTTAATCAGTAAAATAGCGAGAAAATGTCAATATCCTCATCTTGGCCATCGCCCGTTTTCTCTGTGGAAGGTAAGCCAATCCAAGTCGACTACATGGCAGAACGAACTCCATGCCTGGAAGATACCGCACAATGCCTCGGCATATGTATTCACAAGAATACACACAAGACAGAGGGGAGAAGCCCTTACATAAGTAAAAGTTTCTCCACAGTACAAGAAAAATATACAATGAAACTCGGAAGCCAGCTTAACCGCTGGTCTTACCAATGCCATAACAAAGGACCACAGATAGCCTCTCAAGATACAGACTGCCATTCCAACACTTATTTGGAAATTTTGGCCAAAGGATAAGGTGTCATGTTTATAGCCTGGAAGTCGCATCCTAACTGCCTCACGATCATGCTACTGGCCGCATGCTATGTTTACCAATTCGCTGTATGAACTTCACACGCATTCCACTCTGGCCATACTCTTACGTCCTCCATAGTATTAAACAAGCCTAAACATCTCTCATGCATGGTGGGCTGCTTCGAAGTGATTGAAAACCTTTATATACCATCTCCTTGGCCTCACCTCCAATGAATGAACCTAAAAGATTCTACAACATGCCAGAAGCCTTTATACAGCCCCAATCAGCCCACTGTGGCCTGCCCACATCCACACCATGCAGGATGTTTCTGATGTAAAGGCCACTCTCATACATACTGGCTTTCTTTCGTATTGTCCAGAACTTTGAGCGTTCTAAATTCAAGTCGTCTTCACCATTGGACGGATCCTTCAGATTCTGGAAACTTTAGTTAAGCTGTTGCGCATCCTATATGAGTATTCACTCTGCTATTTATCCCATTATGATATACACGTGGCCAGGACAACCAGCGCCACGCATGCTACCTACCCCACGGCCATCCTAGTAGGTCTATGCATCATGACAAGAGTGGGAGTTGGATATTATGTCCAGGGTTGAATGCAAAAAGACATATGATTGCACCACGCCAGGCTAAGTTCCAACACTTTCCAAGAAAAAGAAAACTTTAAACCTCAACGACAAGTTACGAATTGCAAAACTGAAACACGTCGACATTGAAGTCATAAAAAAATTTCAAATTAAACGTTGAAGTGCATACTGAGATGCAACAGTCGCAAGAGCAGCCCCTGATACACCCAAGCGTAGAGTATACATCAGTACGGGAAAAAGCATTGCAGCTGAAATGTTACCCACCCCTGCATCAAAAAATTAAAAGCTTAGGTTTGGTCGAAACAAGCAACAAAGAAACTCCACCAAACTGAAGTAGTAAGGACCTAGAAATACTAAATGGAAAATCAAATCACTAAATTTCACAAATTAACTCCAATCAACAAACAGCTTATAATAAGCCCTATCAAATCAACATGCGGCCATATGAAACCAAATGTGCCAAGAGCATTCGATGATAATAGAGACCATCTCAGGTTGAAGCAGCTATTCCCTCTCCTAGTTCAACTCAGATCTAATTCAAGAAAACTCTGATTCGGACAACCCTGAATTATCTGGAACAAGTCTAAAACAATATTTCAAAGTATGGCACAGTGGATAAAAGGTTTATGATTCAATACTATTAAGAAAAAAAAATCTGCATCACTCCAGGATCAGAAGAGAGTATCCAACAAATTACTGCACACTGGATCCCTAATATAAAAATATTGGACGACCAGAAACTGAAAAAAAATCGTCTCCAAGTACACCTAGAAATCAGGCAGCATGCCCATTGTTTGGAGATGTATCGTGGTTCCTTCAGCTTAGCGCATCAATAGACCGATCTTTCAATCCGTGAAGTCCATTCTGATGATCTCTTGCTCACAACAAAACCAAACTATTGTAACAACTGTATAAACTTCATGCAATGCATTGATAGTAAGATGACCTTGTTCCATCACCACCAACAAGCCAACAATGACGTCAACACCAAAAGAATACTGTAGTCATTTTCGACATCCTTTTCACTCGTTTTCATTAATTTTCAAATAGGTTTGCATGAACGATCAACATTGGCTTTATTCAGAATGCGCAGCAAATACTCTCAAATTGATCACATTCCCAAATCCTCATCTCTATGAATGAATTGTCGTGTATCATAGCCACGACAACATATGCCCCCTTGACATGCAAGACCAAGCAACACCATGCATGTATACGTGGCAAAACTCTGCTTAGTCATTCGTTTTCAGAACCAAAGGAAATGTTAGTTCGCTGGGACAACCATTGAGGAAAAACCTGGTAGGTAATATGGTAAGCGTGAAAAAAAATATCCACTCTCGTGAGCTAGTGGATACTTCCAAGTTAAAAAGTTTCAATTGAGATCATAGTTACTACCTTCCAATAGTATCTGCTCACATTGTACCATCGAGCTAATATCATATCAATTTTAAATCCATATGTTACCCACGAGTTGCTAAACGTAGCTGGCTCTAATTCTTGAAACCACAGCAAACTATCACGTGATTAACAAATTGAGCATTTATCAACCGACTCTTATACGAACAGTTGCTTTCCATCATATACAAACGAACAAAATAGTGGATATATGTTTGGTGGCACGAATAGAATTGGACCGTAGAATCAGGCAGCTCAATCTAATCTTGATCCCTATCAGTTGGTCTGAAAGCCCATAAGGAATACCAGCCTAGTTTGACCAAGTCTGAGTTTCACAGACATTCAAAAAATTGAAAATTATCCTGGTTTCAAACGCACTAAGCAGATTCAATACGTATCTCATTAATTTTCCGTATAAAATTTCATGAAGCATTACGAGTTAATCCAAACTTACCGACACAGAAGAGGGGTGTTTGTGTATCCTTGAATCCACGAAAGACACCTTGTATAGCCAGTGAAACAACATTAGCTGGAGCACCTAATGCCCTTAAACGAAGAAAGTGTTGAGCCGGCGTACGCATAGAAGAAGCCTATTCACAGTCGTAATACAGATGTGAGACAGTAAAAAGCATGAATACTGAACACTTCTGCGGTGACAGATGGTATGAAGTTATTGTTTCAAAGTGTTTTTATGAAAGTGGTCCAAGTGAAATGATTTAAAATAAAGTGTATTCAGATCTAAAGTGAAATTGATGTTGCATCGAATTTTTACAAAAAATTACAATCTCCAAATAAACAAACAAAACACTCTATCATTTTAAAAAAATAGATATTAAGAAATCATGGTTGCCACGAGTATTTTCCCGCAATTCCTGCTTCTGTTGATGCGTTAAACCTTGCTCACAAGCATGTACCAAAAAGTGACAAGTAAGTAATCCCACTATTTAACTCTACAGTTACACTGAAAGTGCAACCGAGCACAGAACCCACATGACCCTTCATATTTTCATCCAAAAAGTTCAGTTTTTGGCATCATGATTTCTCATACAATAATATCTTTATCAAGATAAAGTTTCTTCTCAAGATAATTAAAACAAGATATGAAACTACTAGTCTCTCCTCTTAGCAAGCCTGTTGTCTCTCCAAAAACCATGCTCCAAACCTTGTCTGAGGATATGAAATTCTAAAGGGATTCATGTTTTCCAGTCTGCCAGGAGAAGCCTTTGGTTCTGTTTCCTCTCAGTTAAAGAGCAGCATATTTTTCCGAATTTTTTTTTGGTGACAGATCATATAACATGCATTGTATCTCAGGGTAAACGAAAAAACATTAACGAAAATCCAAAAAAAAAAGATGTAATTCAACCCTACCGGTGATATTCCCATCATGCTGAGAAATGGACCCGATGCCCAGAACAAGGCTAAGGCTTCCACTGTACCAATTCCAACAGCCATGACTAATGCACTGGAGACAGATGGCAATCTCTCTCTGTCAGCTATCACATTGGAGAGTTCCTTGCTGGCACCATTCACTGGTAGACATCTCCCATCTACTGGGACACCGATCAAAAATTGTGTAAGGCACACTCGACACAAAAGCTTGATGTTCATTTATTCTCAGGTTAAAGGAAAAAAATCACATATAATTAACCTGGAACCAATTTTCTGTCAGAGCTTTTTGATATGTCTTCAGCAACAAACGAAGTTGTTATGCTCAGCAGGGGTACGTTGAAAAGCTTTGATATGATGTTGAAGATGGATACTGAAACGCCAGCAGACGCTAATTCCACTGGGCCTTTAGAAGATAAAGATACAAACAGCTTCAAACACGATACAGATAAATAAGAAAAAAGATTATTTCATGATAAGGTATTTCATGAATCCGAAAGCAGGAAAAGGATAAAATGAATAAGTGGTTCCATGAAGAAGTCTAACAGAGATATAGCCATTTATGTATAAAAACACAGTCAACAAACAAACAAAAACTTCAGAAAAAAAGGGCATACTAAATCAAGAAAACCATTTCATTACGGCTACAGTAAAATGTATCATGCTAAGTACTACAATAACAATAACATCTTAGGATCAAAAAAAAAATCACACCGAACAATAACAATGCAATGACTACAGAAATGAAGTTGGACTAACAATACCTAATCTACCAATATAGGCTGTCTCCATCAGTTGTGCTAGAGGGTCAATGGCTTGTCCAAGAATTGCTGGTGCAGCGAGAATCAAAAGCTCACGTCTAAAATCTCCAGATTGTGGGTGAGTATTTGAACTTCTCAGCAATCCTCTGAGAATGAAAAAAGAACCAAGACAGAAAAACTGCATCAGAAATATCGTCACTCTTACAAGTATGAAGTTATTTGAGAAGACTAATTAGAAATAGAACATCATCACCATCATTATCCACCAATTCTAAATAGCAAGGTTCAGAGTGATGGATCTCCTTCCAATATTCCACTCTATTATATAGTATTTATAAACAGAAAATTCAACCCGTTCTTTTAATCATCACACGGTCTGTAATGATTGAACTCCCGCACAAAACTCTGATCTAACAAAATCGTATAAAATAAAGACCCTACCCTGTCACCTCAACTTTTCATTTTATATCATATACCAACATTTTTTTTTAAAAATCAACTGTATAGCGGCCAGCAAGTATGGAATATTTTAAGCCATATTGAATTTATGGAGGCCATGAAATTGGCAAGCAAGATACAATGATGCATCGTGTGTGCAGTATTTTTTCATACAAGAATGTTTCTCTCTAGGAATGTAAAATCGGAATAAAGTGCCATCTTCTAATATGCCATCTTCCAATGTTAGAGGCTTAGTTAATTTTCAAAATAAACCAAATAACATGCTGATAAAATCTGTGATAGAGGTGGGCACAATAAATTGGGTTATGGCATATTTAAGGTTCATATGCTTGCTTGAGTTTTAAATATTCACAATGTTTATGCACTTCGATTATTTCAGTAAACGTAAAATGTGCAAGGAATTCCATAAAGTTTTGTGGACCACAGCCCACCTCAGAAACCTGTTTCAAAAATAGCTTTTGGTAACATGGACATGGAGATTTTACCTCATGGAGTCAAGAGGAAAATAAAAGATATTGGAAGAAGACGAATGCAGTTTTATCTTGACACCTTAATTTTAGATTTGATCAAAAGACATGGTACGTTGAAATCTTGTGCTGTCTAGAACAGTTGCCAGGTGACACCTCCGTCAACAATAAAAGGTGAAAGAGATACATAATATACTCTGGATTCTTTTCGTTCGTCAAGGGTAAAATTGTTTTCGTTAGTCCTTTTTACTCAACTTCGACGAAACATAAAGTCTAATGTTTATGTTTTTCACTGAATATGGAGCAAAAAGGAGAGCGTATTGTTGTATAATACGCTATACAAGATTTAAATCAAACTTAATGATTCTCACTTAAAAAAGGTAAAAATCCTGCAATGATGGTAGGGAATAAAAATATATATAATGAAGGTAAAAATCCCAAGTGATGAATTGGTAGTGCTGTATCAAAAAATAACGGTAGCACTACCAGCTGACAGAAATCAGAATGCGGCCAGAAATTTAAAAGCAAGGAAAATCTTGGTAGCAAGGTGCATGTCCAAGTTATTGAATAGCAAGTGGAGCTGCTTTTTCGTCGGAAGAAACTTTCTCGAGCTAATATATAACATAAGAGGGAGTTTTAGACAATATGGTGGAGAATGATGTCAACGATTTTCTCCATACCCACGAGACTACCACCTCAACCATGGCTAACCTCATATTCATTCAACTCGCTGTAATCCCTAATTTTTTCCATAGCAAGTTGAAAAATAAGGTTTATTCATGTCAAGACTCAAGTTTCATCAATGATGGTAGGGAAAAGGGTCTGGATCAGTAGCAGCAATAGGAGACACAAGGAACCTCAACTTGATGTTAATAACCACGAGGCAAGTTACAAAAACTAAGGCGCAATTTTCCCTTTTAACTGTTCTACAAATGAACTTACTCGCGGAGGGTAGATTCATCAGAGGCCGAGCTATGATTATGGTGAGAAACAGCTTCATCCCCCTCAAAATCGAAACCTTCCAACTGCTCAGCAGCTGAAACGGTATTTGGTTGATTGCCCTTCATGCAACGTAAGAACTTCCCGGCAGGAGATTCTAACTCGAATCTACTGGAATTGAAACCTCGCGTCGTGACAAACGCTGGACGTCTCCTTAAGGCAGAACGCAACTTAACGCTTCCCTGATGAAAATAAATGATAGTATCAGATAATCACAGGAAACAGCATAGCGGAAGAATGGTAACAGCACTTTGTGGAAGCTAGAAAATCCCAACAAGTACAAGGACCGACAAGGCTGTCGCCATCGATCAGATGGCAGTGCGCGTAATCAAGTAACGATGCATAAGGAGAACAACTAAGAAGAACAAGGAGAAGAAAAAAAATCTAGGATAAAATACCAAAAAAAGGAGAAAAAAAAACCATCACAAAACAATGTGTCCGTCCGAATTCTCCCGGGAAATGGCCCCGCATTTTCAAAAGAAATCAACCCATTAAGCTCGAGTATAACCAGCAACAAAGCGATCTCACAAAATGATCATCATACCTTATGGATAACACCCGCCGGGCCAGCATCGAATCCGGTTCTTCCAGCACGTGCCGTGGGACGCAGCAGCCGTCGGGCGCCCCCTTCCCACGTCCCCGAGGCCACAGCAGAGGAGGCTCGCGAGGTCCCAAATTCAGGGACCGCCCCGCACCGGGAACAGCACTCCATGCGCGTACCGCCCCCCACCTGCACAGACCCAAACAGACAGATAGCGATGAATCCAAGCCGGCAACACCGGCAGCCGCAGAGGAAGGAGGAAACAGCAAAATGATGGGACGTGGGGCCAGAGAATGCCGCCCAAGTGATTGATGATCGATCTCCTCCTCTCTCCCTCCTTCCTTGCTGATTTTTGTAGGGTTTTCAGACGCCGGATCCTTCCAGGAGATCCTCCCTTCCCGTACCTTCTCCTCCCGCGCCTCCGCTATCCGTTAACTGACTCACGGTCCACGTGGACAGCTCCAACGACTGGCGGGTCCCCCGAAGACAGGGCCGGGCCCAGCCTGTCCAAAGGCTCAAAAGCCCGCAACTAACCTCCGGTAACTTAGCCCGGCCTGGGCCCGTCGATAGTGACTTTTTTTGCAAAGTTGCCGAGGTATTTTTGTGTATTATGTTTTTACCCTGAAAACGAAGCAGGGGGAGAACACACAGACGCGAGGGGAACAAAAGTACCAAAGGGGAAAAGGCAAGAGCAAGAGTACAAATAATGGGAATTACGGACATGGAATAAATGATAGTTCGGTCCTTCCCCTCTCACGTTGTATAATGCGAGTGGCGCGTAGTGGGTGTCCCTCACTCCAGTGCTCGTGTAGAGAGAGAGAGAGAGAGAGAGAAAGAGTTTGAGAGGGGTAAGAGCGGGGATGATATGGGGATGGAAGAGAGGGAGGTAGAGGGGAAAAAGCTGGCTGAAGGAGCGAGAAAGAGAGGGAGGGGTGGAGGGGGGGGACAGAGAGAGAAGAAGAGAAACTGAGTCGAATGAGCCACAGAGAGAGAGAGAGGAGAGAGAAGAAGTGAGGCTAAAGGAAAAAAGGCCGGAAGAGAGAGAGGGACAGGGAGAGAGAGCGAGAGCGAGAGAGAGAGAGAGAGAGTAGGCTAAAGGAGTGGAAGGGTTTTATAGCGAGACGGATACGCACCATCCTCTTCTACAAATCTCTACCCAGGCCTTAGCCCGGCCCATTTTAAATGTGGCCCACATACATGGGGGTCACTGGGCCCTTCCATGTAGAACTAATCCACGATGTAGGCCCATAATCTCTCTTTCTCTACACATCAGGATCATGGTCTCTATTCGAGCACGATTATTGCAAAAATAACGTAGATGGATCTGAAGTCAACGCCTTAGAACCCCCTTCAAAAGCTCCTCTCTCTCTCCCTCTCTCTCTCTCTCTCTCACACACACACACACATAAACATATACATCCAACATTCACTCCTGTTGAATAACAGATGAATTATGCAGATGCACACTGAAGTCAAAATCCACAGGACCAACCCTTCAACCCTCTCTCTCTCTCGCTCGCACTGTCCAGGAATGTGATCTAAGAAGAGCCACAGAGCTCCCGGAATCTCTTTTCCAGGAGGAAGGAGGTGTAAGCATGCAAGCACGCGTACCTGATCTGCCCCTCGTCGAGCGACTCGGCTTCCCAGTCGCTCAGCCCCACCCCCGGCGGCTTCAGGTCCTCCAGGCGCGTGTCCCAGCCGAGAAAGTTAGACGCCATCTGCTGCAAGGAGGCCCTCCCGATCGAAGCACGCCACCGCAGATCGACAGCTCTGATCACGCTCAATTCCCAGTGCTCCTGGAGCCTCCTCTGGAAGGCGGCGATACCCACGTTAACGAAGGTCACGGAGGGGTCTGCCAGGAACCTCTCCAGAGCCCTCGGTGCCTTCCCTGCGCGGCTGATCTGATTCCTCCCGAGACAGAAATTAGGACTCAGAAACCCTATTTCGGTCAGAACAATCCCATATCCATGGATCAAGAAGCTTTCGTGCTTCTTCTCTAAAGAGAGATCGCTACATGATAATGTTGATGTGAACCTAATGCGGCAAGAACAAGATGGAATCTATGGAAGAAGACGATCGCAAATCGAGCTCGAGGTTTCTCACGAGAGGAATCGGATCGGTTCTTGAGAAGAGAAGAGAAGAGTATTTGGCAGTAAATACGCAACCTGGAAGACGAGGCAGCGGCGGTCGACGCAGATCTGGATGGTGGCAACGGGCTCCCTCCCCGCGTTCCAGGGATCGGACCGCCATTGCACACCGAGGCCGGCCACGAGATCGCCGCGACGGTAGCAGTTCCGATGGATGTGGAGGACTTGGTGGATCCACCGGCGCACGGATTTTTGCCGCCGGGTGACTGTGGCAGAGACGCGCCGCCCAAAGACTTCGAAGACGAAGATGTCGTTACTGACGTCAGAGATGCTGCCGGCGGCGCCGCCACCACTCCCCATCGCCGCCGGAGGACGATCAGGAGTAACCCTGGAGTTCCTGGTGGTTCTTCCTTCCATAGTTCTTCAGCGGGGAAGGACGAGAGACCCTTCCTTCCTCTGTCACTCCGTTCCCTAACGGTCGGTGGTTATGGTGGAAAAAAGCGCGGGAAAGGAGACGCCCAGTACGTGGGGAAGCACGGCAGGTGAGCGTACCTCCGTCGTATTACACCCCCAGGGGCCCTTAAAATTCAGCCCATTTGACCCATTTGCCCCATTTGCCCCATTTGGCCCATTTAAGCCCTAACGGCCCGTGCATGGATAAGAGCGGGGGAAAGTAGCCTTTCCGGAGGTGGGGGAGTATACGCGCCAAAGGTGAGCTTACACCCTCGCCTTACACCCCGAAGGCCGCTCAAATTGGACCCAGTATAGCCCATTATCCCAAGCCATCTTTTCTCACTTGGCGCATACCAGAGGAGAGAGAGATATACCCCGGAAACAAGGATAATATGATACAGCTATACCCCTGTTCCTCAGAGAGAGGGTAGAGCAGACACTGCCTAATGCCCAAGAAGTGCGAGAAACAGAGAGAGGTTAGTGGGGGCATAAAGAAAATAGAAACCAAGATAATATGATAGAGATAATCCCCTGTTAGTGAGAATAAGAGGGAGAGAAGAGCAGGCTGCCCAATGCCCAATTAGAGAAAGAAAGCGAGAGAGAGAGAGAGAGAGAGTTACGGGGGCATAAAGAAAATAGGAACCAAGATAATATGATACAGATATGCCCCTATTTTTCGGACAAAGAGATAAGAGTAGACTGACAATGCCCAGTAAGAGAGAGAGAGAGAGAGAGAGAGAAGAAAAAGAATTAGTGGGTGAGGGGCATGCAAAGAAAATGAAAAATGTGAACCAAGGTGATATTTAATTTATGATACATAGAGAGAGAGAGAGAGAGAGATGCATGCCAATCCTTCTTTCGTTGGGTCAGAGGAAGAGGGAGAGCTCAGGGGGCTGGATGAAGGAGAGGATCCCCTCTCCGAAGAGCTCGAAGAGGGAGCACAGCAGATCGCCAGCGTCCACCTCCTCCTTCCATGCCACAGTGAGGGCCCTCGACCCATCTCCTCCGGTGGGCCACTCCCTTCTGCTCGGCAGCTGCCCAGAGATGGTGGCGGCGCCGCCAGCCTGCACCGCCGCGGAGATGTCTTTCTTTGTGGGGATGGACACGGCGGCGGGGGCGGCGGTGGCGAGTTTCTTCAGGGGCGGCTGATGCCCCAAGAGGTCTGAGTTTGATGGCTTGCGCTTGTCTGGGATCGAACACAGACAGGAGAAGCGAAAACATTTAGTCAGCTCCCAGAGAATCATTCCATCACTTGTCTGTGAGAGGTTATACAGAAAAAAGATTATGACAATAAGATTTTTTCGTCATATATTATTGATGACATGATTCAGTAAGAAATATATATATATATATATATATATATATATATATATATATATATATCTCCTGTTTTCTTACTCTAAAACAGAGGGATACCAGGCACTGAACAAGTTCCGGCATTGGAGAAATAACATCAACGGCTAGCAGTAGTGATTAGAATAAAACTGTTGGTCGATCACAAGCATGGCATCATGATGCTCTTGGGATGATCGATGTGATAATTGATTGATCATATGATTAGAATAAATAAATAAGCACACAGAGAGACAGAGACAGAGACAAAGAGAGAGAGATCTCAGATCCCACTCACTTGAGATGGTAAGATCAAGCCCTGAGTTGGCCCTCCAGATCTGGCGATTCGGCCTGGAGAGCAAACCTGGAAGCATCTTGAGCCTCTCGTACACACAGTTACCTGCAGCACACTGCGCAATCCGTCCAAGCACCATCAGTTCGTGCAGGAAACTCTCAACTTCTCCTTTAGAAAAGCATAATAATTCTTCCCCAGATGCTTCCGAAGACAAAAAATAAATATATAAAAATATTACTTAGAGCATTAGGGGGGGGCACTGTAGACACACCAAGCATCATCAGTTTATGCAGGAAAATCTCAAATTCTCCCTTATAAAAGCATAGTAATTCTCCCCCCAGATGCTTCCGAAGACAAAAAAATAAAAATGTAAAGAAATATTAATCGTACCATTAGGGCGCCGTAGACCCGCCAAGCCTCGTTCCTCTTGACCTCATTCTTCTGCTTCTCGAGCAGCATCTCTGGCTCAAGGAGCTTCAAGTAAGGCTCGAGGTTTGGGAGGATTAGAAGCCTCACCTGCAACGGAGACAAGGATGAGGCTGCTTTCCTCCATGAGGCTGGATGGTTTACCAGAAGGAGAATTACTGAGTGGAGGGAGGGAGGAGGAGAGAGGAGATTACCACATTGGCTCCGAGGGCAGAAAGCCCTTGAATGGCTCCGTAGTGCTGGGTCATCGCCTTGGTGGGGTCCAGGAACGCATTCAGCAGAGTCTTGGTCACACGTGTCTGGAGATTGTGGTATACGTGCCCAAACCTGTGGATGAATAAAACACGGTAAGAATCTGGACTAGAAACGAAGATATCTGTGACCATTGTGGAGAATCTTTGACACCCACAGAGGAAACTTATATGATCAAAAATATATAAAGAAAAGGTACCATGAGATTTTGAGAGAACGAACGGCATGTTGATGCCGAAATTTCTTTTATTATTTTCATAGCACATTTCTACAGGTGGAATAAATTAATTTATCTCGATAGCTGTGCAAAAACACCAAAAGGAAGACTAACCATGAATCAAATATTTCCAAAAGAGGAAGCTTTTTTATTCCCCTTATATGGGCCACAATTTAATTTTTTTTTAAAACCTGCTAAATAGCCAGGGTTTGATTTGTTGTAGGCCTTCAAAACCCAATACATGGAAGACAGAACACAACACGGGCAATCTACTGCTCCCACCAGGATACCATAAATTCGGGAAATTGGAGTTGATAAAAGATGAGGAGGGCATGATTTTAAAGGAGGCTAATTTCCTTCAAAAGAAGTTGAGCATTACCAAGATTCTACTTAAGCATACTATCTCATTAAAGAGCATCACATGGCGTTTGACTGTTGCTGAAAGGTGGGTCAACTGCCTTTGACTTGCAACATTTGAGGCCGAATCCAAAAGAGAGGATATACCGAGGAATCTCACCTTCTGCATATTGAAGCAACTAGAGTTGCAGAGAAGTCCCTGAGCTCCCAGTGGTCATCAGCAAGTCTGTGTCCCAATCTCTTGGCCACAAGGCACGTAATTATAGATGGCATCAGCTGATGCAGCTGAAAAAATAAAATAAAATTGACAGACATAAGGCAATATAAAATGAAGACGAAAAGAAAAAAGCGCATGGGCTTCCATATCATTAGAAGACTAGCAATCCTACGACTAAAGTTTGCAGTTAGGTAAGCAAAACAAAATCCAGAGAAGCAACAATAGATGAAAAATCTTTACAGAACATCGACAGAGGAAAAATCTTTAGATAGCTATAGTATCTTGCATATAAATTTTGCCAAATGGAAGTTTTCAAGAATCCATCAAATCTATTGCAAGTGGTAGTAGATGTGACAGGTCTCGAGAGGATAAAACAAGAATCGGAATCAGTGACCAGCTTTCACCACTAGATTACTTAAATATTAAGAATGTTCAATAAATGTAAAATCTAAAAAATGCATATTATTGATTTATCCTCACAAGGATATCATATTCAGTAATGGTGAACAGCTCGACTCTGTCCAGTTAGAGGATCTACACTGATATGCGCGGAATTAGATATAGGGAGGAAACAGGCAGGCAAGAGAAATCGTTATATAGACTTGTGATAATGTGCAAAGATTTAGGTCGGACCAGAAAGAGTTGACCCAAAACCTCATCCAAGTTACAGAGGCAGTTAAATATAGGGAGAGCCAGGAACAATACAACGGGCGTAATAGACACGCGATAATGTATAAAACAAAGCCCAAAGCCCATTGAAGTTACGGGTATTGACCACGATCGATAAACTCAGCCCAAAGACATCAATTTTTAGATATGTTAAACAGGAATTTCGAACCACAAAACTCAACATAGATTCCTTTCCCATGATGGTCCACAGAATCAGATCAGCCAATTATGTGCTAACACACAAGTTCGAGTTTCCGAGTCAGAACTCCAAAATCCTGACAGATTTATCATGATTCTCATTCTCAACACATATTAGGACTTCACAAGTTTCTGGTTATATTGTTTTAGAGAAATTTTGTTTCTTGCAAATTATTATGCACAGATTTGCATCAGTAGCACCAGAGTCAGTATGAGATGCAATCGAGTCAGCAAGATCCGACTTTTTGCATACCAATGCGATACAGAATAATATCTATATCTCTGTGTACCCGTGTGAGAGAGAGTGGAGATTTGGTTTCCTCAAAACAAGATTGGCAAGGGATGATTCTGATCTGAAGAAGCCATACAGATTAAAACTGGCAGAGCATGGAGGCCACGCACACCTTTGTCTGAGGCAGATGGTAATCTTTTCTCCTTTCCCCACATCTGCTCCCACATTACCCACCAATGGTGACAAAGCAACATCATCAGACTTCACTGACGGAAAATGCAGCAGTGGCAAGAGTGGGAAACTTTCCACATCCCCGTAAGAGCAGAAAATGGTACGTACGGGGCATTCTGCAATAGATCAAGCCTGATTCTTGTTAACATGAGAAGCAACTTACACCGCCATCCAGTTGCCTTGTTGGTTGTGAGTTAGAAAAAATATTCAGTATAAGAAGGACCATGTTTTAGACTTCCAATCCTAACCAAAATACTGCATTGCAAACATTGCATTTCCATTATTAAAGGAACATAAATTTTGGTTCCACATATTCTTTTTTTCCTTGTCAGGTAACTTTCTTTCCTTCTTCCACTTCTTTTCTAAAATATCCTTGGTTCAGGATAACGCCAATTTGATCTGCAAATTTAACTAATAAAAGCTATCAAGAATCCCTTTGGTATCTTGTTTTACGTAGTCAATAAAGTGTCAAAGCGATTCTCATTCATTTTTATTGATAGAATGCAGTTTTCTCATGAGAGCTGGAGGCGGAATAAATTTATAGAATATCCCTGAAGACACAAAAGGCATGTCTACGCATACTAGAGCAAGCACAAACCCTATCAAGAAAAATTGGCATAGTTGAAACATCTATCAAGTTCTACCTTTAGATGAAACTTTCACTCGAACACAAAAAGTCAATTATATGAATCGGATGATTTTTCACATGTTTTTCTGTCTGTTTACTTGCCATGATAATGCTCACTGATTTTTTCCATAAAAAATAATATATGTGCCACAACTTTTTGAAACTTACATAAGGCTCAATATGTATGTGAGGATTCCGAAGAAGGCTCTGTACAACACGCATAAGAGCAACTAGAAGAGAGAGATCATTCAGGTTTCGAGTAACCTGCATTCAACAGATTTGCAATTAACCACTCGTTTGGTAAGTCATAATTGATACAAGAGACATTTAACTAAAGAATAACTGACCTCTTCAGCAATAAAATACGAAAAATAAGGGACTAATGGATGAAGTCCTGAATCAGTAGCCAAGCTTGATAAAGCTTCTTTGAAAAGGACAGAATCAGATCTGTTTGTAGTCAGTTCTGTAATCTTATCAAAGTATAACTGCACCAGTAAACAAAAAAGAATTAAAAAGTGGACATCAATTAAAAGAGAATAATTGCAATAAGCAAACAAAGTTCAAAGATCGGTATAAATCTTGTGTATCTGCGTTATCGTACTGGACCCATTGTCAGGAAACATGCAATGAACTTCTGAATTTATTTTAACATGTATCTGCTTTAGCGTCTGGTTTTCAAATTTGGATCATGTGACACCGTCCATTTCATTTATTACAGGGACTTGCGATCAACCACTCTGAGGGCTTATTAGGCACTAAATTTTACTTACGATAGAATTGCTGTATACCCTCATTTTCAACCTCTTTTCCTTCTAATTTCCAACAAAGGCAACTGACGGAACAAAATTAACTGTCCTTGAAATCCAATGACCAGATCTGTGCCCCAGCATTCAACCCAAATTATCCCCTTGTGACTATCTTCATGTAGAACTCCTCCAGCACGTAATCTTTCTTCTTTCTGGTAACCTGGACCCACCTTGTTCCCTCCCCGAACAAATCGTTTGGGGACACTTTGGTCATTTGCTTCTACAGATACTGACTCTTCTCTTCAATGTACAGGAATGCCCCACAAATAGTACTATTGTGATATTGGAAACCCTACACACTCGGCAGTGCACAAATAGTAATATTGGAAAATACAGTCAGTATATGATACCGTTTCCACATGGCACACAAATAGACATATGCCAACTGGAAAAGACATTTCATCGGAGCGTCACATATTTATCTGTAAATTTCCCTTGTAGAAAGCAAGCAAATATAACTTACATTATTTAAAGGAAAATTCTACTTTAACCAACCAAGCAAACTATATGATCGAGCAATTTTATCAGAGTTTAAACCTTAATATGAAAAATTTTTATGCTAAGGTTTAAGACTGCCTTGAAGATGACTGCCTCAGTTGACTGTAGTCATGATTGATAGAGAAAAAGATGACAGAAAGGATAGGTTAACAAGAGACTGGTTTTTCATTCAACGCACCTGCAGCTCTCTGGATAATACGTGCTTGACTGGTAACTTGATATCAACTGGAAGCGCATCTTCTTTTCTGTGTTCAAGCCTCTTGTTCTCTGCAGGAGCCACAATGGCTGAATACAAAGACAGAAAGATTATGAATCAATAACAAAAGCAAAAAGAACAAAAACAAGATATTGTACAGGATTGCCGACAGTAAAAATAATACTGACCAACACCCTCTTACATTTACCGTTCAAAGTTGAACGAACCTCGGTTGATTTGGCCATGAAATAGAAATTACGATTCCTGTCATTGAGTCTCCCATGTCGTGACATGAGAAAATTCGCCGAGCAAGCAATGACAAACTACCACCGCCAGTTATTTTTCAAGCCTTTTTGTCATGTATAATTTGATGTAAGTTATCATGGCATAATTGAAATCTTGAGTAGGGAATTCCAATAAAAAGACTAGAAGAAAGAGGAAACCAGGGGAACTTTCTTTGTCAATTTTATTTATCATATACTTCATTGGAGGAATTTGAGTAGCTATCTTTCTGACTCAATTGAATCCAAGATACGCAACATGACTTCAGAGGGTAGTTTTTTAGGAGAAATAGAAGTAAAACGTAGAGTGCCATTTTTCTTAAAAATAAAGAAAATGCTCCCAAATGACTGAGGTCAGACACATCAAAACAAGAACCGTACAAGGAATCAAGGAAAAAAAATGACAGTGAAAGGTCACAAACAGGGAAGAACATTACTGATCTTAAAACACTAACAAAGAAATGCCATCAGACTTTTCACAGAATACACATAACAACAGGAATCAATAAAACCATGCTGCTTGATATCTCCTTTTGTTTGGGAAGTATCTGAGTAGGGAGCATTGTAAAGATACTAAATGTCAGAATCAAAAACTACTCATCAGATAATTCGTCCATTGATAAAATTTAACAAGATATAGTCCTCTGAAGGAAAGACAGATTGTGGGCCGTCTATGCCAGATTTAAAAACGATGTCAGGATCTACCCTACGCCACATTACGACAACAGCATTATTTTCGAATAAGATCAAATTTACCCCAGCATACTACAAATATTAAACTAAAAGGAGATCCAACTCTTTCCAAATCAGGAAAAGAAATTTATTCCATCATCTTAGCAATATTAAACAAAGATCAGATGTATGGTAAAAAATGATCAAATATTGTTCTGGAGAACGCATATCCTTTTTCCTTTCGAAAAGAAGTTTGGAAAGACAAGTAGTAGACATATGCCAAGGAAGACGAGCAACTATATAAACTCTAACTTAATCATTTACCTTCCATAGCCACATTTTCAGGAATCGCTGGCTGTACACCCTCAATAGCTAACCAGTGAACTACAACTGCAGTGTCAAGTGGGGCTTTTGGCAGAGGCGCTTCAATTACCTGATAAGCAATGGAACGGTCAAAAAAGGGCAAATATATCAGAGTAAAATGAATAGTACAAAATATTAAACATTTACACTTACATCTTTTAAGTCCACCTCTTTGTCATCAATATAGAAGAGATCCTTACGCCCAACGGCTCTTTTAAACCTCAAAGGGTCACCAGAGGCAAATCCATAGATTGGCTGGGAAAGCAAGCTACTATGAGCGTGGAGGGGGGAAAAAATATGGAACCGACTAAATTTATTAAACATTCAGATGAAAAAGCATCATTCTCGTTTAGGATGAAAGCATTTCATTTCTGTTAACTAAAACAAGCTGCATAACACAGGTTTTTCAAGGTATGAAAAGTATTATTTGAATCACTGTATTTCTCCGGTAACAAAACCCTCTTAGAAAATTACAAATGTCTTTTTGGCTTGAAGAGGTGGAATGTACAACCCATTGTATTCAAAGTAAATAGAGATAATGCATACAATAACAGAACACGAGTCTCCCCCAGTTCAAGCCAATCAAACGCATCTTCACCTAAACAATGTCATTGCATAAAATGCATGTAATGTTTGTTTGTGCACATATGAGCACAAAAAAACATGACACACATGAGCACTTACTGCATTAACTCGCATGCAAATACATATATATATATATGAATGATATGCAATATTATAAATCATCTGTAATTCATGTTGACATTTTTATTAGATAGATTGCTAATCCAATAATGACCTTTTATTTATTACAATTTAATTTGTATTTTCTAGTAATTTTTATATTACAATACATTTAGTGTAAATATTTGCGCCATTTAGGACTCTATGCACACATAAATACTTCAAGTTCCTCGTCTCATAATTAAGTAATGCCTCAATAATATATAAATGCATATTAAATGATCTCTCACCAAAAGCATTGTCTTGCACCACTTTTTATCACATTGTGAATTGCCATCGTGATCAGCATAAGAATCTTGATAGTAGCACTAACGACTAGTACAAAAATCTTGCATGTAGTGGTTCTCAAGACAGATCTTGAAGAGTGCATGTGTGCAAAGCCAAACTACTTACCACCTTTTGTGTTTTATTTTTTTTCCATTGTTGGCTAAATTTGACATCCTTCTCTAAGGAATCGGATTCAATCCCCTCCCCCAGCCCGCATCTCAGGTACAACACCAAAAATACTCAGAGGCAAACATCAGAATATAACTTCAGACACTAGACGCAAATAAATAAATGGATATGGAAAAAGGCAATAACAACAAAAAATACCTCCACATTCCTTAAACTAAGAGCACTGTCCACATCATCTGTTGTCAAGGTTGTTCGCTTTGAATGGCGCATACACTTTATAGCCTCCTAAAAGAGAAATTAATTTTAGTCGGCAAGTGAGAGGATTAAATATTTTAGAGAACAAAGAAAGTAGGACCTTGAGGCACTCAGAACCGTCTTCAAAACGAAAGAATCAATTTTTAATTTTGGAAAGCAGAGTCCCTCTTTTAACTGAAGAAATAGATTCAATATTTCTCATTTCAGAAACTTTCATACCAATTCGCCAGTCTATATCCCTAGTGAACACCAGAAGAGTTAGTTGGGAAAAAAAATGGCGAGCATATCGGAGATCTATCAGATGGACGACCAAGTCGGCTATCACTACTCAACAGCGTGACGCACAACTGAACATCCTTTCTCCTAAAAGAGTTTTCTTACTGTCAAACGCAAATACTCCTCTCCTTCCTTATGGTCGAAAGAGTAGTGTGTAGGGCAAGCCACCAAATTTCATTTTCCCATTCGACAATCCGATAATTCAAACATATTTTGTTCAAAAAAGAGGGTTTTTCTTCTCGGTCTCTGTTTCCCACCACCACCATGCCATCTTGTTAAATGCTCCAGACTCCACAGATAAGCGTCCACTAGGTCTTTCTCACATCTTTCTAAGTAACACCGCCTCGGGGAGATTCAGCAACCCAGAACAAACAAAGGAGGAAAACGCATTGCAAGTTTGACTTCCCGTCAGTTTCACACATTGTACCATGATTATACTGAATATAAGGGCATATTACTGGCTCAGTTTAGTTGGCTCCAATTCTTACTCTCTTTTTCTTTCTTTTGGTGAGGAAAGCGCTCGCTCTAGAAACCTCGAATACAGGGCTAGAGTAAAAGAAAATGCATGAATGAAACAAAAGGTAGGGTAAGGCTCCTTAGAACCCCAGCCTAACGACGCGGCGACTCCTAGATCAAGCGTCCAGCGGGATTCCGCGAAGGATTTCAAGGAGATGATTTACCTGCATAATCTCACGGACACGGTACTCCACGTCGGGGGCGAGGGCCAGGGCGGCATCGGAAGAAAGATTGTTGATCCCGATGCTCTGGGCGATGACCTCGATGGACTCCTTGGGCACGATGCTCATCCTTCTCCCCTTCGTCTGTTGAGCAGGCAGGCAGGTCCTTCTAGCTCGGCTCCTGCCTACCCCCAAGAGAGCGAGCTAGAGAGGGGGAGAGAGAGAGCTAGAGCGAGCTAGAGAGAGAGTCCTGGGGGAGGAAGAAGGGCGGGACAGACGGAGTAATTCGATCCCTCCCTTCCCTCTTAGAATTCCCCTCGTACTATATTTATTTTGAATTATGCCCTTTCTGTACAGGTTGGTCAGTTTACCGCACTCCACCCCACCAGTAAACAATTTGCAAAAAGTCCTGGAAAATATTTGGCGAGTAATCTCTCTCGTAAATGTCGCTGTATGTGATCCATATATTATTAATTTAACCGATATAAAAAAGTATAAATATCATAGATAATAATGATGGGAATTTATCATTATCATATTACAAGTATTTGTATTTTTTTATTCTTATCAAGTTCAAAATACAATAATCGACTATTTTTCATTATAGAAAAATACTTACCTATTTATGCACGTAAGTTTAATTATAATATTTTTTTTTGTAAACCCAAAGGATCACTCGTTGCATTTTTTATATTTTAAAATAAAAAATGAAAATTTTGAATTTATATCGAGCAAGCATTTATATAGTGTTCTCTCTCACATTAACTACGGTCTTATATTTTAAAATAAAAATAATAATGAAAAAATGGATTTCAACTTAGTATAAAAAATATTTTCAATAAGAATTTAAGTGGGTCAACAAGAATGGGGGGGGCAACACCCTTGAGCTATTCAACGTCTTACCAAAAAGAGCAGAATGCTAGAGTGAGAAAAAAGAGGTGTCTTTTTAATTGAAAGAGAAAAGAGATTTCATAAAATCTAATTATAAGGGAAAATTACATTAATTATTAAGGTTATCATTATATTGTACTTTCTTGGAAAGAGAGTTGAGAGCGAGGTAGGAACGGGAACCAAGAATACATTTTTTAAGGTATTTTTAATATGTACTTTAAAGAAAATTAGTCAATTAAAATGAAAAGATAAGATATAATATATATTTAAAATATTAAGACTTTAAATGCATTTCTTCATCCTACGATAAAAACGATTAAAATATAAATTACCGGAATTTTAGTTCGCGAATGAAATTAAGGGAAAAAAACACGTGATCAATAGCCCGACGGAAGGATCTGCAAGATCGGACACAGAGAAGGTTGAAGTGGCCTAGATTGGATGCGGATCTTATGACACGTGTCCAACGTTTTTCCGACACGTCATGAACATTGGCATTTACCGGGGAGCCGGGCGGGATATGGTCACCTCCCATTATTTCACCTCCTAGTCACCATGGGAAGGAGAGAAGTGGATGGCCAGGTTATTTGCTGAACCAGGCCACCCGGCCACGACCATCTTCTCTGATCTGCTTTTCCCCTGCCTCGCAGCTTTCTTCGTCACCCTCTCCTCTCGCGGGAGAAGGAGATCCTGTCCCTTACCTACCTCTTCATCTTGATCTTCTTCTTCTTCTTCTTCTTCTTTATCAGCATCATCTTCTGGTTCTTGTTGTTGTTCTTCTTCTTGTACTTGAACTTCTGCTAAGGTGGTGATACATGGCGCACGAGGAGCTGCCAGTCCCGGTGTTCGCTTCGTTGGAACCCGTGTACGGTGATGACTCTGCTCTGGAGGAGGTGCAGCTCCGCTTCCAGGGGCTGAAATCCAAGTTTTCGGAGATTTTCGGGGGACATCCAGAAGTGTTTGCCCGCGCGCCAGGTGGTTCACGGTGGTGTCAGGAGTGTTGGCAGTGCCAGGGGAGATTTCGGAATTTGGGGTTTTTTCTGATCGCTGGTTGCGTTGCTTGATCGATCGGTGCAGGGAGAGTTAATCTGATCGGAGAGCACATTGACTACGAGGGGTACTCGGTGCTACCTATGGCCATCCGGCAGGACACAATCATGGCGATCCGGAAGCGTACTGACGGTGAAAAGTTTCTGAGGATTGCCAATGTGAACGACAAGTACACGATATGCACGTATTCCGCTGATCCTAGCCAGGCACGTCCATGATAATTAACTAATTTTGTTTAGTTGATTTTCTGTCTCTCTTGTGGTTGGCTTCAGCATCGATATACATACTTCACCTGAAGTTTGCCTCGGCATGGGTAGCTTGTTTTATCATAACATCCTTTCCTGATGTCTTGTTACCGATAGGAGACGCAATCAATACGTCTCGAATCTTCTCTGGCGTTTTCTGTTAGTTTTTGATCGTGGATCAAAGCTCCATTGCCACACTATGTTGAGAGGATACCAATGAATAATAAAAGATATTGGAGATCGTGGGCCTCATGTGTATCTCATGTCTTTCAAAGTAACATCTACAAAATTATCATGCTTGAGGATTTGGAACGAGCCAGTTTTTAAATTTCTGTAAAATTGCTTCTTTCCCGTTTTGATTTGGCCAATCGTTTAACGTAGCCTTGTCTTTTTTCTCGATACCATTTTTAATCTGTAGCATTGATGAATACTATCTGTATGTGCAGGAGATTGATCTGAAGAATCACAAATGGGGACATTACTTTATTTGTGGGTAGGGTTTTTCATCTTACTTCATCTTAATTTTACTAATTCCAAACAAAGGCTCTGCAGTGACATCCATAATGTATGGATCAAGTTCCCTTGAATATAATTTAATAAATTTGATTGAAAGAAGACGAATGTCCAAAGAAGTTTGAGTATGTTTGACTATTTTTTAATAGAATATTAACTTTTTTATTTTTTTAACGCTAGATGTTCACATTTTTTCCTGAAATGGATTTTTTTTTTCTTTCGTTCATTTGTATAATCGAAATAAATAAGTCATGAGATTTTCACAATTTTTTGTGAAATATGAAAATTTTAAATTACGATGAATGATGTCTTGTTTATGATCTGGCATTTTCCAACGTTTCCTTTATAAAGTTTTGATTAATTTGTTGTGTATTTTGAAAAATGATCACTCTTAAAATCAGATGTATCAGATAGGAATTTTTTTAAGAATTCTGACCGACCCAAGTTTGAAACTTGAAGATTAAAGGTGAACGGACTATAAGCCAAAAGACATGTTTAATGCTTGTTTGCAAAATTTTATATGGTTATGCGAGTATAAACATATTTTTCCAAGAATAAACACGTATAGAACTTTGTTTTGGAAATTTTCTGTGCAATCCCTTAACTCTGGTATATATCCAAACAACATTCTCGCGTCAGAAATTTTCATTTTTTTTTTATTTTTATTTTTTATTTACTTTCAACATAGCCTCTACCTGTTAGTGTGTTCAAATATTGGTATTGAACGAAACCCCTGAGCATGCAATATACTCATATTACCACCCAAAGAACTGCACATATTTGAACATCTGCATGTTGAGGTTGAGCTAAAGGACACAAAGGTGGCGTGGCAACCTTGTGTCTGAAATCCCCTCGTTGTGGAGATTTCTGTGAAATCCTCACGGATAATCCTCCTTTGTATTGTTCTTGTAGACATGCTAAAAAATTTCAAAAATTTGGTATACACAGCATTTGATTCAAGAGTCTCCTACGATTTTTTTCAGAAGGTGGATGATGCTACATATTTGTCTCGTTTCAAAATAAATGAAGAGAAGTGTAACTTTGCATGTGAGTATAGTCTAAAAGATCCCTAATGATATACAAAAAATGTGGCGTAGGTTAAACTTGAAACCCTAGAATCTCAGGTTAAAAACCAATCCCTTCCTTATTCATAGAATTTTCATTTAATTTTTCGCTCTAACCAAAATGAAAAGAAAAGTCTCGCTCACTCTTTCACCCTGACTAAACAAAAAGAAAAATCCACTCTACTTTCCAACTTTCACGCATGAATGAGCCTTTGTTCTGCCTCATTCCAAATGGAGCAAATTGTGGCGTCAAGAATGTGCCATCATATCTTCCAGGTCCCTTTGACTGTCGAATGTATCTTAAGTAAATTATTATTTCAACATTACTGCTAGAACAAGCTAAATAGTATCAGTTGTATTGAAGAGTCTTTTTCGGATAGTTGATAAAAAAGGCCTCCTAAGAACATGTTTTATGTCCCTATCACCCCTAAATGGGTAATAGAAAGCACTGATGATATCCAAATGACGAGCTAACTAATCACAAGTAGGTAGGCATCTATGTAAAATTTCCATGAGATCTAAACTTTCAAAGGAGCTGAGAATCTAGACAGCCGCTTTTTATTTTGCGACTGTAAACTATTGATATGCCACTTATATTATATGTGTTCTGCAAGCTGACACAAGTACTAACCTCAGATAACTTCCCGTCCATGTTCAATAAGAATTCCAAAACACCAATACTTGCCCAATTTCATATATGACTTAGCACTAGGTTTATTATCCTGCAGTCCTCAGCAACTTTTATCCCCAGTCTTTGCTGAATGACATTAAAAAAATTGTCTCTCTTCATTTCCTCTGCTTTTTTAAGAGTAGATTAAATCTGTGGCAGGTATAAAGGATTCTATGAATATGTTAAGCTGAAGGGAATTGATGTTGGTGAACCAGTTGGTCTTGATGTACTTGTTGATGGGACTGTTCCCACAGGTTTGCTTCTGGATACACCATGGTGATACTTTTATGAAGATATCTTGAAGGATTTTATTATTTTTATCCTATAAATTCGATTGATGTAGTAACAATCGATCTTGTTTGTTCAGGATCTGGACTGTCAAGTTCAGCTGCGCTTGTTTGTTCAGCTACGATTGCTATCATGGCCGTGTTTGACGTGAATGCAAATATATCAAAGGTATGCCTCTCATCCATGTACACTTCGGAATGGAATGGAAGAAGGGAGGATGTTCTTGAACGAGGAAAAGGATCCACTGACCTCGAAAGAATTCATCCAAATAATAAATTTTATTTTTCTTTTTCAAAAGGTAGATATGGAAAGGATTATTTTGCATTTCACTTCTTGGATTCTTCAGTGCAAGAAGATGAAAGATACGAACGTGAAGACATCAATAGTGGTGGCTGTCTAGAGCTTTTATAGTTTTAATGTTGACAAAATACATAGGTGACTAAAGTAAATGAAACTTAATTAAATCTTCTTTTTATTAAAAAACACTAACTTCCTAGAGATTAAATATCTATAAGTATTAAATTTAAAAATGATTTACTCATTAATAAAGTTTGTTCGGAATGGATTTAAAGTAAGGTGATGTTTTTCTGTTGAGTTATGTGTGAGATTGAAATACGGACACTTACTAACAATTAAACTGTAAAATGCTGACTCATTGACTGGAAACATATTTCATTTTATGGTTATAATTCCTTATGCTTGTGGCATGAGCTTTCCAGAGACACTTTGTTTCCTGAAGTACATGAATTATTCACGAAGTGTATTTTCTAACAAGGAGCAGCAATTACGATCTGAATGGATTACTAATTGCACTCAGGGCCATGCAAGAGTTATCACCAAAACGCTACCAGACAACTAGGTGCAACCTCTTTCAACTATGTTTGCAGAGAAACGAAAGAATATACATTGATAGATAGATTCTCTAGAAAAGCCTATTGCTAATCTAACTTCTAATGGGTTTTGGAAAAGTAGAGCCCAATTATTTGAAGTTTTCTATCACTAAACTTATTTTTAATGGAGGTAGGAAACTCTTGTAAAGTTCATATACGTATAGTGCAGTCATGGAAATAAGTGGGAGAGTCCCGTACTGATAGAGTTCTGATCTGTTATGCGGTGGCCTACTGACGTGGTAGCAGATATTTCATAACGTGTTACATCATTATGTACCACTTCCTAGAATCACTGGCCTTCATTTTGACCTGGATCTCTGTTTTAGTAGGTGATGAAGATATATTTTTTTTCAGATAAAGTATTGGATAAAAGAAATACACAGGAATTAGTTCTTGGACACTGAACTCTGGTGGTTTGGGTTGCTTTTCTGCTCTTCCAACTGGTTAAAGGAAAGGCATCTCAACACACTATTTTGATTGCTCTTTATGAGATTTAAAAACAATAGCAAAAAATTGGCTACAAGATTTATACACAATCAGGATAGTGTTGGGGTTGGGTTTTAAGTGTTTGAATATATCTTTATCTTGGACCCATTTTACTCATCGTTAATTCTTTTTTACTTAGGCTGCTTAGTTCTTTAATATAATATTATGCCTCTTTATTTTGTCCATGTTGTCCATATGACTGGGATAGTTAAAGTTGGCGTACACATGTAAGGGTGCTTTTGAATCGTACCGTATGGATATGAATAGATAAAAAAAAAATGCTTAACTCTAAGTAACTACTCCGCTCATTATCAATACACAGTCATTTAATAGAAAGATGGAGAGCTATATAAAATTCAGCAGTATATGACCTGCTGTTTGATCGATGCTCGTCATTGTAGAATCATTGCCTTTTCTAATTTGTTTCTGAGAGTAGTGTACAATTGAAAGCTTTTTAACGGTTAGTCTTGATTTATTATCGAATTGAACCAGTGATTATTCCAGACTCGGATACTTTTGTTTGCCAGATTTTATTAAAGTGGATACCTCGCATTAATTAGCAATTCAAACAAAAAAGAGGGATGTACATACAATATCCCTTTAGTTTTGAAGGACTTTCTGAACATAGGTGACTCCAATATGGGCGAGGCCATATTTGTGTAACACCCTGTGCGCTAGTTATCATCACCTATCAGGGACATATTAGGCATCTTCCCTTCAGCACGTACAGAATTTGGCCACTTTATTTGATGACATGATCCGGAATGAGTAAATCTAATAATAACTTTAACTTTTACAATTTCTATTTTTTTTAATTTTATTTTAGCGTCAGGAAATCAAGCTTTTTAGAAGCTGAAAATGCTCTTCTTCTAATTGGTCTTTTACAGAAGGAAGTTGCTCAACTCACATGCGAGTGTGAACGCCACATTGGAACCCAGTCTGGTGGGATGGACCAGGTAAGCTTTGGCCATTTTCATTTTCCAATCGTGTGTTCTTGCGTCGTACTTTATTGCGTCAAATGTGAAAAAACTTACAAAGGCCTTCTCACAACTTAAAGTGGTTATCAATTACGACAGAATATGTTCAGTCTTTTAAAACCACGAAGATTACATAACACTTGTTATGTGTGCGGGGAATCTTATTACCTTGTTACTAAAAGGGTAGCATGCTATTGGTTTTACCTGAATTGCCCTCTATAAAAGAACATTTCAATCGTGTTTTTTCTTTGCTTTACAAAACATCAGTGAGACTGCATCATATTGATTTTAACTTTATTCAATGGTGTTATCTTGATTTCCTTGGCTGTGTGTTGATTGTCTTGCTGTTTTATTGGTTATCTGGCATTCACGGCGCTTTGTACTTGTATTACTCGAAGGTAGTAGCTAATGCATTAGAGCTTCTTTGGTGCTCGCGGTTGTTTTATTTTTTGATGAATTTTTCTTTTGAAATTGCAGCGTTGGTATTTCATTTTTTTGATGTCTTAAGAATTGTATACTAATTTCATTCTCGCGTCTGATTGTTCTTCTATTCCATGTATTCAAAATAAAATTTGATTACGCAGGCAATCTCAATCATGGCCAAATCTGGTTTTGCTGAGCTGATTGATTTCAACCCAATTCACGCAAGTGACGTGCAGCTACCTGCTGGTGGAACATTTGTGATTGCTCATTCACTTGCAGAATCTCAGAAAGCTGTGACAGCTGCTACAAACTACAACAATCGTGTTGTAGAATGCCGTTTGGCCGCAGTAAGTTTTGACCTTAAGTGGATAACTAATTTTTAAAAAGGAAATGATGTGGAATATTCTTATTTCTTTCTTGGTTCAATATTGTTTGCTTCAAGGCTGATCCACATTGGTGCGACTATGCTTCAAGTTTACTATGAGATGATAATGAAAAATTCTGTGATATGCTCGAGTTGGTTTGATTTAATGTCCTTTCATCTTGCGGTCTATTACCACCATTTTTTTTTCCAACAGCTTAAAAATTCCTCCCATAATCTAACCAACAGCCCGTGTGATTTCACCTGCCATATCCCAACTCACGGTAAATTTTTAAAAACTGTCAGTGAAATGGTCTTTTTTTCATGGATTATAATTTATTAGTCGAATTGGGCATGATGTTTTTTCCTTAATTTGAATGTAAAAAATCTCTCTCGCTGTGTCATCTCTGATATCTTGAGCATCCAACACCCATTGCAGATTGTACTCGGAATAAAGTTAGGTATGAAAACGAAAGAAGCAATCTCTAAAGTGAAAACTCTCTCTGATGTTGAAGGCTTGTGTGTTTCATATGCTGGGGAGCATGGACACTCCGATCCTCTTTTTGCTGTCAAGGTATTTCTCCTTTCTGTTTACCAATAACAAATAGTTTTGTTGGCTAATGGTTGGTCGGTACATACGAACATTTTCTGTGATTACCTCTGTGGTGCTGTCAGACGGTAAATTGCTCTCAAGTTCACTATTCTATTCCTTTTTTTCAATGAAATATATTTTATATCTTATATGTTGCATAGCTACACCTTTGGATCATCGTGGCCTAAGAGAACTAGATTCATGTGTACGGGAGTGGCGCATTTAAGGAAGCTTTCTAATTAATTTTCGTTTTGAGTTATTTCCAGGAATTTCTAAATGAGACTCCTTACACAGCAGAAGAAATTGAGAAAATTACGGAGGAGGATTTATCATCAATCTTTGTAAATTCACCAACTTCTCTTGATGTGTTAAGAGCTGCCAAACACTTCAAGTTATTTCAGGTGACAATATTCGATAACTGTGGTTAGATCTACTAATATTGCCATTATGTTTCTCATTCTTTTTTTTTTCTTTTTTTTTTTTTGTAAAACCAAAATTATCTGCACTCTGAAATGAGAAAGAATACTCCGTTTATAGTCTTTTTCCCAATCGGCCACAATGGTCGCCTCCGTTTATATATTTTTTGTTTGACTGAAGGATGGATTCCTGTTTTGTCTAGAGTTTGCCTGGCATCAGCTGGGATCCCTGCTCCAGATCAACGAAGGAATGGCTTACTACAAGCTTGTAAAACATTTATGATAATGATTGTAAAACATTTTAAGAAATCTGCATGAAAAATAGAAGAGGGAAACTGATCCTCAGAAAAATTGAAGAAAACTTTTATCAGAAGAAGCAGAAAGTTTCCCTGAGAGCGGTAAAGTAATTCTGAGAGCATATCGTTTTTAGATAAAATTCTTGTTAGAAGTAGAGTACTGATAGGTAGAATTGTCCATAGATTGTAATTGATTATTTTTCTCTCAATGAAAATGTGATTTGGACACTTGTTGTAATTTCTTCTCTGGTCTTATCTGTCACAGTGACTTAAGTGTTTACGTTTCCTGCTCCCATCCATAATGCAATTTTATGTCTACTAGGACAATCGCCGGTGAAGACTTGTGAGTCTTGTTCCAGCTATAGCTTTCATTTGATCACCGTTTTCGGTTGAATTATCTGTGCTATCTTCATGCCTTGGACGTTGTGTCCTCTGATTTCTTCAGTGGTGGGCAGCCAGAGATATGACTGTGAGCATAAATTTAGGCTCTTTATAACTGGAATGTCCGAGTAAAAAATGTTCTCGAACATGTTTGTGTTGGATCATCTGCCCGTGTTATGTTATACCTTCATATCCTTGTATTATATTGGATGGCGCCTAAACCACTGGTTATTATTGTATGGTTAGGAGTAGCCTCTGTAAATTCTTAGGCTTCTACTTTGCCCTTTTTCTTCTCTTTTCACTTAAAGTGAGGCATCTTGGAGGAGCCTTGCTTCTGACTGACTCTTTCCTCCGTACAGCGTGCCTCCCATGTGTACTCTGAAGCTAAGCGAGTTCATGCATTTAGAGATGTTGTCCTCTCGGAACTCAGGTCTGCATCTTCTTCTCACCTTAATATTCTTTCAGATTTTCTCGACCACTTGCTTCCTGCCTTTATTTTCCCCATTGGTCCTGGCTATCTGATGGAGATTTTCTTTCAAATTAATCCTCACTAAAAAGGATTTATTTCGATGGAAATACGACGGTAATATCGAAATCCTTCAAATACTAAATTAAAAAAAAAAATCATTCCTTTGATATCAGGATCTGATATCATAATGCCGCCCATTTTTTAGCTCTCCATTTTTTTCTCCCTCATTCATGTTCTTGTTAACACTACCTGTTTGAGTAAAAAAAAAAAAAAACAACCGTCGGCTTTTTCCTTCTTTTTAAATAATAATAATAATATTAAAAAACTGGTTGCTAGTCGCTGACACGCTTGAAATGGATCTTCCACCAGTGACGAAGACAAGCTTAAGAAGCTCGGGAGCCTCATGAACGAGAGCCACCACAGTTGCAGTGTTCTCTACGAGTGCAGGTACTTCTTTCCTCTCTGCTCGATGGCATGTAAGTGTAAATTATAAATATATTTATCAATATGACTTAATAAATATATTTATAACTTGAGGTCAGTATTCTACCCAGTGAAAAGTCTGGATATAATTTAACTTTATTTGGTAGAAGTTTTTCATATTTTACATCTTGTGGTATTTTTATTTATTTTTGGCTGTAAAAAATGAATTGGTGGATTTTTTTTAATATTTTTCATATAACATGAATTGGTGGAAAAAAATCATATTCGACACCTCAAAAATCACCAGTTTTCTCACGGGTGTATTTCTCCAATGGCTAGCTGTCCCGAGCTGGAGGAACTGGTGAGGGCGTGCAGAAATAACGGTGCGCTCGGAGCAAGACTCACAGGGGCTGGATGGGGCGGCTGTGTCGTCGCACTGGTCAAAGAAAGCATCGTCCCTCAGTTCATTCTAGATCTCAAGGTCAACTCCCTGTCTCCCCTCCCACTAGAAATTTCACCTCATCCTGTCGTATAAACTGCCGATTTCTTTCCAAATTAGGAGACCCTAGATCTAAAGGCCTCTCTCTCTCTCTCTCTCTCTCTCTCTCTCTCTCTCTCTCTCTCTAATGTGAGACTTACTTTGGGATTCTCTCTGTGACCATCAACATCACGGTCAACTAGTCTCCAGAATCCAGTGGCAATAGGGTTTCAGCTGCTCATCTTTTGGCTGTCAATCTGATCAAAGTTGAAGCAATTCCGGACAGATTATTTTGATTTGATTTTACTTGATCTTTCTTCGTCTTTCATCCCTGGCAGGAATCGTTCTACCAGTCGAGGATCGACAGGGGCATCATCAAAAATGGCGATCTGGGTCTCTACATCTTCGCCTCCAAGCCCTCCAGCGGCGCCGCCGTTCTGAAACTTTGAGTCAACGCTGAAGAATTCTCTCTACTACATCCTTTAATAAAGCGCTAGTGGGCCACCGGCAGGTAATTGCGATGATTATTTCCTTCAAATCACTGTCTGGGATCATCGACTAGTCCAATTCTGTAGGCCTAATTATCGGCTTGTTCGAACGACTCTTGAATGAAACTCTTGTCTTTCCCGGTCTACTGGCACTAATTAAAAGGCCCAGCCTCTCTCTCTCTCTCCATCTAAATGATATGGTGTAATGGGTGTGGAACCTCAATTTTAATGGCCACCAATGAAACTGTAACCAGACTCACCTAATCCAAACCAGACTTGATTCCCCTCTCTTTCTCTCTCTCTCTCTCTCTCTCTCTCTCTCTCTCTCTCTCTCCCTCTCTCTCTCTAAATGATACAGATATGGTGGGATCGGGTGTGGAACCTCAATCTGAATGGCCACCCGTGAACCTGTCTCCAGGCTCGCTTAATCCAAGCCAGATTTGATTCCTCTCTCTCTCTCTCTCTCGTACTTACACCAACCCAAAAAGGGTGAAAAGGGCAAGTACCAGAAAGGCAGCAGCTTTGGCCTTCTCCACGCAATAAAGGAAGAATATTTATAGCCGTTGCGGGAACTCCTCGCTCCCTTTTGCCCGTGCTTCCAGGCCCTCGCCAGCTGGCCTTGTAGGTGGCGCAATTACAAAACGACAAAAAAGAGCGCACCAGATAAGATCGACGGTGACCGCGGGACCACCTCACTCTGACTCTGCCACGTGCCATGAAGACTACGCACGTGCCGAAGACTACCGGCAGGCCTCCGCACTGCTATTAGTATGACTATTAGTAGTATCATCCTTACAATAATAACTAACTTTCCCCTATTTGATGACGTAAATTTAAAATTTCCAGTTTCAAAATTTTAAAAAATATTTTTTTAATAAAAAACTTACGTGGCCCCATTGATTTTGAAACTTGTGGCTTTCTCTATCTTAATAAGTTACATTACTTTCTCTCTCTTAATGTCGATGGGGAGAGAGAGAGAGAGGGAGATTAAAGCCGGTGAATCGTCAAACCTAATAAAGCAAAAAAAACCCATTTTTTGTAAAATTACCTGATCCTCCATTATTTTATCGACGGAGATTACTCATGATTGGCGCCCCTATCCACTGTTGGATTAGTTTCTCTCTCCTTAAGATAGCTAGCTAGAGAGAGAGAGAGAGATTACGAGGGAGCGTTGATCTAACTCACCTGTCCAAATAAAAACTCAAAATTTTAACAAGCCCTTCCTCCACTCGGAGAGAGAGAGATGAGTGAGAGAGTAGAGAGAGAGACAGAGACAGAGACAGAGACAGAGGACCAGCTGGTGAAGAGTCTTTCGAGTGGTTCGGATTGAGAGAAGCTGACGGCGACGGGTCGGTGGGGGGTCAAATGTCTGCCTTCCACGCGGCAGGCGGACGGGTCGTCTTCCCTCTCGGTGACCTAGCTGTCGGTTGATCCAGTAGATAAGGGAAAATATCTGGGCCTTAGCTGCACTCACCACGTGGCGGACTCTGTCCTCTCTCTCACTTCTCGCTCTAGAGAATGGGCCGCGGGGTCCCCCTCTCTCTCTCTCTCTCTCTACGAGCCTCTTCCCCGGATACTCTGAGCTGTCTTCCCCAGAATTCTGCCCGCTCGATCTTTCTCTCTCTAGGATGTCATTCTCTAAACGCAGTTCCGTGCTCTCCCTCTCTACCATCTCTCTCTCTTCATTTTCCCGAGGACGGACGAGCTTATCTTGGGGACTACCAGGATTCTTTCTCTAGAGAATAGGCCATGGCACTCTGCGATACCGAGCTGTCTTCCTGCCGCACGTGCGACATGGCATGGTCTGAGATCTCTCTCCAGAATGTTCTCTAAACCCTCTCTACCGTCCTTCCCTCTCTCTCTACCAGGATTCTCTCTCTAGGCTCTCTGTAGTGCTGTCTTCTCCCTCTCGCTCTAATCTCTCTCTAGAAGTTCAGCTTCTTCACTTCGATGGGCAGCCAAAACCCCCCTCTCTCTCTCTCTACAGTTCTCTGTCGTCCATTTCTTTTGCTTCGTTTGTAGTCCGTGGGCTGCAGGGTTTCTCTCTCTAACTCATCTCCCTCCCTTGACCTATTATAGAATTCGGTCTTCCGTGGACCGTAAGTTTTTCGGGCACCGTTTTCCGTGGGATGTAAGGATTCTCTCTCTCTCTCTCTCTCTCTTTCTGGACTATTTCCTAAGACGGTATTCGGTGGGCTGTAAGAATTCCCTCTCTAACCTTTCTCTAAACCCATTTTATGTGTGGCATAAGAATCCGCCTCTCTCTCTCTAAAAAGGACGCGGTACACCTTGACCCTCCTCTCTCTCTCTCTCTCTCAAAGAACGCGGCACGCTTGACCCTTCCTCTGTTCTGTTCAACTCTCTCTCTTTACCTCTTTCTCTCTCTTCGGTCTCTGTAAGAGGCAACGCTCTAAAACTTTCTACTCCCCTCGGTCCGTCGGTGCGTCCCGCTAAATTCTCCGCCCCCCCCTCTCTGTCGCTCTCTCTCTCTCGCAGGGGACGAATCCTCTCCCCGCCGGAGACCGTCTTCCTTCTCTGCTCAGATTCGCTCGGAGTTAGATCTCGCCGCCGCAGGAAAACCGGTGAGTCGCCGTCGATCTCCCTCCTTTTCCCCCTCGAACTGCTTCTGTAGATGCCATCAATCTCTCTCTCTCTCGATCGATCGATCGATCAATGGATTGGCCGATCGATTCGTCATGGTCGCCGAAAGTCATACATCAGGGGTTTGATTTCGCGAATGTTCTTCTCTGCCGAGACAAGCCGCATCCGATTGAGAGAAATCCGGTGTCCTTTCCCCTGTCGATGACGATGATTTCATTTCTCGCCGTCGCAGGGCCTCTGCAGGACAATTCGTCCGTCCTATCGAAGATCGCCGGACCGTTGATGCGTCCCGCGGCGCTGGCAGCCGATGAACCCTGCTCAGTGGAGCTTTCCGAGATCGATCTCTGCGAGAAAGCCTTGAATCCCCTCCTCCGCGCCTCGGAACAATGACTCCGAAGGGATTGGCGGATGGGGACGTCCTCGACCTCGAGCGGGGCGCGATCGCCGGAGAGGACGACGGCCCCGGGGCTAAGAGCGCGAAGAGCCTCGTCAATAGGGTCTGCAATGGTTCCTCCGGCGCCGAGGAGCCGGCCGATAGTGCCGCGGAGCGTGGAGAATCGCCGCTGGTGGAGAAGAAGTTTGGAGGGGAAGAAGAAACGCTAGGTCTCATGGAGAAAAAGACGGAGGCAGAGAAGCAGAAGAAGAAAAAGGCCGGCAAGAAGCCCCCAAAGCCGCCCCGGGTGCCCCGGGCCGCCTCCCTGGACGCCTGCGACCAGAAGCTCATCCAGCAGATTTCGGAGCTTGCCATGCTGAAGCGGGCGAGGACGGAGAGGATGAAGGCGCTGATGAAGACGAAGAACTCCAAGCCGGCTTCCTCCAGCAGTAGCTTCTGGGCTCTGGTCATCACCGTTCTTTTCTGTCTCGTTATCGTATGGCAAGGTATCCCTGCGACTTCTTCTTCTTCTTCTTCTTCGTTTTCTATAGCTTATCTTCTACAATTCCTGAAAGCTCGATCAAACTATGGATCCTCAGTAAGTAAATCCCATAGGTTTTTGACATCAATCGTACAGCATGATCAGAGCTCATCGCCATATCCCAGTCACGAGTTTAATGGCTATCTCCATGAACGCTGTTAACCATACGTGCTGATTCTTCCCTGTAAGAAGATGAAAGTAGTAGGGGGGATCGAACTTGACCCGTGATCCTGTTATTGCAGGATTCTGCACGAGAAGCCACCCTAGAGCGAGCTTCGCGGGATCTCCCGAGTCCTCGGTCAGAGATAGCAGAATGATCCAAGTCCAGTACCTGAGAAACGCTTTCCCAGGTGACTCTAGCAGCCCAGCCTCAGCATCTCCGAGGTACAATCCTTCTTCTTCCTGCCTTCCTCCATGGTTTCAGAAGATTTCTCTTCGCACCAGATTCATCATAGACCGGGCACCAAGGTTTCATGGGCCTAACCATCTATGGAAAACTCGATCATTATTCATCGCATACCATTGATCAAAAACCTGTGCTCAGAAAACCTGTGAAACGGTTTGGATTCCTGATGGCGATTCCTCTGCCCTGACCTTTTGCAGCGTCATGGAGAGGTCTCTGGGGGTGGGAGGGGCGAGATAGGGCAGAGACTGGTGGTGAACTGGAGATGAAGAAGATGCTGTCGGCTGATGGGGGGCGGTGGTTCGCAGGTGCCTTCTCCTCCACATACTCCTTTTACTCTCCCCCTGTAGAGAAAGGTCCTTGTTTATCCGTAAAACCTCAGGTCAGCTGACCGACTCGACTCACATCTGCTGTACATATGAGGCCTGTGTGTGGAGCCATTCCCTTGCACAGTTCGAGACCATGGGTTTTGCTGAGAATTTATGTCCCTTTGTTATTGCTTCCCCCTGGATTTTCTTTCCAACTTGCAGGACAACCACCTTCGAGGAAGAATAATACCCGGTAGGAATCGAGTGTAATAACCTAGGAGTAGATGCAGTAGAGCACTAGAGGGAGAGTATGAAGAGCACCGAGGGAGGAGGAGGAATACGGGGTTAATATGAGTAAGGTCTAGAGGATTCATCAGGTTTAGGGATGCACCAGGGGGCCCAAGCTTGGTCAATTTCATGAGTTGTGAGTCCTCTTGATGATCTTCTTCCACAGGATTTGGGGGGGGGGGCTGCTTTGACTGAACCTTGATGATTTTGAAGATTGGATCATCTAGGGTTTGACTTTTCCTGTTGCAAAAAGAACGGTAGAAAACGTAGAAAGAAATGCAGGTCAAACAGTTGACGAGAATCTGATTATTTTCAGACCACATTATTGGGGATGGCGAGGATTCTCGTTCCCGTCCTTGCACACTGGAGGACTAATACAAACACTTCATGAGAGAGAGAGAGAGAGAGAGAGAGAGAGAGAGAATTGTTCTGGGAGTCGTTTCCCAATATAGCCCACTAGGGCCCAATAAGATATCATTCTCTACAGCTCCAACAATTTGACTGATCTTTAAGAAGAAGAAAAAAAAAAAAAAGTTGTTCTTGAGTATGATACAAAGCCTCAATTTTTCTGTGATGTCTGTTGAGATTTTGGATATTTGCATGAGGGCCCAATAAGAGATCAGCTTTCACAACTATAATAACAAGGAAAAATGATTTTTTCATAATTTATGGGACGCCTCCGATCAACTAACTGAAAAAGACCAGTTGAAGCTATGTAAAATCTGTGTATTGGTCGAATAATTTATTAGATCCCACTAAGATTTAATCTGAGATCATTCTTCATACCTCCAACACACATTTCCTCTAAGTAGAGAGCAAGAGAGAGAGAGAGAGAGAGAAGAGGGGCGTCTTGTATTATATACTTCTATGCCCATATAAGACCAGATATTTACATGAATCACGACCACTAAATGGGAGAATTCTCTGTTTATGTCCTCTGTTTATGAGGCTTTTCTTTACCCCAGCGAAATAGTTGAATTTCACTGCCGGGTTCTTGGGCTTATATCGGCCCAACTCTGGTTATTGGGCTTTAAGGAGCCCAACCACTATAAACAGCTAAAAGCATCCTTAGTAGAGCCAAACATGATATCAAAATAGAGTAGGCTTTTCATAATATAAAAATTGACATAAATAAAAAAGAAGAAGCTAAGACTGATGGAGAATCTCAGTGGGGAAGGGCTCCTCAGTAATATCAACCATGGCAACATTGTAGTAAATGCTTTCATCAAACTCATCCTCACTTATTGGAGGATTATTTATTTATTTTAATATAACAGGAAAACATTTTCACACTAGAAATGCTACAGAAATGAACGAACATCTTTAAGGCAAGTAGCTGCTCATGTTTTTATATGGAAATATTATTATTTGTGTTAATTAAAGTACTAAGGTTTCTTCATTTGTGTGATCATAAAATATTTATTGAAGTTTTGCTCTCTTGTGTGACTGATAGTGAGAATTCATCAGATATTACCCCAGCTTAGAACAAATGTGTGTAAAATGTGCCTTGTCATTAGTCAATGTGATCAAATTGCATCTTCTTTCTTGGCCTAGTCGACTAAGCAAAGAACATAATATATTATTGTATTAGTTATGTGGAAGAACCGTAAGGGTCATTAGCCGATCAACCTTAATTTATAAAAGATCTAACCTAATAAGGCCTTAGCATCTCAACTAGCACGATTGATATGAAGGAGGTTAGATATTTTCTTAAAATCTAAAAAGAAATTGAAGAACCATTTTCGCCCACTTTTCATATTTTGTACAAGATAAAAGTTTTTAGTTTCGGTAGAACAGGATTAGGAAAAAAATAGGCACGACCCTAGGGCAACCCATGAACGAGGGCATGAATACAAATAAGGAGAAATTTCAGCCAGACGAAATGATTATCTAATGGCATTTATAATTAGGATGAAGACTCCAGAATTGTTATTAGCCCAGTCAGATTTTGTCACGTGGAGCGCCATCGAACGACCACGATGAAACAAACCAAGGGGTAATTTACTGAAGAGCCCAATGTATTGTGGAACTTGAAAAATTACCCCTTACTCTCAAAGCAATATATTCATATGTGCATTGGGATTTCAAGTCAATAAAACATTGAAAGAATAATTATTATATTTGTACTCATATCAGAGGACAAACCTAGAGATATCCACTGCTGCAGAAACGGAAGAAGGCGGAAACGCCCTTTTAATTTCAAAAGATGTGTTTGTGAATTCCAACAGAAGCTGAGGACGTATCTGAAAGCTTCCATATCTTACATTCCACTGCACGAATATTACATTACACTTATAAAATACGATAAATTTTATTTCTACTCTCTTAAAAAAAAAAGGGTGGAGTATAATTACAATTTCGCTTTTGTTGATTTAAGAATTTCAGACGATGAAAGCGGAGGAGTTGCCAGATTCCGCTATACAAGGAAGGCCGTTGAGAGATCAAAATTTAGATTTGTAGCCTTTTTCAACAAAGAAGGACAAAAATACGATTGGTAATCTAGTCACGTGAACCTTGAGATTGCACGAAATTGGCGAATTACCCATGCAAAGGCGAAGCAGAAGCCAGCGGGGAGAGGAAGCTTCGTACCCTCCATACGTCACTGAAAGATCAAAATTCGTGCATATATCCTTGATCTGACAGAGAAGGGGTACCGATACGATTATTAGCCTAGAGAGGCAACCTTGCGATTTACACGAAAATAGGGGAATGCCGACAGAAAAATCGTACCGTCGGTTCCACGAAAATGAAGAGTAGAGAAACCTACCAGTCCAACACCGACGGCGATGCAGCGGCGGAGCGGCGATCCGGCGGCGATCGATGTTGAAGCTGCAGAGCATGGAGACGAGGGAGACGGACAAGAGGACCCCTTGTTTCTGGCGAGAAATCGATCCCGCCGGACGAAGGGAGGCCGCAATCGGGAGGACCAGGAGCCGAGGGGACGCCGGCGGCGATCCAGTGGCGATCGATGTTGAAGCCCCAGAGCATGGAGACGAGAAGGCGACGGACCAGATGAAGCTCTAGTTTTGGCGAGAAATCGATCCCGCCGGTCGAAGGATCGTTCAGATGTTGCAGCCACAGAAGAGGAAGAAGAAGCAGAGCACGGAGACGAGGGCGACGGACTCGACGGCGACGACGACGGACCAGAGCACGCTGTCGATCACGGAGAAATCGAACCGCAGGTTGAATGGGGGCCACCACCACCGCGATGGCGACGAGCCGATGGGACCGGCGGCGGCGGCGGTGCTCCACCGGAGGCTCGGCGGGATCTGGACCAGCGATGGCCAGAGCCCGCAGATATACTCGTAGACGGAGCTCACCACGGCGGCGATGTCGAAGAATCCCCCCCACCCCGTCCCCGACCATACCCTCCCCATCACCCTCTCCCAACTCTCTCTCTCTCTCTCTCTCTCTCTCTCTCGCTATCTGGCCTGCGCTTCCCTCCCGTTTATTGCTCCTCTCCCGCTCAAATCCCGCTGAGCGTTTCTCCAACGGATGAAGTATGTTTATAATTATAATAATAAAAAGGGTATAAGGGAAAAATATCAGCTCGATGGGCACTTGCCAAGTAATGACAAGCTTTTCCTACCAACGAGACAATCGACATAAATAGTCATATTATCGTAATAAATAAAAATATCATCGAAGAAACTAATCAAGATTTTTCGACGAATAAATAGATAATGTCATTTTCCACGTATTTTAATAAATAAATAAGTTTTATGTTTAATTGTTATTCTGAACAATTTTCAGAGGAATGACCGCAAGCTCTTCGGCCCAATGCAAGACTTTATTCCGTACCTTATATCTTTTATTTTTTTCCTAGTAATAAAATTTTAAAAATAAAATATATCCACTAATAAGTCCCTTGTGACACTGAATTATTCTTGCATACACACATATTCTTGTCATTTATTATTCCCGTTATTTTTTGGAACAGTCTCATGACACCGTAAACTAGATAATAACAAGAATAATAATAATAATGTGTATTTTTTAATTGAATTGGGAAAAAAAGTATTTTTTTAATATGACGTGGCGGGAGGTTGCTTTCTTGAGGATATAAAATTAGGGCATATGTAGAATGTGTAAAGGATGGCGAAATTAGAAGTAGGGATATTATGGGAAATCAGATTCGCATGAAAATCTAATGGGTATTTGTGAGAATCCGAGGAATCACCGGAAACTCTTGCCATCGGAATCGATTTCTAGTCTTTGTACATCTACTACACGCGTCGTTCGATTATCTTGGCATCCCGTCACGACCGTCCGATCGTAATCGGACGTCGCTAGAGGATCCATAGATTAACATATAATTAAGACCCTTGTATTAAGTGGCCCCAAATGACGTGGCAGAGGACGAATATTCCAGACGCGAGATCCTGGCACTCGCGGGATGACGTCACAACATAGGGTTTTCTTGCGGCCACTGGTGACCGTCAGATTGGAATCCACGTCAGTGATCCGCGTCTTGGTCTTCTTCGGACGATGAGGATCTAACGGAGGAAAACATCACGGAGCCTCGCGATTCCTCCCACATCGTCCTCTCCCGCATTGCGTCTGTGGGGTTTTTTCTTCCTAATTTCATAATTTCTATATTTTCGAGAAAAAAATTCTCTGCGATTTTCTGCGTTTTTTCCCTTCTTCCATCTGCAGAGATTCCGATCTGGTTCGGATCGGGAGGAGATGAAGGTGGCGGAGGGGACGGGGAAGGAGTTGAAGATGGAGGTCAACAAGGCGGCGCCGCCGGCTGCGGCGGCGGCGGCGGAGGAGGAGGAAGAGGCCAGAATTCTCAACGGCGAGCACGGCGGCGGCGACAGTGACGAGGAGGTGGTGGCGGAGGAGGAGGAGGAGGTTGAGGAGGTGAAGGACGATGAGGACGGTGATAGCGGAGACGATGACGACGTGGAAGACGTTGACGAGGTTGAGGAGGACGTCGAGAACGTGGAAGAGGAGGACGACGATGACGACGTGCAGGAGATCTTCCCGCCGGGAAGCGGCGTTCCACAGGTGGCGTTGGACGAGGAAGAGGACGACGAAGAGGAAGAGGAGGGGGACGAGGATGAGGGGGGCGGCGGAGACGACGGCGACGACGACGACGACGACGACGACGAAGAAGAAGAAGAGGTAGAAGAAGAGGTTTGTATGCCGAATTGACGTATTTCACTTTTTTTTAGATCTTATTTTTGGGATTCGTCTCTCTTCTGATCTCTCTCCTGCTTAGTAGATTTTGTCGTTCTTCATCGACCTGTACTGTTGTTCTTTCGTTCCACGGTTTTTCGTTGGTTAATCATGGTCCGTATTGCACATTTATTATCGAGCACGGATCTTCTCTGTTCTTACTGTTTCTTCCTCAAGTTTGGGACGGGGATCCGTCTGATTTTCCGCGGTGCAATGGTCGAAGGCTTCTGTTTATATCTCTATTTGGAATTTTAGTGCCATCGTCGTGGTTCCGATCCAGACCTAGCAATTACCGCAGCCTCTCCTCATCATCTATCCGGTCAATTGTGCTTCCTCTCATTCCAGATCTGCTACACTTCGCTAATACCTCCTGCTAAAGAACGGTCTTTAATCCTTTTCTTTTGTGATGTTTTGGGGACTCTGGTGTTCCTATAATTTCTCCCCCATTTTCCAGAACTTATTTATTTACAGGAGGAAGACGACTCCGATCCAAGAATCCCGGGCCCGTTCTTTCCATTTTTCCTTTCTCCTCGTGACATATATATATATATATTTATTTATTTTTCCCTCGAACAGCATCATTACTTTGAAGATGGTAGATCTTAGATCTTCCTGAATCTTACCTTTTTGCCTGACGTTTCTGAAAAATCTTCTGCTGTTTTGCTGCTCATCATCGATGTATTATTATTTATCCGATTTCGCTAAAATTACTGTGCGTGAGAATATTTTTAGTCTGTCTTCTTCGAGAACGATCGATCTTCTCCCCTTTGTTCAAGAATCTGCGGGAAAACGTTCTTCGATCGGGTCTCTCACTGAGCTTGTTCTAGGAGCCCGGCGGTGGTTTCTCGGCCCAGCCGGTGGGCCGCGTGGAGGTCGATGACTCCGGCGAGGAGGAGGACGAGGACGAGGACGAAGATGAAGAGGACGATGACGACGACGACGACGATGATGGTGACGGTGACGGTGACATGACGGTGGGTAGGAGCAAGAGGACGACGAGGAGCGAGTCAGAGGAGGAGGACGATGAGAGGCCACCGAAGCGGCGGTGATGGGGTAACGCCGGCGAGATCCGGCGCCACCAGGCTCCTGCAACCCTAACGGCGGTGAGATCCGGGCCTCCGCCGCCGCTGCCGGCGGCGGAGGGCGATAGCCGGAGGAGGAGCATGGGGAGAGGAGCCGGCGGCTTCCCCCCGCCCCCTGTAAAAGTAGGATCTTTTGTGGAGGAAGAGGGGGGGAGGTTTCAGGTGCCAACGCCTCATTAGGATACCTCCCTCTCTCTCTCTCTCTCTCTCTCTCTCTCTCTCTCTCTCTCTCATCTTCCTCTCTCACTTCTCTCTGTCATTGCCCTCTCTCTCTCTTCTCTCTCTCATCTGCCTCCTCTCTACTTCTCTCTCTCTCTCTCTCTCTCTCTCTATCTTACTTATTTGGAACTCTCGGTGATTAGCTGCTCATCATCATGTGACTGTTTTTCTCCCTTTCTCTCGCTTATTTGGAACTCTGAGGTGATTTAGCTGTTCATCATCGTGTGACTGTTTTTCTCTCCTTCTCTCCCATTTTTTTCTCTCTTCATCATCATGTCATTATTTTCTCTCTTTCTCTCTCATCTCTCTCTTTACTTAGTTGGAACTCTGAGGTGATTTAGCTGTTCATCATAATGTGACTGTTTTTCTCTCCGTCTCTCTCATATTTCTGTCTTACTTTTTTGAAACTCTTGGTGATTAGCTGTTCATCATATGTGACTGATATTGTGGGTTGTGCGGGCTGTTGGTTTGGAGGGTTATTGGGCCGAAAAGCCCATTTTTGACCGGCCTCGGGAAATAGAGGCAATTAGAAGCTACGACTTGGGCCGTCCCGATAGGAATTTGGGCCATAACCCGGCTTTCTAGGTTTACCCCAGGGGTCCACAATGGACTGATTCTAAAATCCGATTCGGTGAATCTGCTGCGTCAAGAAGCGATACCAAACGTAGTTTGCGTTAGTCAACCTGGTGATGGCAAAATTGTAAAATTTTTAGATTCTTGAGGGTAGTTTTGACAATCGGGTCTCTGCTTCCTGGGTCCCTCACTGGCTCCAGACCTCGCCATGGTATAAATACCCAGGGAAGACCTGGCTCCCGCTTCCGTGAACAAGTTCCCTCCCCGTAAACTAGGGTTTTCCTCTGGGACGTTCCCCCAACCGACGGAACCCTAATCCAGGACCTGCGGAGCTTCGCGGGGCACTGGGGATTGGGCTGGCCGCCGGCGGGGCGAGCTGCAGGGGTCCGAGGCGGTAATGGCGACGGAGAGGAAGCGGAAGGTGAGCCTCTTCGACGTGGTGGACGACAGCTCGGTGTCGAAGCTGACCAAGGCGAATGGCGCTGCTGGTCGGGCGGCTACTCCGCCGGGGACCAATCGGTGGACGGGGCGTCCCTACTCGCAGCGCTACTACGAGATCCTGGAGAAGCGGAAGACTCTTCCCGTGTGGCTGCAGAAGGACGAGTTCCTCGATGCGGTGAAGGCCAGCCAGACCCTCATCCTCGTAGGCGAGACGGGCAGCGGAAAGACGACCCAGGTTCCATCATTCGTTCCGTTCTTTTGGCCCTTGAATTGCTTCTCGGTGATAATCTCCGTTGTTGATGTATTGTGTGCCGTCTTATATTTCATTCGCGTAATAGAACGTTAGATTCTTTTGTTTATTACTCCGCGTGTATGAATAGTGCATTTGGCCTTCATTAAGGGTCCCAGCGTACCCAAGATAAGAATATATACTAGTTTATTTAGGATGCTGCATGAAGTTTGATATCTTCCTGGTTAAAGTTGGTTTTCTCCAGTGGATGTGCTCGGCCTCCCTGAAAGTTGGGGAATCTGACCGGAGGACTAAAAAATTAGAATATTCTAGAAAAGCGATTAGGAATATGCACATCAGAATAGATAAATAACTCGTCAAGGACAGGGATCCATGGCACTTGGTTGACAGTAGTGTTTCGTTTCGTTTTCATCGCATGCATCCATCTTGGGTAATCATGTTATGCAGATAGAACATGCGGTCATGGGTAGTCTGGTGTTCATTTAACCATGTTTCGAAATCAGGCGGCGTAAGTCGACCTGAGGCATCAATTATCATTGAAATAAATTATAGTGCGTATGCAATCGGCAACACGTTGATTGACCTAAAGGTCAAATTCTAGGCACCCTAATCTTTGTCCTCTTGAGCAGTGGCATGCAACTTTGTAGTTGTCCATGTAATGGTTAAACATTTGTAATTCTGATATCTTTGGCTTCTCGATAAACTGTTTGCTAAAGGCTGATCTTATTCTCGCATCGTTTTAATTATGGTTTTGATACATAGTCGGACGGAAAGTGCTGAGTGATAATTATCTCTCAAGCTAGAGTTTAGCCCAGCTATGGGAGAGGTCAGATGGAGAGACTCAAGTGGAGGGTCCAAGTTTTATGTTTTAATTTCTGAAATGGAGATAGATCGCTGTTCCTTTGTGATTTTCAAATTCCAGTTTATTGTGTGAAATATAAACTTCTCTTTATGGATATGCCCGTCAAAAAACTCCCATTTAAAGCAGTCACTTTGTCTCTGCAGCCGTTGCCCATGATAGATATCCACGAGGAAATCTTACTTACTTTTCATAGTGGAGATTAAACATAGGGAGAGTGTGGCCTGTGGCTTAAATGACCTCAGTTTTTAATCTTTGTTGTAAATGTTGGCATCTTGACATCATTACTGATCGATAGTTTTTTTTGGTTGCATTTTTTTGGCTTCCTGTCAGTTGAGGGTGCTGATTGAGAATTGTTTTTTACCTGACAGATTCCCCAGTTTGTTTTGGAACTTGATGACGCTGGCAAACGCCCGATGGTTGCTTGCACACAACCTCGTAGAGTGGCTGCAATGTCTGTTTCCCGTCGTGTTGCAGAAGAGATGGATGTGACAATTGGTGAAGAAGTTGGTTACAGCATACGTTTTGAAGATTGCAGTAGCAATAAAACGATGCTTAAGTATGTTCTTAATTTTTGAAGTGCTTTCTGTGCGAGGAAATATTCCTTGTGGAAAGCTTTATGTAGCCTGCTTTTTCCGTCTTGCTAGCGATCGCCTTTATTTTTCTTTTGGTGTATGGCCCCTCTTTTTATTTCTGACCCCTGATTGTAAATCACCTCAGGTACTTAACTGATGGTATGCTTTTAAGAGAAGCAATGGCAGATCCACTTCTGGAGAGATACAAGGTGATAATTCTTGATGAGGCCCATGAGCGCACATTGGCAACCGATGTTCTATTTGGGCTCTTGAAGGAAGTGCTGAAAAACAGGCCAGACATGAAACTAGTAGTGATGAGTGCCACACTTGAAGCTGAGAAATTTCAGGGTTATTTCAGTGGTGCACCGCTGATGAAAGTGCCTGGAAGGCTCCATCCGGTCGAAATCTTCTATACCCAGGAACCAGAGAGAGACTACCTGGAAGCTGGCATTAGAACAGTCGTGCAGATACACATGTGCGAACCTGCAGGTGACATCCTTGTTTTTCTCACTGGAGAAGAGGAGATTGAAGATGCTTGCAGGAAAATAACGAAGGAAGTTAATAATTTAGGTGATCAAGTGGGTCCTGTGAAAGTGGTTCCGCTGTACTCAACTTTACCCCCCGCAATGCAGCAGAAGATATTTGAGCCTGCTCCAGCCCCACTGAAGGAAGGAGGTCCTCCTGGGAGGAAGATCGTTGTGTCTACCAATGTCGCAGAAACATCATTGACCATTGACGGCATAGTCTATGTGATCGATCCTGGTTTTTCTAAGCAGAAGGTTTATAACCCCCGGATACGTGTGGAATCATTGTTAGTGTCTCCTATATCGAAGGCAAGTGCTCATCAGCGAGCAGGGCGTGCTGGAAGAACGCAGCCTGGGAAGTGCTTTAGACTGTACACTGAGAAAAGTTTCCATAATGATCTTCAACCACAGACCTATCCTGAGATTCTCCGATCAAATCTGGCAAACACAGTTCTCACTCTGAAAAAGCTTGGCATTGATGATCTAGTTCATTTTGACTTCATGGACCCACCCGCCCCTGAGACCTTGATGAGGGCGTTGGAGGTCCTGAACTACTTGGGTGCCCTGGATGATGAAGGGAACTTGACCAAATTGGGGGAGATAATGAGTGAATTCCCGCTGGATCCTCAAATGTCCAAAATGCTTGTTGTCAGCCCTGAGTTCAATTGCTCCAACGAGATACTCTCTATATCTGCTATGCTTTCAGGTAAGAGCTTCGTACTGTGCTTCAAGTGCTCCTTTCTGTCCTAATAAGCATGTGGTTTCGTCTGGGCGCATTGGGTCGCTTTACTTTCTCAGAGGTTAATTAATGCCACACTTGCATGTGCGTTTTTAATGCGTCTGAAATTGTATGACTAGCCACATCCCAGTAATTTAATAAAAAATAAACATGTTTATAGACTTGTTTACTCGTTGTTAATCAATTAGGTTATGTTGTAGCTCCATATGGCTACGGTTTCATTCATCCTCAACCCCCCTTCCTCCTCCTCCTCCTACTTGGAAATAATTTATTTCACATTTCTTTACATCCTGGAAATTTAGGGAAAAAAACGTTTAAATATATATTTTTTATTTTATTATCATTAATTAATCTGTCGGTTGATGTTATCACTTTGTATGGCGACACGTTCTCTACCCTCAAGTTTGCTTTCTACTTGTCTTTCTGATTTGCATCCACGTACGCACCTGGTGCGTCTGCATTAGTTTCAGTTTCTGTCCATGTAAGATTTGTCCTTTCTGGCTGTTTGGCTTCCTTGTGGGCTCCTAGTCATCTCATCGGTCAGTCAGTCAGCATGACCATCATGGGCTTTATCTTGAATTTAAGTGCTAATTCAGATAGTTGCAGTTTCTCAGTTATTCTCTCATGAAGCAAATGGTGTCATCTCGCCTCTATGCATCTGCTGACCTCCCCTGGGCCTCTTCTGTGATGACCAATTTCTTTATTTAGTACCCAACTGCTTTCTCCGGCCTAGGGAGGCCCAGAAAGCTGCAGATGAAGCGAAAGCTCGGTTTGGGCACAGCAATGGGGATCACCTAACTCTTCTCAACGTGTACCACGCCTACAAGCAGAACAGTGAGTCTCTCACGCCTTTATCTGTTCTAGTGGTCTTCGTTTCTGGCCTCTCACTCTGAAGCTTCTTCCGAAAATGGCACACGGTAGACGAAGATCCTTCATGGTGCTATGAGAATTTCGTCAACCAGAGGGCGATGAAGTCTGCCGACAACGTCAGGCAGCAGCTCGTCCGCATCATGGCGAGGTTCAACCTCAAGCTGTGCAGCACAGACTTCAACAGCCGTGACTACTACACGAACATCAGGAAGTCGATGCTCTCTGGTTACTTCATGCAGGTGGCTCATCTTGAGCGCACAGGCCATTACTTGACCGCCAAGGACAACCAGGTGAGCCCCTCCTTCCCCTCTCCATGGCATGTTCTCATCTCTCACATCTCTCTCTCTCTCTCTCTCTCTCTCTCTCTCTCTCTCTCTATATATATATATATATATATATATATATATATATTCCCCTTTTCCTCTCTCATAACCTCAAGATGTCCCTTTTCTGTGCATTTAGGTTGTCCACTTACATCCTTCGACATGTTTGGATCAAAAACCGGAGTGGGTCATCTACAACGAGTTCGTCTTAACCAGCAGAAATTTCATTCGCACCGTCACAGATGTTCGCGGGGAGTGGTGAGTACATCTTTCTTCATCCTGACGTGTTGTTGTTCACTTCACTGACTTCCGTAGATGAGCCGCTCATTGCGCATTCCATACTCATGATCCCTGCTTTCCTCACGTTTTTAAGAAGACGAATTTCTCGATAAATCTTTATTATTTTTCCTCTGCGAGATGGGTTTCTACGTATAGAAGTCAACCCTGCTTCCTCAAGTAGCTAGTCTTATAATTTTCAAGGCTCCATTCACTCACAGTTAGGAACGAACCTGTGAAACGCAAGGAGAATTCATCACTCTTCGATTAAAAGCGCAGTCAAACCTAACGGACATCTAATCTTTTTGCCCATTTGCATAAAACGTGTTCCAGATCGTGGGTTTTGGTGGGTTTTCGCCTCGGGCTTATAAAAGTCAACCCCCTTCGATTAAAAAAGTCTTCTTCTTACCAAAACCCATGGGCCGGATGGATTATCCGCAGGCTGGTGGATATTGCGCCGCACTACTACGACCTGAGCAACTTCCCACCGTGCGAGGCGAAGCGGGTACTCGAGCGGCTCTACAACAAGCGCGACCGCGAGAAGGTCGACAGCAGGGACCGCAAGGGCTCAGTGGCTTGACATTCTTCCCCGGCGGCGGCTGGCGGCGGCAGTGCCACGATATTCTTCGATCTCCGGTGGGTCGGGGGTGTGATGCCCCCCTTGGTGATTTGTCTCCTGATGTGAACTTTGGGAGGCTGAGGTATTTACTTAGAGAAAGTTAGCTAGAAGGGAAGCAAAGGAAGAGGGGGGGGGGGGGGATCTAGTGTGGGTTTTTGGCGGCGCAATTCTGTTTGTTCTGGCTGTTCAGCGGCGGCGGCGGGGCTAGATCTGGGGTCCTCTTCATTGTTGAGGAATGGTAGGTGTTGTGGATACATATGGCTGGGGTGACCCTCTTGAATCAAGCTGCAGCGGAGGAATTACCCATCTTCATCTTTACTGCGTATAACCTTCTCTCCGACGGGAGGGGAACCCAATGGGGAGCCATTTCTGGTAGCAGAGGAAGAAGATGCAGAAAAAAAGAAGAGGAAGAAGGGAAGGGCGGGGATTTGTGACTCTGACTCAGCTGTTTTTTCATTCAGGAAAGAGGAGGGATGGAACCCTCGTCAATCTGTATCTTTCCCTCTCCTCACTCACTCTAAAGTGCTGTTCCAGTTAGAAACGAGAGAGAGAGAGAGTGAACAGAACCGATGATCTCTCTCTTTTTATCTGAAATAAAATACGTGGGTAGTTCAAGTGGGTACTGATGTGACCTCGAGGAGGAAGAGAGAGAGAGGATACAAGACGGCGGAGGCGGCGCCCGCGGCGGCGACGTGGTACAGCAGCCGCCGGCTGTCCCCGCTTGGCACGAACGCCGCCTTCAGCTTGTTGGTCAGCTCGAATATCCGGTACGAGACCTGCCCAGAGAAGCCAACCGATTCATGAGAGAGAGAGAGAGAGAGAGAGAGAGAGATCTTGAGGTGTAGAGAATGATGGCGAGGAGAGAATGCACGTATAGAGAATGATCTTGAGGTGTAGTGAGAGAGTGAGATAGAAGGGGGCTTTGAAGGGGATTCTATGGGCCTGACTTCAGGTCCATCTTCGTGATTTTTGCAGGAATAACGCACGTATAAAGCGTAAGGTATAGAGAGAGAGAGGAAGAGCTCACCGAGATGTAGATGGCGGTGGTGAGGAGGAAGTTCAGCATCGGATAACCGGGGAGGAGGGAGAGGAGACGCCGCGGCTGACCGTTGGGCACCCCGCACCTGCAGTCAACGGGTATTGGCTCTATGATGGCCCACAAAGATCAATGACACATCCAGGGCTGTAGAGAGAGAAATGGGCGTACCTCAGCCAGATGTGGAACTGAGAGATGTAGGTCTCCAGGGTAATTTTGCCCAGCCACCTACAGAAGACGAACACCATAACCAGCATTACTTAATTAATTAATGAATTAATTATTTATGTTTATATTTTAGTCATGGTGAGGAGATTGGGGCCCACTTACGCGAAGAGGGTCAACGAGGATCTCCGGAGCTTTTGGGTGACGTTCCTCAGACAGATGTAAGCGCTGGCCATAAGAGAGAGAGAGAGAGAGAGAAAGCGGGGGTCAGCCAGAAAAATGAGCGGCGAAGGAGAACAGAAAAAAGAAGATTTCTACCTGATTGGGATCCATGAAGTGTAGGGATGATATCTGTTGTAGGTGTACTTATCTAGTTTGTATATACTTTCATACCAGAAGTATAGCGCCTGCATTCATGCCAAAAAAGGATGAAATAACTAAAAAATAGTCTAAATTTTTGTTTATATTTATAAACTTTTTCGATATGAAAAATAGTCTAAGATTACCAGTAGCGAGATCGCCACAATGGCGGCTTTGACCGTGACCCTGATCTTCGCTTGGGATGCTTCCAACTTCTCCATCCACTTCTCAACCTGAGAGATTCAGGATCATCATCATCATCATCATTGCCATCATCATCATCATTGCCATCATCATCATCATCATGAGGCTGGATTTGTTCTTGAAAATCCTTGGGACTTACAGTGGGGTGGAAGTAAGCGTAGATCATTCCCAGTATCCAGATATAACGATCAAGGCCCGACCGGAAGTGCCACTCGTGTATGGCGGGGTACCTCTTGCTGAGGGGATCTGGATTGGTATAACCTGCCGTGGAAAGTCAAGAGGATGAGAAATCAAGCAGAGATGAAGAGAGAGGAGGGGGCTGACCAACAGGGGTAGTCAACGGGCTCTGCACACGTTTGAAAAGTTCAGCGTCGTGTGAAGCAATTAATGAGGAATCAAGCATGGATGGATAAATAAAGAGAAATGAAGGAACCGACTGAAGGAAAAAAGTCAACGGACTCCTAACACCCATTAATTTTTTTTTTTTGAGAATTGTGAGAAAATTAATGACAAATCAATGGCGGATACAGAGAAACAGAGGAACTGGGTGTAAAAGAGGAGTCAATGGGCTCCATCACGACCAATTCAAGAAAGAACCCCGAAATTTTGTCTCATAATGAGAGGGCATAGCACTTGTAAAGGTGAAAACAAGGAGACTGACTGAGGTGCAAAGTCAACGATTTGCACCACGCCCCATTCAGGCAAGAACCCTGAAATCTTGTCTGGTAATCAGAGGGCATAGCACTTGTAACGCTGAAAACAATGAGTCAGGCAGAGGAGGAAAGCCAACGGGTTCCACCGCGCCCATTGAAGAACCCCTCGAATTGTGCGGAGTAGTGAGAGGACTGACCAAGGATGAAAGTCAACGGGCTCCACACCCATTCAAATACTCCAGGGATCTCCCAGACAACGACCACGACCAGGAAACAGGCAGCGATCTTGGTCCCGATGACCAGCCCCACCTCGTTGTACTTGTTCATGATCCCAAGGGCAGCGTAGACCATGAGAGTGAAGAGGGTGTGCATGGGGCAGATATAATACAGCATGTAGTCATTGTCGAGGACGATGCAGCAGAAAGCGACAAAGAAATTCAGCCGCCACATCATCTGGTCAATGGGGGTGAAAAAGAAGCCCGATAGGTCAGTCAACGCATTGGGGGGGTGAAGAGACACAGCAGTCAAATTGGGAAATCCATCAGAAAGGGGAGGCGTTGACCTGAGCGAACCGCGTGAGGCTGAAGTCCTTTCGGACATAGTAGTAGGAGAAGTTCCCAAATCCTGTCATCCACACATAACTCGCGATGAAGATGCGGATGGCATTGTAGATCTCCGATGCAGAGAAATAGTGGTACATCAGGAACATTACCTGAAAAGGAAAGTATTTTGCTCGAATCATGACCCATAATGTCATGCAAGCAAGAACTCACTTCCCCAAAATATGATCTTCTTCCATTCTAAAATAAGAAGTCAACGGTATCAAAGGACGGACCTGCATCCACCCCTTCCATTCCTCAGTCTGGTGCCTATTCAGGTAGAGCATTGAGTTCCCCAACAATGGGTACTTGTCGTTGAGAAGCTTGAAAGAGGTTACAGCGGCAACAATCACAAGAACGGAGTAGAGGAACAGGAAGAGATCGCGGCTGTAACTCTGAAACAAGAAGGACAATGGGTCGGTGTACGAATGGCATCACAAAGAGAATTGAAGTGGCAGAACATAAATGCTAAGAAAAATGTCTTTAGAATATAGAGTTGACATCAAATCTATCATAGGTGAGAAAACGTCTCGTAGCTACTGTGTTCTTTCTCACTACTGGATCCCTATACGCAGCGCTTGTAGGGCTGGGATCAAGCCTGGATGTGATGCCAACCCAATTGCCAGTAAAATAAATAAATAAATAAACTAGTAAAATAAACCCACTTCGAGGGAGATCTCTAGTATCTCTTCTTCCTTGGTATCTTATATTTGGTATCCCATCTCCATTCTATATTTGGTATTCAATATTTTTATTTATCTCAAAATGACATCAGATCAAGGACCCAGTGCTGAAAGGAATCCTTTGTTCAGCCTCGGTCTGGACCCCATTGAGCTGCTCTTAAGTTTTTTTTTTAGTAACAATTAAGATTGAGCCTTCTCGCTGCCAAACTAGGTCTAAATAACTTCGTGACAATGCATAAGTCAAACATAGAAGCTAATCCAAGTTCTTTCCATGCTGTTTAGTGAATGATTGTGGTTCAGTCTTTCGGAGAAGTAAAAGATCACCTTGCTAGACTGCCCGAAGAAATCCGTGCGATCACTCAAGTAGAAGTAAGCCAGCCAAAGTCCCAATTCAGACCTGAATGAAACAATGTGCAACCATTATCTTCGTAGATGAAATCTGAAATCACCCAAATCAATTTCTACATGTATTCCACTTACATTGCTATCAACGTTTCCCGGTTGTCTATGAAGATTGAGTTATCCATTAGCAAGAATCTGAAGGAACTCACTTATAAACATTTGCAAATATTTTTTCAATTTATATGAATGGCATAAGAGCAGAAACAGACCTTCTCAGGGTGCTCTTTATGGATGAGATGTGGCCTTGGTTTGCTGCTTGCCCTGGATCTCCTTCCAATAAAAGTGCTTGTTCATCCCTGGTGACTCTGCCGTCCATGAAAGAAAAATGGATCATCAAAAAGGAAATATCTAAAGTTTTCATGTAAATGGTCGATTGAATTTTCTTTTCGTCATCTTGCCGATTTTCTGGTTTTCTTCTTTTTACCGCTCAGGAAATGGTAATTTAAGTACAGAAAATGATCTGGCTGTATTAATAATGGAAATTGGCAACAGCATAGGACTACCTGAAATGTCAGCATAGAACTCCTGTTATATGTGTCTGTACATGTTATCATATGCGAATGAAGAATAAATTATCAAAAAAGGTTAGGTATCATTTCAAGGCTCTTTGTACCAACTTGATGCCAAATCTACCAGAAGTTATGCCGAGTAAAATGATCACAAACATCCATATTATAGTCACATTTTACATTCCATCTAACTACTACCTCACTCGTGACTAAACGTTCAAGATCAACAATTTCGTCATTACTGGATCTAGGAACGGTCGTGTAATCAAGATCAATAGATGCAAACATTTTACACAGTTCACTATTGATTATCAATACACTGGAATTTCGGACATAATTAATTATGATCCAATTTTCTTTTATGGGTGAATCTAATCTAAACGGCCATCGATTTTATGGATACGAAACTGCACAAATTATATTCACTGGAACAACCTTCATGTTGTAGAACGTTTTGAGTGGTAAGCTTGGGTTGCAGAGATTTGATCGTTTGGGATACTCCTCTGGAGCTCTTCGAGGACAAGATTCTTATATGTTCAATAGATTCGGCACTGGCTATGGTTGAGAGCTCGCGGACTGATTCAAATTTTCCAGCATTTAAACGTTGCATAACTGGGGTACAGTTCAGAATCCTCTAATGCTCTCCCTAAATCGCCATCTCTGTTTTGTGCATGCTTTCTTTTCTGTCCGAGTGTTTTACTAAAGACCCTGCCACTCATACTAAAAGCAAGAATCAGGTCTCATTAACGTTATCAAAATAAGTTATTTCATGTGAATTATTTTATATTATTGGAAGGGATTTGCCTAAATACATTATATACACACATACAACAGGAGTCTTGAGTGAGAAGAAATCTTGTAAGCTTGTCATACTGGTGAAATATTGTTCACGGTACTAAGCAAAAATTTAATATGGAAAGAAATTTTCTGGTCAAGCATATGAAAAAAGTAAACATTATTTGCATCAAAACGCCAATGGTGACTATGAACACCCATGAACTGACATTTTCGATGCTCCTGAGTTCTTTCTGTACTCCAGCCATTCTGCATATAGCCACGCCACCCAGACGAGGATGATCCCGATGAAAACGGACATCTGTCATGAGAGACAAAAATCGCTGAACCAGCTGGGTGAATGAGTATAAAAATACAGAGACTAAGAAATCAGCCGCCATTTTTTGCGGCAGTTCAACTAAGAAGTCAATGGGTAAATCCCAAAATAGAATTCGGAATGCTGCCAAATGCTTTCATCTGAAAATAAGCCATTGGATTAAAAAAAAGAAATATAATGCTATAATTATCAGGCAATGTGTGGCGAGAACAAGAAAAAGGAAATGATCCTCCAAAATGGACAGAAGAAAGATTAAATGCAGCAGCCAATGCATCTAAAATGGTCACAATCTACTTCAGTAGATCTTGCCGCCTCTGATAGAACGATAGGATGCCCCTGCAAAAGAGCACCGTTCATGGCAGGTGGAAAGGCCTCCATCGCCCACAAAGATAAATGATACAGTCTATAGCATTCAAATCATATCGTACTGCATCAATGAGCCCACGCTACCGAAACTCCGCCTCCAGCCCCAAAAATACGCACGCAGAGAGCGGTATGGAAAAATTAATATACACATTCAGATCGGAAAATCCCCGCACCTGCCCGGGCGTCACGGGGCTGGTGATCGTGATCCCCATCTTCCCCGCCACCTCCGGCCGACGACGGCGACGACGACGACGACGACGGCGACGACGACGACGACGACGGCTCTCACGCAACGAGCGAGCCCTCAGTCCACGGCTATTGCCAGTTTCGTTCAAACTCCTAAATGCACAGAGTTCTCATCCAAGTCAGAGGCAGAAAATGGAATGTGCGGGTTTATGAAGCAATGAGGCTTCCGGGAGAAGCCAGTACAGGAGAGAGAGAGAGAGACAGACAGACAGAGGGGGGGTAAAGCGAGAGAGAGAGTGAGACAGAGGGGGAGAGTGTGTGTGTGTGTGTGTGTGTGTGAGAGAGAGAGAGAGAGAGAGAGGGGGAGGGGGAGAGAGAGAGAGAGAGAGAGAGAGATTAAATACACGTCTTTTGTGATTATCTGCCACCTTGGGAAAATCACATCATGAGATGGCTTTTGCGTTTAAATAAATTAACTTTAAAAGAAACAGGTTCAATGTGGGGAATAATTTACATGCCTTGGGTGTTCATTTATTATTATTATTTTCATTAGATGGCAATCATATGAGATGGGTTGCATCCAAAGACGCTTTCAAGGTATAAATAAATTTATTGTTATCTATAAAAATGTGATAGTTTAAAACAAAGGCTTTTAGTTTCCAATATAAAAGGATCAATTGATGCACACAGCCATTGCCTATTTCCATAAATTATCATATAATATATAATTACTTTTAATCATTCTCCTACTTAGAGGAAAGAAATCCACACTAAATTTCTATCAATATCACTACAATTACTTGCCATTTGAGGGAATTTTTCTATGTTCTATGTTGATACAAGGCATTATATAGCCCTCTACCCACCCTCCATATGCTCCTATTTGAGAGAGAGAGAGAGCATGTGTAGGTGGAGACTTGGGTTTGTATATAATCAAAATTCTAGAAGAGTCCTTTCAATCCAAGAAAAGAGAAAAAACATCCATGAGAAAACTAAATAGATTAATAGAAATTGTAAAAAATAAGAGGACAAAAATAAATAGAGAAAATTGCCAAAAAAACTAGGGTCAGCACTTGTGTTGAGAATGTTTTATTCTTCCTCTATTTTGTATCACTTTGCCTTTTTGTTATTTAGTCATTCCTCTATTTTTAGTCATTATGGACCAAAATTGATTCAATCAAGTTAAGTCTGGTCCACTGTGTGACTTACAAGTTAGTAAAAAAAATTATTCCCATTTCGAATCTAAGTGAATGAATGAATTAAGATTTCACATGTTCCTCTCTCTCTCTCTCTCTCTCATTGCACCATCTCTCTCCAACACATGATTTCTTAAAGAATGGAGGAGAGTGCCTAAGGTTTTTCAACACAAGGATTTAATAAGATATCAAAGGCTCATTGATAAGTGTAATTCACCTTATGTTCTTATTTTCTCATCAGATATCTCTATTAGAGCTTTTATTCGATAGTGAGGAATAAGAACAATTTGATTTGTACTTTGTTATCTATCAAGAGACATTTGTTTACTCCATTCTTCACCTTGGTATGTGGAGTCATACTTTATTATTTGTTTGAGACTTTTCTTTGGATAAATTATATGTTTTGTACAATCAAATTATTTCAAGAGTAAATATGCCATATTGTATGCTATCAGATTATCTCAAGATCATTTTTTTCTGTTTACTATAAATGATATTAGAGGATAGTAGTGGTTGAGAGTATAGTATATTTTTCTATTTTTTACCTTTTTACTTAAAAATATTAGAAATGAATTTACACATAGAGAGTAATCCTCTAAGAGGGTTAGATAAAAAACTCATACTCATAACTATCTGAAATTCTACAAGTAAATAATCTAGATGTCTGAAATTATTTTGGATAATTTCAACGAGTAAGAGTTGTGTTGAAAATCAAAAGACTACAATTATAATATGTCTTTAGATGGTTGGATAAATCAACAAGAGATTGTGCACAATAGATTTTAGAGTCATTCAACTAAATTATTTTGGTCTACATTCACTTTTGAGGACCACTTTAATTCTACTATTCCACCACCAAAATATACTTAATCTTATGGGGATTAAGAACCCTTTTGCACTCCCAAACTCCATGAGTTTGTGACAACTCAACCTAGAACCCTAATTTTTGAAATAATAAGGTTCTAGATTTCATCATTGTAGGCATACCACGTATGCTTTAATTGTTTATATGACTATGTTAGTGACACCACACATGTCTTAATTAATCCCCCCACCACATATTAAAGAAAATAAATAACTTAGAACGAAGTTACCACAACCTTCATATCAGTGAGAACTCATGAAAGAATTGAGAGTCATTGAGTTAAAGGAGGAAATGTTTGAGACTTAGAATAATGTCCATAGTTCTCTTAAAATAATAAAACTTTGCCTTGAATTTTAGAAACTTGAGAAGAGTTGACATAGATGAGGAGTGTATAATGAAGCAGTAGGTGTTCGTATGAAAATCATGTATTTTCTCTTTGCCCCAATTTAGGTGAAATGCTCCCTTTATGGAAAACCAAGATCATACCCTTTTGGCCCTTATTAGGTGAAATAGGTTTAAGAAAGCCTTAACATGTTACATGTGGATTTTGAGAAATACAAAAAAAAAACATAAAAAATAAAAATAATAAATCTCTTAATACTTTGATTTTTTCTGAAATTTTTAAGCTCTACATTTCTCTTTATATCAACTTTTCATTGATTTGACATGTTTATATTTTGTGACATATTTTTTGAGATAAAAGTTATTTCAATAGGAAGGGTCAAGCTTTTGACTTGTTTTGACCCTATGCCTTGATCAAATGATCAAATTGCATACCTCTTCTCCAATGTTTTGGACTGAAATATTTTCATCAAATAATATCCAAACTAAGAATGAATAATATATATTCATCAACTAGAAGGAGAATGTTGAGAATATTTTATTCTTCCTTTATTTTTTTATTCCTTTGTCTTTTTGTTTTCTTAGTTGTTGTTCTATTTTGAGTCGTTATGGTTGATACCAACATGCTCTAATATGATTTGCCCCCAAAATGCAACTTATGGATGGATTTAAAAGCTTGTCTCACTCTAAATATTCCTCTCTCTCTCTCTCTCTCTCTCTCTCTCTCTCATCACAATCTCTCCTCTCCATCATATGGTTCTTTGAAGGTATTGGGTTAGCAATAAACTAACAACACCTTATCACCCTCAAACAAATGATTAGATTTCAAATAAAAAAATAAAAATATTCTACACAAAATTAATAACTAGATAGAAAAGATTGGCCTTTAAGATTAAATGATAAATTATGAACCTATAAAATCACATACAAAACCCCAATCAAAATGCCTCATTGCATGTTAATCTTTAGCAAAGCATGTCATCTACTAGTGAAATTGGAATACAAATCACATTGGGCAATAAAGCAGTTTAACATGGATTTTTCTCAAGCTGGCACACATAAAACACTATAAACTTATGAGTAAAGGGAATTGAGAATGAAGCTTATGACATATATTGAATTTAGTTTTAAGATATCTTGAGAAGTGTTGGTATAATGAGATATGATTCATCCTTGATGCTTACCATGAGAATTCAATATATGTCTTGAGTTAAGTACATTCATTTGAGAATTAGTCTATTTAAAAATTCATAGATCGTGGCCTCGGCCCACTATGGACATAGTTCATCAGAGCCCATTAGGGCCACTATAAACCCTTGTAATTATCCCCATTTCCCTTTCGATCTAATGATTCCAAGGGTTTAGGCCCCCCTTTCTCTCCACATGGCATCAGAGCAATGGGGGCTAGATCCGTGATCGTCGCTCTACCTGTTGCGGGCCCTACCATTATGTGTGGGCCCCACATCTGCGGGCCCCACCATATCCTCCAATCCTGAACTGAGTCCTAGGGCCAGGCCGGTACGGGCCGGGTCTGGTGGAGTTCAACGGAAATGGGCCAGGCCCGGTGGGCTCAGCTGGGAGAGCAAAAACCCTAGCGGGAGGCGTTAGTTCTTTACTACCTCCCCCGCCGTCGCCTGCCGCCGCCGCCGCCGCCACCTGCCGCCGACGGGAAATGGCTCCTCCGGTGGGACGACGCCCCTCCCCTCCCGCCCGACCCGTTTGTTCTGCTCGAATTCGACCGTTCCTTATGTGGTTTTTGATTTTTTGCAGCCGGATGTGGAGGATTTGGAGCGGAAAAAGAAGAAGGAAGAGAAGGTATGAGCAGCTTTCTTCTTCTCCTCCTCCTCCTCCATCTCGTCCTTCTTCTCTCGCTTCCATCCATGGTATTCTGGTGATTGATGACGACGCCGACATCCCAGGAGAATGCTCTTTTGGATATTTACTTGTCGTTATTGGTGAGGTCTCCCAGTGAGTATTCGATGGTTCCTTATAGTTAGCGCCGTGCTGTGTGTATGAGTGTGCCCGCGCGCGGATATTTAGTGTTTTTTTTTGGGACTTGTGTGTTTCGAAACTGACATGTATCTTCTGACGACGAGGACGATGTCATCGATTTAGACTCCTCTGTGTTCGCACTCTGTGTGATTAATGTTGCTTGATTTTTCTGGAATTCCTCGAGACTTTAGCTCTTATTTCAAATGTAACTTTTTCTTAGTTCATGTTGTCTTGTTTTAGTTTGAAAGGTGATTGTCTTATAATTTCGCCCCTATTGTAGGCCAAAGAGAAAGAACTGAAGAAACTCAAGGCTGCACAGAAAGCGGAGGTAGCTAAAGTCCAGGTAACTACGACGAAACTGTCGGCTGGCGCTTATGTACTTGCTTAGTGAACTAAGACCTTATCTGTAGTTTTATAGTTCATCTGCATGTGCAGACGAACTTTTGAGCTTCCTTTTCTGTTAATTTTTCTGTTTAGCTTTTCATTTGATGTACCTTCTAATTGCCATAACAGGCACAGAAAACAAATGTGCCTAAGAAAAATGAGCGGAAGAGTACAAAGAGGGGTGCGGAAGATGATAATCCTGACGATTACATCGACCCAGAGACACCTGCTGGGGAGAAAAAGAAACTTTCGCGTCAAATGGCAAAGCAGTATAGCCCCAGTGCGGTTGAGAAGGGGTTCGCATCTCATTATCGTGCCGTATTTTACATGCCAAATCGATTTCATATTTTATTTTTCCTTATAATTTCATTCATGTGGTCTGTTAGGTGGTATGCTTGGTGGGAAAAATCGGACTTTTTCTTAGCAGATGCTAGCAGCTCAAAGCCTCCTTTTGTTATCGTAAGTGTACTCTGTGTTGCCATCTATTTATATTACATTTCTGAGAGAGAAATGGTAAAGAACAATCCTTGTGCGGTTAAATCATTTCGTCTATAGTATGCTTCTATCGTCCGTCTAAAACTACATCTTAACGGGCACAGTTTTGTAGGTTCTACCTCCGCCAAATGTGACGGGTGCCCTACACATAGGCCATGCTTTAACAGCTGCTTTACAGGTAGGCGTGAATATTCCTCTACGTCCAATATGCAATGGAACCAGTCAGGGTTACACTGTCAAGCCATGATTATATGACTATTACTCCTGCAGGATGCTATGATTCGGTATTATCGAATGTCAGGCTATAATGCATTGTGGGTGCCTGGCATGGACCATGCTGGCATAGCAACCCAGGTTCTTTCTTTTTCCTATCATCTTATAGAATATGCTTATATTTTTTGAGGGAGGATTTGTCTAATTATGCATTGATTTAAATGTGTGGCTTAATGGAATAAGTCCTAATTTAAAATCCGTCGGGTGAGGACAAATGTACTGATATGATGTAATATGCTAAAGTGTAGTTGTGCAAGAAATTTGAATACTCTGTAACTTATATTTATGTTGTTTTTGATACTGTCACTTCTTAACAGTCTCCAGTTTTCTATGTTGCATATTCTTTCATGAAGTATGAAGAAGTTATGTTGTTTTATAGAATATGTTGTTTTTGATACTTTCACTTCGTCAAAGTATGAAGTTATTTAATTCGAACAAGGTGGATTGTTCAAATTGTGGAACTTCCTGGGTGATAACCATCAGTAAAAGACCAAGGCGTTGTTAAGTAATGATGATTGAGAAGATAAGTTTAACCGACATAAATCATAGCTTTGAATGACCACTGTTCATTGGGGGGGGGGGGGAGGGGGGGTGTAGTTCTTTGATTCACTATAGCTGTCTTTCTCTTTCAGTCATCTGATTCTGGCATTCTTGATACTGAACAAATCATGATGATCAGTGCATTTTCACGAAGCCTGTCAAAGGGCTTACTGGTCCACTTAACATGCTTTGCTGATGTCTTTTCACGAGTACCGTCATCTTCTTGGCCAAAATTTCTTATTGCATTGTGTCGTTTTTAAATTTTTTCTAGGTTGTTGTGGAGAAGAAGCTAATGCGGGAAAGATCTTTGACAAGACATGATGTTGGACGTGAGCAATTTGTAGCAGAAGTAAGTTAACTTTAATTTCTTCGTTTCCTATGTAAGTATTTTTCTTTCTAAGCTATTTTCTCATTAGAATGTCGTGTGGCCATTGCTAGTTCGTTTAGGGTAGTGTTGCTGTTTCGATTTTTCTTCTGTAAGCACTAACACTCTAATTGATGGACAGGTCTGGAAATGGAAGGAGCAGTATGGAGGTACAATATTGAATCAGGAACGACGTCTTGGTGCTTCTCTTGACTGGTCTCGTGAGGTCAGGATCAGAAAGTAATTATTCTGTTGGAAAGCGGAAATTTCCATTCAACGAGTTTTCAATATTTTTAACTAGGTTTTTTTATCTTTCTTTTTTTTCTTATCAGTGCTTCACTATGGATGAGAATAGATCAAAGGCAGTGACAGAGGCTTTTGTTAGATTGTACAGAGAGGGTCTCATATACAGGTCTGTCTTCTCGGGACTTTTTTCTTGTTTATTGTTTTAATTATTATTATACAGGTTTGATTGGTGATTGGAATGCAATTGAATCGGATTTTTGTATGGTTATGCCGAAACTTTGTTAAACTATAGAGAAGTCTTATAAATGGTCTGTCTGTTCATGGAATCTTCTGTCTTTAATTTGGAAATTATTCGCAATAGAAATAGTAGGTAATTGTTGGACAATCGAATTGGATTTTTCCACTGTTAATTTTGATTCTGTGTGCTGGCATTTGGATTCCAACGTATCTACCTGTTCTTTCATTCTAAACCCTCTATTACACATGATTTTTATTTGTGAGGTGGCATGATGTTAGATAGTCGAATGATTTTAAGTCTGTAGAAGAGAAGTCAACAACAGAAATATAGTCAAGATAGATTCCAAACAATGGCGGTGCATGTTTTTTCTAATATCTACATGTTTTTTCTCATAAAGCATTCTAGCCATTCCTGGCAGCCAATGGTTTATCCAGTGGTTCAATAAGGTCGTTAAATAACGAATGACATGTTTTTTATTCATGCTTTAGTGAATCATCGTACCCATAAACATAGTTTATATCTTATCATCGTCAAGTTTGTATATAATCTAGGAAGAAATTCAAGTTTTTGACTAGCTAGTTGCCTGGTGTAAACTGTATAATGTTGGTACCTGTTCCCTAACAAGACCTACTTTAGACATGAGAGGGTTTATAAGATGTCTCATGATGCCAATGTACGTGCGGAAACAAAAGGTGTCGCTGACATTAAGCTCGTGCTACCATGAACTAACTTGGAGATATTCATTAAGGGTGGATGGAGTAACATAAGTAAAATTGGTATAGGAATACTCTGGTGTAACATAAGTAAAATTGGTACAGGGATACTCAACATTCTCTGGTGAAACTATCACCCGAAGCGCAGTTCAAGTATGACCAGTGTTTACTTCACTACTGACGACTGGAAGAAATAGGGGCAACGAATTTCAATCGTCACTATGGAGAAGCCTTCGAACCTATCCGCTTATTTCTTCTAGAATTGTATAACCTATCTATAATGGTTTCAACGGATTTTCCAAATTCCTTTCCAAGTTGACAGACTTTAAAAAAATCAACGGTTGAAGCGTATGATGATATACTTTGATCTTAATGGAGAGCCTTTTTTATTTGTAATCTCGTCTTCTAAAATAGTTTGATCTTTGATGTGTCTAACTATGTATCTTTAAACATTCTGATTGATGTGGTGGGTTTGAAAATGTTAGGGAGAAGGATGTACAGTATCTGGAAGCACCTTTTTCTAAATATTATGGGCGGCCTATTTGGTTAATTTTTTGGTGCCTAATTTCCGAGCGTTTTTTTTTTGTAACTTAATTTATTGCCTGTTTCCAGGGATCATCGGCTTGTAAATTGGGATTGCACATTGCGGACTGCAATTTCTGATATTGAGGTGCTCTTATTCTCTTTGTCCAGGGAATTGTTTCTTGGGTTGTTAATGAGTGTGCCCTGAATAAGACACTGAACAATTTTGTCTATCTCAATTAGGTTGATCACAAGGAGATCAAGGAGAGGACTCTGCTGAAGGTTCCTGGGTATGCAAACCCAGTTGAATTTGGTGTTCTGACATCATTTGCGTATCCTCTTGAGGAGGAGTTGGGTGAGATTGTTGTTGCGACAACTAGAATAGAAACAATGCTCGGTGATACAGCAATAGCTGTTCATCCCGAGGATCCAAGGTACACTCATCTGCATGGAAAGTTTGCAGTACATCCATTTAATGGCAGGAGACTCCCCATAGTTCTGGATGCAATCCTTGTCGATCCCAATTTTGGAACTGGTGCTGTTAAGGTATTGAGATATGAAATTTAGGACGAAGCAGAAGCTAAAATTCTATTTTAAGTTGTTATAAATTCGTCTGAATTTCAATTTGTCGTTTCTTACTTCCAGATTACGCCAGCTCATGACCCCAACGATTTTGATGTTGGAACGCGCCATAACCTTAAATTTATTAACATATTCACTGACGATGGGAAGATAAATAGCAATGGTGGGAAGGAATTTGAAGGGATGCCACGTTTTGAAGCTCGTAAAGCCATAACTGAGGCCTTGAAGCTCAAGGTAGATGAAATGTAGCATGCGTTTACTATTTCCATTCGCCAACTGTTCCCGACAGTTGATAAAGAAGCTCTTCGTCCATAAAAGGGAAACTTATGAAAGAAATTTGTTGTTTATTATCCCTTTTTGTATATTTATGCTGTAAATCGTATCGAGATTGCAAGGCCACCTAGACATTCTGCCATACCCAAGACAAGACTTAAGTTTTAGTATTCTGCTAATGTCTGGTGTTTATATTTGTATTTGCTTTTGTCATATCCTGTATTCCCTGTCTTTTGCACTTCAATCACTCTGTCTTTTTGATTTATGGATTACTTATTTCTATGCTTTCGAACCATAGGGGCTTTACAGGGGTGATCAGAAGAACGATATGAATCTAGGCATCTGTTCAAGAAGTGATGATGTCGTGGAGCCAATGGTGAAGCCACAATGGTTTGTCAAGTGTGACACTCTGGCAAAGGAAGCTCTTGATGCGGTCATGAATGAAAACAATAAGAAGATCGAAATCATCCCAAAGCAATATGCTCTTGAATGGAAAAGGTTCGCATAGTTTTCCTCTAGCTTGCTTTGCGGTGCTTTGATGCCCGCAGGACATGGTTTTCAGGGGAAAATTTAAAGATCTGTAATTAGTTATCTGTAAATTTTTCAGGTGGCTTGAAAACATTCGTGACTGGTGCATTTCAAGACAGCTTTGGTGGGGTCACCGAATTCCTGCTTGGTATGTGACACTGGATGATGATAAGTTTAAAGAGGTAGGGTCTTATGATGACCACTGGGTGGTTGGAAGAGATGAAGATGAAGCTCTTCTCGAGGCAAACAAGTTGTTCTCAGGAAAGAACTTCAAGATTATTCAGGATCCAGATGTGTTAGACACCTGGTTTTCATCAGGTCTTTTCCCATTGTCTGTGCTTGGTTGGCCAGATAACACAGAAGATTTCAGTACATTTTATCCCACCTCTGTTCTTGAGACCGGGCATGATATTCTCTTCTTTTGGGTTGCTCGGATGGTGATGCTGGGAATGAAACTTGGAGGAGATGTGCCTTTTAAAAAGGTAATTCTGTTCTCTTTGAGACTTTTTGATGAAGAATGCTCATTGAATTCAGTTGTTTTTTTCCCTGGAAACCAATCAGACTTGGTGTCTATATTTAGGGATGAAATATTTTCTTTGTCATCAGCCTTGTCTTTCCTTGCTTTATTAAGGATTGTTACAAGAGAAAATTATGTCTCCAAGCTCACTTTTCCGCAGGTTGTGCTCATATCTAGGACGCTGACAGTGATTTATCTTTTATGCAAAATGGTTTCCATTTTTGATGGTTCTAAGGACAGATCTTAATCTTGTTGTGCTGTATAAAAAAATAGAAATATTTTGCAGCCAGCTTAAGACTTTTTTTTCAGTGCTTAGAATGCCTGAAAAAGATGATAACATCTCAAATGTCTTCAGGTGTACTTGCATCCTATGATCCGGGATGCACATGGCCGCAAAATGTCCAAGTCCCTGGGCAATGTTATCGATCCACTTGAAGTAATAAATGGGATATCCTTGGAAGGCCTACATAAGAGGCTTGAAGAAGGGAACCTGGATCCGAGAGAGTTAACTGTTGCAAAACAAGGACAGGTGAAGGACTTTCCGTCTGGGATTCCGGAATGTGGTGCGGACGCGCTCCGGTTTGCCCTCATCTCAGATACTATGCAGGTTTCTTCTGCTCCATTAGCTGAGATAGTTGATTCTATCTTCTTTCTTTAAAGATATTTCTTTACACTGAAGTTCCTTATCTTGCTTTCCTTCAGTCTGATAAGATCAACCTTGATATCCAAAGGGTTGTGGGATACCGACAGTGGTGCAATAAACTATGGAATGCCATACGTTTCGCTATGATTAAACTGGGAGATGATTATGTTCCTCCTGAGCAAATCGCTCTTGATTCCATGCCCTTCGCTTGCAAGTGGATCCTGTCTGTTTTGAACAAGGCCATATCAAAGACCGTATCCTCCTTTGAGGCGTCTGATTTCTCGGGTGCCGCAAGTGCGGTGTATTCATGGTGGCAGTCTGAACTTTGTGATGTATTTATTGAAGTCATTAAGCCATACTTCAATTCAGAGAATGATTTTGAGTCTTCGAGGGCATCTTCAAGGGATACTCTCTGGGTTTGTTTGGATAATGGGTTACGGCTCCTCCATCCATTTATGCCATTTGTTACTGAAGAACTGTGGCAGCGTCTTCCTCAAAAGGCCACAAACTCATCTGCGCGGAAACAATCAATAATGATATCGGAGTACCCATCTGCTGTGGAGGTGAATCAAACAAGCGAATTTAATCTTCAATGCTCATCTACTTGCGAATGCGAATTTAATATCCTGATGTTGATTTTTTTGTGTTTACTTGACAATCATCCACAGGCGTGGACGAATACAGATGTTGAAAACAACATGAAGGTTGTGGAATCGGCAGTCAGATCTCTGCGATCCCTCCGCTCTCTGAGTGATAAGAACGAGAGGTATAGAAATTTGCCAAGTGGGGTCTTATCTATGCCTTGATGGTGATATAATTTTATTTCTTTTTGTTCATGTTTTAAAATTTACAGGCGACCTGCATTTGCACTCTGTGCGAACGACGAGGTTGCAAATATCATTGGAACCTATGAACTTGAGATCTCTACTCTTGCCAACTTATCGTCACTGAAGGTACTTGCAGGCCCTCCTCTGAATAGAACCCGGATCGAATTTCTTCTACTTAGAAAAGGGAATGTTGGTGGTATTTTTTTCGCCTTGATGATTGGTTGCCATATAAGAGTCATTATTTTTTTTTCAATTCACGTCTCCTACCTTGAGGTGAGGAATTGGGCGTCTGATTGTCCGTCCGTCCGTCCGTCCGTCAGTCCGCGTTCCTTTTTTTTTTTTTTTTTTTGTGTTGACTACCGTGAATGATGCAATGACGTGATCTGAAGGGTTGTGGTAGTTTATCTTATATCTCCCACATCGAGATTTTTGTTGTTGATAATATTACTTAAATTGTTCCTTGTTCATCTCTTGGGGGGGGGGCCTGTTGTGATGATCCTGGTGCGGTAAAATCTCCTTGCACAGGTCTTAAGAAAGTCCGACGCGCCGCCCCCATCAGGGTGCGTGGTAGACATTGTAGACGAGGAGCTGTCGGTGTACCTCCAGCTTCAGGTGACGATTGATGTGGAGGCTGAGCGCGAGAAGCTGAGGAGGAGGAGGGAAGAAGTGCACAGGTAAGTGGGTTCTCTTGTGTTTTCTTATGTGAGAGCACTGACGAGTGCTCCATAGTTAGTTGCTTACGACGAGTGTTCTCTGGGGGTGTTTGTTGTGTTCTCGTTGCGCGACTATCACTGTTGTTGTCTACTCGTTGGTTTTCTTGCAGACAGCACGGCGCCCTCGTGCAGAAGATGAATAGCTCGGGTTACAAGGAGAAGGCCAGGCAGCAGATTCGGGACGACGACGTCTCCAGACTCAGCAAGCTCCTCCAAGAACTCGAGATCATAGACGAAGCGGAATCAAAATTAGCTCCTCCTTCCAGATCAAGGGAGAGATGATTTGCCATAAAAATAATAAAGAATAAAAAGAAAAAAAAGAAAGGAAAGGAAGATTTTTGGCCGATTCGATCATTTCATGGGCGCCGCTGCGCTTAGCGTTTGGTAACTTTGGAAAAGAGGATGCTGAAGTCAGTCAAGCTTTGGGTCTTTGAGAGCCCTTTATTTCTGCTGAGTTTGCCCCTAAATTGCCCCGTACCGGCGAAATTTATGGAGTAATTAAAGTTTTACCCTTTGATCTATAAATTTCCACCTTCGCCGCAGCGCCGGATTCAAACAAAATTTTCCTTGGATCCCATAACAAAGCTAAGAACATCCAAAAAGACACATAAACATATTTATTTAGGTTTCGGCCAAAATTTTCATTAAGGTCCTGACTTTAGGCTCAGAAAGCATATTTATTCAACATTTACCCAAAATTTTCCTACAGGGCCCATAATAAGCCCAAAACTTCAAAAAAAGGCTCACGCAATGTTTATTTTCGATTTTGACAGAAAAAAAATCATTTAACCCTGAATAACACAGAAAACTTTTAAAAAATCCTCGCCCAAATATGTATTCATCATTTGACCAAACATTTCCTTAGAGTCTCATAAAAACCTGAAACTTCCAAAACAGACTCAAAAATTAATTTTTTAGGTTTTGACAAAATTTTCATTAACAGAAACATAAAAAATGGCTCAGAAAGCATATTTATTCAACATTTGCCCAAAAATTTCCTCTAGGGCCCATAATAAGCCCAAAACTTCAAAAAAAGGCTCACACAAGATTTATTTATGAAGAAAATTTCATTTAAGCCCTGAATAACACAGAACTTTAAAAAAATAAATCCTGAGCGAAATATTTGTTTATCATTTGATCAAAAATTTCGTAACAATCCCATAAAAACTGAAACTTAGAAAAGAGACAATATTTTGACAAAGTTAAGGTACTACTCTCAACTTTTGTACTTTAATTTTTGACAAGATAGTTTACATGATGCCCACATTAAGCGGATAGGACCATTTTTAATTAATCAGGTCAAAAGAGATGAATCCCGTTTAATTAATCAGCTTATTTACTAAACACAAAGCCCACCACGGTAGGGAAATCTGACCACCACTGTGTATTCTTGTTCATTTGATCCAAAAATTCGTCAGTTTTCAACCTGTGGGAATTATTTCTGGAATGGGCTGAGAAGGGCGAGATGGGGGGAATTGGTTAAGCTCGAAGTTGGGGCCGTTCTTCTTCCTACTCGTGCAGGTTTCCTGCACTTGTGTGCGTCCATCCGTCTTTCTCACCGCTGTCGATTCTTTCTTCTCATTTCTTCCAGCTGCTTCGGTCGACGGATGGAGGTGTCGGCCTGAAAGCGCTGGCCTCCCTTCCGTTTCGTCTGGCTAGGCGAAAACGGTGGCGGAGGGCGGCGACGGTCCCCTCTCCCGAAGGACGTCCCGTCTACTTCTCTTCCTCCGGACCGCGAGCTTCGAGTGAGGAGCGGCGTCTCTTGATCTGAGTCGTCTTCCTCCCCTTCACCCTCCTTGGGTGACGGCGCCAGAATCAGCGACAAGTATCGGGCGGCGTCCAGAGTCACAAGCGTGAGGACTTTTCCTCACAGCAAGTTGGCTGACGACAGCTTCCTCCCCTCCTTTCTATTTCTGGACATTGAAGCGTGTGCTAAAATGTGTGAGAAGCTTTCGTAGGGGAGAAGGACGGGAGTATATGATTCTGGGTGCGTTAGGCCACTACAGTAGGAGTATACAAATCATCACCTAGGTGTAGAATGTGGTTGTGTTATGAGGAACTTTTTGTGAGGATATTGCAAAGACAATACACATTCCCTTTTCGTTTCTCAAATGCAATGAATATGCCCAATTTTAGGGGGAGGAAAGAAAACTGAAGATCAAAAGTTAACAATGGGCTTCTGGCAGTCCTCAGTAACCCTTTTCCTTAAAAGGCCTGAAGCAGATCAGAATCAGCTGATCCCCATAAGATCTTATGATTTTTGGAGGATTTCTTTGTTTTTTTCCTTTTTATTTATAGCGTTCAAGGAGTGTTGTACGTTTAGCTCCTAGATGTATTAGCCAGACAATTTGGCAAATGATGCCCCACCCATGTCATCCTCTTTTTTACAGTCTTGCAGTTGTCAGGACCATAACCTCCCTATCAGCCTGCTTCCTTTTCCGACAATGATAATGATAATGATTATTAATGAAATGAGGGGTGAAAGAAATTGTATGCATGACCGATAAAGTGATAATATGTCCTCGAATTCCTTGCATTTGATCATGATGATGTGTAATTTTTTTTGTAGTTCAAGCTTTACAGAGTTGCTTGCAAGGAGCTTCTTTACCAGGCTTTCAGAAGGGATGAACAAACTCTTAAGTGGCCTTCAAGGCCTTCTTGGGCCTAGTTTCCGAGGCAGATATTCCCATGTAGGTGTCTTGCCATTCTTGCTCATTCTTTTGCTTCAGTTACCATCTAAGGTGTTCTTTCCCTTGCCTAGCCTTTTACTTGTATTCTAATTGTACAGTAACTAGTTATTACCTTAATTGCTAACATATTTCTTAGCTTCTTGGTTTTTGAAGAGACCATGACCAAATAATGGTACCGATCATCCTTTTGAACATTTGAAACGTCCTTGAAACAATTGTATGGCTTTCAAGTTTTCTAGAAATGGCTTCACTATTCATTGGAACTTAGTTGCTGACAAAAGTGACCTCGTGGCATCTATGAATCGTGTTGCCCATGGAAGAGTATACTGTTGCAGTGTTTGTGGAATCGATAACTTTAGTACACACTTGGCCTTTGTGTATTTACCACCATCAGTATTTTTCTTACTTCATTTTTTATTCTTGATCTTGGTGTAAACTTGGAGCGTCCTGGATTTTTTCAGTTGGAAGTGTTCCACTTACTTCTAGAATTCCTTTGATCCATGAAGCTTTTGCACATTCAATGGGCGATTCATCCTAGATTAATTTGCATTGATTTGTCATTTGAGCCTCTCTCTTGAGTATTTTTGCTTTTTTTTTTCTTCTTGCAGGCTTCCCTCTCATCATTTCCTTCCTGGACTCAAAAACCTTTTTTTAGGCATCTAGCTTCCAGCACAGTAGACGGTGAACCAGCTGTGCTTAACAAAGCGGCAGATGTTGCTTCTAAGCAAGGGGGGGACGAAGGATCAAATCAGAGTGGCCCTGCTGGAAAGCCTGTTAGGGGAGGGGTAACTGCTGCTCTGTTCTTACTATATTTTGCTTCAGCCCATCCGCTAATGTGTTCTCATCTCTTCTTGAATGTTCCCTGGTGTGTTCTTCACTGGGTTCATGGAATGGTTTTGTCATCCGTTCATTTATTGATTCTCTCATCATGTGAAATGAATGTGTCCAACTATTTAATAAATATCCAAGATTCCTTAAGAGCCATAAAAAACGCTTTTTAAATGCAAGGAAATGGAATTCATTATTATTGAGCGGGGAACTCAGAAGCTGAATTGAAGGGATCATGTCTCGTGATGCCACCAATTGCGGACTTGTTGGGGTGTCCGTGGGCTGAAACCGGAAAATCAAGCACATCAATCGCCTTTCCACTTCTCTCATAGGCTGAAACCCAATCTTAGCCACTACTTACCTAATCCATCAGGCTACCTGATACTGAAGACAATTTACATAAAGGGAACTGTCCTGGGAAGAACAAAATAAAAGCTGACAGTTGCCTATGAAGTGGTCTTCAGATAACGCATGTGATTCAGTTTGGATTTAGCTCTTGACCCTAGAAACTTCAAGAACAGGTGACTTAGGTCTTCACCCATGGTACCTACCGTCTTCTTCAACAAATTTGGTCTTTCTTTCCTAATAATTAAAAAATGAAGATGTTACAAGGATAGGGCTTGAATAAACCAATCCATACTGTGGTAGTACCACCCCCTGTCGACGAGCTTTATCCAGGGATAGACAGATGACACTATTTAGTCCACTTGAATCTCAACCATCAATCCTCCAAAGCCAGTTGGCTGGAAAGTGCTGTCGGAAGTGTCTACACTAACCACTTCAGTTTTCTCTTACTTCTAAAACCTCTGTTCCATTTCAACAAATGACTGTCTTAGTCGTCTTCGGATGCCCCATACAAAACCCATACCCGGTAACAGCCTCCATTCTCTCCTAGTTTACGATTTGGCCAATGTATCCCCTGGGAATATATCTCTCCATTCTCTCCTGTTATGAATAGCCCTCCTCCCTCCATCGCCTCTCTTCTTTTTCAAAGAGGGAGGCAAGCAGAAGCTACACAGAGAAAAAACGAGGAAGGCGGGGTGCTGTGTGTTCTTTGACTCTCTTCTTTAGCTAAAGTCCTGAAGTTACCTTTCAGTGAATAGTGTGCCATGCCACCATCTTCTGTGCAACGTTTGCCTTGATAATCCCGCTGGTCATAGCAGAAGAAGGGGCATGGAGATAAAATTACGTCTCAAGTGTCTCTAGTCAGTCTATTGGTTCCTTTACAATTTATATATTTTTTTCTTGTAATACTTGCATAATTTGTTTTTTCTATTCTTGGTACCCTTGTTATTTCCCCTTGCCCTTGGTAACTTATATTGTTTATTCCTCTGCATTGAGTCTTCAGCCTGTGTCATGGCTCAGTCTTCTTTTGCTTATTTTGACCGGAGGAGGTATCATCGTTTACTATGACAAAGAGAAGAAACGGCACATTGAAGGTTTGTGATAGCTGTTGAATGGGAAGACGGAAACTTCTGCCTGTTATTTGCATCAAATTTATTTATTTAAGTTAATAAATATTTTCCTACATTTCTCAGTTCTTATTTTCTTATTTTTCATAAAACCCGATTACTTTCTATCACTTGTTACACTTGTGTGAACATTTTTTTTTTAAATTTCTTGAACCAAGTTCAACTTATGTTGTTTTCCTAATAGCTACCGAATCGGAGATCTTGGTTAATGCATGAAATACAGCCTATTCTGGACTACCAATGTATGAATTTCCTCAAGAAAAATTAATGTGAAGTCAGATAAATTCTCTCCTCATTGAGTATCAGCCTCCTTATCGTAATCTTTTTTATCTTCATTACTTCCAAATATAACATGATTTATGCTGTAGAATTAAAGGTGTCGTCTACCGCAACCAAGCCAGGACCTTCTGTGGGAATGGCTGCTATTGGCGGCCCGTTCAAGCTCATCGATCACGATGGGAAGCCTGTTACAGAGAAGGACTTTGTTGGCAAGTGGACTCTAATATACTTTGGCTTTACTCACTGCCCAGATATTTGTCCAGATGAACTTCAGAAGTTAGCTGCTGCTGTTGACAAAATTAGTAGGTTCCCCTCTTCACTTCTCTTTCACACCATCTCAGATTCAGATTTCTTCTATGCTCTCTCATGATAACTGGCCATGGCAGTGATTTTCATGTCCGTTTCATTGTTTAGATAACCGGGTAGTGCTACTTTTATATCTCCTTCCTTATCATTATCCTTCCTACGATCTCATCTAGTTCTGTGTTTCAGTTTTTTTTTTTTTTTTTTTTCTCTGTATTAAAAAAATGTAGGATTGTCGCTGAAGCCTTTCGTCGTAAAAACCCTCTTGCAGAATCAGTTGCAGGCATAGAGATCGTTCCTATTTTCATCTCCGTTGACCCTGAGAGGGACACTGTTGAACAAATCAACGACTACGTCAAAGGTAACACCTTCCCACTTCAGTTTCTTCATTTCTTCAGACTTGAACCCTCGATATGCTGAATATTCTACCCACGGTCACGCCCGAAAGATATTGCGACCGCATGGTGTTAATGAGGTGTTGTTCTCGCATGATGGTTCCTGCCAGCAAAGAACTCGTCCCTTTTAAATGGTGGAATTATGTGTTCTTGATGTCAATAAGCATGGTCCCATGTTGGAGTGCTACAGAAAGAGAAAACCTGCGTAGCCATGATGTGTGGGTTGGATGGCTCAGTAACGTTGACATGGTCTCAGAGCTGATGGTTAGTTGTTTGCGGGCTGAACGCACCCATTGACAAGATGATGCCCAGAAGTCAACGTAGATGGAATCATATGCGGCAGAAATGCTTAAGAATAGTTCCATATATGGAAGAAAATTCTTTTATATAATCTTGTTCCTTCTTCCCTTGCAGAATTCCACCCAAATTTAATTGGCTTAACGGGAACTAACGAGGCTGTGCGGGAAGCAGCTCGCGCCTACCGGGTTTACTATATGAAGACAGAAGAAGAGGGCTCTGACTATCTTGTTGATCACTCCATCGTCATGTACGCGTTGCATCACGCTGTTTGATAGTTTTCTTCCATATAGAATTTGCGTTCACCTTTTTTTTTTTTTTTTTTTTTGATGATGCACTGGTTTTTAGGGTTTTTTTTTTAAATTTGAAACGTTATAAAAATGCTTGGACTCTATGATCCAGAAAACAGATTTCCGTTGTCATCTGCTCCGGTGGGTTGACTTTTGTGCTGTATAATGTGTGATCTTCCAATGAGGTGGCCGTTGACTTGATGGTTCTGGCTTGCAGGTACTTGATGAACCCGAAGATGGAGTTCACCAAGTTCTTCGGCAAGAACTACGATGTGGACGCACTCTCTGAGGGTATAATCAAGGAGGTGAAGCAGTGGAAGAAGTAGGTGGTGGGGGTTATTTGTGGGTTGGGTTGTTTATTGGCCGCATTCATTCCCCAGAGGACACAATTTTTGCTGACTACCTCTGCAACGGTAGCTACTCTCTCACTTTCTATTTGGTTGGTTCTTCATTTTTGTCATCAATAAAATTTTCCCTGAAACTCGATTTAGATATGTAACCCATTAAAGCCTCTCTCTCTCTCTCTCTCTAAAAAGCTATTTGTCTGTCTGTCTGTCTGTCTCTCTCTCTCTCCTCTCTCTCTCTCTCTCAAGAGCTATCTATCTGTACCTCTCTCTAGCTGGGATACTGAAGCGTCCCCCGTGCCCAGTAATCTCGACCTCCAGCTCGTGAATGCACTTGGCCATAATCTATTGAGTTTGGAGGTGAGCAATGTGCATTTTTTAATGAAATATGTTGTAAAACAAAATTCACAAAATAAAGCAAACATGCGTAGAATATTGCCTGAAATTATTTTCTTATCTCAATGAAGCGAGGATATTATATTGCCTTCAAAAAAGGATCATACAACGCCTCCCCATTCACTCAATCTGAGAACACCTCTTGAGGAATTCCTAGTTCTTGTGGCTCCTTCTAGACTTGAGTTACTTTAACCGTGATTAGCAGTAAACCACATGGCGAGTCAAGGGAAAGGGGTGGGTTCTGACAAGTAGGAGGACGAAGACAAGAACATTAGTATTTTTGGGCAATCTAAAGTAACTAAAGATTTAAATATTCCATGAATTTTAATTCTTGAGTCTCTTCCTCATATTTCACACAAACAAAATAACAACGAAAAAAATAAATCCGTTAATAAAGTTGACCCGTTAAAAAATATTTCCTTCTTTCTTCTCACAGCCTGGACTAGGATGAAGAGGTCACTTGAGGAATCAAGGAAGAACAATCATCAACCATTTTCACTGATGCAAAGATGATCATGTTCAGGAACCTCTCACTATTCCCACTGCACCGAAATTGAAGAGCAGAAGATCGATCATCAGAGATTGCTCATCAATGATCGATGATGGTCTTGACATAACCCAACGATTTATGGAGGGCAATCAGATAATCACGATCAAAATTTTCTCAAACATTCCTCTAGTTCATCAAGTCGGTGATGATAAGGTTTCTGGGGAAGGCATATTTTCAAGGGTCCAGGGACAGCTGGTATTCACACACACGTTCAATCAGTGTGGCGAGCAACACTGGGTGATTCGTCATAAACCCTTTTTTCTGTTTTTTAAAGTCAAAGCTAGCGCTGAAATGAGACAGAATACGAACCAGTGTTGGGATCCTTGACAGCTTTGAAGTTATCAACACTCATCCCGAATCGCCCCAGCACAGAATTTCCGAGGTCCTTCAGCTTCCCTGGGAGGTACAAGAAAAGCTTGTGTCAATTTACGCGCGCTGGATGCATAGTTTTAAGTTCAACAAACAGGGCAATGGGGGCTTAAATCCTGCAAACTACTCCCTAGGGTTTAGAGGGGCCTGAAATAATTTATCAAGCTACCACAAAGATTCAAGAAATCTGGATGGTTTTATCCTTCAGGGTCATTTTGATTCAGCTGAATGAGTGAAAATAATTTTATTCATGTCAAAGATAAAGCCAACAGCAATGACTGCAGATAACTAGTGAGAACCTCACTTTCAGAGTAAAGAGATTATGCGGAAGTTGAGGCGAGGAGAGAATATAATTTGGTCATGTTCTTTCCCAAATGAAGCTTGATTTTTTGTATTGGAAATTATTGTCCAAAAAAAAAAATAATCCTTTTTTGTCAGACCAATTGTGATACATTAGAGATGCGTTCATCTAAAAACTATTATTTTGAAAAAAAAAAAACCAGCAATTAGAAAATTATCCCCCATAACCCAAGTTGAAACTGGGCGATATTTATGCTCACCGATCATCTCGTCCTTCAGCTTCTCTCGTTTTTCTGCCGCCAGTGGCTCTAATCTTCGAATCGCTTTCTCTGCTTCCCTTCTGGACTGGACATCTGATGGGTGTAATTCGATTATCTTTTTCATGTCTGCAGAAGGATAGAAAGACGCACCAGTTTCAGCAAAGAACACAGGATAATTTATCGGAGAAGTAAAAGACTCTTGACTTCATTTCAGATGTCCACGTTTACCTGCAATGGCCTCATCAAAGTGCTGTAGTTTCTCGTGAGCTTCTCCTCTTCTGAGCAGTGCTTTCAGATATGAGGGGTTCAAGTCCAGGGCCTTAGTGCACTCCTTAGTTGTGTCCTCGTACTTTCCCTGAAGAGAATTGTTGAGATTCCACAGAAGGAAAACAGACTTGCAATTCCAATAATATGGAATTGTTACATTACGAAAATGTAAAAAATATTCTCAATTTTTAGGTACTGAGAAAAATAAGGAATAAGTTTATCTTGGAAGATTTCATTGGGAGTCACAATTAAAAAAGGGTTTTGGATTGTGGTAAATTGAAAAATATATAGCCAGAATTTATTTTCCACTAGTAGAAGTAGAAAAGAGGAGGAAAATAAATAATTGATGCATAGTTAATAATTTTTTTCCGATATAAGAAAACTAACCCACTAAGGCGAAAACTCAAAACCATTTGAAAATAAGGAAATGATTGGGTTTCCTGGAATAACTTACAACCAAAATATTAGAATTAAAAAATAAGTATCTAATCCTTAATGATTACTGAGGACAACATAAAATATGCCAGTATTATCATCAACTTTTTAGTTTTTTCTTCCCAGTTAGAATCTTCTTCCTGCAATGTTCCATAGCCACAAGTTTTAGAAAGAAAAAAGTAAAACAAATTCCTGAGAAATTATTGGAAATAAGCAGCGTTTAACAGACACTACACCAAAATATCTTTTAAATACTCAATCCTTTGTCTAGAAGAAACAGGTACAAATAAGATCTCTACGTAATAACAAAAATTATCCCGGTTAACATTTATTGACAACGGTGGGAAGGAATGGGCCCTGATATTATTCAGAACAAGGATGCAAACTAGTAGTAAAGGTAGGTCACCTCCAAATCCAAAAGTGATTTTGATCCAATTGCAAAACCTGTCCAATTTCCAATACTGTGGATCAAAGTAAAATGCAGATGAATTTCCATGAAGCCAACCCTTGGGCTTCAGAACCCCAGGCACAACCTGAAGAGTGAACTAGAAAACTAGAATACAATAAAAGCTGTAGTATGCAGTAACCCTGTCCCAACTAAAAATGCACACTATTAGATATTCCCGACATACCCCTTATAATTCACTAAGATACTAGATCATGAACGTTACACATAATTTTTCTTCAAAATTATGTAGTGGACCTAAAAGCCTCGTTCAAAGATATAGTGTCTCCCTCTATGAAGCCCAAGAAATTATTTAAGGCAGCTAATCATTTTTTTTATTCTTTCCCCACAAGAAGCCGGTTGGAATTCTGCACTCCTTAAAAGTTAATCCCCAATTATGAGATAGAAAGGATTGATTTGCAGTAAAATTACACAAAACTTGCTGCAACTTTTGAAGTAATCTTCTCGACCAAAACGTGCTATTAAAAGTCATCAATCCAGTTAACCATGAAGTCTTTATTAAATACTTCCGTTCCAACCAAGCCTCTTACCTAGCATTTCTATCCACATATTGCCAAACACACTTTCTTCCATCCTCTTTTAAAAAGTGGTTTCTTTTTCCATCAATTATCTTCACCATTCCCATAGGCATTTAAGAAACCAAAAGTGCATACGTATCCAAATAGTATATGTAACATCTAGGACTCAATCCAGATTCCACCGTAGAAAAAAATCTTAATTTTCTATCACTCAAGTATTCCTCTAGTTTGTTTTAACATCCCAGTATGTTATTTAGCCCAAATTATTATCCTGAATGTCGATTCTAAAAAAAATTATTTTGTGAAACTAAGGTAAATGCCATACGGACAGAGATCACAAATAAGATGTTACGTGCTTTTCTGTATCATGCAGTTAGAAATGCAGGCAAAACAAATGAGGAATACAATCTTCGGTGCAAGAAAATGATGAAATTAACAGTGAAGGATGACGAAATGGTAGATTAGAGGGTTGAAAGTTGTGACAATTTCAAAGATTCTATGGAATAATTGATATCTGAACGACAAATAATGGTTGGGGTGATGTTTCTATGCACATCTTGTTTGGTTATGATCAAGGATGAGTATTCTAATTCTTGCAAAACAGTTTTCCTCAATTCAAACATTAAAAGCAAGTGTGTACTCATAAAAGTATGACTAATTTCCATGTTACAATAAGAACGACCTTCAATTTTAAGAAAGAGATGAGATGGTAGATTGAATATTATCCTGTGAAATAAGCATAATCCGAACAACATTTCACAGTTGAATTAATTTAGTAAATTAAATCAATTTTAAGAAAACCTAAAGTAAGAGATTTATCAATGGGTAATGTTGCTCCAATACCTAATTCGCCGACTAATTCGGCCTAATTCACATCTTTGTTGAAAAAAATTATTTTGTAATTCCTTACATAAGGACTCAGAAAATACCAGATCCCCACCTACACAAGAAAATTGTTGATAAAATTCCAGAATGGCATTTTATTTTGAATTCTTTTATAAAGCGAAGGACTCAAGTTCAAATAAAAGAAGAGGAGTTGACTAGAAGCAACCATGAGATAACAAAAAGTGCTTTCACCTGGCCAAAAAGGATTCCTTATAATGCAAAATGATGACAACATCACTGGAACCAACCAATCCAAGAAAAAGGTAGGACAGGGTCTCTAAAAAGTGGTCCTGGGATGGTAATATTCCCAGTCTTAAAAATAACACAGAAATGATTACTGAAAAAACCCAAAGGGAAACAGGAATAAGCATACATCGCACTGCAAAATATCGACCAAAAGATTGGAAAATAAGAAATAAAGCAGAAATAAATTCCATTCTGCCAAAGATATTGTGTTGTACGAGCATACAAGAAATTCATTTCAGAGATAAGTAGCTATTATATTACTCTATAGATAAAACAGCTCACCAATTTTGAGTAACATACAGCACGGTTTGCATGACAGATGGAACGGACTTCCAAAGATGAAGTTATCTCAGAAGCAAATTGCAAGGCCAATCTATACTTTTCCAGTGCTTCTTCATAATTTCCAGCCCTGTACAACACATTGCCTTCTTCTTTCATGTCATTTGCTTGTGCTAACGCTCTCTGCCACATGAAAAAAATAGATTAAGAATATAAAACACAAATCCAGTCTTAGAAAGACAGAGGGAGAGTGAAATCAATCCAACAAAATTGATTGGTCTTATAAATTCCGCATCCTGTCTACTTTCTAAACGGTAGCATCACCAATATGCCCAGCATGAGAGGAAAACTGTGCCTTCAGCAGTAAAGTAGAGAAGAACTAATTTAACACCAGTAAAACTGTTCATATTCTAGCAAGGTTGTTCTTTAGCACGGTTTGAGTCGCAAGGAACTCGAGCTAATATTACTCCACCTTAACGAAACTTTTGAGTAATCAAAAGTATCAAGATATCAACGAAAAGCACGGAAACAGAACAAGTTCATGTCAGCTGACGATCCTCATTCCGTAATGAAGAAGAAAAATAGCCACATGAACGCGGGGAGAGAAGCACCTGCTCAAGCTGCTCTTCGTCCAGTGCATCCTCGAAAACATCCTCATCGCTAATCATCTCGTTCCCCGCTGAGGACCCCGAAGCCTCGCCCCCCGGGCCCCCCGTGGTCTCCTCTGCATTCTTCGACGCCACAGCTTTCTCCGACTCCAAGATTCCCGCGGCGCAGGGCTCTGTCTCCGGCTCGATGACCACCATCTCCTCGTCCACTCTGCAAATGGATCACAAAATTCTCAATCTCCATGAAATCGAATGAAACCTTCGAAAGTAGAAAAAAATTATACCAAACTAGTAGGGTCTTCGGAGATGGAGTCCGATTAGCACCTGGTCTGATCAGAGGACTTCCTGTGACACTCCTTGCAACCCACCCTGAGACACGCCACCTCCTAGGGCTTTGACGAGGGGGGTGTGTGTGTGTGTGAGAGAGAGAGAGAGAGAGAGAGAGAGAGAGAGAGGAAGGGGAGTTTGGAATCTACGAGGTAAGGGAGGTTGTTTCTGCGTTATTATGGGTTTCTCCACACATTATTTTCAAACATTTAACCCCTTAACTATTTGAAATCTGTGTATTACTCTATTAATCACGGGCTTTGTGGTGGCCCGGAAGCTCCCCTCGTACGGCCCGGTCGAAACGCGTTCTTTACTAGCACATCCCTCGTTACTCTAAAATGCGCCGCCTCAACGATCCAGTTCAAACACAGACCGAATTATTAGAGGATAATTGTTTAACTTAGTTAAAAAAGTAATAATTATATTAAATAATATTTTTAAAACTAAAAGAAGGACTTGTCTAAATAATATTTCTTTGAAATTAATTTAAATTTAAATTACACTTTGGGGGTGTTAATGGGCTTCTTACTTCAAAAAGCCCAAAGCCCACAGGCGATCTGCGGTAGTCCCTCTCCGCCTACACTACCTAGGCAGGTTGGGCCAAGGTTTCAAAAGGTCGGCCCAAAGCCCATTTCAGAAACTCATTTGGCTCTTACTAATTGGGCCAGAGCTCAATTAGGCTGGCATAGATTGAGCCTATCCTATCCTCGGTGGGCCCAGATTTAACAAGTGTTGGGCCTCGGCCCATTTTAGAAGCTCTAGAATGGGTCTTAGTCAACCATTTGTATTTCGGGCCGGGGCCCGGCCCATTTTCATGAAAATGGTAACTCAGGTGAGGTAACCCCGTACTTGTGACTGCAAGTGCAGACTTCTCACAGCTCAGGAGAACAGAACAGAGGAGGCAAAAAAGGAGGGGCTTTTGTTTCTTTAGAACCCTTGAAATAACCTCAGATGGGACAAAAAATAAATCCCTCATCTTGAATACCCAGCAGAAGAAAAAACAAAAAAAATACAATTTTTGGGATAAATTGATTAACCTTTGAAGTTGGGACCGAAATGGGCAGCGCCCACCTGGAACAACAGCCAGAGATTCACAACAGTGCCTTGAATACCCTGAATGAATCCATCACCTGGCGGAGGTCCTCTTCCTCCTCGAGGAAGGCGTTCTCGGGGGTCTGCAGCCTCAGCTCATACAGCCGGTTGTTCTCCACACCGAGCACCGAGAGGTACCGCCGGTCCCACTCAAGCTTGGCAATCCTATCCTGTGGCATCACCGCTAGCTCGTTGTTGTTTGCATATGACTTTATGTTGATCTGCACCCAATTCCCCAGAGAACTTGTGACACAAGAGTAAAAATCCCAAACAATATGTTATATATATCATATCATATATGTTTCTGTGCAAGTGTTTGTATGTATACTACCAAAGTTGAATATTTCATGACACAGAATCTCATTGCATTTGATAATTCCACTGGAATAGATAGTCAGATGCCATTGTAGTGGGCAGAAGAGGTAAGGTCGGATGATGGGGAACTTTCAATAAGATATTAATGAATTTACTTATTTTTTATGTTGCTACATTACTAGTGATTAGATGACGGGATAGTGGTCATCTTTATTATCTACTATTTATCGATATAGAAATTAATATTTATATGCATAGACTGCCCAGTTTGAAGATTTCATAAGCACCAAAATCCCTTTACATTCAACGTCCCACTGAGACAGAGGTAGCATCATGACCGGCAGAAGAGCTGAGTAGAGAAGGTAAGAATTTTCATGCAAAAGTCAGGGAGTCAAATCCAAGCAAAAGAGGAGGATCTATATCGATAAATAAATAAACAAAAAAATTAGTTATTGAAAGGTTTGAGAGGTGAGGAAGGACTTCCCAAAGACAACCATCCTAGTGCGATCACATCAGTAACAACACAGCTATATGAAAAAATAAATAAACAAAGTAAAATATTATAAGCAGAAACCCTCCTCTTTCTCTTGGATTATTCTGCGTTAAAATAAATGGGTTATGAAATCTTCTGCATGAAAATTCTCCATCTTCCGAGCTTATCCCTTCTGCCTGATATGATGGCATCCAAATATCCGTTCCAATGGGATAATCAAACCTAATGGGACTTGGATCATGAAATCTCCAAATTTGGTAGTATGTACATTCAAATCTATATATGGATAAGAAGCACAAAAAATGTTACCACCCAAGTCTGATTGCAGCTGCAATAACGCAGAAAGATGAAAAATTAAAGAAATAAATAATCAAATATTTCCTTGGAAATACTACTTCTGCCCAAAATGAGGGTATCTGAGAATCTATTCCAGTGGGATAATCAAATTTAATGGGACTTTGTGTGATGAAATCTTCAAACTTGGAAGCATAAATGTAAATATGCATTACATATAAGACGTTATAAAGATAACCATCCTAGAGTAATCACATCAATAGTAATGCACCAATGTGAAGAAGAAAAAATAAATTGTTTATTTTTGCTTTACCTCAACTTGGTAGTAGAGCTTCCCATCATCGGCGACTCTGGACGATGTGGAGAGGACTTTGGACTCCCGCCGGACACCGAGCCTCGTGGACATTAATTCAGTCAGGTACTGCCTCAATACCTTCTCCCCAGCATCCTGCGGGGTTCCCAGATCTTCAACACTCTTGTACCTGGAGGACGAAGGGGACGACGCCTCCATAGAGATGTTCTCATCAAGGACGAAAGGGTCCCTGAAGAAGATGTCAGCGCCTGCACCCCGGACCTGGATCCAGTTCTGGGGGTACTTGAAGGTGTACCCGTCAAAGTTATCCAAGAACTCCCTGAACACCGGTGAGGAAAGAGCCAGGGCGGCTGGATCATGCAGGCCCATTTGGGGGAAGATGAAGGTTGATGCCACAAGAGCCATTATCTTCCTCCTGGGAACTGCATAGATCTTAGCTTCGATGATATGGTAGTGATGAATGAACCCTAAAGAAGTATAATTTATGTTCTCAAATCAGGCAAAAGACTGCACGTATGAACCGTTCCTAGAACAAAATCAGGTTGTTCGTCCTGATGTATTATGGCGTTTGGTTGACCTTTCTGATGAACGGGAGAAAAACATGGCCACAATTGGAGTGGATGGAATCAAATACGTAATGATCCTAATTATATATAGTCTACGAAGGTCATAAATGTTTTCCTAAACAATCAGTTTGATTATTCTTATGTCTCTTTACCGAAAGCCCACATATAACCGGTGTATAAAGAATCAAATCTGTAATAATTTCTCATTCTAAGTTACTAAAGTTACCAATATTTAAGAAATCAGCCAGGCTGATCACCATTATAAATAGGATGAGAAAACTGGATCATAGATGATGCAGATAGAGTCAAAGCTGTCCAATGCCCAAATTGCACTCAGTGAAAATAAAATTCTTTAGTAAAATACCCAGCAGACATAATTCGAAGCATTAGAGAGAGGACCCCACTGAAATAGAAAGATAACTAATCCAGCCGAAAAATAGGCCTAATAAATAGCATCTAAAATGATGGATCCTGGTTGACTAGACAGAATCAATCACCACTAGTCGATGGACACTAGAAAGGAATAATTCCTCACAAGGTCACAAGATTACTCTGTAGAACAAGATAAATCACTCGGTCTCAGTTATGTGAGGATTATCATTTCTATGCGGGTAGATAACTATCAGAGAAGCTCTCATCACAGAAAATTGGAGGCAATTCGGGATTGGGTGAAGATTGTCATTAGTAGCTTGATATTACACATTTCTGTTTATTTTCTGTTCCTCAGCATAAACAAGTTAAACAGAAGATGCCGAGGAGACCACTTCCAAGATTCATCAGTGTGAATTTTTTTCCTTAATGGAGCAAAAAAACCAAATATCTAGCACGCGTTCCTTCTTCCCTAGTACCACAATTCAGCGCTCTGTAGGATGATCCGGAGAAGAAGAAGAAAAAAAGGCCAGATAAAATTCAAGGTAATGTAAGCACATACCCAGGAGGCGCTCGGCCAGTTCTAGGCCCGCCGCTCTCCCCTCCACCGTTGAAGAGCAGAGATGGCGGCGTCGCCCAATCCCCGCCGCCGCCGGCGCTGTCTTCGCCTTCAGGTGACCGCATTCCCCGGCAAAGCAGGGAGCCCGGAGAGACTGCACCACCCCGGCAGCCGCACAAGAGGCGGTTGCGGCGGCGGCTGCCAGTGCGGCGGCCATGGTGGCGGCGACCCGTCGGAGGAGATATTTACGGGGATGCCACTGTCAGCGGTCCTCTCCCCACTTCTCCGTCTGTGGATAAGCCCCCGCCCCCCCTCTCTGTTGGCTCTCGTGAAGCAAAGGCTTACGGTTCTCCGCCGGTGCAGGTATCCTCCTCCAATGCGCTGGATAATTGTGTAAAATTTCCGCTTAATTCTTTTACTTCTATCACGAGTTCACATGACAAAAATCACCTGATGAGTAATATGATTCTCACTATATATTTTATAAGATCCTTCTCCATGAATCCCTATATACTTTATCATTATTTTGATAATTAATGAAACAAATAATTAAAAAATGTATCATAAATTCACTAAAAAATAAGAAAAATCTATTTTCTACCTTTTAACTTCATGATTAATTTCTTCTAAATTTTAAAAGATTATAAACCTTAGATAATCATTTTAGTATATAGATAAAACATATATTCATATCATAAATTTTAATAATGTTCAAATTAAATGTAAATTCATCACATGATTTTTCTAAAACAAGTACTATCGTATTTTAAATTAAAGAATTTATATTTTGCCTTGATTCATGTGACAGATACTTCAATTTCGCCTTAGTAATCATATCAAAATAAAGTATTATCATTATTCTTTGTATACCAAATGTTCTTAACATGAAGATTCACTCAATCTAAAAGATTAATACCTTGAATTTGATTGTTAGTCATAAAATATTTCATATGATGACTATGTTGAATGTATTGAATGTTTTGAGATATTTATCATATAAATATATATGAATAACCATCAATATTTATAAATTATGTACTAATTTTTTTCACTCTTAATTATTAAAGCAAAAGCATCAATAGTAACCTCATTTCAGATTGACAACTTAGTTCTATTGTGATTTGTTGTATGTGAACTAATTGAGGCATCTGCGGTGTGTTGACAATGTAGTGACTTAGGTCTTTGAGGTAGCTATGGCGTAAACAATAAAGACATCTAGGACTACTAGGCTTAAGATAATAAGTAAAGCGTTCAGATGCTCTTGAAGCCTACTAATTTAAAGGGTTCTTGATCCCAAAAAAATTCAAGTGTATTATGTTGTATTTAATAAAGTCTAGGTTGGTTACTCAAAATTAGATATAGGTCAAATGGGTTTAGACTAACAACTATAAAATCTTTTGTCAATCATTTATTCCTTATTTATCTTATATCTTTATATTATTCATAGAAATATTTAGATATATATAATAAAAATATTACATTTAACTATCAAATTAAGTATCAATTCACACCCTTCTTAATCCATTCAACCATCTGGTGACCAACACTAAGAAGATGCCATAAAAACTATGCTTGTATCACCATTTTGTAAAAATTACCATGGCATTCCACATTTAATAGTTCATAAATCTATGGATTAAGAAAGTGTCTGATGGCAAATGTGTGGAGATTGGAATGGGGTTAAAAGCATGAAAAATATTAAAAGTCAAATTAGTTTATGTAAACATGGCGGTAAAGTGAAAGGGGACAATAATTACCCTTGAAACTGATAGGGTGTTTGTACCTGCTATGTTTCTTGTCTTTGAATTTATACTGGGATATATTCCAATACCTCCACCAGCTTAGTTAGTGTGGGATGTTGTATAAATAACCCACCGCCCATCTCCTACCCTTAAATGTCAAGTGGGGGACCCGAGCATTTGGACCATTCAATTCTTGGCCTTGGAGGCTTTCTGTCTGGTTGTTTCCAGCATGGTAAGACGGGACGAAGGCAGCGGAGCTAGAACCCTCTACGATGAGCCGATTTCGCCAGTTGGGAGGGTCTTCCTGCAGCCGGAGTTGGAGCAGGTGATCCACTGCGTCCTCACCTTTCAGAACCCCTTCGACGTCGACGCGGTCAAAGGGGTCCTCAAATCCTCCCTCATCAACGACTGTCTCCGCCTACGCTCCCTAGTGGTCGACATCGATAACCACGTGATTATCGTCCCCGAGGAGGAAGAGAAAACGGATGACCGCCGCCACCGTGCAGCGCGTGATTCATCTCCCACAGCGGCTTCTCCCTACTCATCAGCAGTGACGACGCCAGCGTACTCGTTGATGTAGATATCATTTTCCCTGTCTTCGTAGTAGTCTCCGTGCTGCGGTTCCACCACGCGCTTGGGGACGGTGTCTCCCTCCTGGGCCTCGTCCTTGCTAGCTGCGTGCGACCTGGCAACCCTGATGCAGTATTGAGTCATTTTCAGCCGGGTCAGCAGCTGAAAGGAAAGGGAGGAACTGGTCAAAAGGAACAGCTACAACAGAACCAATCTCCGACAAAACAGCTCAACGAAGATGACGGCAGAAAATCTACTACAATAACGGAAGAACAGCTACCAAGCGCTCAACGTCCGCAACGGAGCCATAAACGCTCCGAAAAGAGCGATTTGTTTTACTATTAGTTGCATTTATGGTTACTGCTATAAAATATGCACGAGACTCAAAGAGAGGACACAGAATGTTTTATTTCAAGAAAGTTTATAATAAGTGATTGATCATTGATCTTTTGATCCCGTCGCCCCGGCTCGGGTTGATCGAGAGGACCCCGTTACTCCCGGTCTAGAGCTTTTCTCTTCTCCCATTCATTTTTTCTGTCGATACCCATCGACCTATGTTTGCAACTCCGCTCTTCCTCAACACCAGACAAGTCAACACTTCCAGCAATCCAACTGATGTCTGACTCTGCTAAGGAACCTGCGGTTTACTCTGCGCCATCTCTGACGGAATGATGAACTTTCCACAACGATAGTGAACTTCTTTCCTTTCTCGATTTAAATTTGTGCATTTAATATATTCTCTTGCTCTTTGTCGCCTGAGAGACCATAGGATAGCCAGTTATTGATATTCGGCAGATCTTAAACCGTGATGAGAATATTTTCTGACGTGATAAATCCGAGTGTCCTGTCAGCGGTTTTCTTAAACTGCAGATCCTTTCGTTTATTCAATTGGGGGTGTTTCTAGATAATTTCGAAGTTCACTCACATTCACTTTAATTTCTTGAGTGAATCTGCTTGATTTTATAGTCTTCATATTCTTTTCAAAACCATCCGCATCAAACCGGGTGATGTCCATCACTTTCCCCGGCAGCGGCGGAGAGGGGAGGCGGAGAGCGGAGTTCTCCCTCGCTGCCAGCGTAATGGGAGTAGCGGTAGGCACGTGGGGCAGTGAAGGCGGCCTGGTACATGACTCTGTACGCGGCGAACTCATCTATGCATGCAGGTGCTCCGGAAGGAGGATAAGACGATGATCGACGATGGGGTGGGTATGGAGCTCTTGCCAAGAAAAAGCTGACTACAGTTGCGTTATGCCTGGACGATATCAATGCTGTCAAGACCAAGCTCAATGCGGTAAGTTTACACCTCCTACGTTGACGACGTTATCCTTCATTGCTCACCAAGGGAGATTGGAATGTCACAAGATAAAATTAAAATAAAATTTTGATTATGTAATTAATTTTGATAATGCAACAAAACATTTTTTCGTTTTCTAGACAGTCAATTATGTTTTTGTTGGCATTATCTCGCATGGAATAGCGAAATACATGAAATTAAAGTCTTCAAATGGTAAGATTTGTTCATTTTCTATTTTAAATTATAATATAGATAGTATTTGGTTCTACAAGATTCTCAATAATTTTCTGATGTCATCATCCTTTACAAGGCTTCAAAATATGCTCTAATCAAAGGACTAGTCATGGTTAGTACAAGAGAAGGCTGCTCAAGGTTGTATTTTCTCATTTTTTAATTATTTCTCTCAGTTTATCATACACATAAAAAAAACTTGAAACACTCTAGATGTCTCTCTTTTGCTGGCATTCGAAACACCGATAATTTCTATAATTACTATCTTACAATTCAACAGGCATAGATCTTTGAAACGCCATGGGAAGGACAAGGCAGTCCAGGTACGATTGATACCACATGTGCCCCCTCCGCCCCACCCACCCATCCGCCTTCTCTTTCCGGGTACGCTCTCGTGGTCTTAGACAGTTGCTTCCTATTCTTTATGAGGTAGGATCCCCGAGGATGGGGAAGGAGACTAACTATTAATCCATGTGTATCAATCAGCCCTCAGGGAGTTGGACAGAGCCTTAATAGTGATATCACACCACTCCCAATAAACTAGGAGGTGGACCTCTTAGAGGAAGTCAGAATCTTTCCCTCAAATCTTCACCGCAGTTTTGAGAAAAGACAAAAATAGAGGCAGAGAGACAGAGATAGAGAGACAAAGAGACAGAGACAGAGAGAGGGAAAGGGGGTTAATGTCCGGCTTGATTTGAGGGAAATATCAAGACGCCCGGTCCTGGTCTGCGCTGCCGCCGGGGGCAGTACATGACAGTGAGCGGAACCAGTAGAGGGTCTCATGGCCGTGGGCTCGACTTTTCTGGCTTTCGGGCCGTCTGATGAATGCATTTGTTCTATGTCGATGGTACTGCAATGTGAATATATTTTTAATTTGTTCCGATAACCTTGGGCCATTGTCTCGTTGCCACTGTCCCTAAATGGGTGTAGCCAACTGCAATGATTTTCGGCTACTTCCCGCTTAGAGTGAGAGATAGAGATAGGAGGAGGGAGAGGAGCGTGGGAGTGAGACAGGCTGCCATATGTTAACTGTGTTATACATCAGCTGCTGGATGGTGTCAGGGAAGAAGACAAATTGTCTTTGGTGCCAGGAGGTGGGTTGTACTGGGGAACGGTTGGCTCTGAAAGGGGGTTGCTGCTGAAGGGGGGGGGTGAGGTATGGACGTCTCCTGGATGACGAATATCGGGCCGAGTGAAGGGGTGACCCCAGATATTAAATGTGGCTCGTTCTGTAAAGCTACATCATTTAATGAGAAAGATAATGGGAGACATCCATGAGAGAGAGAAACGGTCGTGGGCAGATAATGGGAAGCTAAATAAATGGGCGAGCTATTTATCAAGAAAATGTCCCACTTCCAGAGCGACGGCGGAACGTGGAAATGGCCAAACGGATGGGGTGAGCATTTCTCACTGGAACGGCCCACGTCAGAGAAGAATATAGGAAAATTCTAACAGGAGGAACGGGCCATTTGACATCTTGTGGTCCTCTAAGGTTCCCAGGATCTTCTTCACATCTTGCGTTTCCCATTTGATAGCTCTGGAAGAGGTTACAAGGAGAGATCTCAAGAGGGTTCATGTGAGAGTTTTTAGGCCTATGAGTGAGGACTATTTTATTTTCTGTTGAGTGTTTCTTTGTACACTTCTCCACGTCTAGTGAAGCTGCTGTTGTAATGGTCCATGAATTTAGTAGGCTGAACTCTAGATGTTAAATTCCTTGCGTCGGTGCCGTTGCTATGGGTTAATTATTCTTCCCTATCCAACATCCTTTCGTGGGGATCATGAGGGCAACATTTTATTGGTCGGAGTGGGCACTTGTTCAAACATCAAAAGTGTGTTAATAAGGGGCCCTCAAGGGTACTGGTTCTTGCCCAATAGTTGGAGATTGGACTTTTTGAGAGAAAAGACGGGTAGAGAGAGAGAGAGAGAGAGAGAGAGAGAGAGAGAGGGAGAGAGAGAAAGAGAGAGAGAGAGAGAGGAGAGACAGATAGACAGACAGAGACTAAGGGGGGAGTGGAGGGGGGACTACTTCAGGAGCATCAAGACTTCTATGAAATGTCTCAGCATTTTGGACTTTATCTCCTGAAGGGTCTCCTGGAAGCACATGCACAGCAGCTCAGGGTCAGGGATGATGTCCGCGGCCACTAGGACATTAGAAACGTCTTTCCACTGTAGCACTCGTGGACAGGCACCATTTTTATTATACTCCTTACCCATCATCCGCAAAAGTGGAAGCTCACAGAGAAAAACCCACCAGAGGTAGACTGCTCATAACCCCAACCTTAGTGATGTGATTCTTTGCAAATGTGATAACGTCCGAAGGACTGACGATGCTTGAAAGAACCAGGGTTTTGCTAGAAATGATCTTATAGTTGAGCAATGCCACGGACTGTAAACAAAAACCGAAGGAATGATTCAGCCAGTGTATGAAATTAAAATGCTTGTTTAATTGACTGCTCTTGAAATGAGGATCTAATAGTTGACTAATGAACTGCCTATAAAGATAATTATTTCTAAAAGCGAAAATTAACTTGGGAGGTTCTTGAAGAAGATTACTAGTGTAATAACAATTCTTTTGAACATTAATTCTTGAAGAAGATTCTTGAACAGTAATTTTGGATTGAAGAGAGAGATTATTAGGGCACTAGTCTTGTATGAATCCTAGGCTCCAGCAGAAAGCTTCTTCTGGTTAAGCACTGCTCTAGCATTCTCACGTGGTTGAGGGGACCACTTGTCTTTCATTTCAGGCGAATTGGTTGCGGAATGCCCTCAATTCTGTCTCCCCGGTCGAAGTTCTTCCCTTCTTTTATTGACCTTTGTAAATCCTACCAATGTCACTTGATTACTCAATTTAACTGAACAATCGATTATGATAGTATTCCAATAAAATAAAATAAAATCAAAATAGTTGTACATTAAAAATTTCAGAGAATCATTCTAGGACAGGTTCTTGAGAAAGTGATTAAAGGTTCACAAGTAGTCTTTTACCAAGAACAGAAATTGAAATTGATTAATTCAACCCCTTTTCCTTTTTTTTCTATGTGTGGCCTGATATATAATTCATGATGAATTAGTTGAGTTCCTGAATGAGTTTTTCATAAAGAAAATAAAAGATGATGAACAAAACATTGAATGAAAATCATAAATTCAAAGAACATCTGAACACAGTTTTTGGAAAATTAGAAATTAGTGAAAGCATTGTCAAGGAAAAACAACAAATCAGAACTTAGATCTGAAAAATGAAAAATTGAATCTAAAGAGTTTTCTAGAGAAATTTAATAGCACTCAAGTGAAACTAGATCAAATGATTGAATTTCAGTATTATGCATATTAATAGAGAAGGAAGTGGATATGTACAGTGGTTAGGTAAAAAAGAGATGAAATCAGAAAACTCAAAATCCTTTACACAAAATTCTGCTATGCAAAAAAAAGTAGAAACATGTGGGAGACCACAAAGCCCACCAGAAAATCAAAGATTAGGAAAATATGAGTTCCTTGGAAAATATTAGACTAATTAATGAGAATTAACTCATACCATGTTTGGCTCCCCCTATTGAAACATATTTCATTTATTTAAACAGTTTCTTAAGATGGATGAAGCCCCATATCTTGACAACAAGCATTCTTCGTACCTGACCAGGGAAAAAGGTGAATTATCTCATTCCATGAGAAATGAGAAGTGACCTTTGGGGATAATAAGAAACTTAAAATTTGGAAGCATAAAAACATTTATCTTAATGATAATACTCTAATGTAAAATGTGATGCTAGTATGTCACAAGGTAAAATAAGTCGAAATGTGATGAAGTATTATTTACTTAAGTGACACTAAAATAAAAATTAAATTAAAATACTTGTTTCCCGTATGTCACAAAGTAATGGGCGCATCTCACTACCACAAGAATAATAATATATGTATTTTTACCTATCAGAATTATAATAATTAAATATTTACTTAATGCCAAATGATTTATGAAATTCTCTTGAGATGTGGCATAGATGCCTAAAGCAAGTTTTCAATCACAATATTAGGAAATTGCAAGAACTGAATTTATTTAAAGACTAGTGAAAACTTTGAATATGGCTCTAGTATGAAAGGAAAATAGGTTAAAAAGGTGAAAATTTGAAGTATATGGTCAAACAACCACACAAAAAATTTATTGCACAAGGATTTATTTAGACTAACCTTGAGGAAGACAGTATGGATATGTAATTGTAGATGAGTTTCTAAGATATATTTTTTTATTCTTCTTGAATAATAAGAATGGCATCTTTGAGATACTTGAGAAAGTGGAAAATCGAGAATGAAAACGATTTAAAATCAAGAGAATTGGACGTAATCATAGAAGAGAATTGAAAATATTAAATTTTCTGATTTTTTTGATGATGGAGGAATTATTTCATGAATTCTCAAGTTCAAGATCTTCACAATGAAATGACACTGCTGAAATGGAGAATAGAAACTTATTGGATCAAGGAAAATGTTGGCAGAAAATAATTTACATGAATTTTGGCCTGAAGCTTTTTGTTATGAAAAAAATAGTTATTAAATTATTTATGAATTATTAAAGTGAAAGAGACCAAATGTTAATTAATTTCAATTATTTTTTTATGCAAAATCTTTGTTCTTATAAATAGTCAGGATGAAAGAAGAAAATTTGATCAAAGGACTGATGAAGATATATTTTAGGGTATTTAGAAAATTTCAGAACATATAGAGTTCACAATAAACAAGTTATGGTGGTAAAAATACCATGAATATTGAATTAATGAAGAAAAATGAAAGAAATTTTTTATGCAGAAGATGTAGAATTATCAGAGACCGAATTTCAATATATATCAATCAAAGACGATAGAAAACTTCCTAAGATATAAGGAAAGATAGAAAAACAATATTTTTTCAAGTGTCATCCTAAAGATTAAATTATAGGACCTGTACAAAAAAGGAATCAATACTAGATCGAAATTGAAGAATACCAAAAATTTGATGATATTAATTTTAAAGGGTGAAAAATAGATTTCTTTTATAGCTGAGGAGTTAAATCAATTGGAAAAGAGTAAATTATAGAAATTAGTTTGTAGACATTATGAAATATCTATGACTTAAACTAAATAGATTTTCAAGAATAAATTAAATGAAAAGGGTGAAGTTGTTGGCAACAAATCTAAATTGATAGCTCAAAAATACAATCAAATTGGAGGAGGAGAAAAGAAAACTTTCATGAATGACAAGATCAAAATTAATCTTAGCTGAAAAAAAATATAGATCAGAAATATGGTATAAGATTAATTAGATGGCTAAAGCTAAATATACCACTCCTGGATTATATTGTTTGCAAGTGTTATGGGTTACATCCGAATTGAAAGATAATAAAATTAGATTAGATCATTTCCAATCGTATGATAATTCAGTGCTATAAATTTTGGCAAAGGATCTCATAATTCAGTCATGGGCTAAGAAAACAGATATTACACATCATTGAATTCTTGATCATGTGAATAAGAATATGAAATTTCTTTGAATTTTGGTCGATACTTTCACCAAGCTTCTTGTGTTACGCTCGCAGATATTTGTATCTAGGCTCGTAGAGCGGATCCGCGGCAGATCAAGCGACAGGCCGATAAGATACATGGATCAGGCGTCGAAGCGAGCAAACCGGCAGAACGAGCGGGCGTTGTGATTGGGTAAACCGCTCGACGCACCTTCTCCAGCTATGGGCCAGAAAGAACGGTGCGTGGCAGGTTTTCTGGGCGGCCCGAATAGTGGGTGGGCTCTCCCTATAAAATGGGAGGGGATCCCCTTTCTCAAGTTAGAGTGGGTTCTTCTAACTGTGATGGGTGTAAGAGAGTCTTTGTGTTGACCATCCCCGTTTCGACGTCAACTTTGAGAAGAAAGGCTGTTTTGGTGCCAGCAGGGGCGACCAAAGCTGGTCTGGAGCGAGAATCGGGGGAGTTCTATCAGTGACAGGTGACATCTAGCCGTATAAAGATTTGTTCATCTGAGGAAAGAAATTAAAATGTGTAGTCATAAGAAATTCAAAATAGTGTTTTGAATTATATCAATACTTGGTGCTTAGTAAAAATCTGAGACATATTCAAATTTCATGAACAAAGTTTTATGCTCTTTTTTTCGAATTCACGAATTATGGTGTCGTTCAAATGCCATTTAAAAACTCAAGTTACAATGTGTTACCATTCTTAAGCGTTTACATGGCTTCTCAGAGCCTGGTTCCTTATGGTTGTTGTTCGAGAAGCTTGATGAGTGCTATAGACTTGAGCGCAGCTTGTGGACCATACTCTCAGCTTCTCAATTATGCAGCAATTTGGCCCAGATTCTCAAGGGAAGTTGGACCCTGAAGCTCACTAAAGATTGAAGGTGGAATATTGTCTCGTTCTTTCTTTTTATCTCTTCTTCTTCTTTATAAGAGATCATATGTCTCTTTATAAACAGATCTTATTGGGCGTTCCAACTTATTAGGACGTTTCAACAGTTGCCTAACGGTCTAAAACATATCACGTCCCATGTGTATACTTCCAACTCTAGAAATACATGTTAATATTGTAAAATTGATATCAATTCAATGCCTTGGGGTTTTGTTGCGGGGTTTTCTGCATTGGACTCTTCTTCGAAAGACCTTTCGAACATGTACAGAAAATAATTATTTAATGCTCATGCATAAGGGTGATGATCATTTACACTTTAATTGAACTCTTACTTAAGTTTATAGCCATATAGTAACTTTACTACTCCCAAGTGAATTACACTTAAGTATGCAAAACTCCGCATTCAATGATCAAGTTCGTCAATTATATAATGCTACTATATTATAAGGTTACTAAAATACCCTTCCATGCATATAGTCATCATCAAAACATCTTAAGCTTTCCAAAGCCATCAGAACTAATGAACAAAGACTGAATGATACAATGTTTCAAAGATAAAATTATATGGAAGAAATATTTTTGCTTTGGAATAATACATTGAGTGCAAAATATCATTAAATATATTATTTTTTTCAGAATTGAATAGTTTTTCTATAATGATAAAAAATATAAAACTATAAGATAGGGAAATATAAGATCAAGATATTCTATTGAGCACCGAAATGGGCTTTGCATTAATTTAAGCAAAGAACATTTATCATGTTATTTATTAGTGTCAAAATGAGAATCAGGTTAACAAGAAGATCTAGAGTACTATTTCATCTCCATCATCCATGTACTATACATCTCATATAAGTAATATAATTTTAAAGGATTGGAATTAAAATGATAATATTCCATTTCATCTAAATGGATGGATGAAGTTAGTTGTTCGAGGACAAGCACATACGTAGAATATGAATCATGGTATGTGAAACTTTATTAAAATCAGACATTAAGTTGAACGTGTAAAATTATGGATTTTTTTGATAAAGTAGATTTAAAAAAAAAATTATATTTGATAACGTTTTATGGGAAGATTAAGTTATACTATGAGGGAGTACTATTTTTCAAGATCCATCTCTATAATTTAATCTATTTATGGCCCATTCCTCTTTCAATTGTGGGGCGCCATCATTTGTTGGTGTGGACATGGTTAAAAATTAGCAATATATCTTGAAAAGGGAAGTTTATTGGTGAAGCATATGCTAATATATTATTCACCGTGTATTTCAATGTCAAATGTCGGTTCAATTGTAGCCAGAGGACAACATACTAGGCCGTTTTTCTCCCAGACATTGACACATGAATGCTTAGCATTGCATGTAAATATTTGTTGGGTTTTTTCGTCAGATGTGGAAAACTATCTGAATTGTGAAAAGATAATCCAAATTCCATAGTATATGCTAATATATTATTCACCTTCTCGGTTTCAATGTCAATTGTGGGTTCAATTCTGCCCGAAGGACCACAAATGAGGCTATATTTTTCACACATGTTGAGACTTGAATGCTCTCAATTGCGTGAAAATATTTGTTTGTTTTTTTTGTCAAAAATGGAAAACTAGCTGAATTGTGAAAACCCAATACAAATTCCATAGCGTACGACTTTTCCAACTGGAAGATGCACTGATTCCCAAGGATCATCTTTCTTCCTAAACTCTTAAATCCTCCCCAAGAAAGAGAGGGCGAACGAGAGATCCATAGAGAGGGAGAGGGAGAGAGAGAGAGAGAGAGAGAGACGATTCTTTACGACGCCCTATCTAGAAAAGGTGTACGCAGAGTCCTCTACGCAAAGAACTCCGATACTACGATCAATCGAAGTCTTCTACTGTTTCTTCGCGTGGGTCTGCGCGTACACAGAAAGAGGAAGGAGAGGCGTATGGGAGGACGGCAAATCATCTTCTTGTTCGACAAGATATGGGGTCGATCACTGTTTCTCCATTCGGAGCAAGGTCTCCTTTTCGGCGAGCAACATGCCTTCTGCCTAACTTCATTCACCAGGACGAATGAACACGATTAAGAAGACCTATATAGATGCAGTGAACCCTTATAAATTCCTCGACGGGATTTTCCAAATTCACTTTCCCAGTACATATGGCAATAATCTAGAGCGAAAAACCCGCGAATTAGGTTCCAGACCCAGAACGATAATTAGATTATCGTTGTGCCGTAGTTCTGCGGCCTGTTATACTATAGTTCTACAGTTGTCCGATTTATACTTTGATGTTGTATATAGTTGTAGCATACTTGCACTACTAGACAAATCACAGGGAGAAGCCTGCGAATCGCCTTCTGACAGAGGTTGCTCTACTGCTAACGTGTTTTTAAGCAAAACCAACGGAAAAATCCATCAACGTCCGACATTCATGGATCATCTACTTATATTTTCTAGAGTTGACAGCAAATACCATGCGCATTCATGAAGGCGAGACGAAATAGGTGATGGGCTTTTCCTGCGATTGAAGGGGAATTCGATTTCGATGAGGCGATGGGTTTTAATGGCACATGGGAGAGGAGGGGGAAGATGACGGAGGCCATTCAGTAGGCGATGTAAGCTCAGAGTTCCAAGGCTTGTGAGAGAAACGAGTTTCGTCAACGGTTCACAGGAGGGAGCAGAAGTCAAACTCCCGTTTCCAGCATTGGGAAATACCCTTTACACGTCACGAATGGTGGCCAGGATGGTAGAACTCCACTGAGTCTGGTTAGGTCCGAAAACCAAGGGAACATTAACATTATTGCTCTACAGGTTTCATTTATATCATTATTCCAATCTTTAATAATTTTTGATGGTTTAATATATTTTCGAATCACGTTCTGTTTGTTGTACATTATAGCAACAATAAACTTGTAAAACAAGAGCCGGCCGAGCACAAACCCGTTCCTCTCTCTCTCTCTTCCACTGACTCACTCTCACTCACTCGCTCGCTGGCTCGCTGTTATTTGAATACGAAGTGCCGGGTCCTGTGAAGGACACGAGCTTGAGTTTCTCAAAGTTATCTTACTTCATGATTCCTGTTCGGGCACAAATTTGTACTGCAATTGCCAATTTTATTTTCTTCTTTTTCTTGTTTTCTAGTTATGCTGACTTAAAAGTTAACATAACGGATCGCCAATCTCTCTCTCTCTCTCTCTCTCTCGCTAAGTTGACCCTATGGGGAATCCTCTTAAAGGCGGACCTGCGCTGTGGTCCAAGGAACACGAGTTCCTCCCTTGTGAACAGAGATTCATTGCGAGTGGAAAGCCTTGCACAGTGCTCCAACTTTCTAGAGAGAGACAGAGCGGATTGAAATCGTAGCCGCGTACAACGAGAGAGATTCCCCCTCTACGTGTTCTCACTCCTTTATAAATGGACCGCTCATGGTAAAACACACGATTTTTCCCTCGTTGAATGCAAATATGATGTCGATTATCAAACTTTTCCCATGTCTTACAGTATTACCAACCCTTTCGGAGGCTACATAGGTTCCTGACTTGCTTTCTCTCTCTAGATCTACGTAGATTTATCCCGTTTCCCTGACATGACCTAGGGAAGTAACCGGGCCTGTCTCTCAAAGTCGATCATTGCAGCAATCTCTCTCCCTCTCTATCGAGCTATAAATCTCTCTCTCCCTCTATATCTCTCACTAACCTAGAAGGCGAAAGTAGGTTCGCTAATTCACCAAAACTAGACGAATGATGTGGGAGCGGGAAGCAAGGCGTAGGAGAAGACACGTGAAAACTTCACACAGGTTTTGTAAGCTTTCAGAGTCAGCAAAAGAGAGAGAGAGAGAGAGAGAGAGAGAGAGAGAGAGAGAGAGAGAGAGAGAGAGAGAGAGAGAGAGAGAGAGAGAGAGAGAGAGAGAGAGAGAGATAGATAGATAGAGAGAGAGAGAGAGATTAAGGGACGAAGGGGAAAGGTCGAAGGAGATAAGAGTCAAAGGATGAGGCTGAGAGAAGAGGGGACCCACGAGGGTAGGCTGGGTGGTCTTCCTCGTAGAAAAACGTCCTCTTTGCGGCGCGTTTCTTGTTCAACTTAGCGTCACATGGCTGTCTAATCTCTCTCTCTCTCTCTATCTCTATCTATTTCTCTCTCCCCCTGCGCGGGGCCGCTGGCCTATAAAGCCCAACACCTTCTTTCCCTCCTCCTTCCCATTCTCTTCTCCTCACACCACGCGGCTGACCCCCAGCAGTCCGAAGCCTTCCGTTGCTTCCCTCCTGTCCTTCCTCTGAGAGAGTGAGAAAGAGAGAGAGTCCCTAACGTTCTCGCACATCCAGAGAGGGAAAGGGTGAGAGGGGGTTCTGAAGGGAATTGGGATGGAGGCGGCGGCGGGGCAATGGGAGGAGGAGATGGACCTGCGGAGGGGTCCATGGACGGTGGAGGAGGACCTGGTGCTGGTCGACTACATCGCCACCCACGGGGAAGGCCGCTGGAACTCCCTCGCCCGCTGCGCCGGTAACACAACATCCCATCTGATCCTCCTTCCTCCTCTTCCGTCTTCTCTCCGCAGCTTTAATCCCGCCGCCGTCGACTCGCGGCCGTCCCCGGTGGCGGTCCTCAGAGTGCGACCTCCTCTTCGATGTGATAGAAAGGCAGGGAGGAGGTGGGGTTGGGTGAAAATGGAAGGCACTTAGACGCCTAAGTGCATGGTCCTCTTGCAACTTGTCCCAGCTCTTTATTCCTCTCCCGTGGGAACGTGGACTGTCCTTCAGCTCTCCCGTGATGCCAACGTCGCTCCCTTCCACCTCTCTCTCTCTCTCTCTCTCTCTCTCTCTCTCTCACGTCGTTGGGCGTTCGAGTGTGTGAGAGAAATCTTCGCCAATCATCTCTGGTTTTTTCCCTCGCAGAGACCTAATCGAAGTCTCCCCCTCCCCCAAACTCGCAGGCCTGAAGCGCACCGGGAAGAGCTGCCGCCTCCGGTGGCTGAACTACCTTCGCCCCGACGTCCGGCGGGGCAACATCACCCCCGAGGAGCAGCTCCTCATTCTCGAGCTCCACTCTCGCTGGGGCAACAGGTAAACCTCCCCTTCACCGTGGCTATCAGGAATTCATCCTTCACAGCGTTGGCCCAGCAAATAATTCATCCCTTCTGGTGCAGGTGGTCGAGGATAGCGCAATGCCTGCCGGGGAGGACGGACAACGAGATCAAGAACTACTGGCGGACGAGGGTGCAGAAGCACGCCAAGCAGCTCAAGTGCGACGTCAACAGCAAGCAGTTCAAGGACGCCATGAGGTACCTTTGGATGCCGAGGCTAGCGGAGAGGATCCGCGCCGCCTCCGACGTCAAGAACGCCGCCGCAGGCACCGGCGGCGCCGGCATCTGGCAGCCGCCGCCGGCGGCTGAGGAGTCGGAGAACGCCGAGTTCAGATTGGAGAATTCGAGCCTGGAGAGGTCCTCGTCGTCGGAGCTGTCGGCGGTGACTTGCTGGTCTTCGCCGCCGGTGTCTGAAGTCGCCGACTGCCACTCTCTCGCTATGGGAAGAAGTCATGGCGACAACTTTCCCAGCGAGGACATGATCGGCGGCTGTGGTTTCTTCTCGGAGACCCTCCCGAGCCCTTTCGGCTGCTTCAACCAGGGATTCCCGGACTTGGAACAGACCTCGTGGGGCGCCGGCGCCGGCGACAACGACGACGACTTCCCGTCGGAGAACTTATGGACCCCCGACGACGCCTGGTTCTTACAACAGATGCTTCAGTGAGAGAGAGAGAGAGAGAGAGAGAGAGAGAGAGAGAGAGTAGAGCATGCATAATTAGCCCTAAACATAGGAATTTTTTCAAGGACAGAACAACACGAAGAGAAGAGAGAAGAAAGAGAGAGGACCTTGCGGGAAATTTTCTCGATTTTCCTCCCTCTTTCTCCATCTTCTTCTCTGTCGATCGTATCAGATCTTGTCTTTCAACTTTCTTCTTGTTCATCGGGATCTGGACGGTCACTCGACCTTATTCTTTGTAAGTCGCATCATTTTTTTGTTATATACGTTCGATAAATGCATATGAACCATCATTTTCGTATTCTATGATCACCACTCCTCTCTCCTCCCCGTATACTCTACAAGCCAAGTTCGCACAGATCTTCTTCTCTCTCTAGAAGTCGCAATTGGCGGGATTTCGCAACGTATAAAGTTCTCTTGTTCTTGTTTGACTCTCATCAGTCTGGTCATCTTCTAAACTGTCCACAGATTCTGAAACTATTACTCCAGAGAGAGAGAGAGAGAGAGAGAGAGAGAGAGAGAGAGAATACTAGGATTGCCAAGAAAAGGAATGGGTGGTCTTACTAAGAAAGATACGACGAGGAGGGGCATTAATTAATTCCCAATTGGAAGAGAAGTCGTGGATGAGAGTGCTTTTAAGAAAAGAAGGCTTTGACCTCGTGGGCTCGGCGACTTTGGGCTGGTCTATCAAGTGCCCTTTGAAGCCAAATTAGTCAAAGTATGAGTGTTGCCTAAGCACATGTTTCATCTCGTCTATGAAGCGCTGACTCTCCTCATATTACCTTTTGTCCCGATTAATCAGCGTTTGAGTATTGTTTGACTTATACCTGGATAAATAATTGAACCACAATTTTCAACTATACTGATTTGCTGACGTCATGAGAAAAAAAGTACCTTTTCTTGTTTTTGTTTTTTGTTTTGAGCAATGAGATTTATTGGGTTCCCTTGTAATGGTGATAAAATTTGCATGAATTTAATTTATATGGATTCCCTCCTACCAATGTCATCTGAACAAATTAACTCAAAAAGCTGAGGGGGAGAGAGAGAGAGAGAGAGAGAGAGAGAGAGAGGCGACTCTCCTTTTTGTTCTGTCACGTGATCCGCGCGTGAGGGGCGGGACCGAATGACCTGGCACAGCCGGGTCAACGCGGAACTCATGTGAATACTTTCCAGAAGTCGCGTCAAAAGGAAAGTGGGGGCCACACGCATTAAATCACATCGTGGCCGTGCATATGGTGGGCCAAAGGGCCCACCATCAACATCACAAATCTCCCTAGCCGTTGTGGGATCCGTGGGGTTTAGCACGATATACACGCGGAGGTCCTCACACCGCGGCCGCGTTCCGGCGCGCGATCCGACCGCGGAGTTTCGGTGTGGATTCAAACAGTGCCCGTTCACATCTCCCCCACTCTTTTCTAGAGAGATAGAGATAGAGAGAGAGAGAGAGGGGCGCCGCCGGCGGTGGGATTCCGCCGCCGTCCAGGGCCTCGGGTTTCTTTCTCACTCATTCTTCTCGTTGACACATCCACTGAAACCCCCGCCGTTATTGGCGTGGTCGTGGGCCAAACAAAAGGAAGCTCGCCACCTCTTTCACATTGCATGATGAGAGAGAAAGAGAGAGAGAGAGAGAGAGAGAGAGAAGCCGGACTAGACCCAGAGGGAGAGAGAGAGAGACAGACAGGCACATACACAGAGAGAGAGAGAGAGAGAGAGAGAGAGAGAGAGAGAGAGAGAGAGAGAGAGAGAGAGACAGACAGACAGACAGACAGACAGAGCTGAGATCCAGGCTTTCGGTCGAGATGCTATGAAAGTATGGGCCGGCCCAAAGAGAGACCAAAACGGGCCTATTTCTCTTTCCGGGCTCGCCCATTAACATCATTAACACCCCTCTAAGCATCAAAAACTTAAAAAAGGAAATTGATAACAGTCTCCATATTCAAAAAAGACCGGAATTAAAATCACGAGATTCTTCAGGGGAAGAACAAAGCCCTAAGAGACTATTCGATCGGATTCAGGAGGAGGAGACCTGACCGAAGATTCTCAATTGGACCCGACGGAGATGATGTCCGCCTGGCCGCCGGTCATCCGCTCCGCTTTCTCTCCCCTCTCTCCTGCCAAAATCACAGCTTTCCATCACCCAGATGGATGTATATATGTATGTATCCATAAATCTCCAAGTATAAGTGGGAAAGTCAACGGGCCAGGGAGAAAAAGCCCAAAAAAGGGCCAGTCGGGCGTTGGGCTTACCCCGGCCCGCTGTCATGCGAAAGTCTGCACCCTTAGAGAGAAGGTGCGGAAGAGGAAACATTTATTGGCAATAAAAGTCATCAAAGGTGGAGGCTTGCTTACCTGTTCTAACTCTGATTATATCCGAAACTGGCAGCACTGCAATCAGAAAACAGAGCCCATCACAATTCTTCTCCACAAGAAAACCATTCAAGCATTCTCACCTTGCGACAAGGTTTCATTAAATTAGCCCCCCATATAATAAAATAAATAAATAAATAAATAAATTTCGGACCCGGAGGTTAAATTGGTTCTAAGGTGGAGGTTTTGGTTATTTTTTGACAGGATTGATTCAACAAAACTTGCATCCATTTGTAAGTAGATTTTGCGCAGATGAAAAAAGAAAAAGAAAATTGCATAGTAGAACAATATACATTGAAAAATTATCCTCTACTCAGACCAGCTCCAGCAGGCGTTGTAGGAAACTGATTTCTCAAATGAGGTGATTGAGATTAATCCTCAGTCTAGTTTGTGATATCAAAGCATTTGGCAAGATTCTTTCTGGATCTTCAGAATAATGCAGATAACTCTCTAGAGTGTTCTAATTGCACGGCCTTATCTTCTGTCTCTTCAAAGGTTTCAAGAAACAAACAGAAAGAAGAAGGATCCGATCTCCACGCCTGAACAAGTCACCTCAAGATCGTCTCAAGCATAAATAAAATAGACCCACATCGAAAAAACATGAATAAAATTCGGAGCTAGTGGTTCAATCGTTCCTCATTTGGAGGTTTTGGTTATCTTAACATGACTGATTCACCAAAACTTACAGATAATTGTAAATACTTACCCCGCAGATATAACACAAGAAAGATATTTTCGCAGAATAGAAAAATAAAAATGGGAAAATTATCCTTCACTAAACCGGCTCCAATTGTGGATTTTAGGGAATTAATGCCCACATGGATGTGAAAGATCGAAATAGGATCAGCTATATAATAAACGATACTTTGAAACTTTATCAATGCGGTCCCCTTTAATACTAAAATAATCTCATGATTTGAAAGCACACGCCGAATTCTCACAGAATCTTCAGACTTCACGGTGAGAAATTTGCAGAGGCTCGTTAGGAACTCAGTTTTGTGACGAGAAAAGCTGTCTCCAGTCTTCTTCTTTTTATGCGGTTCATTCTTCCCTGTAACTAGAATTCCAACTCCTAATCTAGCAAATGGTTTTTTATACAATCATCGCCATAGTCTGAGATTGATCGATTCAACAAAACTTCCATCTATTTTTGGGTAAGTTTTTGCACAGACCAAAAAAAAAATAAAAATGCGTTGAAAAATTATCCGCCATTAGACCATTTCCAGCGGGCATTGTAGGAAACTAATTTCAACAATTGAGGTGTTCAGGATTAATCATCAAAAGATTTCGTGATATCAAGGCATTTGCAAGATTCTTTCAGGATTCTGGGAATAGTGCAGAGAATTCTCTGGAGGCTCACTAACTGAACGGCCTCCTCTTCAAAGGTTTCAAGAAACAAACAGAAAGAAGAAGCATCTGATCTCCACGCCTAAAGGACTAAGAGAAGTGAAGACTCACAGAAAATTTTCCCATCACCGATTTCTCCAGTTCTGGCCTCTTCAATTATCTTCTCGATCACTGACTCAACCTGCGGGAGCATCCTCAGACGATTTCTTACAGACATTAATGACGTCAATTTATCCAATTGGTGAACAACATGGTGAATAACTATCAGACGAGAAAATATGTACTGAAAATGGAAATTCAATTATCCTACATCACGAACTAATAATAAAGTCGATTAACTCTTAAAAGGGATGTAACTGTTCTATCTGTTCACCATCTACTCTCAAATAATTTGTGCGTCGTAATTACAGAGCTTAGCATTGATATGTCCCAGAAAGTGGCTGAGAGCGGTGTTCCTGCGTATTTTTGAATCGCTAGTTATTTGAAATTTTATACATTTTAGTTCGTATGAATCACGCACTGAAAAGCTGTCCATGCCAACACATTTTCGATTCCCATGTTTGGTAGAACACTAGGACATGAACACTTTATGTTATTTTATTCCAATTAATCAAAGGCCATGCATCTACCTGGTCTTTAGAGACGACAATCTCCATTTTCACCTTTGCCAAAAAGTTATCCTCAGAAAACTCGGATCCTGAAAGGAAATGGCCGACAAGAACATATTATCCAACAAGTAAAATCTGTCCTTTTCTTTTGCACTTTTACACAGAGAGTAACAGTAAAGAAAAATCTATAAAAGCATGAGGAGATGTTTCACAGAGGTTTCTACTTGCCCCATCACTGCACAGATTTAGACTAGGAAGAAGAACTGAAGGGCGCCGTGCCTTACCCTTAGCATCCGAAACAAACATAAAGAAGAACAAGAACGAAGAAGGAAAGAACAGGTATATTCATTACAATTCCCAGGACTTCTTAGCTGAGAAGAGCCCCCCCCCAAATCTTCATCGCTGTATATTACCAGGGAAATTTTATAGGAAGAGCAGGGAGATCCTTCAGGGCATGAGGAATTCAGGTGAGACGCTACCTAGCATCGCCTATCATGGAAAATTGATGAGTAATGGCGTGATGTTCTTGGTATAATAAGGATAAATGAATCAGGAATTTGCCATTTTGGTTAAAATCTAATCTGAGGTCTGTAACAATAGGAAGCTGTGCTGAGCAGAAATTCATCACTGTGAGACGAGAAATAATCCATGCATAAGAATTCTGAGAAGTATTATCTTACTGCACCTAAAGTAGAAAGAAAGAAAACACCGTCCTACGGCATGGGGCCTCACCAGCTTGCCTCTCTGAGGAACCGCCCTGAGCACCAAACCCTCGAACATCAGAAACTGTCACTCCGCGAATTCCAATCTTCAGCAACGCCTGGGTTTATCGAGAAATCTTCTGCAGTAAGTTCTGGGAAACCCCGGGAATTCGGTGAATAAATGAAAGATTATGGCAAACAAAAGTTCCTTCCCCACCGATGAAACATGCGGCACTCGCCATGGTCTACGATTTGCCGATCCCACCAATAGTTGGACGATTTTGCAAGTTAGGGCATGAGATCTCAAACAATACATACTCCAATTCGAGATAATGGATGACAATCCGCGCGCATAACAAGAGAAAACGCCATAAGAGGTCACCTCAAGATCGCCTCAACCTTGTAGAACTTGGAGTCCGGAACGTAATCTACAGTACACCAGGCTCGAGTTACGCTCATCACATTTTCCTCATAAAATCCAGAGACGGAGACGAATTTCTCCCCGAGAATCCAGAAACGGAGAGCAGCGGTTCCATTGGCGGAGGCGGAGTACCTGGGACCGGGGAGTTCTCTGCTCTCACCACCGTCATGCGAAGAGAACTGCTCCCTCCGCTCCTAACCCTCCCCCCGGCGGGCCCCCGGAAGACGCCCGCCCTGGAAGCAAAGAGCGCGGAGGACGAAAGAGGCGAGCGCTTGGACGCGCTCAGAGCCCGAAGCTTTGCCATGGCAGGAACACCGGCTGCCGCAGCCATGATTCCCAGTGACAGTTCCTCTGCGGGGGGATGTCCTCGCCTCCTTATCCCCTCCTCGGATACTCCGCGGAGGGCCCTACGAGAGGGGCGACTGAGCTACTTATGCGTAGGTGAGGCGCCGCGCCGCCGCCACGGCCCCCCCCCTCGGGTTTCAAAATCCCACCCGTTGGGACTTGCTGCCATGATTTCAGATCTCTCTCTCTCGTTAGCACTATTCTTGGAATACCCATGATGACGATAAAATATAATTTTGGGAATATGATAATACTTAATTAATATTTTCTTATTTTACCCATTTATATTTTCGTACTAAAAAAGTACCAAAAAAATTCTCGAATTTATTTAATTTTGTCTTACGAATTTCTTGGTAAAAAGACCTAATTTCTTCCATAATCCTGAACAGCGAAAAATAATATACACCACTGAAGAAATATCCATCTTATAATATTATAAACTTACCGTTATATTCATTTAGATGCAAAAAAAGGAGATTATTACGCAGGGAGTTAAGAAACACTTTGCGTTATTTAGTGATGATCTAATGGTACTAATAGGGTGCGAAATACATCAGGTGAAGTGTCTTTTAATGCAAAAATAAAATGGGATTTAATTCATTATGTTAATTATTTAATCTTATTAATGCGTATTGATAATAATCGTAATAATAGGAGAATAATGAATACATGTAATGGGCAGACGTGCTCCTGAGGCAGTCGGTGTCACTCCGATACCAGGAAGACGATCATCCCAAGGCGTCGGCCCGCGCCGGCGCTCCTCCGCCGCCGATGCGTCGGTCCCTGACGGCGCTTATCCGGCCGCAGCAGCTCCACCGTCTCAATGCTCCCGCCACCGCAATCGACGGCGGCGCCGCCGACGATCTCTTCTCAGCCAACTCGCGCATCTCCCAGCTCGCGCGAATGGGGCGGTTGGAGCAGGCCCGTAAGATGTTCGACGAAATGCTTGACAGGAACTCTATCTCCTGGAACGCGATCGTCGCGGCGTACTTCCAGAGCGGCCGACCGGAGGAGGCACGCCGTTTGTTCGATGCCATGCCGCCGCCGCTCCGCAACACAGCGTCCTGGAACGGCATGGTTTCCGGCTACGTGAAGACCCGGCAGTTGCACGAGGCCAGCGCCTTCTTCGACGCCATGCCGGAGAGGAACGTCGTATCGTGGACGGCCATGCTGCGCGGGCACGTCGAGCATGGCTCCGTCGGCGAGGCAGAGGCGCTCTTCCGGCGCATGCCGGCGCGGAACGTCGTCTCCTACACGGTGATGCTCGGGGGACTGCTGAGGGAAGGGAGGGTGGAAGAAGCACGGCACCTGTTCGACGAAATGCCCCACAAGGACGTGGTCGCGAGGACGAGCATGGTTGCAGGGTACTGCCAGGCAGGGCGCCTCTCTGAAGCACGCGCCCTGTTCGACGAAATGCCCAAGAGGAATGTAGTCTCCTGGACGACCATGATGGTGGGCTACGCTCAGAACGGGCACGTAGATATTGCGAGGAAGCTGTTCGAGGTGATGCCGGAGAGGAACGAGGTCACCTGGACGGCCATGCTCAGCGGGTACCTCCACGCGGGCCGCTCGGAGACCGCTCTGGAGCTGTTCCACGCCATGCTGGAGAACCCGCCGCCGCCGGTGGCCACCTGCAACGCGATGATCCTCGGGCTAGGCCAGAACGGCGAGGTGGCAGCGGCGGAGGAGCTCTTCCAGTCCATGGCGGAGAAGGACGAAGGATCTTGGAGCGGGATGATCAAGGTCTACGAGCGGAACGGGCTCGAGACGGAGGCCCTGCGGGCCTTCTCCGCCATGCAGGCGGCGGGGCAGCGCCCAAACTTCGCCTCCCTGGTCAGCGTGCTCGCCGTCTGCGCCGCCCTGGCTACCCTCCGCCATGGCCGGCAGGTCCACGCCGCCGTGCTCAAGTCCCACTTCGACGGCGACCTCTTCGTCGTCTCCGCGCTGATCACCATGTACGTCCGCTGCGGCGACCTGGGCAACTCCAAGAAGGTCTTCTCCATCTTCCCTGCCAAGGACACCGCCATGTGGAATGCCATGATCACCGGGCACGCCCAGCACGGCCTCGCCTGGGAGGCCCTCGCCGTCTTCTCCGACATGCGCTGCGCCGGCGTGGCCCCCGACGACGTCACCTTCATCGGCGTCCTCTCCGCCTGCAGCTACGGTGGGAAGGTGGAGGAGGGGAGGAGCTTCTTCAGATCCATGGCGAAGGTTTACTCGGTGGAGCCCAAGACGGAGCACTACGCCTGCATGGTGGACATGCTGGGGAGGGCGGGGCTGATCGAGGAGGCGGTGGAGACTATCCAGAAGATGCCCATGGAGCCCGACGCCGTCGTGTGGGGGTCTCTGCTGGGGGCCTGCAGGACCCACAAGAACCTCGCAGTGGCGGAGAAGGCGGCGAGGGAGCTGAGGAAGCTCGAGCCCGGCGGTGCCGGTCACTACGTCCTGCTCTGCAACATCTACGCCGCCGGAGCGAGGTGGGGGGAGGTGGCCGAGCTCCGGCAGGCCATGAGGGCGAGGAAGGTGAGCAAGTCCCCCGGCTGCAGCTGGATCGAGGTGGAGGGGAAGGTCCACGTCTTCACCGGCGACGGAGGGGGCGGCGGTGGCGGCCATGAGGAGCACAGAGAGATCGCCGCCGTGCTGGAGCGACTGGGAGGGCGGCTCAGGGAGGCGGGGTACCTCCCCGACGGGAGCTTCGTGCTCCACGACGTGGACGAGGAGCAGAAGGAGCAGAGCCTGGGGCACCATAGCGAGAAGCTCGCGGTGGCCTACGGGCTGATGAAGCTCCCGGAGGGGATGCCCATCCGGGTGATGAAGAACCTGCGGGTCTGCGGGGACTGCCACACCACCATGAAGCTGACCTCGAAGATCACCGGCCGGGAGATCATCCTCAGGGACGCCAACAGGTTCCACCATTTCAGGGACGGATCCTGTTCTTGCGGGGATTACTGGTGAAATACATGGAAACTTTCATGGGCCGGCAAGGCTGGCTGAAAAATGATGGAGGAAACTTCCGCCGGTTTCTCCTCAATTTCTGGAGGTTGACGAGGAATCAATTTAGTCTGGAGATTTCAAAGATGCTCCCCGTTCTCCCGCGGGATCATCTCTTGGAGGAAGGCTGCACTTCAGTTCCTGTCGGTTGCCGGTGGAGAATCATCAATGCATAAGGTGCATCTAATTTGAGCATTTCTCTTCTTCTTTTTCTTCTTTTTTTCAATTTATTAATTTTCTTTTTACTGCGATTTATGAGTAGAGTAAAAACATTTAGTCCCCTTTTAAGATTCTTGTTAGTTACTATATTATGCTTTTGAAAAAGATATTTTTTTATTTTTTAAATATTATTTTAATAAATATTAGTGTATTGTTTCTAAGTTTCCAAGTTAATTTTATGACAACTTGCTTCAAATTTTTTGGTAATCGAAACGTTGGCTTTATTTGTTGGAAAGCATTCCCAGATTGCTCGAAACTGACGGATATTAATATTATTATTAATATTATTATTATTATTATTATCATTATCATTATCATCATCATTTTTGGGGATACATTAAAGCTCCTCTAATTTTATTTTTTTTGCCCCGTTTCAGTAATGAAAAATTGAGGAATCGGATGGCTTATCCTCTACGTCTGTGAAATCTGTGATCCACATCCTCAACCCGGAAGCAGATTCTTAACAATTCTGGGGACAAAGTAAGTTCTCACTCTTGTTATCGAGATACTTCTCCTCCCCATTTAATCACCATTACTATAGTTCATATCCAATTATATAATGAAGAGCGTTAATGGGCCAGCCATAGAAGCCCAAAAGGCGCCTCTCTCTCTCTTCTCGCTCGCTCTCAGATTAGTGTTTATGGAGGGCTGGGCCTGGGATTGATACTGGGGTCCAGTTAGTGGATTGTTTTGTGGGCTTTTTCTCGGGCCCGGCCTGGCCCAAGTTGCTTTGAACTATGAACTATTAATAAGTATTGTTTTGGGCATTTTTTTAGCAATTAAAAAGTATTAAGGGGTCTCATTTAGTCGAAAGAAAGTCAACTCCTGGAAGGTGCCGACTGGTTCCTTATTCTGACCAGGTCTGAGAAGCAAGAAGAGGTGCAAAAAGGGGTAAATCTATAAAAGTTTTCTAAAAAAAGGAGTTTCTGCTTAATCGAAGGGGGAGAGTGAGTGAGAGAGAGAGATTGATTAAAGTAGCTAAGGGGGTTGACCAGGCTGCCATTTCATCATCAAAACTAGAAGAAGACCTACAGACGGGTTTGAGGGGTCGAGCATAAGCGATTAGGCTTAGAGAGAGCCCTGTGACAATGGGGAATTCACTGCGGCCAATTCTCATGAAGAGGGTTCATTCATCAAGAGCCCCCTGAGAACTTGCGGCCGGTCATCTTCTCTGTCTCGTAGAGAATGTGGTTGATGAGCCCCCTGGCAGCGCTGCAAATGAGAGATCGGAAATCGTGAGTAGGATATGAAGATCGATTCAAGGGGATCTCTCCTGCCCGAGAACCAGAAGGAAGATGGTGTCTTGGAGACTCAATTGGGGCAAAAGATGAGAGAGAGAGAGAGAGAGAGAGAGAGAGAGAGAGAGAAGAGATCAGGGTTTTATCTCCATGCGAGCGTACTCGTCCTTGAGCTTCTGGATCTTCTCGGGGTCCGTCTCGTCCTTGTGTTTCTTGAACTGTTGCCTCACCATGCTCACGATGAGCTCTGTGTTGTGTTGCTGCGGGGGGGAAGATCACACCTCTTTCAATACGTTTTCGATCTCAGAAGTGGCGACAGATCAGGCTTTTGATCTTAGAAGATGGTGGCAGATTCCCCAATTGGCCGCATTCAGCCCAAATCAATGCACTTGATCGCAATGCAGAGAGAGAGAGAGAGAGAGAGAGAGGAATGGCGGCAGATTTGCCGATCTGCCACCATTGGCCCAAGTCAAAGAACTCGATTGTTAGCATCCAAGCAATGCACAGAGAGAGAGAGAGAGAGAGAGAGAGAGAGAGAGAGAGAGAGGGGGGATAGTGGCAGATTTACCAATCTGCCCAAGTCAAAGCACTTGATCTTACTGTTTATGCTTCAACTTATAATAGTAACACAAAAATTTGATCCCCGATTGATGTTAGATTTCATAGCATCTAAAGAAAAGTAGAGAGAGAGAGAGAGAGAGAGAGAAAGAAGGATCAAGCAGGGCAGCGTACCTGGTGGCCGATGAAACGGGCTCTTCGGAGGCACTCGCGGTACAACTGCAAGATGATGAGCGAGAATCTCAGGATTCGATTCAAAGATGGAAGCATGAAATCCGGTGGACGCCAAACAAAGAGGCAGAGTAAACCCCACTCTGATGACATTGTTGGCGAGTTCGGGCGGCAATGCTGTCTGGATGGAAGGCATTCTTCTCCCCAAAGCCCTTCATAAGAACACAAGCACGAATAGATCAGAGGAGGCGAGGGTTGACTTCACTTTAGTAAGCTGCAGCAGGAGCACATTCACGGTCGACTTCAACGGACCCCTGGGGTTGACTAGAAACTTCTCCGGAGTCAATCATACAGACCCCCATCTTTAATCTGAATATCTGGACATTAGAAAACACGATGGAAGCCTGGAGAGAAGAGGGTTCCTGTTCCTAATGTTTGATCCTATCAGAGAGCAGAAAGCTACGACGAAGATTTAAGAAGAACCAGTCGATGAAGAAGCCCTGATCACGGATCGCTAGTCAACGTTCAAACGGGAGCATAGGGTTGACTTCATGTAGGGGCAGCGGCAGATTCGCGGTTGACCACACTGGAATCTGAGGTTCGACAAGATTTCTCCCGAGTTAATCATTTTGATCCCTGTTCTAATCTGAATATCTAGACACAAGTTTATATCATTTGACGACACCATCAGGTCCGGCTAAGAACTCCTTTCATCCGAGATGAACACCATCAGAGGAGAGAGACGCATAATCTTTCTTGAACTTGGTAATCAGTAAGGAACTATAGAAAGTCATCGGGTTCATCAATGACAGCATAGCCCGAGGATGGGATGAGCCCATGCTCCTTTCAGAAGACTATCCGGAAATCCACGGAATCTATCCGCAAAAACGAAAACCCATGAAGATAAGGCAGAAAAGAAGATCAGAAAGTATAATCTTAACCAGATTAACCGACTGCTATTCGTGGACATTGATTGGTCAATCCCCAGCGACGGTCCCTCCGCCTGATGGCCGTCCGTAAGGCGACCCAGTGGAGATCCCTCCTGGTGGCTTCCTACTGCCATGCCCTCTTGATCATATTTCTCCAGATCAGAAGAGGAAACTGAGACAAATCCGAAGAGACGATCGATTCTGCATTACCCCTCCGCCTGAATAAGGATCGCGGCCACCATTCCCCATCCCCTCCCTGCTCCCTTGACTTTATCACCATCCCAAAACTGAAGAACCCAAACAAGCATAGAGGAGGAGGAAGACAGGGCACCATTCCTCAGCCTTATCGCCATCACGAACCCAAAGAAGAACAAGAGCGAGCGAGAGAGAGATAGAAGGGTAGTACCTGCTAGAGAGGGCCCTGCGGCTTCTGGCTGCGTGGAGGCGGAGACAGCAGGACGGGGGTGCAAGAGAGATGGGGGATCTTTGTGGATCAACTGGGTAATCGGACGCAGGCGGCGCGGACAGAGAGAGCCAGAGGGCAGCGGAAGAATGGGGTGGCTTACCACTAGGGCCGGAAGCTCGAGAGGGAACGGGGCGGCCAATTTGGTGACTTGGGCCGGCTAGACTGGACAAGACCCTACTCGGTCCATTGTCTCAACTGGGCCTCAAAGATAAACCCTCAAATAAAGTTCCTAGGAAGATGTGGAGATACAAATACTTGCTCGATTCAACCATTTTCCCACATCAACCTGATGCCCTAAAAGTAGGAGAAACCGCACTTTCTTCTTTCTATTTTTGGGCTATTATTTCTAGTTTGGACAATCAATAACAATATTCTCCAATCTTGACTTGACTAACTAGTTGCAACAAACAATATTCTCCAAGTCAATAACATTATTCTCCAAGTCAAATCTTGACTTGAATTGACTAACTTGCTTGTATTGACTGTGCAATAACTATTTACACAGTCAATACAAGCACCTCCAGATCTTGAGTCTCAATCAGAAATGTAAACATTTGTCAATTTCAAGCAGTGATAAAATTTGAGTACTAGTAAAGACTTGGTCAGCAAATCTATAATATTGTCTGACATTGGGATCTCTACAAGCTAGATATCACCTCCTATAATAAATTCATATAATTTATGAAATCTTAAATCAATGTATTGTCCCTTTGAATGATAAATAAGACCTTTTACATGACAAATAGTACTACGAATATCATAATATAGAAATAAAATAATTTCATTGATACCAAATTCCTTCTCCAAACCCTTCAAGTAGGATACACACTTTGTTGTGTAATAATTTATTTATTTTCAGTAATTGAAAATATGATAATATTTTAGAGTACTTTCTTTCAACTAATTAAATTGCTAACTAAAGAAAAACATACTTGTGATAGACCTACTCTTATCAAGGTCACGTGTATAATCAAAGTCAACATAACCAACAAGAATATTACATTTTCTCTATTAAATAGCAAACCATAATTTCATGTCCTATTAAGAGTATGTAAAATCTATGTTATTATATGTTAAAACTCTATTTTTGAATTTATCACATATTTCCTAAAATCACTAATGCCATGTGATAAATTATGCCTAGTCAGAACCATTTCAAGAAACCATTGTATATACTCAATAGATAGCCAACCTAATTTGTATGAAAGATATTCCTACAAAAATAATCTAAAGTGCTGAGGTGATAGTGTACTCCCTGTTTCAACCTATGTCATACTAAATTTCTTAAAATTTTGGATCTTTTTAGCATTACATGGGTGTTTCATTTCAAATTTGAAGCCAAAATTGATTCTTTTTAATTTTTCAATCTCATCCATTGTTAGAAACAATAGCATGTGATCGACATATATCATAAGTAGAGTAATATAACTATGATAGTGGAAATTAAAGAACATATTTGTTATGGTTCTTATCTAGTTAAGTATCAACATAAAATAATCACATTTCTTGTACCATTAATAAGGAGCTTATTCCAATTATAAAGAGGTCTCTCTAATTGGAACAAATCTTTTTCATTGCATTATTAAACAAAATTTTCTCACTTTGACATATGACATCTTCATCTAAATTTTCATGTAGAAAAGTGTTTTTACATCAAGTTGCTTTAACTCGAAATCAAACATAGGTACCATAGCAAGTATAACTCCAATTGAAAAATAGTTTACCATTGGTGATAAAATATAATTTTAATTTATACTTTTTATCTGACTAAATATGTTGGCTACTAACCAAGCCTTTTTATAGGTACTTATATCATTGATATAGCTACTTTCTTCTTGTACATTGACTTGCAATTGATTATTTTATTATATTTTGGAGTTGTTACTAATTCAAGTGTTGTTACTTTGAAGAGAATTCATCTCTTCCTTCATAGCAATCCTCCATTCATTGTTGTTTTTTTCCCTTAGTAGTCTCATAAAACATTACAAGATGAGAATAAATAGTAAAATATATATAAGCAATTGAATCATAAAATATTAATGTAATATTTTCTTTTCTTCTTGTAAAACCTGTAGTGATAAACTAAACATCACTAGGATTTGAATAAATAGAAGACTCATCATGTTGTACATGATTTTCTAAATTTCTAGGAACTCTTTGTGTGTCTTCATTCAATTTCATGACTGAGTTATTTGTAATTCTCAAAAGAAGCCATATGTTTGACTTTTTTTTCAACATTAACATTTCATCAATTATGGAATTAATATTTATCATTAATTTTTAAGTAATAGGATTCATTACCCCAACAAGTCTAAGTTCAATATTATTTTCATCTGAACTGGACATTCATTATTAGATTTGTATGTGCGAAAGTAATCTCAAAATTAATACATATGATTGAAACAAGCAAAATTAAAAATCTAAATTTTATAGTAATTTAGTGTTGACCATGTGATTTAGGAAACATTATATACTCACTAACCTAAAATAAGATCTATCTATAAGAGATCTTATCTAGAAAAGAAAAGTAGATCAATTCAACCCCCTCTTCTTAATATTAGCACAACCTAAAATCAAGTAAATGTGAAGCATGAGAATTTAAAGTGACAGCAAGAGATTATGACTGACTGAAAGACATTACATTTCGATAGTGTTAGCCAAATTGAGCATGACATGTACCTTTAGCTGAACACTTTAAATAATCTTTACAGCATTATCTTAAATTTGAAGGAAAAAGTGATACAAGTGTATGAATGTGTCAAGATATCATATGTGAATGTGGTCAATATTCTAGTGTATTAAATGGTTTGCATTAGGGATGATTTATCACACGTCATCTATATTGTTACCATATTTATGAAAAAACAAAGAAAAAAATATCATAATGTAGTAAAATAATTTTGGATTATCTTAAGAGTACATCAGATTATGATTTGTTATTTAAATAGAAAAAAATATAATGTCTTGTTGGTTATATTGACTAAAATTATGTAAGTGACCTTAACAAAAGAGGATCCGTCATTTTATTTCCTTAATATACATCTAATTAGTTGGAGGGCAATGGTCCAATATCTTATTACAATTTTAAGTAGAAGGGCTAAGTACATCACTACAATTGGGTCATCAAAGGAATCATTCTAGGTGAAGGGTTTAGTGAGGAAGCTTGCTACCATTTGAATTAATGTGTCTCTACCTTGTGATAGTTAAAGTTTCATTTTTATTATGAAAGATTTAGTTTATCAGTCAAGGAACAAACATATTGATATTAGATCACACAAACTATACAAATTTTTTCCAAGAAGCAGCATCTAACTTATTAAAATACACATAAGACAATGTTAACTAATATGATAGCGAACCATTACTAGCAGAAAAATTTCTTGGTGCTTGATGCGACTAATTAAACTTAGGTAAAGGTCAAGAAAGTTGTTATTGACTACTCCAACTAGTTAGCTATAAATAATGATCCAAAAGGAATAATGTATTTTCTTCTTGTTTTAGGGCATCTAGGTGTTATGAGAAAAGTGAAAAAGTCATTTGGGAAAATGTATAGGTGTATTTTTACTTAGTTTTCCAAAATAGCTCATAGTCTTGGTCCATTAAGGCCTAGGTTGATTAATCTCACGAGTTTGATACGTTAACCTGATGCCAATAAACTCTAAAGGCTTGGTCCACTGATTGAGTAGCTTGGTAAAATATCCAGACCAAACATGAGGCGACATGACAAGCAACTAATTGATGAAGCCCAACATTCCATGCAGCTTAAATCTGAAGAGCCGTTGAAGCCCAAATCACTACACAGCCTAAAACACAGCTAGTGGTTGAGACCTAGCAAGGAGAGCAGCACAATCTCAATGAGCCATTAGATTACAACCTAGCCCACTAAGTCAAGCAATAAAATAGGGCTTCTAGCCTAAATTATGCAAATAAATTAAGAAAATTCATGAAGTGGAATTGGGCAAACGATGTGTGCGATCATCATCTCTTCTTCATCCATTCTCAACTTGGATCTGGCCAAGACTTGAAGCTCTTGTGCATGTTTGTTAATGACCGATCACCTTTTTGTCAAGCCAACAAAGTCATTGCCTTCCTCTGAGTTGAAATCATCATATTTCTCGAAGGCAATGAACGTTATATTTCTCTAAGTTGAAATCATCATATTTCTCAAAGGCAATGAACTTCATATTTCTCCAAAATCATCCACTAAGTTAATCGATTGGGTTCTTTTGTACTGTTTAGTTGATTATTATTTACAACAAGGTACCCACCCATGTTGTGCTCGTAATTAAGTGTGCAGTGTTGTTAGAACCGTGATCTCTAACAAGATGTCACATACTCAAGAACTCTGGTGTAAAGTTTGATCATTCTTGAAAATCAATAATTTTGTCTGTGAAGTGGATAATTGAACACTAGTTAAAGTTGTCTCTCTGCTTCTTCTTTTTTAACTATCTTCTCAGCATTGAATTTATGAACCAATTAATTCGTGGTTTAACTTGGCTTAAGAGAAGAAAAACAAATCTGTAGTTAATTTATCGAGGAAGCCACTTAACGATAAATTTGTTCTCTCTCTAGGATCGAAGAGAGAGAACCAATTTCTCTCCGGATAGCATTATAATCATCATCATACATGGCAGCATCTACATGGAGTTCAGCAGATCTGTGGCAACCTTCTTCCTGAATTTCGATATATTTATTCGTGAAAGCACCTGAAAGCCCTTTTGAAGAAACTAATGAAGAGAGTTTTTATTCGATGCCTACTCTCAGCAGTAGGTTCCCGGTTGCATATCAGCTTGCTGCTCATTACCCAGCCCGCCCAACTGCAAAGAACCTTGCTTTGATGCGAGCCACAAGTTGCTGAACCAGAGTTGGCGACCTCTTTACGTGGCATTCAAGGTAGGTGAGTGAAACCTAATAATGGCAGTCATCTTCATTTGATGGTTCAGTTGACCTCAAGAGCTCCAATTTGTATACAAGGTCAATGCAACGAGAAGGTCAACACCAAGATTAAAGTCAACGCCAACGAGAAGGATGACATAGAAGGTTATAAAATTTGTAATCTTGGTGGTGCCTAACGACTTTTTGGTGGGGCCCACCAAAGAATACCACTCGGTGCCTAGACTACCACATAAACGTCCAATCGATTAAATTTTCTCCAAAATATTACGAGGGTGGTTTGGTACTTTTTTTGAAAAAAAACAAATTTTATTCGTTATCATTCTCAATTGGACGCGTTGCTTTTCCTTCTCCGCAACAAACTCCGAGTTGACTTTACGTTAAAGTTGACCAATTAAAGTAGAAAATATCCGTCATACATCATTGAAGAACGGCTTTTTTAAGAGAAATAAAATTCCGAACTTCTCATTAAAAACACGCCAGTAGTCTCGAGCGTCGCTCCGCACGGGAAAATGCCCAGTTTTTCGACGTTCGCACAAGCTGATCTCTCTCCATCTCTAGCGAGAGAGAGAGAGAGAGAGAGAGAGAGAGAGAGAGAGAAAATTTAGAGAGAGAGTACATGTACAGACTTTGTTCACAATAGCGGGGGTTTTATCAAATACAGGCTTATTTAGAGGTCGGGAAAACAGTCATCGACGAGAAGGGTGACGACGACTGATCTCCGTCCGTGGGGTCTCCTCAATGCTGGCCGCCGCCGGCAGCAGCCTTCGCGAAGCCCAGCCCCTCAAGACCGAAGCGATGTAGTCGGCCAAGTCTGCCCTCGGATCGCCTACTAGGGCCCGGAGGACCTCCCACGTCAGGCCCGACAGAAAGTCTATAAAAAAGTCCCTCGCCGCCGCCGGAAAACGGCTGCCGCCCCTCCGTGCTGGATCGCCGCTGGTAGGCTGTCCCTCGATCGCCGGCGGGAGGGCTCTCTGTGGTTGGTTTAAGATTGGAGGTAAAACTCCGCCGCCGGCGATGGCCGCCGTGGGGACGCGGAAGCGCTCGTTTTCCCATCTGCGGAGAAGAACTTTCTTCGCGCAGGCGACGTGCAGGCTGGCGTCGGCCGAAGAGGAGACGTAGGACCAGGCTGAGATTTGTCCATCATCTTCGACCCCGCAGATTTGGCACTCCGCCAGCATCTGCACCGGCAGCCTCATGGTGGTGCCGCGGTAGCTGTTCGTCGGCTGGAGTTCGGTGCACGTCGGGTGGAGGTACCTGCCTTAATCACTGCCGTAGAAGTATCCCTCTATGCTCCCGCTGCAGGCGTCGCAGAATCTACTCTCTCGCCGGCGGGAGGTGCGCCATAGAAGTCGAAGACGACGGGTTCAAGGTAGACGGCGCTGCGTAGCGTTCGGCGAGGCCTGGCGCAGACCTGGTGCAGATCGTAACGGGATCTCTGGCAGGTGAATCTCAGGCCGAAGCCGACATCTTTGCATCCGTCGCAGATGAAGGGGTCGGAACTGTATTCGAGCTGAATCGGGTGGCCATGGTGGCTCAGCGTGGAGTACAGCATCCCTCGCCGTGGCTGCTCAGGAGCAGGACGATGCGTTGGAGAGGAATGGAGGGGTCGACCGGGGAGATGACGAAGAAGGAAGACGATCTACTTGTACACTATTGTAAGGAAGCTTCTTGGGTGCTCCCGAATAGACCAGTCTCTCCACGCGGCTTCTCTCTCTCTCTCTCTCGCAGTATATGTATACACATCGTGTTGTACGCTGAAATAAGGCGTGTGGGGCCACAAAGGGTTACTTTCACGACGATACATGCATTTCTTGCTGTTAGCCACATGGAGACTATTGCAGGGGCAGTTGCACCCTTAGACAAAGTCTTTGAAGAAGGTACCATTTAGTCAATCCTCCATTGGATGATCGGCGTAAGTCTAGAAATCAGAACACATCGACTCCGCAAGACGCAACTTGTAGTATAGAAAAGGAAAAAAAATCTGGTCTTGAAAAACACATGGGACAATTTTCTCAGTGCTTGAGTCAACTAAGATGACTTGAACGATCTAAAATTCACAAGAATCATAAATAAAAACGCTCTTAAATTCTGGAATTCACAGGGATAAACAATGGCCCATCATGTGTGCGTGTGTATATATATATACCTTTTTTCCTTCCAAACTTAATGAAGCATTTTTTCTCTTTTTTTCTCTCTTTCTCTCCCACCGGCGGCTAGGGTTTACAGCCGTTCTTCCTTAGCCAGATCTGATGCCAAATGAGAAAGTTTCTACATGTTTTAACATGATATCAGAGCCAACCATGTGTGCTCGTTCTTTACCCTAGATATGCTTGGAATCTATTTTCTTTACATGTTGGAAATCATTTGTATCATGTCCTAGTTCATGGGTTGTTCTTGCTTCTTCCTTGTGACCTATTGTTTCTGAAATCAGACATTTAAAGCCCTATTTGCATCTGCTTATGCTCATAGAGGAGAAAGAACAGTCATTATATCATCCATGATACAAAATATATGAGGGTCCCTTCTAGGTGACCTAGCCTTACCTTTAGTTGGCCTCATGACCTTAAATAAAGGACTAAAACACATCATTTGCTGACAAAGAGAGTCAATTTATGTCTAAAATTGTTGATATGTTGTCAACATCTTCTAGTTCTTTATGAGAATGCTCTAGACTCTATAGAGTTGCTCAAAATATCATCTGAATTTAAGCTCACTAAGAGAAATCTCCTCTGGTGGAGTGAGTTTATGGAAGTGGTCTTAATAAAAAGGAAAAAACTAGATCACTTTCTTGAACTAAGACTAACCTAAACATATCCACGTTTTAAACAATGGAAGGAAGATGATATGATACAAAAACCTGGTAGTGGAGTACAATGACATCAAAAGTCAATGTTAACTACTTTTTTTTCCCACAACAAAAGATATTTGGGAGCAAACAAATCAAGATTCCTGAAAAATATTTCTCATTAAATGTCTTATCTTTATTTTATCCTCAATTATTCCTAAAAAATAATTTATTTTCTAAAGTATCTAAGTGCTCTTGTTTTGTTCATAGCCATGAACCAACTAAAGGTAAATTTGATCCACATGCTATTAAATGTGTGTTTGTTGAGTACTCAAAAAATAAAAACTAGATATAAATATTATTTCCTCTTTTGAAGAAATTTTTTATTTCTAAGAATATAACTTTCCATGAGCATGAATCTTATTTTGATAAAAAGTTTCTTCAGAAGGAAAACCCTTGTGATATTATGAAAGAGAGTAATGTAAATGGAAATAACTTTGTATCATGATATAGACCTTTCAAAGTACCCATGACATTCAAAGAAATAGTATTACTACCACGAGAGATTAGTGAACAATCTAAACTCATATATCACGTTGATTATGAATAACTTTTAAAGGAAATTGAATTAATGAAGATGAGGAGCTACTAGTATCACTAGAAAATAATTAAGAATTACTCATAGCTCTTTGAAAAGAAAAGAGGAAGATTATTAGAAATCCACGATATCTTATTTCTAACTTTATATCATATAAACACTTGTCACCCTCGTATAGAACTTTTCTTATTACTCATGAGTTTGAAAAAAAATTCATTAAATGTATTAAAAGCATTAAGTAAAGATGAATGGAGACAAGTTATGGAGGAAGAATTAAGGGCCCTAGAAAAAAAATCATATATGAGATTTAGTAAGTCTACCACTAAAAAAAAACTATTAGATGTAAGTGGGTATATACAATCAAATATAATACTAATGGCACAATAGAAATGTATAAAATTAGGTTAGTGGCCAAGGAATATATCTAAGCCTATGACGTAGATTACCTAGAAACATTTTTTCCTGTTGCATAGATGAGTATAATTAGATTTTGCTTTCCTTAGTAATACATTGGGAATGGAATATTCAATAATTCAATGTGAAGAATGACTTCTTAGTAAAAACTAAGAAGAATATATATATATATATATATATATGAATGTACCTCAAGGATATAATAAAAATAGAGATAAAGGTGTATGTGTAAGTTAAAGAAATCATTGTATAGAGTTAAGTAATCACTTAGGGCTTGGTTTGGAAATTTTTCTAAAATAATGTATGAGTTAAGATAGAACTATCTAATAGAGATCACATATTATTCATTAAACACTCAACTTCAAGAGAAATTACAATTCTCTTAGTATATATAGATGATATTTGATATGAGTTAGTTGTTGTATAATAAATCACGTAAATTTAAAATTTATAAAACTAAAAAATATCATTTTTTGAATATTTAGAAGTATTTTTGAATAAATATATCAATTATACTTCAATAAAAGTTCTAAAAAAATTAGGTCAATCATAGGGATGCAATATAATATTAAGTAATATTTTATAATTTTTTACAAATAATATGTTTTTTTATAAATTTTAGACTAAAAAATAAATATTAAATATATTTAAAATTCATGAAAATAAAAAAATAAGAGTGTAGGCATCAAGATGATGTTAGCACCCGAATGAACGTGAATCGGGTGGAAATAAAGTTTCACCCAAAAATTCTTATATAAGTGATTACAAATAATTTATTTAATCAAATAAGATCTATAAAAGCCAAAAGAATCGTAATTTAATGAACAATAGTTTAAAAACTGAAATCACATAAAGTATCACTAAATTAAATGAAAATTAAGTTTGACCGATTAAAAAGGTGATGCGAGAACACATAACCTTTGCGTGGAAGATTCTAAATAGATACTTGATAACGGGTGGCGGAGTTTAAAGTAAGAAAGATAGAGTTTTGGCCTCATGAGAGTGATCGCCGAAATTCTATATTTGAGGTAATTATTGCGCGATGTTTATGACCTCAAGAGCTCTCATTAAATATGGACGACTTAGATCTTCTTTCAAAGTATAGAAAATGATGATGAAAATTAAACTAGTAGAAAAATAGTAAAATAGAGTTCCAACATCACGACAGTAATGTGTTAGAATCTTGAATGTTTAGGAGAATTGTCATATAATGTCCATGATTTCAAAGGCTCTCTTTGGACAAGGACATCATGAACAATCTCTAGATCTTCTTATAAAGTTTATAAATAAACAAAATGGGTCGTTAAATTAGAGTAGAAAAATGACACTTTGTGAGTCTCCGACGGCTGTCTCCTAGTGGAGATGAGTTGGATGAAGGTGGGTGATGAAATCAAGTGATAATTATATGTCTTCATACTTTAATTAATCATTTATATTTTCATAGGCATGATAATTATCACTTATTTATGATTAAAAATAAATAAACATGTATTATTTATCTAGTCCTTATTTTGGGTATTTATTGGCTTGTGAACTAACCCCACTTGATTTTTTTAGTCAAGTAGATTATTCTCACTTTTTTTTTGGATTTCTATTGCATTCAGGACCTAGATAAATTAGATATTAAATGTGGAGGATAGAGGAGTAGTCAACCTATGTTCAAGGCCCAACAAGAAAGGCCCAAATCCGAAATTAAGGAGAAGCCACACATCGTGGGTTTCTCACTTTGAGAAATCAGGACCCCTATTTATACTCTCTTCCTCCCTCATTGTAGGGCATCCTTGATTCTGTCCCAAACTTTATGTTGGCGGCCTTAGTGCAGTAGTTTCTTGGATCCACTCTATCCTTTGAGTGTCAAGTTGTGTGAAGAAGCGGACCAGATCATTTGATTTAGAGAAAGAAAGAGATTGCTACCTTGGGTCAGAAATGGTGTGACACCAGAGGAACAAGCAATCTCCCAAAGATTCACCTCCTTCCTTTAATTTCGTTGGCTTGTTATTACTAGTGTGAGAGCCAAGATCCAAGGCTTTCCAACGCCGCAAACCACACCCGAAATTTCGCTCTGTAGCAAAAGTTACAGACGAATCATTCCGCCTCTCGCCTGCGTGTCACTGCACATACGCCTGCTGCCCGCGCGCTCATTTGCCTGCTCGCTGACTGCTGCCGCGTGCTCGTCCGCCGCTCGCTGACTGCTGACCAGTGCGCTCGTCCAGCCGCTCGCTGACGCGTCGCTGATTGCGTGAAGCTCGCGGACGGGTGACCGCCTGCGTACCGCTCGCAGGAGCGTCCTCACCCGTGCCCCATTCTCCGGCGCATCATCGTTTGCACGACGCTCGCCGACGCGCATCGTCCGCGCGACGCTTGCTGACTGACTGTGTGAAGCTCGCAGACAAGTGACTGCCCGCGTACCGCTCGCAGGAGCGTCCTCACCCGTGCACCATTCTCCAACGCATCATCGTCTGTCCGACGGTCGCCAAGGCGCATCGCCGCGCGATCCTTGCTGACGCATCACCGCCACGCCATGCTCACCGACGCGTCACCGCTCGTGCACCGTCGCCGGCACATCTCCACCCACGAACCGCCCACCGATGCATCACCGCCGTGTGTTCATCGCATGTGCACTCGCATGCCCTTCGCCGATGCCGCCAGAGCGCTGGTAAAGGTAAAGTTATTCCGACTTTAGGGTTTCTTCTTGTTACAAAATAAAATAAATTAAAATATATATATATAAATATAAATATAAAATTATTAAAAAAATTCTCCGATTAATTTCTGGCTTATGTGGTTCGACCCTTACTCTGTTATACTTTGTGAGATTAAATATTATAGATATATGTTGTTGAATCTAGAATTTTATAATAATTATGATCACATTTTCTAATTAATCAGTGAGATACATCTTAAATAGTTTCATCTTCATGTCCGCACAATAAGAGTAGATTATTCATTGCATCTAGTACGCTCTCAAGAGGTGACGACTCATCTCTTGACAGATCGTCCTCTTTTTTATGATGACTTGTTCGTTAATCAATTGAATATGATTTACTTGATAGATTCGTAATTCTTTTATCTATAATCATTCAATAATTTTAGTAATGATACTCCGCGAATCTCATTGATAAGTTACAATTAAGACGTAAATTTATAAATACGTCAATAAATTCTTATCATAAACTTAGCAAAGCTAAAGAAAGTAATAAGATAGATGTACTTAGATATCAAGACTTGTAGAAAAATTAATATATCTCTCTTATACTAGACTTAATATTTGATATGTTGTTGGAGTACTTACTCAATTTATGCATGATCCATATATATTTCACTTACTTATTACAGAATAAGTTCTTCAATATCTCAAAGACACTTGGAAAATATATTTTATATAAGAAATAAAATAAATTAGAAATGAAAGTATATACTAATGTAAATTATGTAAGTTCAATCATTAATTGAATATCTACCTTAGAATATTATACCTTTTTATTGGCAACCTCATCACTTGGCAGAGTAAAAAACATGTAGTTTTAATGTCCAATGTAGAATTGAAATTTTGAACAATGGCATAGGGGATTTGTGATGCATTATGGTTAAAAGAATCTTTGAGGACCTATGGATCAAATGTAGCAAGTTAATTCGATTATATTGTGACAATAAATCAACTATAAATATTGCACACAATCCGATCTAATATGAGTGTACAAAGAATATAGAAATTGATTGACATTTTATTAAGAAGAAGCTAGATCATGGAATTATATATATACCATACATTTCCACCCATGATCAACTTGTGGGTGTATTAACTAAGGGATTAAGTGGACCAACCTTTTTTGGTTTTATATCCAAGCTGAGATTAGATGATATCTATTTACCAACTTGAAGGGGAATGTTAATAGGTTAGATTCAGGCATAAGTAGATCTAGTAGATGGATCTGGCCCATATATATATAGATTTATATGATATGTCTTTTTCCCTTTCAAACTTAATGAAGTATTTTTTCTCTTTTTTTCTCTCTCTCTCGTCTCTCCTATTCGACGACTAGGTTTTACAACCATTCTTCCTCAGTTGGATTCGATGCCAAATGAGAAAGTTTCTACATGTTCTAACAAAAATAATTCCCTTGGGTCCACAAGGGTTCCTTGAATCCAAAAGCACTCAAGACTCTCTCAAAGAGAATAAAAATTCATATTAAGCAAGATGCTTTCAAGGTTAAATTGTGGCAGCCTTTAATTAGGCCGAAAATCAATTGGGTTGGCACTAAAAATAAGAATATTTTTTTTGAAGAAAAATAAAATTGTGAACAATGCTGTCATTTATCAAATTGACCATGTTGTGCACTTTATGTGTTTTAAAAAAATTCAAATGACCTAACAAACATGTCAAGTACTAGAAGCTAACTTTGTGCTTGATGAATCTAATGTTAGCTCACCTCATCCTTGTACCTGTCCTTCAAGCTTTCAAAAGATTTGTTCACTACTTTTGAGCCACCTAGGTCAAAAGCTTTTGGCACCTCTTTTTTGGAAGTAATGTCGTACATTAAAAATCAAGTGTAGAACCTCCTTTAAGAAGGAAGGAGCAGTGAGCATTTCCTATGGTTGTGTTCTTACAATTTTTATGGTAAATTTCTTGTTTTTTATGATGAAATATGTGGAAACCTCAAACTAGGCTGAATAAGTATAATTCTTGATTAAAGTAGCCAAAGTCAGCTCAAGACCCCAACAATCTAGGTCTTAGATGATTGGGTCTACATTTCTCAATATGAAGACCTGATTGAGAATGGGTTTTAAGAAATAAATCCGGAAAATATGGAGCATACTCAGCTCTTAACTCGACATGGAAAATTGATAAAACCTGGGGATCGATGTAGTTATCATTCAAGGACCCCAATTTTAGGGGAGAATCAAGGGTTTCAACACAAAATTCGTTCGTTAATCATACAATGGATGCTACAAAAAATCAAGGCTCCCAGCGCTGCGGTCCACAGGCAGCGTTGTAAGTTTCGTTGTTCACAATGTGGCTACCATCACAGCAAGAAATGGCTCTCTCTCTCTCTCTCTTTCTCTCTTTCTATACCTATCTATCTGTCTATCTATCAATCTATATCGACTTCTCTATATATATACATATATACGCACCTGTTGTAGTTGGAAAAATAAGGCGATTAAGGCCATAAAGGGCTACTACTTCCCCGACGACGGTACATGTCAGCAAGTCGGAAACCAACCTGGTTCGATTTATTTTTCGGAATCGGGTACCCAATCCCAGGATGACCCCCCACCAGAGGACCGCTAAGTATTGGAAAAAAGGGGCCCCATGGGCTCTCCTCCCTATGGTTGTCCTCTAACATCTTTTATGGTAAATTTCCTGCTTTTTCTGATGATAAAAATCTTAGAAAGCATCAATCAAAGTCGGATAAGTTATAAATCTCGATTAAAGTAGCCAAAGTCAGCTCAAGTCCCCGTCAATCCGGGTCGTGGAGGACTGGCTCTACACATTTCTCGAGATGAAGACCCGATTTGAGAACGGGTTTCAAGAAATAAATCCGGGGAGTATGGAACATGGTCGGATCTTGATTCTGGCAAAATCAGCTGAACTCGACGAGGGAAAGTATGTGTTCTAGCTGAAAAATGATGAATCGATGTGATTCTCGGAAAAGGGCCCCGATTTCAGGGCGGGGAATCAAGGCTTTCAGCACTAAACTCGTTCGTACCTCACGAAATAGATGGTAAAAAAATCAAGGCTTCCGGCACTACGGTCCATAGAGGCAGCGTCATAGTTTTAATGGTTTCCTTGTTGCTTACGATGTGACTGCTATCTCTCTCTCTCTCTCTCTCTCTCCCCTCGATTCGTGGGGGTTCTGGGAGAGAATGTCCGTGGACAGTTCGTCAGGAGCTCATGAATGCTTGGCATGTAATGGGTCTCGAAATATAAGGTTTATGTAAAGTGATTGTGCAAAAACCTTCAGAGATTTGCGGCAAGAAGAGTTTGTGGGCAAGAGAGAGAGAGAGAGAGAGAGAGCATGAAGGATGCACACCAACCAGAATAATTAGTCAATTTTGGCACTAGAAATAGTACGCGTAGAGAAATATAAACCGAAGTACGAGATTGTAGAAAAGGATATGCATATCTACGTTTAAGCTGAAATATGAGCACCAGCCAAAAGGAGGGAAAAAACAAAGCGAGAGAGAGAGAGAGAAATAATAAACACCAACCGTAAAGAACTCAGTACGGTTGCATATATTGATGCTCAAATGGAAAGAAGGCATCTAAGTATGGTACATACATATATATATATATATATGTAAATATATTTTTTAAAAGCTGATATATGTGAACAGAGCCGAAATGCCTAAAAACAACAGGAATTGGACGGAGGACGGTGTGAGTAGAGCTGAGCACTACGGCAAAACTACTCTCGCTACCCGATGAATTACTTCAACCAAATCAACTACGAGAACCGGAAGAAAAAAGAAAAATTTTCTCTACATAATGTTACACGTCGTATGGTGGTAGATCTAATAAGAGCCATGGGGGCTCTCCAAGAGAGGGAATTCAATGATCCTTGCCCCCCCCCTCAACCCACCCACCTTTCCCCTACCAACCTGCAGAGCTCAAATAGAGAACCCACATGCTAGGTTGGCAAAGAAACGAAGAAACAGAAGAAGAGAAAACAAAGCACGCTACATATATAGAAGCCACCTGCCAAGTTGCCCGAGATTGGTGGCGCGGTGGTGGTGGAGGCGACTGCCGGTGGCCCTGCCGGCAGGCGGGGCGGCAGGAGGGAATTGCTGCTGGGTCATTTCCGGCATTCATAACCCAAGGAAGGCGCACTGCTTCCTGGCGTGTTCAGGGATCAGCTTCACTAGCATTTCTGTTGGCACCCCCTTGAGCTCTGATCATCATTGCCAAATGAGGGATCAGAGAATTAGAAAACCTGGGGAGAGCTCCGCTAATGGGGAGGAGGGCTGATGGGCAGAGGCGGGCTAGGCTGTGGGTTTACCGTGAGGTTTGAAGTTGAAGAGCGGAGGCAGGAATCTGCCGTTGGGTAGACGGGTGTTGGGGTCGCGGAGCTCGTCAAAGAACGGATGAATTAGGGCCTCCAACTGAAACAGATGGCGAACCAGATGATGGGCTTATGATCATCCCAAGCTTAAAGAAAAGACGATGCTCAGTGGAGTCGGCTACTTACAGCAGTGCAACGGAGATTTGGTGAGTACTGCAGGAGGCGGGAGACAAGATCGACGGCCTCAGGAGGCATCCGTTTGTGGAAAATCTGGGAGTTCTCATGTCTTCAGAGATAGATCGATAGATAGATAGATAGATACACAGATAGATAGACAGATAGATAGACAGATGGATGGACGAATGGAGAGAGAGAGAGAGAGCGGTTGCACACCTTGTGCCATGGATGGGCCTTGATCTGGGGAAACTTGTACTCTGTATAGTTAGGGTTCATGCATTTGATCTCCTCTCTGGTGGGGGTGCCCAGCACCTGGAAAGAGTGCAAATTCGGGTCAGGAGAAGGAATAAAATATAATAAATAAATAACTAAATGCAGCATCAAACAGAAGCAGCCAATTCTATTACCTTGATAATTTCTACAAGTTGGTCCACTGCACTCTCCCCAGGAAAGAGAGGCTGCAACAAACGAAACCAATCTCACTTTGAGATTTCTAACAAAACAAATCCTGCCTGAGAAGTGCTTTTACTGAATCTACTAGTAAATTAGATGCTTGCGTAAGGACCCAACCTGCCCAAGAAGGAGTTCAGCAAGAACACAGCCAGCAGACCAGATGTCAATGGCCGTGGTGTACTCAGTCGCACCAAAGATAAGCTCAGGAGCTCTATAATATCTAGAACATATGTAGGAAATGTTTGGCTCTCCCTTCACCTGTTCCACAAAAAGCAACAAAATGACACTTAGAGATCACATTGTGCAAAATACCCCTTCAGTCAGAGTGTAAGAGACGACATACCAATACTTTGGCACTGCCAAAGTCGCAGAGCTTAAGCTGATGAGTGTGGGGGTTAACCTGTTCCGGCAGCAAGAGAACAACTATATGATTAGTCAAAATCCAGAAAGGAATACGTCAAGGTTAATTCTGATTTTAGAAGGAACCAAATAAGGAAGGTCACCAGAAGATTCTGAGGCTTGATGTCTCTGTGGCACACTCCAATACTGCCATGGATATAGGCCAGCGCTCTGCAAATCTGCAGAGAACGTTGACTTATTATCAACACTGCAGTTCTCCGAACTACGCCTTTGATATGAGACTAGGAACTGATATGCCCCAAAGAAGAACATAAGCAACAGTAATGCTCTTGATAACGACCTATCCCCATGGAGATCCCTCGAATACCAAAAGACAAGGCAAATAAAAAAAAATAAAAAAAAGGAAATTTGATGAACCCACCTGATAAGTGTAGAGCTTCACATATATTATGGGCATTCGCTGGTTGTTCTTGTTGTAGTGTTTGATCACTCGGTGGACCGTCTCAGGCACATATTCCAGCACCAGGTTAAGATACAGTTCCTCCTTCTCAGTGGTTGAAAAGAAGCAGTGCTTCAAAGACACAACATTCGGGTGGTCCAGAAGACGCATCGTTTGCAGCTCCCGGTTCTTGTATCTCTTGTCTTGAAGGACCTTCTTGATTGCCACAGTTTCTCCGGTTTCCAGGCATTTGGCCTTTCAAAAAGATAGATAAATTATCAGAATCATTATCTAATGCCATCATGTCTGTTTGTATTTGTTCTGACATGCAGTTTCTGCTCGGACAATAAACCGGCTTGAAAGACCTCAAACGAAATACTCCAAATCCTCGTGTTGTGAGGCTAACCTGGAAAACAACTCCAAACGATCCATGACCAACGGCACGCTCGGCCATGTAGCTAATAGTCTACAACAAATCAGGAAGATGTTATTGAGGAACAAACAGTCTGAAGTTGTCACAGAGATATGGCCCGTTCGGCTTGACCGTACCTGCTTAGGTTGACCATTCCTGCCACCAATAGTTGTCACGATGATATGGCCCGTCTCTGTGCCATTCCCATCGACAAAGGCTGTTTCCATTTCCTATGATAAAAACATGAAAAGTTGAGCTGCCTGAAAACTGTCTAATTGGGATTAGAGAGATAAGAGGAAGAGAAAGGCAAAGGTGGGAGAAAAATACCTGTCCTGCCTTATCATCTCTTATCTTCATGTCATTCATTTCGTCTGGCAACTTGTCTACAGAAATACTGCTGCCACTGGCATTTTTCAAACCAGATGCAGGCACTATACTGACAGAAGCCATACGCTTCCAGCTAAAGATTATGAAGCACAAATGCCCAATTCAAATCCAACCACCTCCGTAATCAGAGAAATCTACTCATCACCTGTTAAGAAAACGAGTGGAAAAAAGATCAAGATCTTGGAGGAAGATAAACAAAGCATCAAATTAGTTTCCAACTCTAGAATTCCACATAAGCAAAAAGAGCTCATAGAACATACCAAGAAAACTCCAATAACCTTGTTAATACATAGAGAAGTCTATCACACAATATATGATTAAAGACTCTAGGCGCAGAGATATTACAAATCAGCAATGATTTCAGCTCTCCGGACAAACTATGAAGGCACGTCAGAGGTGCCCATCCTTTCCTCATAGATGATACATAATCCACCTTGAATAGCAATATTATATGGCAAAATGTTTTTCAGAGACATCTCTTAAACTGGTGGAAAGAATGTAAGTCAACTCGTTAACATAATTAGTAGATCCACTCACTACACATGTTTTATGATTATGAATGCGATAAATACCCATTGTGTCTGGGAGATGGATCCACCAAATAAAAAATAGACGGTTACAAGGACGTCGACAAATGTAGCAGAGCTTTCATTTGAAAACTAAATAGTGGTTCAAAATACAATGCAAATACAATGCAAGTCCAGTTAACATCCAAACCAAAGAAATTACAAGAGCCCCCAAAAAACACATAAGTTAGGATAGGATATACAGAAGAGGTATTATAATATACGGTTAATAAGCGCCAAAAATGTAGCAGAGCTTTCAAATACCGATTGACTCGCTCTGATCGACAACTTACAGAACTATTCAGAACCTCAGACCTCCTTTGACCTAGGGAACTTAAGTATCAATGTGCAAAGGGAAGTCTCCAACAGCCTAAGAGACTACACCAGAAACCTTGATATACAGAAAACGCCGCAGCAACCAGAATCTGCAACTAATAGCTGTCCCACAAAAATCCCACTCTCCCTCCGAGGAATTTGATGAAAAAGTTGTCATCGTGTCAGTGCACAAACTAAAGTTTCATCGATTAGCCTAGAATGAATCTTGTTTCATACATCTTTAGGAGATAGCATCTGATTCAGATCGAATCGGCTGACATAATTCCACGACAAACAGACCAACATCATATAGTACCCCGGTCCACGTCTTTCCCATATGCTTTCCAAAAATCAATTTCATGAGGATGAAGGCAGAAATCAATAATACCTCACAGTACAGCAGATCAAATCGCCGGAATACACCAAGAAGGAGCACAATGTGTGAAATTACAACCACGAAGACGCTAAAGTAGATATAAAAAACAAATGAAATGAAAAGATCCTCTTGGTGCCAACCGAGAGCGATAAGGGTAGAAAGGGAAGGCGATCAGGGTTTTCGCACGATTTACCAGCGTGGAAAACAGAAACCGAGCAGAACAAAGGGGACGACGACCTATTGCATGGAACTCCACAACTGAAATCCCTATTCATAGCCAGCGCTAGAGCAACAGACTCAACTACGGAACTAACGAGACACACGAACACCAAAAATACAGGCCATGAAGACCGTATCACACCGAAAATCACTAGAGACTACAGATCCTACAAAGTCGAAGCACAACCAGCCAGAAATAACACGTCGGCTAGGGATCCAATCCAAGTCCCGGCAAAATAGAGCTACAAAGTTCCCTCATCAGCAGAAACTTACGCGGCCGACCAAGGACGAACTCGATCTGACGCGATGACAGACTCCCGGCGCGAAGATGCGAACATCAATCAAACCAGTACGAACCCGTTGATCGGCTAGCTAGCAGATCGCTCCCCCCGACTTTTTCGATCCTCCTTCCTCCTTCAACGAGACGACCAGCAGACCCTCCACCCACCGCTCCCGCTCTCTCTCTCTCTCTCTCTCTCTCTCTCTCTCCTTCTCCTTCCTCTTCTTATTCCTGTGTGTTTGTGGTGGGTGAAAGGACAGTCAAAGGCGAGCCTCCCAACTCCCGATTTTTTATTTTGCTCCATTCAATTTTATAAATTTTCAAAACAAAACTCTTTTCACATTATGGCATAAAGCCCCTCCCTTTCGAACAAAGCCTTAACTTTATAACCCTCCAGCAGAGTGATTTGACATATAAGTGATCTTCTGAGGGTTTTCCTGCAAAATAAACTTGTCGTCGTGCTTGTGTTTAACGTTTCGGCTGTATCGACTGGCTCGTTGACCGTTCAACGGCATTTCTTTCTGCACCATCTTTTAAAAGCGAAAGGAAAAATGAACGCCAATGAACGGCTTCCTCGAAGACGGAGGATCTGCGGTAATTAAACCTTGTGTTTTCGTCACCTCTTCAGTAACATCACCATGAGGTATCTCCAGGATCTGGTCGTCGCTCTATATCTATCTGGAGAAAAAAAAAAAGAAAAAAATTTGGACGCGGAGGTAATCTCACCTGCCGGTAACAAAAAGTCCCGAGATCGATGATCTGTCGGAGGATCTGAGCCGTTAATGTTGCCCCCAGCACGAATGATGATATTCTCACCAAGTCGATCGTCGGGAAACGGGAAAGGCGGCTCCGGCATCATTAAGGGCCCGGCCGAGAGCTCCTGCTGCTGACCGTCACCCGCCTTTTCAACGGGGCCCCCACATGTCGAAAGCTTTGACCGGGGCGACGCCGTGTTAGGACAAGCCAGCTGACGGAGCTCGGCCTTATCCACACCCCTGTCGGTAAGCGAAACCCTGCCCGGCGGGGGTCAGAAGACGCCGTTCTTGACGGAGAACGCCGACCATTTCTGCGGACCCGTTCGGGCGACCCGAATCGATAGTGCTTTTAGTGGGACGGCGACGCACCCTGGGGAGAGCCGTCAAATTGATAAAAGTCATCGAGAGCGCTCGGTCGACAGTCATACCACACTTTTCAGAATGTCAACCCATACATTTAGTATTTCTAAGGTCCTTTGACCTTAGAAATAATATTGATTGGCCTCGTTTTGGTCCAGTCCATTACATCTCCTCCTCTCCCTCTCTCTCTTGTTCAAAGTTAATGCCCAAAATTATTTGAGATCATGGTTCATTTTTTAGAATTTTGTCTTGGTTTATATTATATAAGATAAGGTTTGTGGTTGACTTCTCCCAAATAAACAAATTAGTGGTAAAGTATATACATTTTGACTAAGACTTTTGATTCTGTATGGGATATATTCCATGGTCAAATTGAGTTTAATTTCAATATTCAAAATCATAATTTTAAAAAATATTTTTATTTCACATTCTCTCTCCTCTAACATAGGTGTAGAGGTCTTCATCATCCAAACCCTTTGATATTTCTCTTGTAATCATATCTCATGCTACTAGGGGGGATACCTAGCACATATCTCATGCTATTTTAAATTCTCGTTAGGGATACCTAGCACATACCTAACATTTAGATTTTTTGTATCTAGTGACTTCATTAATGTAGGCGTATGAGTAACAAAAAAAAAGTTATTTGAATAAGGAATTGAGTGAAACAAAATTTGAAGAAAGCTATTAAGACATTGATATGTTATTGATTTTACAAGATTACTGACGTAATTTTTTCATTCAAGTGAAAAATAATGTAAAAGTTTGACCTATCTAATTAAAATAATATTTATTTAAAAATATATCACAAAGCAAACTGTGAAAATATTCAATAGAAAGCTACTTCAAAGTAAAATTAAAAATTAAAAGGCACACATAAAAATTTGAAGTATTATGAGAGTTCTATTTTTAAAAAAAATCCATGGTTTTTTTTTTTTTTTGTATTTTTCAGAATCTACATGTGCCTATTAAAATTAGCTTAAGCCCAAACATTTAACCCAATAAGAAAAAAAAAAAGTCTAGCCTGACCTTTAAAGAGAAAGTTTCAAAACTAAGACAATGAGATAATACATGATTTTTAGATTGTGACAGCTATTTCAAAGGATATTCCTTGTCTTTGTCAACTACTCTCTAGTCATATCATGTCAAACGAATTGTGGATGTCATCTGAAGTCTCAAGCATTTTTTCCCTCAATGTAACACCTTTTGAGTCTGTCAACTCTTGGTGCACTAAATGATATTTGAAAGATGTGATAACTTAATTCTAAGTTAATTGTTTATATGTTTTGATGAGTGGTGTGTAAAATACTTCAGACACTTGTGCCATGTTGTCGATGTAATCACATTGTTATTGAGTCACTTACAACATGTCTATAATAAGGATATTTAGGACTTTTAAATTTAGATTTCTAGGTGGAAAGATCATAAGCTCATAAAGTTTTGAGATATAAAGGTTCTTAATCTCAACAAAATTAAGTGTACTTTAGTTGTGAAATTGTAGAATGAAGTGAATTCCTTTAATGTCAATATAAGCTAAAGTAGTTTGACTGAACCACTTTAAAATTCGGTATTCAAAATTTAGTTTGATTCATTTTATTTTTATATTAATTTATCAATATAACTAAGTTATTAATGTATATTTAAATAATTAAAAAATTAAAAAACAATTCACCTCACCCATCATAATTTATCCAACCATATAAGAATCCACATATATATTTTATATGTCAGTGGAGCAAGACATAGTCATTAACATTAAACCATTGTATATACATATTTTCATCCAGTGCCCCACATGTGTTAAAAATTTACATGATTCTTTGACATACATACAAAAACCTTGACACTACTAAGCAATGAAATAGCTTAACTTACTTTGTGATCTTTGATGGGGACAAAAATTATTGTTCTACCATTAACTCGAGTGATGATCAACATGTTGTCAAGCTTTAGGAGAGATCGCATGATAATTAGGCAATATCTAATAACTTGGTTTGGTTTTTCTACTGAACTACTCTTTTAACATACCATTGATCTACTTTGATTAACCATCCATTTATAAACAGAAAATTTCAATAACTTCAAGTAAGTGCCCATATGTGGAAAGAGAATGATCAAAGAGTGACAAATGAACATTAAAGCAAGCCCCATAGATTTATCATTTTGTATAGAGAGACATATTATTAAAGCATGCCACCTTTTTATTACATTATTTGTTTGTGTTGGCATGAACATATTATTATTAGAGAAATAATCAATAATGATAAAGATCACAATGCACCCTAGAAGCTTCATCAATAAAATGATAAAGATGTTGAAGGATTAAATGTATAGTATTGATGATAACAAAAGTTTGTTGAGGGATTCAAAGCTGGAGTTTGTCAACTATCAAAGTTGTTGGCACTAGAGAGAGAGAGAGAGAGAGAGAGAGAGAACTTACTCAAGTTGGTGGAGTAAGTAAGTGTGAGTAGATTCATTGCATAAGTACTAGGGTCCTCAAGAGAGATCAGTGGGGGGGACAAGGTTAAAGGAAGTGAGAGGTATTTATTGAAAACTTTTAAGTTGAACTCTAAAAGATGAAGTTTGATAGCCTATGTCAAAGATATGAAAAGATTCAAGTTCTGTGATTTGGTAATCAAGTAGATTCTCAAATGAATATTCAATGTTGACTACTTTAAGTCAATAATGATTTTGATATTAAAAAAATGGGTCAACAATAAAATTGTAATTTTACCCTATTAAATTATCACTATTCAAATGTTTTAGCGATAGTATTCTTTCATCAATTGTCAATTGTATCAAAATATTATAGAAACTCAAGATTCAATAAATGGTGTTTTACCTTATGCTTTGACATGAAAAAATACCACATTGATTCAATCGACTAACACTAAGCAATAGTAATTTTGTGGACTTAATGAAAAAAATAAGAATAAAGAAAATATTATACTATTGCCAACAAATTATGCATGACATGCTATCATTAGAACAAACTACAAACTATTGCTTAGAAAGAACTAAATATCCACTAGTAAAAAAGAGCTAAAGTTCTATATTGACAAAAATATAATTATTTAGCATGAAAATTTTTGCATTAAAAATAAGTAGAAATAAAAGCTACATTAAAGCATAACCTTCATCTTCAAAGGTCCCCACAAGGGAGTTACCACAATAACTAGATGGTATTTTGTTTCATTTATTTTAAGATCTAAAATGTATAAATATGACATTTGAACTGCTTGGTACACCTAGGCTGATTCTAGAGGCACTAATTTAGGACAATGAACTAGTGTTGAGTGTCTAGTAGTGGGCTAACTAAATGTATAAATCTAGTAGTGTAGATGTAACTTGAAACATACATATAAGGCTGAGTGTAAAAACAGAGGTAAACCCATGACTTTGAACCATTGTAAAGGCCATGTAAAATGATTGACTCACCTATCCTAAAATGATTCACCTAAGGAGTCAACTCACACGCTAGAGAGGTCCAAAATAGATCAGTCTTTGGCTAATTTGCCCCCTACCCATCTCTGTACATATTATAGAAAGGTTAATTTGCCCCTACCCCTTCTTAGGTCTTCTTTGGCCAACATGAGATGGATAAATGCTTCACAAGATAGTTGTGCTTAGTAAGAAGAAAGATTGTTAATATTATGTGATCAATATGAAGGACCCTTAAGCTTAGAGAAAGAGTTGAAGTTTCTCATAAGTCTAGAGTACTAAGGTTTTAGTCAATAATTGGAGTCAAAATAACATCACTAAAAGACCCAAATGAACTATAATGTGGAGGGGATGCAAAGTGCAACCCCCATGTGGCATCACTCAAGAGTATCATCCTTAAGGAATAACTAGTATGGAAACCCTAAGGCTAGGGGAGATGAAGAACCAAGAGTAGCTAATCATGTCTATTTTTAATGGGATGATGATGAATAGGTTGAATTAAGTAATATTTTTAATTAGCCTTTCTACTTTAGTTTGTTTTAATCTACATAAACACAAATTCTAATTGAATGGGCTGTGTTCATTGTGATCAATATTCTAATAGTGTTTAGAGAAGCATTGAAATAATAGTTAGCACAATTAATCAATAGGAGTAAGACAACTATATATATATACTTAGAATAATTAATCAGCATTATGGCTCCTCACTCTTAAGGTTTCAACTAATTTTCTCATAGATTCAAACTAGATATACACAGACCTCATAGTAAATAGTTGATGGTGCTACCATGGCACTCTTTTTGTCACATGACTAGCAACTGATTTGTTTCTAAGGAATCATTCCATTACTATCTTTCAGCCCACCATGAGTTAATGACTCCTACATGAATTAATGGCTTCAGCCCACCCCAGAACTCAGCATATGGCTAAGAAAAACATGGTGTTAAAGTGAATTGAATTATTGAATGCCAAGCTCACAGATGTCGTACTTAATAATTATAATTAGGGTTTATCAATTTATAATACTAGGATATAATTTGAGCTCATTGGTGCTATTTTTTTTTAAAAATATAATAATTTTGAATAGAACTATTAAAATTCTTATGTTTTCATTATTTATGCATGCAATCTCCTCCCTTTTTGAACATGATTCTTAAAAATGTCTTTAGAAAATGAAAAACAAGAAAAGACCAATTAACACAAGTTTCCTAGTTTTCAATTTGGTTAACTTGGGACTAATAGGGGAGTAGAGCTCCTATGGGCTGTTCAGGAGAAATGCCACCATCTGATCTTGCTGAGTTTTATCACAGAGCATGAACATCTAAGAACTACAAAGTAGTATTTATTGATGGTCAAGGCCTCATTGCATTGGGACATTTTTAACACATTCGGGAAAATTAGATGTGAAACCTACTTAAATTTTGAATTTCAAATTTAGTTCAAAGCTTTTGAAGGATTATGGGGCAAAAAATCAGGTTTAAAATGAGAAAGTCACACTATCTTATTCTAATGTATACATGACTAGCATTATCTTTATAATATATTACGCACAAAGTTATTATCGTGTGCATGGGTAATAGATGCAAAGTTTTGAGAGATACAAAATAATTTTAAAATATATTAAAATGGGTAATTAAAAATGGATGATCTTTAAATCTTCGAAAAAATCTTAGGTATGAGGTGGAGAGAGAGAGAGAGAGAGAGAGAGAGAGGCTGGGGTGTAGCCAGGGAGAGCTTGTATAGCTACTATCCAGACCATCTCGGGGGCCGCTCTCGACCCCAAATTCCTTGGGGGAAACCGACGACGGCAATGGAACAGGGTAGGATTCGTAAGGCCCTGCTTCCTCGTCGAAACCCCATTGGTCCACGTGTACCCATCCCTCATCCTAAACCGTTCAATATGCTGATCGGACAAGATTAAGATGTGACACGGAGAGAGAAAGAAGAGAGAGAAAGAGAGCATTACGGCTGTAATGATCATTTCGCTAACTTGAGCTTTGGCCTTGCCAGAACAGTTGTTAGCATGATTAAAACGATCTGACCGTTCGTTCCGATGATCTAGGTGATCGGACGGTAGGACGCCGATGGGGCCCACTTATACCGATCGCTTGTCACGATGAGGTCGCCGGCACGAGTGAACTGAGTGGTATTTACGTAATTTAGTGCTCCTGAAATAGAATGCAGAGAATTACGACGTATTTACTAAAATACCTCCCACCCATAAAATTTCTTCTCTGCTTTCTTCTCTCTGCTCTGCTCTCTCTCTCTCCTCTCTCTCGCTCTACGCCTGTCTTTCTACTCTTCAGCGCAGCGGCGGGGGCGGAGGGGGATGGCGATGGCGAGCGTTGCCCGGCGGAGGGCCTCCTTTGCGATGCTGTCGGTTCGGGGTGCGCTTGGGAGTGGCTACGGCGTGCTGTGGGGCAGCAGGGGATTCGCCTCGGGGGCGGAGGAGAACGACGTGGTGGTGATCGGGGGCGGGCCTGGGGGATACGTTGCGGCGATCAAGGCCGCGCAATTGGGGCTAAAGACCACCTGTATCGAGAAGAGGGGTACCCTCGGTGGTACCTGCCTCAACGTGGGATGTATTCCTTCCAAGGCGAGCTGTCCCTCCCTCCTTTTCTCATTTCTTTCTCGCTGCCCTCTTTGGTTTGTTCTCGTCATTTGCCCTTTGAAGTTATTTTTCGTAATGGTGCTCCCATCGGGGTTTAGTTTGGGATCTGCTGACGAGCGTGGTGCTTTGACTTTAGGGCTCTAGTGGATCTCCTTTTTCCTTGGTGGCTCTCTGTTTAATTTCTACGTTTCTGCGACTATGTTGTCTTCCAATTTATTGGACGGGAGGCCTTCAAATGTATGCTGTTTCTTTTTCGAGGTGGATATCAAAAAGATGGTTTACATTCTTCATTGTTTAGTAGTCTTCCTAAATAAAACAACTCCCCCGATTTGATGACAACTGCACTTTTTTCGTATGTTTAACGGATCAAGTAGGGTTTTATTTCTCTGAAATGTAAACGACGAGAAATTGTTATTCCCTCCAATGCACAATGGATCCAGCTTCGCTGACACAATCATAGGTGACGTCTTCGCCACCATCGTTGTTAAATCTATTCAAAGTTGAATGCATGATGCTTTCCCATCAATGATATGGAGATTGAATAAGCGTCCTAGTCAAATTTTCATTCTTTTTCTCAGTTCACGTTTAATTTAAATCCACGATAATAGAACGTGTATTGTACAACGAATGCAAACAGGTGGGGTCTGAAAAACGAAATATGGACTTGATTTTTTGACAATCCTTCTCTTTATATGAATAGGGAATTTTCTCGTAGAGAGGAGTCAGGGTCACATGTGAGGGTGGAAACTTATGTGACCATCTTTGTCTTATCCTGATTAAGATGGGGATATGGCGTTGTTTGGATAAGAATATACACCACAGGCCAGGTAAAGGGAAGGCATGAATGGCTAGGAAAAAGACCGGGAGAAATCATTTCTTAGCAGGAATTTTCTTGCATGAAAGAGCAGAAAGTGGAACAATTAAAGGTGCATGCAACAATGATGACGAAGAATTCACCCGCCAAAAGGGAAAAATTATGAGGACAATGTAATTTGGTGATCCATGTAATAGTAAAATCCTGCTGAAAATTTGTTTTGTTGGTTTCAAACTGTTACTCTCAAAATTTTTATACTTAAACTTCACCGTCCTCAACTCGGTCATGTTTCCCTCAATTGTCTTTATGCATGGAGGTTTCCATAAGCCCCCTTCCAATTGTAATATTGCCAGAATCAACCTTTTGCCCTCAATGTATTTGCATGTGGAAGTAAAGCTTTTTGTGATAGGCTACACAGTAAAGCTTTTTGATCTCTTTGGGGCATGCTTTTGTCATATCTTTGTTTATTATAGTCGGACATATGCTTCTTATTCTTGACTATTTCTGTAGATGAGATTGGAATTGTTTCTTTTATGTTTGAGAAATATTCACGGAGGCATTTTTCTGATGGTTTAATTACAGATGCATGCAAAAAATAGGGTAGTAGTCAGCTTCTCATCATGCTTTGTCTCCATTTCACAAAATAGATGGCAAATTGACCCATTTTTGTCATTTTCCTTTTTGTGAGATTTACACGTTTCTGATTTTGGTAGATTGAAGGTTTGTCCTTTGAACATGTTATAGATGTTATAAAATGAATCACCAGCATAGGCTTCCATAACAGACAAAATCTGCTCCTAATTTTATTTCAATGCAGACCTAATTTTGGTAGGATTAGGTTGGGTTGTATACTGTGAAATGTATAGTGTTTCAAGTTTCAGATTCAGGGTGAACGAATCTCAGCTTGGGATTAGCCCAGCCTATAGAAACTTCAACAAAAGGTTTATTCATGTTTTTTTGTGGGATAGCCCAATCAAACTTGCAACTGCACAGAGAATTTTCGCACAAAATTCTTGAGATTAATTGGCTGATTTTCTAGTTTAGTTTCCTTTCCCTCGTTGGTTTATTCTCGCAAACAGAGGACTCTGTGAAACATGTGAGGTGTTTAAGTGATCTTGGGATACCACTCAATGATGTATTACATTGCCTTTGAAAATTGTTCAGTTGATCCAAGCTTGTTTTCTTTCCCTAGAGCTGCCTTTTCTTTGATCAAGAATGTACTCAACTTCTCATCTTTTGTATAGTTTTCTCAATCCACTTTCTTCATGTTCATTTCTGATCCGTTAATACTGTTGGGTATCTACAACAGTTCATGAATCTGATTCTGCCCAACTTTCTCTCCTGTTTACTTTGTGCCAGGTTAGTGTGTGTCCTTTATTTCCTTGATAATGTATTTAGAAGAGAGCATGGAAAGTCTCCTTGTACTTAACTTTTTATCCCCGGTCATCATCATGAATGTGCCCAGTCAAGAAAAGAAGAAAATGTTGGGACAGTGGAAATCTCTGGGAAAAAGAAAAAACGAAATTCCTGCGTTTAATCACTATGATCGAGAGAGGAAAAAACAGTCCTTGTCCTTGTAAAGTCTCCTAGAGGCAGATCATGCCAAGGACTTCGAACAGTATGGACAGCAAGATGAACAGAAAGTATCCGATGCTGCAAGTAAATTATTTCATCGTCTTTGCCACTGCTACGATCAAAAATCTCCTCAAGATAGTTGTTTTTTCAACTTATGTTGTTTTGAGGAAATATTGGCACACATCTTGAGGTAAGATTACCAGTATGTTCAAGGACACTGCCTGGGATCATTAATGAATTTGGCCCAGTGGTAGAGTAGGCTCAGCTCTGTCTCACTCTATATCCATGCTTCATTAGGAACGTTGCCTGAGGGGAAGGGCTCCTGATTTTGGATTCATTTCCGTATGACGGGGATTCCCTGCTCTTCTTGAATGATTACTTCCTTTTTCTTTCTCCAATTGTCCTAATTTTTTTCTCTACTCACCCTTATCTCCATCCCCCTGAGATCCAGTTTCTGATGGCTTGATTCAAAGTAACCCAGGGCCCTTTATTCCTTCCATCTTAGCATACTCAGTTTTCTAATGATTCTTTGTGTCTTGAAGACATTCATCCCATCATCCCCTAAGAATCTACTCCTCCATTTCTGCTATTCTGAAGTGTTCTAGGTTACTGGCTTCCTGAAAGTTCGTCAACTGTATCACTGTCTTTTGCAGAAAAAGGTTTCCCAGGCATTGTAACCCCCGCTTTAACTCCCCGCTCTTCTCCCTTTGGCCCTTGAAACCCGCCCACATGCGAGTACATTTTAGATAGAAATTTATGGACCAGGTACATGATGAAATGATGGAACTTCCTTAGGCCGAGTCACCATCTTTCTTTCTTAGGTGTCTGTATCCCTTTGATGTCTTCCATTGTCTTTCATTACAGAACCGGACATCAAATGGACCAGGAGATTATATAGGACAATAGTCAACGTGTAAAGCTTTCCTAATTCATCTCTGATTAATAGAAGGCTGGAATGATGAATTGCCCGTTTTTGTCTATAATGAAAGCATGATTTATAGAAATGATGAATGATCACTATCGGTTTTTTTCTTATGTGTATGAATCCCTTTGAAACATTGTTCCCGATTTTCATCATAGAATCGGGGACATCATATGAGCCAGGAAATCAAAATGGAAAAAAGTCAATGATGAAAGACTATGAATTAGAAGACAGAGATAACGAATTGTCTCGGTTTCGTCTATCATAAAAGTATGGTTTACAGAAAACGCCCTCAGGGTGATGGAAATCAGAGACTGTCGGTTGGTCTTTCCCCACGTTAGCTTGGCTCGCTGTGGATTTCCTATCATCTATGAGAGTAGGAGACAAGCGAAGCTGCCTTCCATGGGCGCGGGTATCAATGCCAGGAGCTTCATATGATCCAAAGATTAGTCTTGTTTTTTTCTCCCCTTCCCATCAAGAGAGTGGAAATCTATTGGGGGTCTCCCATTTGAAAGCTTTGCCTTTTGTTGTGTTCCTTGTTCTCAGGCGCTGCTTCATTCGTCCCACATGTACCATGAGGCCAAGCATTCCTTTGCCAGCCATGGGGTGAAGATCTCTCAGGTGGAGGTCGACCTGCCCGCCATGATGGCCCAGAAGGACAAGGCCGTCTCCAACCTCACCCGGGGGATCGAGGGCCTTTTCAAGAAGAACAAGGTCAACTACGTCAAGGGGTTCGGGAAGCTCCTCTCTCCCTCAGAGGTCTCCGTTGACACGCCCGACGGCGGCACCACCGTCGTGACCGGCAAGAACATCATCATCGCCACCGGTTCCGACGTCAAGTCCTTGCCCGGAATTGCCATCGACGAGAAGAAGGTCGTCTCCTCGACCGGCGCCCTGGCCCTGGCGGAGATCCCCAAGAAGCTGGTGGTCATCGGAGCTGGCTACATTGGGCTGGAGATGGGTTCTGTGTGGGGGCGGCTTGGCTCCGAGGTCACAGTTGTTGAGTTCGCCGCGGACATCGTCCCTTCCATGGATTCCGAAGTCCGCAAGCTCTTCCAGCGGGCCCTGGAGAAGCAGAAGATGAAATTCATGCTCAAGACCAAGGTGGTCGGCTGCGATGTCACCGGGCCCGGCGTGAAGCTGACCGTCGAGCCGGCGGCGGGCGGCCCGGCGACCACCCTCGAGGCTGACATCGTCCTCGTCTCGGCCGGCCGTGTCCCCTTCACCGCCGGCCTCGGCCTCGAGGCCCTTGGCGTGAACATGGACAAGGCAGGCAGGATCCTGGTGGACGAGCAATTCAAGACCAACGTGCCCAGCGTGCACGCCATCGGCGACGTGATCCCCGGGCCGATGCTCGCCCACAAGGCCGAGGAGGACGGCGTCGCCTGCGTGGAGTTCATCGCCGGCAAGCACGGGCACGTAGACTATGCGCTGGTGCCGGGCGTTGTCTACACCCACCCGGAGGTGGCGTCGGTCGGGCAGACCGAGGACCAGGTGAAGGCAACGGGCGTGGCGTACCGCGTCGGCAAGTTTCCCTTCATGGCCAACAGCAGGGCCAAGGCCATTGATGATGCGGAAGGGGTGGTGAAGATCCTGGCCGAGAAGGAGACCGACAAGATCCTCGGCGTCCACATCATGTCGCCCAATGCCGGAGAGCTCATCCACGAGGCCGTGATTGCGCTGCAGTATGGGGCCTCCAGTGAGGACATTGCCCGCACCTGCCACGCTCACCCCACCATGAGCGAGGCTGTCAAGGAGGCTGCCATGGCGACCTACGACAAACCCATCCACATCTGAGCAGCAGCCCCTTGCTAATTTCTCTGCCGCTGTTTGTCCAGCATTTTTATGGAAACTTTGGAATAATCTGCTCGTGGATGAACACTCAAAGTCCCTCTTGCAGGAATTTCTTCTCTGCCTTCCCTTGGGTTGGAAAGTATGATGCTGGGGAGCGTGAAAGGGACTCACTTCAGCTCAACTCTCTCTCTCTCTCTCTCCTCTAGTTTTTTCCTAGCTATGAAAACCATGCAACTTTTGTGAGAATCCCAGCATGAAGGCATCTGTGGCAGAATCAGTGTCCTGTGTGCAGTTAGAGAGTGCCCGCGTGATACCTTACCTTCAACCTCATCAGAGGGTGGTTGAAGTACAAGACATTGGCTCATGTACAATGTGAAGAATCACATCATGCCGACCATCATGGGTCCCGAAAGGGGGAAAAAAAGGGAAAAATGACAATTAACCTGGCAGTGTGGTTGGTCAGCTCTCCTGCTCCTGTGCCCAGAGGATGCTTGGCTTGCCCGGCTGCAAGTCAACTACGGGCTGGATCATTGGAGAGTGAGTGAGAGAGAGAGAGAGAGAGAGAGAGAGAGAGAGAGAGGGAGAGATGCTATGCATCGTCATCGTCGTGCATGTCGGGCCTCCTCTTCGCCTGGATGGCCAGCCGAGCATCCCGCTCACGCTCAAACTCCCGGAAATCTGTTCGCTGTAAGAAGGAGACCTTGTCGAGGTACTGGTTGGAGCTCTTCTTGTAGGCGTCGAGCTCCTCCTCCAGGCCCTTGTCCTCCTTGTATTCCCCCCAGTCCTTCTTCGTCTTGTCAAGCACGCTGAGCTTCTGCTTCTTCTTTATCTGCTCCAAGATGCTGTCGAGGGCAGTGGGCGCAGAAGCCACTGCCTTGGCCTTCTCAGCTGCCTCCTTCGAGTCGGCGTCGACTAGCTTCTTCACCTCCACTTCCTCCCCTGCAAAGTCCCTGACCTCCGTTATCTGCTAGAGGCGTCACAATCACCACCACAGAAAGAGGTTACTGGGCAGAAGTAAATCACAGAGAGAGAGAGAGAGAGAGAGAGAGAGAGAGAGAGAGAGAGAGAGAAACATTGAAGAAATAAATATTGATCGTAATTATTCTTTTCACATTGAGATAGGATAAATAGAGCAAAACAAAACCATGCACTTACTTCTACTCTGCCTTTCACTGCAGAGTTGGCAGCGGAAGTGACGTCTCTCACTGCTGAGAGGGCTGCCGCTGCGAGCTTCTTTGCCTCCTCACTGTCGACACTGGACACATCGCTGGTCCTCTTTCCCTTGTCACCAGGGTGGGATGGAGGCTTCTTAGAGACAAGCCCGAGAGCCACCATCCACTCCTGCACGACGCCCAGAGGTCATGAGTCCTTTTGATTAACTATGGACATAAATATAGCCAACATCCAACTAATCAGCGGGAGGAAAATCATCAGAGTCAGCATGCATGCTCACAGGGGTTGACTTTTTCGCTGTTTTATCTTCGGTTGGAATCGGTTTGGTTGTTAATTTCCTTGGTGCCTTTGAGGGTAGCCCGCTGTTCATCGCTTCCCAGACTGCATTCACGCGAGCCATCCTTTCTGAAACAAACAAATGAACAGGTAAGGCCGATATTCTGCGCATCAAAACTGAAGAACATTAGGGTTCATGCAGGCAGGCCATCCTCTTTAGAAGGTATATGAACAGAGATAGGTGGTGCCGTCACTCTGCTACGTGCAGAAATCCATGGGTTCTTGGTGTGGTGAGATTTTGAGGATCATCTAGAAAATTTTGATGGAGCAGGTGGTCTCATAGCGGGAAAATAACAGTGAAAGAAAACCAGTCCTTATCTATAATGATCCTCGACAGGAAATTTGGGAACAGGAAAGTAAAATAGCAAATAAATAAATAGTTTCTTTGCTTGTTAATTATCAGCTCACCTAATGTTCGAAGCATTGCAGAACAAGATAACTAGCAAAATATACAAACGATCGTAGGACATCAGAGAACCCGCTCACCTTTCTCTTCCGCCTGTCCTTTCAAACTGGTACTTTGATCAGCTTTACTGGGAACGCCATTTACAGAGTCACCGATAGTTCCTGCAGCGCACATAACAGCTAGAGCTGAGAGCTGAGCATGGAGCTATCACCCATGCCATTGTCCAGCAGATGCACAGTAAGTTGTGAGCCTCAGGGTTTTCTCCTCTTCCTAGTGGATTAACAACCAACTCCATATGATCCACTGAGGTCAAAAACCAAACTTAAATCTAAACACGCGCCTTGGCTCTAATCATCAGGCAAAATGGGAAACAAATTCAGAATGGTTACAGAGTATAAGTGAGGACTGGTCAGCTAACAACAATTCTTTTCTACATATTTTGACACAAATCTGAGATGGTTTGATGAGTTCTGACCCCAGAAGATGGTTTGATAAAATTTAGTAAAAAATATCCTCTGATCCACAATACACGCCATTATTTGATACTGTTTTAGGTTCCTAAAACCTTCAATACTGATCCTGAAGCATTCCTCGAAACATTCAACTAGAAGAAATAATTTCAAGTGTCAGTTTTAGTAGACAATGAAACCCAGTCATTCACAGTAAACCCACGCGGTGCTTGCAGACTAAAACCAGGGTTATGGGCTTCAGGATAGAGTAGGAACCCTTACCCAGAGCTACTCGAGTGTTACTCTCCCTCCTCCCAACTACTCACATTCCAGCAGCAAATGGGTTCAACACAAAAACCGCACTTTCCTTGGCAAGGTACTAGTGCGAACCTACCAATGGGCAAGATGAGTCACAACAGAAAATCTGATTTGAAGATGTCCAAATAAACTGACTTAACAACAATTGGGAAGCAGGGAAGGAGCTCCAAAACTAATATCTGAGATCCAGATAAACCTACATTTATGATCTACTCTTCTTGGAACTTGGTAATCAAACCGCATTTCATTGAAAAATTCCAAGCAGTACACTGGGAATCGGAAAATCGGTTTGGTTTCCATCCATATCTAGAGATATGGCCCTGCACAAAAGCCACTTCAGAAACTTATTGTTAGCACGCTTGCAATGTTATTTTCTTGATCCAGAATCCAAATTGACGCAGTGACTCTTATAAACATGATAGCAGTAAGTAATCACAATGGGTGTTCCTCAGTTCTCTCTTACGTCCTCACTAGGGCTTTTATCTTGATCTATCTCCCCTCCATCTTCTTTTTACTCTGTCTTCAATTTTAGGAACAACATGCTTTTAAAAGGCAAAATCTGGCTGGGTCAAGTTAGATCGCCAAGAAATCAATCAATCTATGCACAACAACCAATTTCTAAATAAAATTCTGCACAAAATGACATGCAGCCATTTGCATTACGACTTAGAACTATTAAATCTTATTTGAAATAGGATTGGGTTTTCCCGTCACACATTCCATTCCTGGGAAGTGACAACTCACGATCAGCTGTTTATACGATAGTAAACAGCAATAGAGATTTCTATCAACAACGCTTCAATCTACTTAAAATTGATACCCAGATGTAGATATTATTTTGAAAAGCAATACTTTAGCACCAGTTGGGTAAATGCAAATTGATCAGGTAATCGAAGCCAGAAGAAACTATCCATCGAAATTACTTCTCATATTTCTTTCTCATCAATTCAAGCCTCGACTAATTTTTTTCCAATGATATACGGTAATGGGGCATGGAACAAACCAGAATTCCGTGAGGGAATAGGATCATTCTGGTGATCCTTCGGCTCCTGTATCTGGTTGTGGGCCATTGCAGACGCCAGTCCAGAATTTATGCAAGGCTTCACCTGCCAATTTGGCCAAACGGGATAATCACGATTCAGAAAATGTTTTCAGCTCTCCAAACAGGGGAAATAATAAATTTAATGAACTGGCTAGCGGGAACAGAAACGGGAGGAGAGAGCGAAAACAAACAAAGAAAAAAAAGAAAAAGAAAAAAAGGTGAAGAGCCCCTTTAATGTCGGCCAACTAGAAGTTCCAAACACGGTCTACAACAAAATAGGACACAAAGAGCTCTGGATCAGCATTGCCGTTCAAACTCATTGGCTACTTGTGGGAGAGACGAAAATTAAAGCCCTAGGAAGAAAGAAAAAAACAAAAAGTGATCACCATCCTGGCAAGCGCCGCAGGCTAATCAGCAGACTACCAGAAATCTCGGAAAATCAGGACCAACCGAGCTCGGAAAACCAAGGAACCAGGCGGATCGCCGTCAGCACACGGCCCGCCGGAGAAACACAGGCGAGGGCCGCGTGCGATCCCCCAGTGGCAGCAGGAAGAGACCCGGCCAGACGCCGCACCCTCCTGCCCCACCCTCACCTCGCTCTTCTTCTCCCTCTTGATCCCTGGGTGGGCAGGGGACGCAGCGGGAGTGGCACCACACCAAACAACACTCCTCGACGAGGCCTCCACCGCCGCCCGATCACGCCGAGGACTGCCACCGGCGACTGGTGCGGCGGCCTGATCTCAGCTCCCCTCCCTCCGGCCCCATCGCTCTATCTATCGAGCTTCGGAGGACCCAGCAGCCTCTCGAACATAGAACCTTAGTTTGCCTAATATATTATTATTATTTCAATAATTTTATTTAACCGTTAATTGGGCCCGGCCCGGTGTCCTGTGGCCCATTATCTAATCACTTGGATATGGGCTAGCCTATTAACATATTTAATGGGCGCGGAACCTCTCTCTCTCTCTCAGTGAGAGAGAGAGAGAGAGAGAGAGAGAGAGAGAGAGAGAGAGAGAGAGAGAGAGAGCTGGGTCTGATTATGTCCGAAACTGATGAGGCCGGGTTAGAGAAGCATATATAATATTTTTTTAAATAAATAAATGGTTATATATCGTAAAAAAATATTTTTAATTAAGGAATCCAGCAGAACTTCCGTTTAATTGTCTACCGGGTGCGCCTTATCTCTCTCTCTCTCTTTTTCTCTCGCTGGGCTGCTCCCCGCCTCTGATGAGCTCCCTCTTCCCGGAGGAAGTGGATTGCAAAGAATGGGGAGCTTGACGCTGCTGCGGCCCCCTCAACGTTCCCTGCTACTCCCCGCCTCCAGACGCGTCTCTGCGGTCGCCGCCGCAGTGAAAACCAGACGAGGAATCTCGGGGCGCTCCCAGGGTGAGTCATTTCTTCGTTGGATTAGGATGGAGATACTGCTGTCGACTTGCCTGACGATCTATTTGGTTTTCTGCCCGTCTCTTTCCAGTTTTCTTCTTTGGGGTCTCATGCGGTGGACCGGAGGGGAATGCTTTCTTCGTCAGGCTGAGTGTCGATCCTCCATCATGGAAACGGTATCAGATTAAGCGCAGGGGGAGTCTTGTGAGTTATGGAACATCTGCAACCGCAGGCTCGCCTGATTTCTCTGCCCTCCCCGTGACCGGTGCGTTGCAGGATCTTTGGTTATTGAATTTTGGGGGAATTTTGCCTGTTGTTTGATCCTTCAATTGATCCGTGCGGTTTTGGACAGGATTTCAATTGAGTTCACGAATCAGGGGGGTTTGCTTTTACGCAATGACTGCTGCAACTGCAATAATTCTCTTTCTGGCGATGATGGTGGCGCATCCTTTTGTTCTCTTGTTCGATAGGTATCAAAGGAAGGCTCAACATTGGATCGCCATGATGTGGGCATGGTTGACTGTGTTTCCATTCTACCGGATAGAGTTTGAGGGGCTGGAGAATCTCCCACCCAACGATGTGCCAGCTGTTTATGTCTCCAATCATCAGAGTTTCCTTGATATATACACTCTCCTGACTCTGGGGAAAAGTTTCAAGTTCATCAGCAAGAGGAGTGTATTCTTGTTTCCCATAATTGGGTGGGCGATGTTCCTTTTGGGGACCATTCCCATTCGCCGAATGGATACAAAAAGTCAAATGGTACTTCCCTCTGCTGCGTTCTTCAGGGATTTCAATTCTCATTTAGCGCTGAATTATAACCCAATCTAGATCATTCTAATGCATTGATTCTCAGTATCCAAAATGATAAGTTTTAATCGTAACTCAATGGGATGATCATCTACCAATTTTCGATTGAAGAAGTCAAGAGCAAATCCCTCCTTTGCACCATTTTCTGATTTTTCCCTAAATCTGGCTTATCATTCTAATTAATTCAGGACTGCCTTAAGCGCTGCATTGAATTAGTGAAGAAAGGCACCTCTGTGTATTTCTTTCCAGAAGGTACTCGGTCTAAAGATGGAATATTGGGTGCATTTAAGGTGAGCAATTAACGAAGGTGTGATTCCACTCCCTCGCACATTCTCACATGTGCATATATATATATATGTCATATACACACACACAGACACAAACACACGGACATATTCGTATTTATATATATATATGCATGCATTTTCAGGAAAATATTTTGGATTGTATGGTCAGTTTTCAGGTATCTAAAATCTAATTCTTGTGCATGGTTATAGAAAGGTGCATTTAGTGTTGCGGCAAGGACGGGGGCACCCATTGTGCCAATCACTCTCATGGGGACAGGCGGCCTGATGCCATCTGGAATGGAGGGTTTTCTGAACTCAGGCGATGTAAAAGTTGTGATTCACAAGCCTGTACAAGGGAACAATGCTGACAAACTATGTGGTGATGCGAGGAGCACAATAGCTGATACTCTTCTCCTTCATGGTTATGGAGTGCACTAGATAACCTTCTGGTATGTGGATTCTAGTTGTGCCCCTTGCATTCACAAGAGAGAGGCTCTTCTCTCCGAGGTAATAATTATTTTCAGGTTTTTCTTCCCTTACGTTCATGCCAGTGTCATGATGAAAACCCAAACGCTCAGCATAAAAATGCTTCTGCCATTTGTTTTATTTACTTTATTTTTCTCTCGCTTCTATGCTACGTCATTTTTTTGACGGGGAAATTATTTTTAATTTTATTTTATAACATATAAGCCATATTGGGGTTGCATATGATCAATATATCTACACTGGTTGGTTAGTTTCTCCCCGCTGTAGAAGCTCTCTTGTTACCTATTGATTCCATTGTTATTCATGACGAAAATTAAAATATTCCAGATTATAGACCCAGTATGTGCTGGGTTGGCTGCATTTATGCAATACATTTACCCATTCTTCTCTTGGTTCTATACATTAGAAAAATCTGATTATTTCTTTTCCATCAAGACAACAGTTACAGGTGTGACACACAATCTGGGCGACCTTGTGAATTTTTCCTGTGATTTCTGTTCAATGTCTTTTTCACCCTGCTATACGTGTCTTTATATATAGTTTTTAGGGGGAAATAAGGACAAAATTACTTCTTCGCCTCTGTTCACACCTTTGACTGTACCCGAAACAGAGTGGCTCGGTAGTTATAGAGTGAGAAAGCACGTTGTTTGAATGGTTACCTGTTTTGGTCAATGTGCCCAGAAGCCCCAGTGTGTCAACTCTTTATGGGCCTTGTGTAGTTGCACCCTCTCTACTACATGTAGGACAGATACCCAGCTAATCACTTTCTCTCTCGTTGCTAAAACTCCAGTACTGTTTTCTCTTTCTCTCTCTACCAAATCCGTATCGAGAACTTTGGTTGAATATATTTCCCAGCAAAAACGAACTCGTTATCTGTGAATCTAAATTCCTAGGCCTTTGAACATAAACAATTGCTGTGTTTGGAATGCATAGTTTGCCATTTGAGCTTAGTTGGATTGTCATGCAACCCAATTCGGTTGACCATCATCCGTCCCTCTTTCGTAACAAAGTTTTTCCATTTTTTGTTAGCAGACTTTTCCATGCATATCTGCTCTCTCTCTCTCTCTCCCCCCCCCGCATATATATATATATAATTACAGAAATGCAGTTATGGACACATATGGAATATATGAGTAAAATGTAACTAGAATCTCGATCATTTTGATGAGATGTCTTGCTCAGCCCAGGTTACTAAATCGTTACCGTCTTACTCTCTTGGCAGAAATCACCTGTTTGGCGGCTCTGATGTTAGCTACCACCTAAACTACAGAGACGGCTTCCCTTTCAGCCACCATCACAGGCCGCAGCTCATCATAAATTTTTTGTAAGTATGAGAACTAGGAGTTGCAGCCGAGTCATGTGGGATAATAACCATTGGAACAGCATTTCTGTTCCCTTTTTTGGAGGTTTTTGTGTTCTTCCCCTTGAGTAAGAGGAGCCAAGACCTTGTTGGTTGTCCATCATTTACAAAATAAGTTGAATATCAAAAAGTCAAATATGCAGGGGGTTGGTGGGGGGGGGGGGGAATTTGGCCTTCTTAGCCTTGTGGTTAGACTTTCACCTGTCCATGCCCTATGCCTTCGTCTATTGCCAGAGAAATGTTTTGGGCTGTTGGTGCTGCCGCCTACACAGGGCTCTGTGCTGGGTGCTTGGCACGGCTGCCGTCGTCATCTCCTGCTGCTGGTTCTCCAGGGTTGTCGGCACAGCTGCTGCAGTCCGTTGTTCTGGAAACTGAGGAGGCTAGCCATCACTAAACCTTTTAGGGTGGGCACTTGTGGGTTGCTGATAAGCCGCCGCTGCCACTGCCGTTTCTTCAGGACACTCATGGGTCTTGAATCCACATCCACACTGGAAATTTAAATGGCATTAGAGAATATTTCTTGCAAGAAATGACCATGAAAGTCTAATCCACTGATGCTTATACTTTTCTACCTCGGCTTAGGAATCTATTAGAATTAATTAGTTGTAAAATTAACTGATCATATACTAAAGCATGTGCATATGCAAGTTCACGGTTACTAATTATATCTGATATGTTTAAATAATGTGAGAATTTTTTATTAATTAAAGGTGGCTAAACGAATGTTGATCTATCCTGGCCTAACTTTTTTTTTTAGTAGGTTGCATGGATTCTATCAGGACGATAGATCATGCATATATCTATATATATAGCCCTGGTGAGTATTTGTTCCTATCCGTTCTGGATTCTTGAGTTGTACCTCAATAGACAAAGAATGGTGGGGATTCTGGTGGAATGTTGCAGCAACCATTGCATGCACACACTAGTGAGTAGCCCCCTCACCTTGCCATTTTGCATTGCCTAGTCGGTTTCACATTGCAGCAATAAACATCATCGCTTGCGATGTTTCACCACTTTTGTGTCACTTCTGCAAGACTCCTTGCATATGATGCTAAGGGCCCCTCTTTGTGAGAGACATATTAGGGAGCTTTAACAACATGAGAACCATTCCAACACATGCTATTTGTGTGCTCTCCACATGATGCCGCTGCTTGTGCTCTCCACAGATTGCAATCTGTTACGAAGCCAACCGTCGTCTACACAAGATGACCTAGACCCCCACATTAAGAGAGGACCACGACAGAATAATGTATTGAAGCCTATAAATATAGAAGAGGCTGAAATAAGAAGGGGGTGGAGAAAATAAAGAGTAGAGAGGGAGATCTGTCCCTGGAGAGGTTCGATTCAGGCTCTCTTGTTCTTGAGGATCGATCCGACCTCAAGAACTCAGCTTACTATCTATGAACCTCTATTGTCTTTTCAATTTCCATTTTCAATTGTTCAATCTGATTCTTCTATACACAAAGAGTTGATTCCCTACGTGAGCCTCATCTAAGGTAAGACTAGGGTGAAGATTTCACCACAAATCTTGAGAGGTTCGTAACACTAGTATCAGAGGAGACATCTTGGTCTTTTTTTGCGAGAACTCAGAGAAATTACAGCAAGTGCAAGATTACGAGAGCAAGATTACAAGAGCAAGATTCTATTTGGGCCATAATAAGGATCAAATTAGCAAGGCTGAAGCAAAAATTCTTTCCAAGTTCAAACTACAACAAATTCAAGAAACGAAAGTAATTCTCACAACAAATTCGTTTGACCGTAATTCCATACAGTCAGAATGTTGGAAGAGACTGGTAGATCTACGGCAAGAAGAATGATCATCTAGTATGATCTAGAACCTATCTTGATCGGCGGATGCTCACTAGGTCAAAGGCATATCAAAAGGAGAGGTTGCATCTCTAAAGTAGGGTTATGCTAAGCAAGAACAATTCTTAATCGAGCAAAGAGAAATCCTCAACCAGATTCTTCAAAAATTATCCACAAGGGATCTAGATAAATCAAGAGAGGTACCAATGCAACCTTATAATGGTCCAAGAGAGGTATCAATGCAACCTTATAATGGCACCACTCATTCAAGTCAAGCCTCACAAGATGGCCAAACATAGATAAATCAAATAATAGAATTACTAATTTTCTAAGGAGATAGTCCTGAGGGATGGATTAGGTGGGCTGAGAAATATTTTTGCCTAAACCCTATGTCAAAGCAGGACAAACTCAAGTAAATTATGTTGAGTATGGAGGGAGAAACTCTAGAATCATATCTCTAGATGGAAGACAAGTTTCCATTCTAAGATTGGCGTGACTTCAAGAGTCAATTGGGGAAACATTCAAGACATATGAGATGGAGAGTCTACTGTGACAACTAATGAGCTTACAACAAGTCACATCAATAAGAGAATATAGTGCTGGATTTGAATGAATTGCAGCCTTTCTACCTCATATAAACACAGAAGTATTAGAAGATGCATACATGAGGGGCTTGAAACCATATATCAGATCAGAATTGGGAATGCATAAGCCCTTGGGACTTATATCAATCCAAGTTGAGATTCATCTTCGAGAAATCTGAATAAGTAGAAATGAATTATTTGGAAAACAAGTGATTACAAAGCTTGAACCACCTCAACCTCGTTATAACTATTACAGAAGAGAATTCTAGAATATAAATAATAGAGGTAATTATAGGAATGATTATCAGGATTCAGCTGAAGGCACATCAAATGGAAATTATAGCAAGATACTCAACTTGATAGATCAGAAATTTCAGAATAGAAGAGATAAGGGGTTATGCCACTATTGCAATGAAAAATTTGCGCTAGGACATCGTTGTAAAAAGGAGTTAAATATTATTATTGTGGATGAAGTGCAGAAGATGACAACATTGATGAAGGATGAGAACTGTTTGATCAGGCCATATCCATCATGGAAGAGAAGGCTTTCACTGCACACATGTCTTTAAATTCAGTCATGGGAATTACTCAACAAGGGACTATAAAATTATGGGGCAAAATTGATGACACCGAGGTGTCAATACTCATTAATAGTGAGGCAACTCACAATTTCTTGTGCACCAAAATAATTGATAACTTATCCTTACAAAAGGAGAAGTTAAATGACTATAACATAGTTATGGGCAACGGCAACATAATGGCAGGTGCAACAATTTACAAGGTTATTCCTCTTTAGACGCAAGGTGTTTTGATAGTACAATTTTTTTTACCACTAGAGTTGAGTGGCACAGATGTGATCTAGGCATACAATGGTTGAGAACTTTAGGGTGGATCCTTTCCAACTATGAGAAGTTTATAATGAGGGTCATGATGAGAAGCAAAATTCACATCTTCAAATGAGACCTTAGTAGTACAAAAACATCACCAAGAAGAGTAGAGAAGGGACTTAAGAGTAGCAAGGCATATATGGTTGAACTACATCATATTCACTCATATAGAGACCCTAATGCACCCAACAATTTAGAAATTAGTTTGAAACAAGAATTTCCCAAGGTTTTTGAAGTATTGACATGAATGCCACTTGAGTGTCCTGTTGACCATGCCATACATCTATTACTAGGAACAAAACCTATTAACTTGAGGTCTTATAAATACTCTCATTTCTAGAAAAATAAAATTGAGACACTTGTCCAAGAACTCATATCAATAGAGGCCATACAACCTTCACACAATCTTTAAGTAAGCCCTGCACTATTAGTCAAGAAGATAGATGGTAGATGGAGATTTTGTGTAGATTATAGAGCATTGAATGAGCTAAGATTTCTGATTGTTACCTCATTCTAGTTGTAGATGAGTTGCTAGATGAACTATATGGAAAATTAATTTTTTCAGAACTAGATTTAAAATCAAGATATTATCAAATCATAATGAAAAAAAAAGATGTACTTAAGAATACATTCAAGACTCATCATGACCATTATGAATTTAAAGTAATGCCTTTCGGATTATCAAATGCACCTACAACCTTTTAATCGCTAATGAACCAAATATTTCAATGTCAATTGAGGCAATTCATACTAGTTTTGTTTGATGATATATGATGTGACTCAGTCGTTGTATATTAAATCACGCAAATATAAAATTTATAAAACTAGAAAATACGAATTTTTGGATATTTAGAAGTATTTCTAAATAAATATATCAATTATAATTCAATTAAACTTCCAAAAATAGTAGTAATTTTCCAGTTCGATCACAAGGATGTAATATAATATCTAGTAATTATTCAGAATTTTTCTCAATGAATACGATTTTCTATGAATTTTATAATAGGAAATAAAAAGAAAATATATTTAAAATTCACAAAAAAGGAAAATAAAGGCGCGGACGTCAGGATGACGTCAGCGCCCGGCGAACGCGAATCGGGCGGAAACAGAGTTCCGCCCGGTGATTCTTACGTAAGTGATTACAGACGATTTAATTGATCAAATTAAGATCTATAAAAGCCGGAAGAATCGTAATAGAACAAAGTATATTTTGGTAAATTAAAAACACAAAAATTATCACTAAATGAAGCATAAAGTAAATTGAAAGCAGGAAAACAGAGTTTCGGCGTCGCGACGGCGATGCGTCGGCGATGCACCGGAATCCTGAGCGTTCGGGAGGATCGTTGTGCAGTGTCTATGGCCTCGAAGGCTCTCCTTGGACAAAGACGATGTGGACAATCTCTAGATCTTCTCGCGAAGTCTAGAGATCAATGAAGTGGGTCGTCGAATCGTCTCCGGCGGCTGTCACCCGGCGGAGCAGAAAAACGGCGACTTTGCGGCTCTCCAGCGACTATCACCCGACAGAGAGGAGCTGGATGGAGGTGGGGCGCGTGTTAGGGAGCTTCATCCTCAGGTCCATGCAGCAAGAGGAGGCTCTTCATCGCATCTGGTATGCTCTCAAGAGGTGGCAACTCATCTCCCGGCAGATCGTCCTCTTCCCGACGACGGCTTGTTCGTCGATCAATCAAAGATGATTTACTCGATGGATTCGCGATCCTTTTATCGCGAATCGTTCAGCAATTTTAGTAGCAATGCTCTGCGAATCGCGTTGACGAGATTTTCACCGATGATTTAGCAATTCTTGTTGCTTAATCCTTCACCGGCGATCTGCAGGAAAGTCGTGATAATCAGATAAAAATATATGAATTTTGACTTTGGGAGGATTCAAACCTGCGCCGGTTGCCCACCTGTGAGGAAGGTGTGATGCGGGTTTAGTCCCACATTGGTTGTGCACCGATTTTTTGGGCGAATATATAGTAATGTTAGCTTTGTAAGCAAAGTCCCTTCTCTCGCGTGTACGACCACTCCTTGCCCCACAGCCGGCTGGCCACCGGTGACGTGGAAGGGGAGTGGCGCACACGTGCCCCTATCGGTCCAAGCTAAGCCGCTCGAGCCCCTGCTCGCAGCTACTCCCCGACTGCGCTTCCGACCTGCTTGCGGGCCCAGTTGGCCGGCGAGTCCCCCCATTTTGCAATATTTTTATTTTTATTTCTTGTTCTTCATTTATCTCAAAAGTAAGACTATAAAAATCGTATAAAATCACATAATTACCCAAAAATTCACGTTAATCAACTAAAAACCACAAATCATTCTTTAACACAAATATAAGTCTATTTATCATGAGTTAAGGCTAAAACTATATTATTTACTAATTATTAACTCATGATAATGAAGACTTATCACACCCCCCAACTTAAATCATTACTAGTCCCTTAGCAATAGAATTACGAAAATAAAATTTAACAAATCTCAAACATCATATTTCAATACAGAAAAAAAATACAATTAGAAATGATGCACCTTTAAACACTTTGGATTCTTATATCAAGTATTTAAAAATGATGTCAAGCACTTAAATGTTTAAACACTCCTTGGAATAACAATCTAGACTTCACTTCTTCTATTCACATCTTTATCACTTCTTCACTCATAGATGTATTTACAAGATGTTCCAATTATCAATACTCATCCAAGAATAATATTGATCTTACATTTTCCTTTTTCTATGACTTGATTTTTGAAGTTTGCACTATATTTCTTCCTTCTTTTTATTTTTATTTTTTATATATACAGTGGATAAGTAGCTTTTCCTGTAGACAAATTTCGACAATAAGAATGATGTCTCACACCCTCCATGTGTACTCTTCATTTTCAGGGCTTTCACTTTATCCATTTATTTTTCAGCAAGTGTTTTTCTATGCACGATTTTCGACAATGAGAATGATGTCTCACACCCTCCATGTGTACTCTTTGTTTCTAGATTTTTCATATTGCTCTCTCTTTTTTTTTTCGAAATAAGTGATTTCTCCTCACAAGTCCTATAGATCAGGGTGCAAAAATATCCATTAAACTCAAATGATCAATCAAATTTTCACATCAAGTAAATACTATCCATCAAGATCATGAAGTGAAAATCTGTAAAATCAAATCCATGTTATCTATCATGTATCCAAGGAGTATTCCAACATTTCATGCTACTAGATCATTTTTTTGACTCAATAATAATCTTCCTAGTATCTTTTGATATCAATCAATCTAATTGATTTAATTTTTCATGCATGCAATATGATGTAAGGAATTTGTAAATTAGATAGTTCTGACAGTTCCATTTTCTGTTTTTAGTTCTATTTTTAGCAATAATAAATTTGTCAAAAATAAATCAAAACTATCCTCTATATAGCTGTAATTTCGAATTTCAGTAATATATATCTAGGGGATTGAAATGTGAGAAAAGGGTCTTTTAGAATTTCAAATTTCGGGTTGTTTTTTGTCTGTTGTTTTTGACAGTCTGTTGTTTCTGACAGAAAACCAAAAAATAGATGTTGTAGTTTTTTCGAATTTTATGTTATTTTTATTTTTTTAGTTGCTGTTCTAAGTTGAATAAAATGCAAACACATGTTTTTAATCATCCTACAGCATAAATTAATAATGAATACTTCACCCCTCAACTTAAAAATGACATTGTCCTCAATGACATAGAAAAATCGAAACAGAATATGCAGAAAATATAATTTTCAAGTGAAGCATGCACTTAGAAAGACATCACCTCAACCTCTTTTTTAATTTTCCACTTCATCTTACACTCCTCCAGCACTTTTTCGAAAAAAACAAATACAGAAACAAGTACTGTGAAATTCTAAGAAAAACAGAGCTTAAAAAAAATCAAATAGAATGAAATAAAAATTATGGGTTGACTCCCATGCAGCGCTGAATTTAATATCTCTAGCTGGACTCCTTGGTCTTACTCTTGAATTTCTTTTAATAATAAAATTTCTTTTTCTGCAAGGCGTTCATATTCTATGTAATGTTTAAGTCGCTGTCCATTTACCTTAAAGTTATGATCACTTTTAGGATCTTTAATCATGACAACCCCATGATCATATGTCTCTTCCACCGCATAAGGCCCTTTCCATTTTGATTTTAATTTTCCTGAGAATAATTTCAGCCTAGAATCATATAACCACACTTTTTGTCCAACATCAAATTTTTTTCTGCTAATGTATTTATCATGAAAAGTTTTAGTTTTTTCTTTATATATTCTATGATTTTCATAAGCTTCATTCCTCAACTCCTCTAGTTCATGTAGCTGAAAAATTCTATGCCCACCAACTGATTTTTCATCCATACATAAATTTTTTATAGCCCATAATGCTTTATGCTCTATTTCCACAGGAAGATGACATGGCTTTCCAAAAATGAGACTAAATGGGGACATACTTATGGGATTTTTATAAGCTGTTCTATAAGCCCATAATGCATCTTGTAATTTTGTGGGCCAATCTTTCTTATCTGGTCTAACTATTTTTCTCAAAATTCTCTGAATTTCCCTATTTGCTACTTCAGCTTGCCCATTTGTTTGGGGATGATATGGAGTGGCTACTCTATAGTGTACTCCATTCTTTTTCAACAGTTCCCTGAAATGTTTATTTGTAAAATGTGTTCCTCCATCACTAATAATCACTCTAGGACATCCAAATCTCGAAAAAATATTTTCCTGCACAAATTTCATCACGATTTTATGATCATTAGTTCTAGTAGAAATAGCTTCCACCCACTTCGACACATAATCAACAGCAAGCAAAATATATTCATATTTTTCAGTTGATGGGAAGGGACCCATGAAATCTATTCCCCATACATCAAAAATTTCGACTATTGACATGTTACTCATGGACATTATATCTTTTTTACTCATGTTACCTATAGATTGGCATGAAATACATGTTCTACTAAATTCTATAGAATCTCTAATGATTGTAGGCCAATAAAAACCACACTAAAAAATTTTTGCAGCTGTTTTTCGTCCAGAGAAATGTCCTCCACAGTTAGATGAATGGCACATGTTAATAATGCTATGATATTCTTCTTCAAGAACACATCTCCTTAAAATTTGATTGTTGCCCAAGTAATATAAATCAGGATCATGCCAAAAATAATTTCTAATCTTAGAAAAGAAATGATGTTTTCTGTTCTTATCCCACTGTTCTGGAGTTTTCTAGAAACTAGAAAATTAACAATATGTGCATACCATGGTGATGGTTGATGTTGAGCTGCCATCAATTGTTCATCTGGAAATGCGTCTTGTAAAGGTGCTGCATTTATTCCTGTATCACTTAATCTAGAAAGATGGTCAGCAACAACATTCTCGAAACCTTTTTTATCTTTTATTTCTAAGTCAAATTCCTACAACAATAAAATCCATCTTAATAAACGTGGCTTTGCATCTTTCTTTTTTAACAGATATTTTAATGCAGCATGATCAGTATAAATAATAATTTTAGCTCCCAAAATATATGATCTAAACCTTTCTAACGAAAATACTACAGCTAACAACTCTTTTTCAGTCGTGGTATAATTTAATTGAGCATCAGATATAGTTTTACTAACATATGAAATTACTATGGGTTTTGACTCTTTTGTTTGTCCTAGAACGACCCCCACTGCATAATTCGATGCATCACACATTATTTCAAAGGAAAGGGACCAATCAAGAGCTTGTAAAATAGGTGCCTCAGTAAGTAATCTTTTTATTTCGGAAAAAGACTCAAAACATTTCTCATCAAAATTAAAAGGCACATCTTTAAATAATAGCATGGTGAGAGGTTTAAAATTTTTTGAAAAATCCTGAATAAATTTTTTGTAATAACCTACATGACCCAAGAAAGATCTAATCTGTTTTACTGAATTTAGAGGTTTCATTTTAGATATAATATCAATTTTTGCTCTATCCACTTCTAAACCCATTTCACTCACAATATGACCCAACACAACTCCCTCTTTAACCATAAAATGTGATTTCTCCTCACTCAAAACTATTTTTTTCTCTATGCATTTCTCAAGTACATGTTGTAAATGATTTAAGCATTCATCAAATGATTCACCAAAAATAGAAAAATCGTCCATAAAAATTTCCATGTATTTTCTAATCATATCAGAAAAAATAGACAGCATACATCTTTGAAATGTGGCTGGAGCATTACACAGACCAAAAGACATGCGTTTAAAAGCAAAAGTACCAAATGGACAAGTGAAAGTTGTTTTTTCTTGATCTAAAGGGTTTATATAAATTTGATTATAACCAGAATATCCATCCAGAAAACAAAAAAAGTTTTTTCCAACTAATTTTTCTAGAATTTGATTAGTAAATGGTAAGGGAAAATGATCTTTTCTAGTAACTGAATTTAATTTTCTATAATCAATGCAAACTCTCCAACCGGTAGTTAGTCTTGTTTGTATTTCATCCCCATTTTCATTTTTTATAACCGTGATCCCTGATTTTTTTGGCACTACTTGTGTAGGACTAACTCATTTGCTATCTGAAATAGGATAAATAATATCAGCAGCCAGCCACTTTAAAATTTCTTTTTTTACAATTTTCATCATGTTAGGATTTAATCTTCGTTGTGGTTCCCTACTAGTTCTAGCCCCTTCCTCTAGATATATACTATGCATGCATACACTCATATCAATGCCCCTTAGATCATTCATTTTCCAACCCATAGCCTTCTTATTTTTTCGAAGTACATCTAATAATTCTTCTTCTTATTCATCACTCAAATCAGTTGCAATAATAGCAGGAAATGAATTATATTCCTCCAAAAACATATATTTTAAACTAGAGGGAAGAGGTTTCAACTCTAAATTCAGATGATCTTCCTCTTTCTTTTCTTCTAAATTTATATTCTCTATTTCCTCTAATTCTTCTAACACACAGTCATCAATAACATCTGGATCATCAAAATCATCTAGAAGATCTATGGTATGATAATCATATACTTGGGATTTCTTAAGATCATTTGATACCTCAAAAATTTTAATTTCTACTGATTGATCTCCACATGAAATTTTCACAATACCTGTGGGAAAATCAATATTCATCTTTGCTGTATGCAAAAATGGTCTCCCTAGGATGATTGGTGTATGATAAAATTGTCAATTAAAATCCATTTCCAGCACTACAAAATCAGCTGGAAATTTACACCCTTTAACTGTCACTATCACATTTTCTAAAATACCTTTAGGATGTTTTATGGATCTATCAGCAAATTGTAAGGTAACAGTAGAAGGTTTAAGATCAGAAATATTAAATTTATCACAAATACTCACAGATAATAAATTAATACTAGCACTGGTGTCAAGTAATGTATTCTAAAAAATGAATCCATCAATATCACATGAAATTAAAGGGGCACCTGTATCTCTCAATTTATATGGTAATTGATTTAATAATAATGCACTAGCATGCATAGATAATTTTTCTACTCTAGGTGCCCTTTTTGGTGTACACATTTCTTTCAAAACTCTAGCATATTCAGGAATATGTTCAATGGCAGTGAGTAAAGGAAGACTAATTTGCACATCTTGTAAAATTTTCTTTATTTCTTCATTGTGTTCCTTTTTCTTTCTTTGTCTAGGCTCTAGAGCTTTAGGAAATGGAATGGTTGTCCTCTCTTTCGAAATTTCCTTGGTAGAATCTATAAAATCCTCTTCTACTCCTATTTGATTTTGTTTTGGTTTGTCTACGTTTTCTTTTTCTTATAATGTTTGGGGATAAGGATCAGGTAAGATCTTACTACTCCTTAATGCATTCACTGTCCTAACATTTTCATTTCGTGGGTTTTTTCCTAGATTCATGCTACTAGACTCCCCTTGCTGAAATCCTATTGTTGGGCGGTTCCCTGAATTTTTTATGGGCTGACTAGGTAGCTGTCCCTCTTCTCTCTTATTCCCAAGAGCCTCTATAGTTTGTTTCTGGTGCAGCATCATTTGATTCATAGTTTGTTGCATCATTTGGCTCATTTGCTGCATCATTTTCATAGCATCAGGTTGGATTTGAGAGGACTGATTTTTCTGAAATTTGTTTTCTGGTTTTGGACGAAATTCAGAGTTTGAATTGGGTCTACGTACTTCTGGATTTTGAATATTATTTGGGTCTCTCTATGAAAAATTATTCCTCCAATTAGGATTATAAGAATTTGAAAAAGGTTCCCTGTTTCTATTAAAACCGTGAGCTACTTGCACTTGTTCTTGCATAGGGTGAAATGATTGATCTAAATTATAACATTAAAATTCAGAATAATCATTTTCACCATACATAGGACATGTACTATTCGAATTAAGTTGAGGGTTAAAAGGCTTTCTAATATTGTCAATAAGTAAATCAATTATTTCTAATCTTTGATTAATCTGATTAACCTCATTTCTAAGTTTAGAATCATCATCATGATGCAATTCATAAATTCCTCTCTTCTTATCCCTGTCATATAATTCAAAAGAGGCTTGATCTCTAGAACTTTCACTTAAATTCTCATAAAGACTGTAAATCTCATCAGGAGTTTTCTCTATAAAAGCTCCTCCACATATAGAATCAACTATATTTCTCTGTTGTTCTAATAATCCATCATAAAAAATTCTATTGAGCTGCCACTTGGGTATAGCATGATGAGGACACTTTCTAAGTAAATCTTTGAATTTTTCCCATGTCTCATGCAAAGTTTCTCCTGGTCTTTGAGAAAAACTCCATATATATTTTCTCATATTTTGAGTTTTTCCTAAGGGATAAAATTTTCGAAGAAAAGCCTATTCTATATCTTTCCAGCTAGTTAATTCTCTATCTAATGTGGATAGCCAATGACTAGCTTTGTCCCTAAGTGTATGAGGGAATAATTTCATCTTAATAATTTTCGGTGTAACTTGAGGGAGATTAACTAAATCACAGATCATATGAAATATTTCTAGGTGCTGATGAGGTTCCTCTAAAGGCAATCCATGAAAATTAGGGAGCATTTGAAAATTCCTGGATTTATTTTGAATTTAACAGTGGGTGCTAATGGGACTCTAATATTGGATGCTCTTTGAAATGAATCAGGGATATAATGATTTTTCATGGCCATAGGATTGTTCTCAGTTTGACCTGTACTTCCTTCAGGATCCATCAAAATTAGTTTTTCTTTCGGATTTTAATTTTTCAATGAAATAATGAAAGGATTTTCTAGCCTTGGATGCAAGGATCTTCTACCATGCATAAAAATCAATAAATTCGAGGGAAAAAGTTAGTAACTATTACCCTCCTTCAGGATGCTCCAGTCCTTGTCGTGCTTCTTTTGTTCCCTTTTTCTAATAAAAATTAGCAAAAAGAAAATAAAACAAGAGTTAAGTTTTTTTGTGTACTCTAAGAGAAAAATAGAAAAGTACTAAATGTTATGCAATACATTCCCGGCAACGGCGCCAAAATTTGACGTGACTCAGTCGTTGTATATTAAATCACGCAAATATAAAATTTATAAAACTAGAAAATACAAATTTTCGGATATTTAGAAGTATTTCTAAATAAATATATCAATTATAATTCAATAAAACTTCCAAAAATAGCAGTAATTTTCCAGGTCGATCACAGGGATGTAATATAATATATAGTAATTATTCAGACTTTTTCTCAATGAATACGATTTTTTATGAATTTTATACTAGGAAATAAAAAGGAAATATATTTAAAATTCACGAGAAAGGGAAATAAGGGCGTGGACATCAGGGTGACGTTAGCGCCCGGCGAATGCGAATCGGGCGGAAACAGAGTTCCGCCCGGTGATTCTTACGTAAGCGATTACAAATGATTTAATTGATCAAATTAAGATCTGTAAAAGCCAGAAGAATCGTAATAGAATAAAGTATATTTTGGTAAATTAAAAACACAAAAATTATCACTAAATGAAGTGTAAAGTTAATTAAAAGCAGGAAAACAGAGTTCCGATGTCGCGACAGCGATGCGTCGGCGATGCACCAGAATTTTGAGCGTTCGGGAGGATCGTTGTGCAGTGTCCACGGCCTCGAAGGCTCTCCTTGGACAAAGACGACATGGGCAATCTCTAGATCTTCTCGCGAAGTCTAGAGATCAATAAAGTGGGTCGTCGAATCGTCTCCGACGGTTGTCACCCAGCGGAGCAGAAAAACGGCGACTTTGCAGTTCTCCGGCGGCTGTCACCTGACGGAGAGAAGCTGGATGGAGGTGGGGCGCGTGTTAGGGAGCTTCATCCTCAGGTCCGCGTAGCAAGAGGAGGCTCTTCATCGCATCCGGTACGCTCTCAGGAGGTGGCGACTCGTCTCCCAGTAGATCGTCCTCTTTCGAACGATGGCTTGTTCGTCGATCAATCGGAGATGATTTACTCAATGGATTCGCGATCCTTTTATCGCGAATCGTTCAACAATTTTAGTAGCAATGCTCTGCGAATCGTGTTGACGAGATTTTCGCCGATGATCCAGCGATTCTCGTTGCTTAATCCTTCATCGGCGATCTGCAGGAAAGTCGCGATAATCAGATAAAAATATATGAATTTTGACTCTGAGAGGATTCGAACCCACGCCAGTCGCCCGCTTGTGAGGAAAGTGTGACACGGGTTTAGTCCCACATCGGTTGTGCGCCGATTTTTTGGGCGAATATATAGTAATGTTAGCTTTGTAAGCAAAGTCCCTTCTCTCGCGTGTACGACCACTTCTTGCCCCACAGCTGGTTGGTCACCGATGACGTGGAAGGGGAGTGGCGCACACGTGCCCCTATCGGTCTAAGCTAAGCTGCTCGAGCCCCTGCTCACGGCTACTCCCTGACTGCGCTTCCGACCCGCTTGTGGGCTCGGCTGGCCGGCGGGTCTCCCCATTTTGCAATATTTTTATTTTTATTTCTTGTTCTTCATTTATCTCAAAAGTAAGATTGTAAAAATCGTATAAAATCACATAATTACCCAAAAATTCACGTTAATCAACTAAAAACTACAAATCATTCTTTAACACAAATATAAGTCTATTTATTATGAGTTAAGGCTAAAACTATATTATTTACTAATTATTAACTCATGATAATGAAGACTTATCAATATACTTGTGTACAATGTCACAATGATTGAACACTTGCAGCATATAAGGAAGGTATTTTTCATTCTCTCAATAAAGTCTCTTCATATTAATGCTAATAAATGCAGATTTAGAGAAAGCAAACTAGAGTATTTGAGCCATTGGGTGTTGGTAGAAAGAGTAGAAGTCAATAGGGAGAAGATATTGCCATGACTAATTGGCTAATTCTTAGAAATCTTAAGGAACTCTTGTGTTCGTAGGGTTCACTAGATATTATAGAAAATTTATTGCCAACTATGCTTCAATTGCATAGCCACTAACACAATTACTAAGAAAAGACGCATTCTATTTGTGAAGAGAAGCACAAGCATCTTTCTCGACCCTTAAACAAGCAATAACTATGGCTTTGGTATTAGCATTATCAAATATTTCATAAAAAATTATCGTGGAAATTGATACTTCTGGATTAGGTGTTGGGGTTGTTTTCATGCAACAAAGGTATCCTGATAGCTTATTTCAGTCAAGCACTTCCAAGAAGAGCCAAATTAAAATCGGCCTATGAATAGGAGTTGATGACTATAATGTTGGTAGTAAGGAAATGGAGACATTAGCTCATGTGTTAGTATTTAATCATCAAAACAGACCAGTACAATCTTAAATTCTTACTTGAATAGAAAGAAATCTAAGTTGAATATCATAAATAGTTGGTGAAATTGATGGGTTATAGTTTTGAAATTAAATATAAGGAAAAGAAGAACAATCAAATTACAGACATATTATCTTGATGTCCATTATTACTACAACCTGAACTAAATGAGGTGATAACACATCACGTCATTAATCTCGAAGTTGTCCGACTAGTAGTGTACCAATACACTAAGCTTGTAGAGATTAAAACCTCTTTGTCTAAAGGAGATACCACAAATAAATTATATTCTTTAAAGGATGGATCCTTACTATATAGAGAAAGGTTGGTTTTGTTAACACATTTCCCTTTAATTACTAGAGTGTACAATTATTTCATGACAGGTCGGTGAGAGGTCATGTTGGATTTTAGAAGATATCATAGAATTTCACAACAATTTTATTAGCAAGGAACAAAGAGAGATATAAAGGTATATCAACAATTGCCCTACTTGCTTATAGTGTAAATCTTCTTCACTATCTCCAACAAGACTTCTGCAACCATTGCCTATATCTACCCAAATTTAGGAAGACCTTTCAATAGACTTTATTGAAGGTTTACCTAAATCACATAAGTCGAATGCCATATTAGTAGTAGTGGATAGATTAAGCAAGTACAATCATTTCATTTCCCTACATCATCCATTCTTAGTCAAGGAGGTCGCTCAATTATTCATCAAGGAAATCATAAAACTCTATGGGTTTCCAAACACTAGTCTCCAATAGGAGATGAATATTCTTAAGTGTATTTTGACGTGAAATATACACTATAGGGAATTGAATGCAAATTTAGCTCCTCTTACCACCCTCAAACAGATGGATAGATTGAAGTTGTCAATAAGTGCTTAAAAAATTACTTAAGATGTGTAGTATTTGATAAACCAAAGTAATAAAAATTATGATTTCATTAGGCAGAATACGGTTACAATACTTGTTATCATTTTTCCACTAAAATGACTTCTTTTTGAGTATAATATGACAAGGACCCATCGAAACTTATCAAATATGGAAAATCCCCTTCACCACTTGATGCCATTGATCAACTACTCTTAGAACGAGATGCTATCCTTAAGATTCTAAAATTCAACTTGCACAAGGCACAAGTGAGGATAAAATTTAATATAGATAAGCATCTTCAAGAAGTGGAATTAGAGGTGAGTGATTTGGGCTTCCTCAAGATCAAATCATACTAGATGAAATCTCTAGCAAAAAAGGAAAACGAGAAGTTAAACCCTCGCTATTTGGTCCGTATCCTATTATGGAAAGAATTGGACTAGTGACATATAAACTCCAATTATCCAATCATTAAGCTGTCCATCTGGTGTTCCATATATCCCAGCTTAAGAAGACACTTAGAACATACAACAGAAGCCAACCAATTCTTCCGACACTATCATAAGAACAAGAATGGATACGAATTCTAGATAGCATAAAAGCTCATAGGTTGACTCCTAAAGACACAAAGAGATTAGTTTCATGGAAACATCTTCTAGAGTTTGAATCATCATGGATGACAATATTAACATTTTTTTGATAATTTCCTACATTTTACCTTGTGGACAAGCTGAAACTCATAGGGGAAGTAATGTTGCAAAGCCAACTGTTGTCTACACAAGACGACCAGACCCTCATGTTGAGGGGGCACCATGACAGAATAATGTATTGATGCCTATAAATATAGAAGATGCCAAAATAAGGAGGAGAGAAAACAAAGAGTAGAGAGGGAGATCTATCCCTAAAGAGGTCTGATTTGGGCTCTCTTGTTCATAAGGATTGATTTGACCTCAAGAACTCACCCTATTGTCTGCGAACCTCTATTGTCTTTCTAATTTCTATTTTCAATTGTACAATCTGGTTCTTCTATACACAAAGAGCTGATTCCTTGAGTGAGCCTTGTCTAAGGTAAGATTAGGGCGAAGATTTCACCCCAAATCTTGAGAGGTTCATAACACAATCTACACAGAGGATTTATTGTGTTGTGCTAGATGCTCTCTACATCTCTCCAACACATTGGATGAGCCTTTCGTCATGTTTGGCACTCTTCTATGCTGCTTCAATTGACCACCTGCTACTTGCTTGTGCTATGTGCTGCACTAGGTGGTCTGGTGCTCCTCCATGCCGCACCACTTGCTACTACTTGCATACATTGTGCACCTCATGAGGTTGTCTTCACGTTCAACTCTCTTTTGCATGGTTTCTTGTTGTTGCCAAATTCCAATGATGTTCCATTTGTATGATCTTTCGTGCAACTGTTGTCTACGCACCTTTCTATTTGGCATTGCCAAATGTTTTCCCCCCACTATTGTCTAACTTTTAGTATTGGCCTTGTCTTCCTAATGCATATGTGGGGGCTGTTTTCTCATCATCCCATTGTGACATGATCTACATAACATCTCGTGTGAGCTCAGTCGTGTGACATTCCATCTTGGTGTTGGTTGGATGTCATCCTATCTTATCATTGTCCACATGTTATCCTATGCGAATACCTTTGCTTGTCCCGTGGTGGTGCCATCCGCATGACTTTCAATGTCAATGTTATTTATTCCGTAGTAATGTACACCTAGTCACACTTGGTTTGCACAATTTCTGATGCATGCACTGACTTGCACTATTGTAACTCACACCTCTGCTAGAAGTCTCACGAGAATCTCTATGTGCCCAGTGCTGATCTGCGCCGCTCAATAGCATGTTGCTGCATGAAGTCCAAATAAAAAATCTTTCTATGCTCAACATGCTGATTTCCTATGTTGGTGCGCCGCTCACTGTTCCAAGGCATATTGGTGCACGTAGTCCAATGGATGGACTCTTGTGCCAATGCCGTCCCTACACAGTCCCTTGTGCCATCACCATTCCCATACAACTCCCTGTGCTAGTAGTGATCATATTGTATGATACCTTAGGTGTTTCTCACATGATTTCCTATACCAGTACATTTGATGCACCTCTAGCGTTGCAACTTGGTGACTCCTCACAACTTTTGTGTGTGAGCCTTCATTGCTCATGTGTACTACAACATTTCATCATAATGCCAACACACTCCTTTTGTGTGTTGATAAGCACCTTAAATGCATCGTGACTTGGCATTGTCATCGGCCCAAGCCATGCATGGACTCCTTGGGGTGAGACTCTACTTCTCACATGTTCAGCACTATTCTCAAGTGTTACAATTCATTTGTCTATGCCTAGAGCCATGTCAATGCCATTTCGCACAGCTTTGTGTAATTTCACACATCATCGACCTTCCATGGCCGTTGTTGCCTAGTTGATCATCAATTCTTGGCTAAACATTGTTCTACGCTATTCTAGCATGTGCTGGTCGTGTGTGGTCAGCACGGTGTAGT